ATGGGTCTTGTGAGCATTTTGTAGCGAAGATCACCCTAGCGCTCGGAAATCAGTCCCCAAGATCATTTTCCAGGAGTAGGGAGGGGCGCTATGGTAACCATCAACATCACCAAACACGTGGACAGGAAAAATCCAGGATAGTCCATACAGTGGAAATGCCTTTAGACGTCCAGTCTCCGACTCTCTGTCGATTGACCGAGTACTTAGTACTTTATCCAAAACTTCTAGCTACCTTAGGTAGGTATACCGGTACAGCGCATGAGTGGTCGCAGAGGGTCACACAAAGGCAGTCGGGATGGATAAGCTACTGTACAGACATACCCAAGAGCACCAAAGTGCCCTTCAAGATTCAAGCATCCGACTCTTCAAGTCCGTGAAGGGATTTTGCGTCGATTCGGCTGATCGCAACACAACCATACCAACGGAAACTACGAAGTACTAAGGTTTACTGCTGACCTACAATTAAATCGGCCTCGGTGCCTCAACTTAAATAAATTACCTGAAGCTCAAGACCGTTGATTCTGGTAGTATCTGGGGTGACCGAGGACAGTCGTGGACATTTTGTTAACGTAGGTATATAGGTGAGTAAAAACGGAGCTCTATCCGCGTTTCAAGTTGCTTCTGGATGTTTTGGCGAATCGCTGTCTTTACCCGTGTAGGTAAGGTACTTGTACTGTACAACTACCCTGCTGTCGTCACCACATCTGTGCTACCTCATAGACAGGGCTTCCTTAACGCAACAGGAGGATGCTGCGACACGGAGAACTGCTCTCCTTTCCAAATCTCTAACGGCTAAGGCCGGGATTTGCGTTTCCCGATTAGCCCCCACCGCGGCTCTCTGCTTGTGACGGACGGAGTCGGTTTCACGCCCCTGTTGCCGAAAGCTTGGTTCTGCTTGCGCCCCACTCATCGGCCACTCTAGGCCTTCTCCATCCAAAGTTCTCCCCATCCGATGCTTGCTTCGATGTTCAATAAGCTCGTTTTAGCGTCTTGCCTCCCAAGGCAACGGTGACATGGACAACAACCTTAACAACAGCCGCTGCCATCTGTATCGAAATGTAGCATCCCGCGGGGCGGCGCTAGAGAACTCCATGGGGTAACTGTGGTACCGCTGTGAGGCTTCGAGGACTTGGAAATCCCAAGGCGGCGCGCTTGTCCGTCTCAGATGCAAAGCCCCGAGCTGACACAGCGTCTCGCCCTCGTTCCCAGGTCTCTTTCCAGGCTAAGCAACCTGGAAAGGAGTGAACATACCAAGGCTGGGGTTTTGAAGCCTGTTCTTACGTTCCCGTACCGCGCTTGGCGGCTCTGAACCAAGGCTGGGCAGTAAACATGTGTTTCCTTGTTGGCTCGTCCCATCTGAAACGCATATTGTCCATCAAGCGCTGCAGATCCTGATCACCAAGTATTTCGCCTGGGCAATACAAATAGTCAATGCTCCCCGACCCGCCCATCCGACCTTTTTGCTCTTCCTAGTCCACCATCCCATTCGTTTCTTGACTCGATCTTTCTTGTCTTTTCCGTCCCATCTGTTCAGTTCCAATTCCACTCGTCGCCGGCCGACACCTCTGTTTGGTTAATTCTGAGATCGCTTCCTCAAAGCAATACGCCAGTTAATCAGTCAACATGAAGTTCACCGTTGCGACCATCTTTGCCCTCATCGCTGTGGCTTTTGCTTATCCCGCCGTGGAGCGAAGCGGTGAGCGACATATCGAAGGGCTTAGTGAAGAGTGCTCGTTGCTGACCCGTTACCTTTGCAGCCCCAATCAAACGTCAGAATATTGTGAGCATGGACGTCTCTGTTCCCGCCATGAGCAGCCAAGATGGGGCTGTTGTCCCTTTTAATGCCGCCAATGTCCATCAAGACGCCCGTACCAAGGGGATCTAAGTCAACTGCGGCTCATCTAGACACACCAAACGCCATGTCAAGCTCGGACTGGACGAGAACGAACCGCCATCTCAATTCGCACCCGTATATATTCAGCATGTGTCGAAGGCCCTACTAGACTGGTAGCCTGGGCAGCTTGTGGGGTTGGATTGATATCTTAGACTGCGGCGAGCCACGATGCTCATGTTTGAGTCGAATAGGGTCGGGTGAGCCTAGGAAGGCTGGGTGTCGGCGGATTCTTCGTTCGAGAGTGGAAACCTTTTAAAACATAAATTTATTTTCGTCCACGACTGGTGTCGGGGCAATTGAGGCCAGCATCCGTTCCATTATCTAGACCTGCTTCCTGATTTGAAGGTAGAATGCGTGCCCTGTATCCCTAACTTACCAGTCATGACTGCAGGTCTTGAAACCCGAATCACGCCCTTCCAAGTTCGGTAATACCATTATTTCGGTGTCTGTTGCTTCCATTCCAAGGCATAGAACTCCCATCTAAGGTAAGTAATGCGGGATCCAGGTTGATTGTATTGTACAACACCTACATACCCTACATGTATCTAATGTATTCCTTATATGGTATTGTACAGCACCACGGAGCATTGCGCTAAGTGGAAAGCTGGGGTTAAGATAGGTGGCTGAGTGCCAAGATATTACCTCTGCAGGAACGAGTAAAGTTAAAGTGTTGGGGCCATTCTAAGGTACAAGTACCTAACTGTGCCCTGTGAATACTGGAAGGGATCCTACGATTTCTTCCTTCTGCTATCACCACCGCACCTTGGAAGTGAAGCAGGAGAGGTCTTAAGATACCAGTCGCAGAGGTAACCAAAGCAGATGCGGAGTATGTTCTACCATTTCCTTACCATACCGCACTCCAGCACGGCTAGCGCAGAGCTATATACCCCACACAGCGGACGCTAACTCCCAAGTTGACTTTAGCTTGGGGGCTGAGAATGCTATAGTTTTCAGCCCACAGCCCCAAGGAGCACGATCCCCACCCTGGACAAAGAAACCAACCAACCAACAAAGCACGGCTCGTTCCACTTTGGATGCCCGTTTCCACCTCGATGGCCTCGATGGGTTGGGCACCGCCATCTTGGGAAGGGCTGAACAATGCCCCGGTCATCCGTTGGTCGAAGCTCAACATGGCGCTATTCCCTACCTTGCCCGCTTCTCTGGGGATATGATTTAATATTCGCGATCCCCGGCGCTTCCGCGCGACTGCAGCCCCCGGGTGCCGCCAGATCCTCGCTCCCACCACAACCTTAACTACTACAATACTGAGCTGCTGTCGCCCCCACGAGGGTCCTAGCCTGACTGTCTAGCGCGGTGGAACTGGCTATCGGAATGAGCTGGACACCGACGTGGACAATCCGGAACAATGCCCATCGATCTCGACCATGTGCTGTATACGCGCGCGAGATGGCGAAAGACTATTTTGGTTCCGCTCTGGACCTTTCAGGTCGCGGTGCTGCTGTGCCTGATGGCCGTCTTTGCCTATCGCCTGGCCGAGACATTTGAGCATTACAAGGACAGTCAGAAGATGGGCCAGATCCCTATGGTCGAGGTCGTGTATGTGCTTCCTACCAAAGTCCCATATCCATTGAGCTGTCCGTCACTAATCCAGACCCATAGTTGGGAAGCTACCAACGTCGGCTTCAACCTCATATCGCTCGTTCTCAACATTCTTGAAATTGCCCGCAAGGCAACAGAAAGGCTAACGCCCTTCTTCATGATATGTACCCACATCATCAAGCTCACCCTCGCCTTGGCCGTGCTCGCCCTCGACATTGTCGCCTATCTCCAAGGCATGGACGGCCACTACTCGACCATTGGCCTGTCGCTTGATTGTGGGCTACTGTACGCGTCCTTACCTCCCAGCCCCTATCTCTCTCTAATCAAATCCCCCTTCTAGCGCGTCGACCATTGTGACATTCATCTACGCCTTGGTCACCTACCGCCGCCTGCTCAAATACGAAGACTACCACCTCACCGCCGCCAGCACAAAACCGCATCCAGACGGTGGGGGTAGAGCGGGAGGAGTCGAGCTGGAACTGGGCCACAAGCACAGCGTCTCTCACTCGGTTCAACGCGTCTCGACCCAGTTCTACAACCGCGAGTACGATTCCGTCTACCCCTCGCAGACCCGCTGGTCCCAGACGCAGGCAGACCTGGCCTACCGATCCCCCTCCGCCGCGTCGCTCAGGACGCAGATTGACCGGGCCATTAGTAACGAGTTCGGTTGGGGCGGCGACGGCATCGTCGCGGGCAGCAACAGCAACCCCGTCGCGGCGGTGGGCCGCTCAGGTACCGTGGTCGTGGCCAGTGGCAGGGTGTCTGCGCACCACGGCAAGGTGGCTGCAGAGGTGCACAGAGCGCACAGCTGGCGCGTTGAGGAGGCAGGGGAGGAGGACATCGGGACTGCGGACGCGAGGGCGGATCTTGTTTCGCCCATAGAAGAAGCTGTCGGGGATGAAGGACGATATGCCCATGGAAAGGCAGAGGATGAGGATCGGGAGGCGCTTCTGCCGGGGAAATAGCACGTTTGCGCATGGAGTTTGGAGTTGCCAATCCGGATATTGACCCATATGGAGGTAATGTCTTATGTGATAATCTTCCCAACATTGCTCCGTCCCACCTTATCTTCAGCTCCCTGGATTCCATCCTTCCACCCAGTCCCCTTACTTCTACCGGCCTTTCCACCTCAACCGCCCAACCCACTCGGCGAACCTCTGCACCTCCTCCGCCTGCAGCAACCGCTCCACGGTATAATATTCCCTCGCCAGCACCTCATGGCCCGCAAAGCGATGCACGAACCGGTGGCACGCCCCGCACAGCCAAGCAACGTTTTGCAGGTCCTCCGGCCGGTGCCACCCGCGCTTCACCACCTTGTCGTGCACCATGCGAGGGATCAGGTGGTGGTATGTCAGGTTGATCCAGTCGCGCCCGCAGATTTCGCACGCCGAGACCTTGCCCCGCGTCGAGGAGGGAGGCGGCGGCGGCGTGGTCAGCGCCCCGATATACCCAGACAGTATGGGCGCGAAGAACTCGGTGGTTGTCAGCCCCTGGAGGGAGGAAGGCGGGGATGTGATGCCGTATGCGGCAAGGGAGTCCGGCACGGACGGGTCAAGGCATTGCAGGATGGCCGAGACGGTCGAGTTGGGTAGCGGTAGGGGGCTGTAGAGGGATTGCAGGGAGGGGGTGTCTGTCCAGGTTGTGTAGGTCAGGGATTGGAGGTCGAGGGGCAGGGAGAGGAACGTGGTGGTTGCGATGTAGCTTATGAAGTCGGCCAGATCGTCGGCAGCGTCTGCTTGTGGGGACGTGGAAGGAGGTGTTGGGGGAGAAGCGTTGATGGTAGATTTTTTGGAGCGTCGCTTTGGTTTGGGTTTGTTGGTTGGGGTTGTGATCTTCTCGATCAGGACTGAGGAGAGGATGTCACGAAATTGTTCGTAATTGGATGAGAGTTCCTCCGGAATGTCGTCCCCCATGGTCAGACGGTTGGTCTCTGCTATTGGGTGCTGATTAGTGAATCTACAATGCCTTTATGCTGAACGAAACTACGGGTACCTTGGGGTAGATGGTGATGATATCACGGGTATTATACCGGAAGGGACCACATTGCGGGTCCCAAAGGGCATCGCCGATCCCCACATCGATGTCCACCCAGGCACGTTCCCCGCATGCGAATAAACTCCACCGAGTCCGCCCCGGGTTCAAGCTCCATGACTTCATGACAGCCCGGTTCGCTCGGATCCTGGTCTAGGCTTCTTGGCAGGCCTTGCCATATCAAACACAAGCCCTCCGGTCTTCAGGTGACTCACTCGGTCAGCAGTGATTGAACATGGCCACCAAAACTATCATTGCGTTTGACCTGTACGGGACTCTCCTGTCTACTGAGTCAATCGCCGGCGAGCTGGCCAAGTTGTTTGGCGATGAAGCGGCCAAGTCTGTGGCGGCGCTCTGGCGGTGCTATCAGCTTGAATACACATGGCGCATCAACAGCATGGGTAATATTGCGCCGATGGGCTTCCACACGTCTCTGGCCTTTTCCGCCGGTAGGCTGTCGGGCTAATCACATCCTCCAGGAATATACCGCTCATTCAGCGAAATCACTCGGGGATCGCTGCAACACGCCGTCGCCGAGTCGGGGTTGATGCTGTCAGCCGACGACGCGGACAAGTTGATGAGGGCGTACGATGCACTGCACGTCTTCCATGAGGTTCCAGCTGCCCTGAAGACTATCGAAGACTCTCCTTCAGTCGAGGCCTACGTCTTTTCTAACGGGACCCGACAAATGATCTCGGCGTCTGTAAAGACGTCCCCGGATTTGGGCCCGTGCGCCTCCGTGTTTAAAGGGCTTCTAAGCGTTGAGGATGTGCAAGCGTTTAAGCCGGATAAGAGAACATACGAGCACTTGCTCAGAGAGGTTGGGAAAGCCGAAAGGCCAGGCGACGTGTGGTTGGTGTCTTCCAACCCGTTTGATGTCGTCGGGGCAGTCTCGGCAGGGCTGCGGTCGGCTTGGGTCGACAGGCAGGGTAAGGGGTGGATGGACCGCCTTGGAGATGTTGTCGGGACTAGAAACTTGAAACCCACATTGGTAGTTGACGATGTCGGGAGCGCTGTGCAAAAAATTATGCGTGCTGTCTCATGAGGAACGTCTTCGGTATCGAATCTATCGATAAGGTCGAGCCAAGCAAAAGGCTCAGGACCCACATGCACCCCGGTACATAGCAGTTGTTTAATTATTAAGAACCCAAGGTACACGATTCAGCTGGGGCATTCGACGCCAGACAACCGCAAGACGTGGGCCATTGCAAGACGTTGAAGCGGAATCCATGACTCTTTGTGTCTTGCCTTTATTCAATGTTTACTTAGGGCGACCGTTGTGGATTTACAAGCAGACACCGGGATGGACGCTCGAAAAGAGACCATTCCACTTGCCCGGTTTGCGGTGAGGAATCAGCGCCTTCCATGGACATGAGCATACTCTCGGCGTTCACCTTCCTGACACCAAATTTGATGCTCAACAGTGCGACTTCTGCAAGGGGAAAAAGATCAAGTGAGCAAACATCGCCCATTGAGCTCTCGTTCAAGCGGCGCCGCATGTTCTAACCTGCTGCGATGGAGATGCTCCCGGGAGCTCCCCAAATGTGCTGCCTGCAAGCCTTGGCCAGGACCATGTCACTACTCACGGCAGTATCTCCAGCCCACTCTTCCCAGACTCGAACCAAAGCAAGTTCACCACAGCTACACTGGATACAGCTTAACACTAATGCTAGAAAAGCACCGATTCTCAAGCTCGTGATGCCCAGGGGGCCGGCGCCAGTTCATTGCCAGAACGGCTCGATCGGATTGAGGCAAGCTTAGAGAAGCTCACGAATGCCGTGAACAGCTTGTTAGCTGCTTCAAAAATTGGAGATGTTCAGAAGCCAGAGCTTGAACAAACCAAACCCGCAACCGCTGGTTCTGAGGGAGACATCAAAGTGTCCTCGACGCATCTGGGGGCTGCGCGAGGTGGCAACAAGCGGAGCTCCGTACCGTCACACATCTCCTCATTGAACGAAGCGCATCATCTAGGCGCCACCCTTTCTCAAGTGTTGTCCCCGCCTGAGTATGGCCTGGCCGTCAAGAACTTGAAGGATTTGAGCGAGGCATTTACCTCGTTTCGGATCGACACATTACTTGAAGTGCCTATCGAAAATGATTCTAAGAGCTACCTTGTGCCAGACAGCGAGTCGGGCTACGAGATTATGGCCAGTATGTATCCCTCAAAAACTAGCCCTCGGCCCCCTACTAATAAGTTACGAGAATTCCGGTCGCTCCTTGAGGCTTATCGCCAGTTTTTCGAGCCTCCTTCTGAGGATGTTCTCAACCGAGTCATCTTTCGACCATCGGAGGCGCCGGCGGGCTGGGTAGTCCTAGTCAATTACAGCCTCCTCACAATCTCGGGTTGGAAACCTGACGATGGTCTCGCAAGTATGTTTCGATGGAACGTGAGGTTAGCCTTACAAAACGCTTCCTTATTCCTTCTGCCGTCGCGGACCAATCTTCAGGCCTTGATGCTCCTTGCTTTCCACGGCGAAGAATTTTCTGCTTCCCCGAATATCTCGTGGATGTTGGCTTCCAACCTGTGTCTCCAGGCGCAAGCCCTCACACTCCATAAGCCAGGACCGGAACTCGACGAGGTGAGCCGACAGCGCCAGTTGGCCTTATTCTGGGCTATTTTCAACTGTGAGAAAGCCTGCGTGCTGGCCTTCGGGCGCCCTACGCTGCTACCGACTCATTTCTATCGCGAAGTTGAGCTGCCAAGCTTCGAATTCCTAGCTCGATATACCCCTCTTTTAGATGAGAGCTTTCGCGGCGGAACAGACTATACCCGCTCGGCTTTTGGTGCTTATCTATTCCTTCGCAACACCGAGATGTCACAGCTCATTGGTGAGATCATCGATTGTATGGTCATGAATCAGGACTATGAGGAGCTAGAGGTCTTGATGGATATGCTCGATACTTGGTACAGTGAGACAAAAAAGGTACTGGTTCATTCTCAACAGTAGGATGTCTGGCAATATCTAATCATTCTATAGAACTTCTTTCAAGGACTCGCAAGCGAAAACGGTCTTCTTGGAGAACCAGGAGCCGCCGAGAAGCGGATGTTTGGACATACACTGACATTTCGTTATCTCCACTCACGCATCGTTCTCACCAAAAATCTGCCTACATACAGCATGGCCCGCATATCGTGGGCAAGGCAAGCAATCGACATTCTGCACGACATCATGTCTTCCTGGGATCCGATATACAACGGTATTATATGGTATCGTGGCCTTCGGTATTTTCATTCGCTTGACGTCTTTGAGGCTAACTTTCCATGGAACATCAGGCAGCTCCTATACTACCCCTTTACGCCATTCCTTGTTCTCTTTGGCCATGTTGTGAACAATCCAAAGGACCCAGAAGTTCAAGGCGACCTACAACTTCTGCTCTCAATTCCCGCGTACTTCGCCAAATTGAGGTCGCGGTTGACCCTACTACACCAAGTAGCATCACGTCTGAAACGCACCGCCGAAGTCTTTACGGCCCTTGCCCGAAGGCATGTCGAGCAAGCAACGAGATTGCCCGGCAGCGGCCATATTGGCCTCCGGGCAAGCAACCCATGGCCGGAGAGGACTGAGGCCGATAAGATTGGCGACAGCTCCATGGAAAGCCTCCATTGTGAAAGAGGTTCCGGAGAAGGCTACAGCGAGCCTGTCCATGATATCTCTCTTGATGATATCGACATTGACAGGTTCCTCAGTTGGATTCCTGAATCAGTGCCGGACAGTTTCTCTTCGGGGACCAGAAACAAACCACTGCAGGACGTCGAAGATGCTTCAGACACTGTCCCCCAGCCGCCTCAGGGACAGAAACGGCCGTTTGATGCCGCTTTTGATTGGTTCTCGTGGGAAAAGTATTACTCGGATTGTTAAGGTTGCTTTTCCGCAAACAGGCAAGTCGATTTCAGTCTTCAAATTTTCAATGCAGCCTTGTGTCACCTTGAAGCTGACGGTTGCGGCACACCGCCAGTTCCAAACTTATTGTTGTTGATCGCAGGGGTCACATGCCAAGCCGGACTCAGCCGTGGCTTACAGCTGACCATTGACCACTGACCTGTCCATGCGCCCTTCAGGCTCCGATAGGGCTTTTAATCAACCACCGATCGAAACCCGAGCAATGACACTACTAGCAGTTTCAACTGTATCATTTCTACCATGGCTGCCATGGAGGCATCACGGCCAAGGAAAGCCGGCTCGAGCAACAACCACACTGAGTTTTTCGGGTCGCAAATTGGCGACAAGTCGGCCGTCAACTACAGCTACACAGACATGCCATGGAGGCTCATGGCATACGACGTCTACTACTTCTTCAAGTTCTTTTGGGCTATCCCCTCCGTCTTGTGGCCGCTATCCCCTGCCGACTCGGGCGAGTTGAGCGAGCTTTCTTTCACATCCGAAAACGTCTACGCCGTGGCAATTCATGCTGTGCTGGTCATCTTGCAACTCGGCTTCATCGTAGCCCTTCCCTTTCTTGTCATGCTTCCAGTTTGGACCGCCGTGGCAGCCGTCGCCCTATTCATGTTGCTAAATCGATCACTCACTTGCCTCCTGAATGGTGACCGAGTTGAGTACGAGTCGGACGAGAAATATGCACCGGCTTTGCCAAAACATGCTCACGAGCAGTGGATTTACATTAATGGTGTAGCCGCTGGGTATATAGCGCCCTCAGAGCTGCTATTACGGGGACGCAGACTAACCGCAACAAGAGAACATTGGATGAGAAGCAACCTCAACCGACTGGCTGTCACCTTCAAACGGCCGATCGTTGGCATCCACAATAAAACGTGAGACTTCTCTTCATGGTCAACCGCTCAAGGTGTTGGTCCAAACTTACCGTTTCCCAGTGCCGGTATTCTGTTCGATGTCATCGAATGCCTCATTCAGCGCAACCTGGGCTACGCGACCACGGACGTCCGAGTCTGCTACAGCATCATCAAAAAGAAGCTGTACAACCCTCAATACTCCAAGGTCATATTCATTCTGCATTCACAGGGAGGTATACAAGGGAGCTTGATTCTCGATTGGCTCCTCCAGGAGCTTCCGCAAGACCTTCTTTCCAAGCTCGAAGTATACACGTTCGGCAACGCTGCCAACCATTTCAATAACCCGCACCGCCACCTCTACTCCCAGAACCAGGCAAAACTGAACCCGCTTGCCGCGTCCATCGATGCCACCAGTCAAGCACCAGCACATAAGCCCATGGCTCATCAGGTTCATCAAGACCATCACGATTTTACCACCAGCTCAACCACACCTAATAGGCTTTCTTCCAACTCCGAGGCAGCTCAGCCAGGCCATAGCAATGCCGCCATCCCTGCTTTCGCGAGCTCGACAACTGCTTCCCATCCGTCCGGCCTTTCGGGCCGCGCCATCGGACATATCGAGCACTATGCACATACGACGGATTTCGTCGCGTTATGGGGAGTCCTGCGCTTTGCCACAGCGCCGCCCTCATCCAACATGATCCCGCGGTTCATGGGACGGGTCTTTGTGCGGACCAGTGTCAGGGGAGGACATCAGATGGTGCAGCATTATCTGGACGGCATGTTTCCCCTGCGGAAGGACCGGCAGACAGGAAAGCTGCTCAGGGACGAGGCGACAGGGGTACCGTGGGGCTGTGAAGAGGGGGGAAATGAGTTTATGGAGAGTGAGGTCTTGCTTGGTGGGGTCGATGGGGAGTATGGATCTCGACGGGGTGATGACCGGGGCGAAGGGACTGATGATGATGAGGAGGATGATGGGAAAGTGAAAGTTCTCGGGACCAGTCCCGTCAGTGAAAGGGGGTTTCCTCTGAAGGGGGCAAACAAGAAGGAGAGAGGGGAGGTTGTGAACGTGAGAGTCAAGGTTAAAGAGCTAAGCCGGCTGTGGCAATATCGGAATGGCCGGAGTCCAGAGGACAAGCCTCCTTTGCTTGTAAAGTGTGCGGATGGGGTGGTTAGGAACGCGACCATGTAGGTAGGAACTGGGCTGGATTCCGCGTTGGATCGTTTGGAGCATGGTATTGGCCGTTGAAGTGGGTTTGGATGTTTTGGTTGGAAGGTTGGTTTGCTTGAGGAGGGCAAAGAGGGGAGAGGCAGATGATACTGTAGGCCTCCTGTGGTCTACCGTCTCATGTCAACATATTATGGCATTGGGCGTCTCTATACCTAGTCACTTCGAGAGTCCTAGCTCATTGAGTGGCGATAATTCCTATAGCATGGCTGAGATCCTGCAGATTTAGGTTCCAGTGATGCGGAAGTCGACCTGACTCCCTCTGCTGTATCGATTCAACGGCCGACTTCCTTGGCACTGCCGCTCCAGCCAAAGAGTAGGTAGGCATCATGCCCCTTTCCTGTGCTCTGCGTGGCATGCGCCCTGTGTGACCTGCGCCCTATGTGACCTGCGCCTTGTGTAATGTGCGCCCTGGGTAGCATGCGCCCTCTGTAACATGCGGCCTGTGTAGCATGCGCCCTGTGTAACATACCTACTATGTAGAGTGGGCGCAAGGGAGCCCAGAACCGAACTTGTTGATTATTGATTCCCGTGTAAGTCACCCCCTTCGGCCCTTCGTCGCCACACCTCCCAATTTTATCTGGAATTTCTCCCTTCCATGCCTTTTCCTCCTGACTTTATAGCATAACTCTGAGTCTGCTATATTCAGTCGCGCCATCGCTGAGGCTTGCACATCTTGCTTTCTCTATCTTTGAGAATCAGCATATCATTGCACGACGCAAACCCCCCAATCACAATGTCTTCTCGTCAGGATCCAGGCGTTGTTGATGAGATGGCAGACAGCGACATGGAATATTTCTTCGATTTCGAAGCCTATTTTCGCCACGAAAATGCTGTCGACCAGGTACCCGTTGAGAGCGCCTTGGGTGTCCTGGAAGCCAAAGGAGCAGGGCCCGACCCATCCGAACAGGTTCCCACCAATGATCCCGCTGCCCGGGATATGGGCACGGTTCCCCACGCCCAGATGCAGCCTGGCAGGGCGCCTGCCCCACAATTGCCTGATCCCCGCTATTCGGGGACTGGGTGAGTTTTTTTTTTTTACGATGCTGATGCTCTCATGTATATATGAAAAGCTGTGCCACTGCACAACACTGCACTTTTCAACGCCCAAGTCCTCTCGTGAGGTTTGGGTACTCGTGTCAAGAGCCTGCTTGTCCAACCCGGTCCAAGCCTTCCAAGGCTAGGTTCAAGACGCACGCAGAGCTTCAGCGGCATATCAGAAATATCCACACCAATCCCTTGGTGTGTCCTGAAGAAGGTTGCCCCCGCCGTGAACCTTTCGGTAGGAAGAGAGACCTCGAGCGCCATCGTGAGTACGAGCACGGCGGGTCGACGCCGCATGTCTGCCAGCACGATGGCTGCGCCAACATTGGGAAGGACTTTAAGAGAGCGGACAGACTGAAGGCGCATGCGTTGGCTTGTCATCGTTAGGCGCGCCGCTTTTGGCGACACCTTCCGGCGAGCATATTCAAAGGGTTGAAGTTGAGCGGCTAAGCGCATAGGAAAATGGTAATGGATTGCTTGGCTGGGACATGGTGAGCTAGGAAACGCAGAGGGAAGACTTGTAGTTTCCTGCAGACATTTTCCTGCCTACCTAGTTAGATCCTCAGCATATCAAGCATTCGAGATTCTTCAGAACTCAAGCTACATAGGTATGTATTCTAGCCGCTTGCCTTAAGGTACTGTACCCGGCCTAAAGAACCAGTACCGTTGCGTGCAATGTGAGAAGGGTTAGGGCTGACTTTTGTAGAACGATAAGATAAGGATTTTCATGGATGGGGACAGACTTCTTTTTTTCCACCAACGGCTCTCAAGTCTCAACCTCCCGCGCAAAAGTGACCACTGATTACCTACCCACGGCGCTAAGATACCATCATGGGCAAGAACAGGAAATCTAAGCGGCAGCTAATTCGAGACGAAAAGCGTGCAAAGAAAAGAGAGCGGGAGCGCGCCGACGAGGGAGAACGGGACGCCAAACGCCAGCGCCGTAACGACGACGGTGGCGGCAACGAAGCAGCCAACGGTCTCGATAGCTACGACCCGAATGCTGATTACATCCCTTTTGATGTCGACGATGACGGCATCAACGGCCAAAGTAACCGCCGCGGCGGCGGTAGCGGGCAGACCTTTGAGCGCGAATTCTTCGGCATGCTCGCGGATCAGGAGCAAGAGTACTTCCGGCACGCCGACGAGATGCTCGAGTTGAACGATTTCCCCTCCCCCGAAGATCGCCATATCTTTTTGCAAAATGTCTACCTCGAGGCGAGGGGAAAAGAGCTCAAGCTTGCCAGCAGCCAGAGTTGTTCCCGCTTGATGGAACGGCTGATCTTGCTTTCGAATACGCGACAGAAGAAGAGGCTTTTTGGCGCCTTTGCCGGACACTTCATGAGCTTGGTTACCCACAGGTTTGCGGGGCACTGCTGTGAGAAGCTGTTCTTGTTGAGCGCGCCGGTCGTAACCGAGGAGCTGAGCGGTGGGGGGGAGAACGGGAATAAAGATGGGGACATGACCATGGGGGAAGGCGGGGAAGAGGAAGAAGAGGAGGTCACCGAGGCAATGAAGACGTCGATGGAGGATTTATTCCTGCTGACTCTGGATGAGCTGGAAGAGCACCTTTCGTATCTGCTGTCGGATCGGTACGGGTCGCATGCTCTTAGAGTGCTGCTGCTTGTCTTGTCCGGGAGGCCGCTTGACCAAGCCGGGACAAAGTCGCTGCTGCAGGGCAAGAGCAAAGAGTATGTTACGGTAGAAGGCGCCTCTGCCATGGCGAGCGAGCTCAGCTCGCAGACCAGGGCAGTGCCCTCGTCGTTTACGACCGCGGTACAAAAGATCATTGCCGACTCTACGGCGGGCATGGATGCGACGGCGCTGCGGGTGCTGGCCAAGCATCCAACTGGCAATCCTACGCTGCAACTTTTGCTTGATTTGGAGCTCTCGGTGGCAGCGAAATCAAAAGGGGGTAAAGCAAAGAAGAGTGAGGACAAAGACGCGGAGGTGCAAGCCAGCGAGCCGACTCTCCTAGAGAAGCTTGTTCCTGGCGCGCCGGCTTCTTTCGGCGATGAGAAGTCGCAGGCTTGTGAATTTGTCAATGGCATGCTCTACGATCCCATCGGTTCGCGGCTGCTTGAGACTCTAATCACCCACTGCCCAGGCAAGGTGTTCAAGGGTCTTCATGCAAGCATATTCGGCCCGCGGATCCAGAGTCTACTCCGGAACGACATTGCCTCATATCCCGCCATTAGGGTGCTCAACCGGTTGAGCAAGGAGGACCTTGTCGCAGCAGTGGAAAAATCGCTCCCCGAAATCCCGTCGTTCGTGGAGAAAGGCCGGCTCAATGTCATCAAGACCTTCTTTGAGCGGTGCAGCGTGCGCAACGCGACTCCGGAGCTTGGATCCCTCCTGCAGGCCCTCACGGCTGCCTGTGGCGGCAACTGGAAGCATCTCGTCCCCAAGCTCTGCCTCCTTGACGAACCTGAGCCACAAGAGAGCAAGGAGAAGAAGTTTCAGCAGCCCGATGCGAAGAACAAGGCAGCTCTCCTTTCCCACGGCAGCCAGGTTGTAACTACCCTCCTCGGAATTCCCGGCGCGACGTCCAAAGCCATCCAGAATTCTCTCCTTTCTCTCTCACCGGAACAACTCCTCCGCATGGGCACCTCATCCGCCCCGACATCAACAATCCTCGCCAAATCCCTCTCCGTCCCGCCGGAGGTGCCCCATTTCCACAAGCTACTTGTATCGGCCTTGCTGCCAAACATATGCGAGCTTGCCACGTCACAGCACGGAAACGGCATCGTCAACGCCATCATCTCGGCTCCGTCGAAAGGCGAGGGTGTGGCCGTGGTGCCCTTTTACCTGAAGGAGAACATCATGGCGCAGTTGGAAGGGCGCGAGAAGGACTTAAGAGCGACATGGCTGGGGAGGAACGTCTGGCGGAGTTGGAAGGGCGATCTGTGGTGCCACCGGCGGCATGATTGGGTACGTTGGGCGAAGGAGACCGATCCTGAGGGGGAGAGGGTCGCGGCTATGCCTGTGCCGAAGCAGAAGACGGAGGAGGAAGGCAAGGATAAGAAGGGCAAGGGGAAATATGACGCTCAGGGGAAGCAGAAGGGGAAGGAGAGCTCAAAGAAGGGGTCGAATAAGAGCAGGGAAGGAGGAAAGAGAAAGGGGAGGTCAAACGGGGAGGTGGCTGTTGTCGCTTAGTTCGGTGTGTAGGTGGGTGGTTTTCGTTGTGGCACATGATACCCGGGAGAGTGCGCCATGGAAGACAAGATGTCAAAGCAGACCTTTAGGTACCCAAGATGAAAGGTACCTTAAGCTGTAGAGGCGATGCCTGGCATGTGGCAGCGCTCCGCTTGCTGACGCTTTTATGCTAGCTGCTGCATCCAACTGTCTCGATCCTGCCGAGAGGGAAACATTGTTTGTCAAGAGTTTGCTTTGAGCCGGCGCAAAGCTACGCGCTGCCCTGGATACTTCGCCTTCGGTTCCCGCTATGCCCCGGAACTCAGAGCCGTGACGTCGCCGTCCGCCACAAGTTAGAGCATTCAAGTGGGTGGCTGCAGGAACAAAGCCATTCTTCGGGTCGTCCCGCTGCGTGAGGTTCCTCTCACCCAGCCGTGAGCAGCCCGCAACGCTCAGGGGGTCAATGAAACGTGGAGTTCCTTTCAGCTTTTGAGAATCCATACTCTCCAAAGAGACAGATCATAGACAAAATACATTCAGGAACCTCTCAAAGCAGCGGTATAAGCCGGAAGGAAGGCCGTGAATGGAGTGGAGGAGCGACTGGAGCTGTCATTGTTGTGGACGTCAAGGGGAACGAGGGGTCAGCCACGAAACTATGCTGGGGATGTTACTCATCTTTGCCAGCTGAGTTATGAGGAAGACCTGACAGGCGAGGGTGATGTTATGTATATATTGCTGGCACAAGACCATGTCTCGTGGCTCAAATTGTCCGTGGCAACCATCCAACATCAACCCCTGAGATCGATTTCCTCGACTTTGGAGCTCCCAAAATCCTCTGCAGTCGTCAGCCTATCCTCGAAACCGTGATATATTTGCCTAGTACTGGCCCAGTCTTCCCAACCACGCCGTGTGCGTTGCAATACCTTCTGAGGGAACATAGCCGCGGACAAGCCCACAGCCTGACCCCTGCCGAACCACAAACCTCTGGTCGCTTCCCGCCTTTGGCTGGCCGCCATGCCCCGATCAGGATACGACACGTCGGGATTCGGCAAGTCCCATGCGGACCAAAGACCCGACGAGACAAGGGGAAGTGGGAATAATGATGGGAAGAACCAGGGCCAGACCAAGAACAAAAGCAGCGGGGTACGTTAAGGTTCGTTCATAACTTCAAGTTTTGCCTAGTATCTCTACATTACACAGTAGTTGTAGATTGGTGAAAAGAGGGCAGGTTAATCATGAGGCTTCTGAGATGCTGTTTCGTGCTGTCTCTCATCCCTGTCACTGCTCCCCTTTTCTTTGTTCCTCCTCACAATCTTCTTTGTTCCATTCCAACAATAAGAAGCCCTTGTCAAAAGAGGAGATCCGAGCGAGAACAGGAACAAAGGAACTTTGACTAACCTAAGAGAACGTCTCTTCCCCAGGCACCCAGTCAAAAGATAACCAAGCCCAAGGCGAAGTGACTGTCCAAGGCAAATGACTTTTGATACCTATGTTAAGCTCTGCGACTGGGGAGCAGTATTTTCGCAAGAGGATTGTGTTCTACAATATGGAGCTCGCAGCGGAGTTGGAGAGGAAGGGGGAGTTGGAGAGGAAGGAATGACGATACGGGACATGTGCTTTACCTAGCTGTTATCGCTGATACACCACCGGGCAAAGGTAATGATAGAGTGTCCTTTCCGTACATACAATCCTGCGCCGGTCGCTTGCCAGACTGCCTCGAGTCAAGCCAAATGTCAAAACCCCAGTGTCCACACTCTATGCCTCGTTCACGCCCATGCCTCACGATGGTAGCGGCACGTACCGGCTTCCATAGCAGACTGACTGCTTAAGCTGCCCTATGTCGAAGCGATCTTGCAGATGTTCGCATATGTGCTGTCTTTCGAGTCCAGTGTCTCGGAATATCTCGAGTTGGAACCTCCCAAAACTACTAGGACCGGTAGCGGTTGCGCCGCTAGCGCGGCCTAGCTCGACGTCTGGCTCTGCGGCTGGACTCGCGGGAGCCTCTTGTTCTCTCCCAATCTCGGTGCGTCAACACCGGAACATGCTCGGTGACGTGGAACTTGGCTTTCCCATCCTCTTCTTGGCGGTATAGCAGGCTGAATGCTCAGGCTTGTGGTTGACGTCGTGCTACATTGGTGCAATCGAACTGGGAGCCTCTTTTCTGATGCTTGCTGCAGATGCTTGCTGCAGATGCTGTTGATGCTGCTCGATGGAATTGTTCAAAAGGGGGAAACACCAATATGCTCTACTCTGGTTAGTGACCAGCATGGGAAAGGGAGGGTCTGTCTCGTACATTGAGCCATCCTGTAACAGCTGCTGCTTTGGGGCTCAAGGGTGTATATAGGGGTTATGGCAGCGGCAATTACTGTCCGTGCCAAGGGTTAAGTTCGTTATGTTTCGCTGATCACCGAAGTGCCGTCTTACTTGACTTTGTCGATATAATATCGACACAAACTTGCAATCTTGGTATACGATCACACGGTGGCTTTGGCTGAGGTTTGAATCGAACTGGGCACCTTGGGGAGAGTCGGAAGAGGGTGTGGAAGGAGACTAGGTATATTACTACCGCTTGCCTACTTCACTATGGTACTACCAAGGGGGGTGAAAGTAGGAAGGAGCACTTCACTTATACAGTCCTCTCAAGCAATTACAACCCGGTACTGGACCTAAGCATACCACTTCCACGTCTGGCGCTGATGACCGAACTGTTAAACTGTTGGTTTCTGCCGCTCTACTTGCAACTTTGGAATGTTTTCTTTCCAACGCCATGTGGTCGTATGCATCATGCTCTGTCGACGTTGGTACCTAAGCATCCACGGGTTAGGGTTATTTGTGATTCAAGCCCTGTCCCTCTTACTTCCCATTGTCTTGAACTTTAAAATCTGAACCTCCCAATTCACGAAAAGGAAATCGAATGGTGCACAGTGTTGCTCTCACTTCTAAGATGCGATACTATAAGTAACAGTACAGTCGGAAAATTTAAAACTTTATTCGGCACCCAATTCAGTGTCAACAGCCCGCGAACATAAACTCATCCGCGTTTATGTAGCTCAACTCCTGAAGTCGCTCAACGTCGCTGCCAACTCCCATATCCGCCATCGCCAGTGCATACCGTACGCTCACCAGCCCCCATTAACATGGCACATACCGAGAATGGAGATAAGTTTGATCGCGCTATGTCCCATCAGGATCTTCCGGAGGCCTTAGCCGACGACATCGAAGAGGGTAGAGACGCGTATCGGCCAGGTGGACTTCATCCTGTTTACATTGGTGATGTGTACGCGGACAAGTACAGAATTCTAAACAAGATTGGCTACGGTGTCTACTCGACAGTCTGGCTTGTCAGGGACCTGACTAAACCGTAAGTTGAACACCGTCGGAGGCCCTCTCGGACGTTCTACTGTCTAATGACCCTTATTTCAACGATGCAGGGACGACGATGAGCACAAGTACTTGGCTCTCAAAGCCCTCAGAGCAGAGTGCTATAGCGACGACAAGCCAATATTTGAGAGGGAGATCCTCACCCATCTCCGGAACGGAGATCGTGGCCAATGGGGCTACAAGTTTATTTGCCATCTTGTCGACGACTTTGAGCACCAAGGACCAAACGGAACACACGTCTGCCTTGTGTTTGAGCTCATGGGAGAAACCTTGGCGAGTTTTGGCGGCTGGTTCAAAGAGTGCATGATTCCATACCCCATCATGCGCAGGTTTACCGCCCAGCTTTTAGCGGCTCTTGACTATGCCCATGAGCACAATGTCATCCATACTGGTAAGGCTTCTCATCCTCTTGGGCGAATAACAATATTTGATTGATGCTGAAGATTGTCTAGATATCAAACCAGACAACATCTTTGTCAAATTTCGAGACAGGAGTCTCATCGAATCAGAATATCTCGCCAAAGTTCCTATTCCACAACAGGATAGGACAAAGAAGAGGTATAATCCAGTTCCGTCAACGTCTTTTCAGGAATATTATTTCAAGGACGGTGACAATCTTACTTTGCTCGAGATTGCTCTTGGTGACTGGGGAGTATCGAGCTGGGCGACACAACACCTGACCGAGCGCATTCAACCTGTCGCCCTCCGGGCGCCCGAGGTTTTAATCGAGGCCCCTTGGGGCAAGACGGTTGACTTGTGGAACCTGGGGGCTCTGCATCTTGAGCTCTATCGTGCAGTACGCATGTTCGATGGGAGAGTCCCGCCTGATGGCCATTACGAACTCAGAGAGCACCTCGCACAGATTGCGTACCACTTTGGCCCTTTCCCCAAGGAGTTGCTGGAGAAAGGCAATCAAGAGATTGTTCGAAGCATATTTGACGAGAACGGAATGCCACGGGGCCCCCGGGTACGCGATGTACCGCCCCTGGACTCGGAAGGGTTCATGCGAGGTCTGAGTGAGGATCGTAAGAACGATTACATCTCTTTCCTGCGGGCGTTGATGAAAATCCATCCGGTGGAAAGGCCTTCCACCATGGAGCTGTTGACGCATCCTTGGGTAGGTGTCATATCTAAGAACCGTGAATAGGTACCCTAGCTCAGCAGCAATGGAACGACGCCCGAACGATGGGCATCCCTCTCGTGTTTTGTTGATACCGATTCCCCCTCTAACTATTCCCCAAGAACTTCCTTCAAGCCCCGTCAGCAACCGATGGCTGCCCACTTCGAGCATCCAAGCTACTAATCACTTGCAGTACATCACATTTCGTCCATGGACCTACCGTCACCTCGCATGATTGCCCACCAGGCGCGTCAAGGAATAAGCTATCACGATAGATCTGTTGGAAATGGGCAGCCAGTGAGCATGAGACAACCGCTGCCAGTACGACTGTAGGAGCACCAGAACACAGGGAGAAGGAACTCGGGTGTCGGCCCGGAAAACTTACGGTTCTCAACTTCAGAAAAGGCCTATTGCTGGTTCAGCATTTCCAAGATACATGCATTGGAGGTCACTCCCGCCCACCATTCCCAAATTCCTTCATCCTCCCGAGCAAGTCCAACAGATTCCAGACCATCCGGAGCTCGAATCAAAACATCTAGTACAGAACAGTGGAGAGACCCGGTTGGTAGTGGAAGCGAGGCAGAGTCCCTCCTGTTGCAAACTTGCTTGGTAATTGGTGACAGCTGCAATGCCCAGAGGCATGTGACATGCACGCCTGCGATTACTGGCAGTTGACTGGTTCTCTCCGTGGTAAAGGTGAGTCCTGCAGGTTATGCGCAAGACATCCGTGAGCCAAGTCGTATATCCAAGCGGCTTCGACCCCCCCCTTTATCGCCTTATCTCCACCTTCTCGCCTTCCAGACGTCTAGACCTCCCCTCGTTAATATAAAAGGTGCATACTAAATCTGCATGTTCCAAGCTCTAGACACCGTTCATTGCTCCAACCAGCCTTGCCATTCGTCGTGCTCGGAATAAATCTTGGTTGCTAGCTGCTTTACCAACTATTAGTCGGTGCCTGGTGGTAAAGGAGCACAGTCAGCATGTCCACAATGAAGGGCACGGCTACCTGACTTGAAGGTGAATTGGGGCGTAATGTTATGGCTGTATACCCTAACATAACCTACTCTGCAATCGCAGGAGGATGTAGAATGGTCCGATTCTGCGGGCCCTGGCGAGACATACGCTGCAGCATAAATGTCACATCAGTCGCTAATGTTGCTTTAGTTAGGCTATTTTACACTTTATTTTACAATGTTTTTACATCCGGAACTAACGCGCTTGGTACAGTACATAGTCATAATCTCCTTTCTTCCATAGCTCAGACTCCGTGTCTTTCTGTTCGTTTTGGTCATGCTTTCAGCTGCAGGTTCACCCGTTCAAAGCTACCGCGCCAGAAACCCGTACAACACAAGAGAAACGCAGTCCGGCCTCCCTATGACTCCCAAACCCCAATAATCCGTTTTAGAACGCCTCGCAATAACTCACATGCTTAGCAAGCAACCCATGACCTAGGAACCCCGAAGCAAGAAAATGAACTCAGCATAGGACATTTTCGCCTTCCGTTGACAAGAAATCCTTCCAAGAATCATCCTCCAGCACCGTCTTGAGGTGCTGGCCGTAGCCGCTTCCGGCCTCGACCGGCGTAAGGGGCGTGGATGGGTCACCGTGGGACGACGACGATCGGGGCGACGAGGTAGAGGAATCAGCCGTCGTAGCTGAGGACGGTTCCTCGAAGGAGGCCAAGTCCTGGCCCAAGAACGCAAAGGAAGCGGACGAATAGGCGGGCGGCATGAACGAAGAAGGGTCGGATGTACTAAAGAGCAGATCGTCGCTAATTTCTGTTGGGATGTTGCCGTTGTCCTCAAAAACACCGATGAGGCTCGGGTCAATGTTTTTCAGGCTGGTGTTGGTGTTGCTCATCATCAGCTCAACGTCGTCGCCGCCCAAGCCGCTGATGGAAGAAGTGTACTTTCCCCCTCTCAAAGGCGCCGTATCGAGGCCGTAAGTCTGAAGGGGAATCGTTGGGCATGAGGAGGTTGCGGTGTGTAGGCTCAAGGGCGGCCGTGGTGATGGAGTGGCTGTGTGGGGGGTATCAGGCTCGGGACTGCTGGAAAGAATCAGTGGTGACACCGGCTCGTCCGCGCTCACCGGCGGCACAGAATGTGATGAAGGGTAAAGCGGCGGACCCTGGGGTGCGGACGACGCATCCGCAAAGACGGGCGGCTGAGGCTGGGGTTGCGGGGGTGCCCAATTGCCTTGAGTAGATGGAAAGATGAAAGGATGGCTGAAGTGTCTCGACCGCAGGCAGGCAGAGTAGCCCGGAAACTGCTGGTCAAAGATGCGCTCGACTTCGGCTTGTTCGGCAAGCTTGGCCGCGGCCAACTCCTCTAATGAAGCGTTGGTACTTGGATGGCGAGTCGCGCCCGATGATACGGACATGGATCTGGATTGACGAAAGGCGAAGGAGCGTCGCGGCAGCTCGTCGTCGTCCTCTTCGTACATCTCCTGGTTCTTGACGATTTCTTCGGACAGCTTAAAACCTTTCCCCGTGCGGCGCTTGTGCAAGGCTGACGCTTTGTAGGCAGAGTCCATCCTATCCTCGAGGGTTCGGTCGGTTCTCCGTGAGGCGGCGATGTAAGCCCTCTCCCGGTTCTCATCATGTGTCCGTTGCGTCTGGTAGATAGGGTGACGTGTTAGCAAACTGCTTGCAGGAGATCTTGAAGACGAGTGGACGGGCACGTACCCTCTTCGGCGGAGAGCTGGGGGTCTCGTCCACGTCGAGCAATCGCTTCGCCATAAGGTAGAAGGAGACTGGAGCTGGATATGGGAGCCTGAGGATTTGGACTCTTTGGAGTAGCCGGCGAAGGTATCAACGACTGGTTCGTCGTCTCAAGTTGGACCTATGCACTGGTGGACACTGGAGATTCTGGTGGCGGCGGAGTCAGAAAGCAGTAGTTACTATGAACTTAAAGTGACTGAGATCTAGCGGCGATAGCAAGTGTAAACTAGACCTTCAGGAGCCAGACGGGATCGTGGGAAGTACGTGTCTATGAGGAGGCGAAAGACAAGTTGATACGGTGTGCTGTGGTTGGTGCGATCAAGCTATCCTCTTTTAATCTTTCCCATCAGAGCTTTCAAAACAGTCCAGCAAGCTTGAGATCTCGACGCTGGGAAGGGGGCACCACCTGTTACGTCAAATTATGGAGCCAAAGTACCTTCCCGGCCGCTTGCCGATGGCTTGCCTTGCAGTGCTAGAGGGCTTAGCGTTTGACAGGTTCGATACGGATCGATTGGGACACCGTCTGAATGATACCCACTGTAAGGAAGGTTCCATTGAGCTTGCAGCAGGCGTGGGCCACTCACATTGACGAATTCGGATGAGATTGCTGGGGCCTGTTACGTCACCCTGACACGAAATTCGCAGAAGCTGCGGTGTCGCCTGCAATTGCATGCAGCTAACACGTTCGGCTCCCGCCTGCACAGATAGTTCATTCGGGGAATTGGCCACGGCGTCGCATTCAAAAGCAGAGTGGCGTTCTAGTCCTTTATCATGCTTAAGAAACGGCTGATGCTCGTCAGACGGGGTAAAGCCGTTGAAGCAGCTACTATCGACATGCAAGCCTAGCCTTAATGGCTTGGCTGTTCCGTGTCAAGTTCGTTTCTAGACGATTTGGTCCATCTCCCGTGGTGGAGAGAACACGGCAGGTTAATCAACGTATCTCTCATTGCGGGATTGCAGTGTTGTGTCTTACTGCGATGTTTGAGATTCCTACAATCGTGTTGCACCGGGTGTGACGTCAGATGCGGCTACGAAACGACCTCGTGTAGGTATCTACAGTGTACGATTAGTACTGTAGGCAAATGTTTGAAGGGAGCTGTTTCCCCAGCAGCAGCTGCAGTGTCACGTAATGTTAGGAGGCATAGCCGCCTACAGACACGACCGGGTACTGTTCACCCGCCCGGAGCTTTCTATCCGTGGAACACAGGGGTACTTGCGGCACCAGGCAAGCGAACGTCCGCTAACGAGCCAGCTACCCAATCAGACAAGGGTTGAGCTTGCTGAACACCTGGTTGAGGCGGGGAGCCACACATTTACTAGTTTTGCTGCATCAACCCCTCACTTGCTCCTGCTCAACCGCAGCAGTAGTGCACAAGTGTTCGACAACATCTCATCGAGGGCGGAAACGGTAGAAAATCCGGCAGTTGGGAATTCTGAGCCGGAAGGACACCTGGATGAGGGAGCGCGAATCAATCTTGTAGAGATTGTACTGTATCTTTGTAGATTCCTCCGTAAGACACTTCATTACGTATATGTTCGTGTTGATCTGTTGTGCGGAATGCGTTGTGCTGACATGTTGGAATTGCGATCCATAGCGGGATGCCAATCGCCAATTCCCCATTCCCAATCCCCCGTTGCTGGAAATGCGCGTGATTGCCGAGACAAGCTAACCTGTCACCTTACCCTCGCCTTTCCCCTTTTCGTCGTTCCTCGCCCCACAGAGGGGTAACCACAATTGGCTAACCATCTTCTTGGGTCCCCACCAACTCTTCGTCATTCTGACTTGTTTACCCACTCGCCTCGAGTAATTGCTTGCGACAAAGGCAAGACACTTTGTATTGACCGTCCTGCAGCTCTTGCCATAGGTAACAGTCCTTGCTCAAGAGATGGTATATGTGAGTGGTCAATGCGTGCTCCTTTCTAATTGGCAGTTTGTTGTGAAAGGGAGCCGAATCACCTTGCCAATCGGCATCGTTTCAATCTCAGGTTGTGGCCACGTGCAATTGAAAGTTGCTGGCAGAGTTGATGCCTCAGCCGGATTTTGAAGTGCGGACTTTCTAGTCGAGCTAGTGTACAATACAATCTCGAACACTATACAACCGTAGTACCGTATTGTGCCATATCACTGCAGTTCTTGGTCCTGTGTAACCAAGCTGCTAGCATCTAGGCTCAGTCAGGTGGTATTGGGCGGTCACTGTGGGCTCAAGAAACATTTCGAATCTTCTTCAGCCAGTGGCCTCCTCTGCGTCAGACCAAGACCAGCCAAAACCCCCTCCTTAGCTACAACAACGAGCACTCAGCCCCCTGTTGGACGAACCTAAACAGGAAATATCACAAAAGGCACAGCCAATGGAACATAACATTGCAAAGGTATGGCAGCGAGGGCAGCCACTGCCTACACGTACACTACACATGTATGTGTAATGTACACTTACACAAGAAACCGAACCCGATCGGCATCCAGTCGCCGGACCGGGCCAACCACGATCATCCGTTCCACTGGTGCCGTGGAGCCCCCTTCGAACTTTCCGCTTACATACCGAACACCGAGGAAGTAGCCATTCTACACGGCCAACAGTATCCGTACTCAAAATCCCTTGCTAGCTCCGCTGGAAACAGGGAGTAAATGATGCTACTCTTAAACAAAAATAAATGAGGCAGGGGACAATGAAATGAACAAAGAATTTCAACAATTGTCATCGACGAATCAAGCCGATGTGGCACCCTTGTAAGTAAACATCTGAACCTGTATTTGCTTTCCCCAACTTAACAAAAAAAAGCTGGATTCAACCTATTCTATTTCTACGATAAACACCAACGCTGGACTCAACTGCTCTCTTAGACTTGCGTACCCCATCGCTTCTCAATAGGCTCCCTCCCTTCCTAGTACACGCTCACTTGATCATCATCCAGTCGAACGCCTGTATCCACGTTTTCGTATTTTGAAAAGGGGTACAGTACGAAAGAACCTGTAGAGATCAAAAGGCCCAAGCTCATCCCATCAGCTTCGGAATAGCCGCCTTCCACAAGCCCGTATGCGGCCAAGTCCAGTTCTTCAAAAACGGCGGGTCGATGCCCGTCTCGTAGGCCTCGTTGCGGGCCTTGATCTGGGCGCTGTGCAGCGCTTCGCGGGCGGCCGCGCCGCGGTTGCGCAGGTGGGGGATGCGGTCGATGGCATCCATGGCCAGGCTGAAGCGGTCTGTCTGGTTGCGGATGGCCAGCTCGAGGGGCGTGTCGATGTTGCCCTTTTCCTTGTAACCCCTCACGTGCAGATTGGCCGAGGATCCGGGCCGCTTGTAGGCCAGGCGGTGTACCAGCCAGGGGTAGCTGTGGAAGTTGAAGATGATGGGCTTGTCGGCCGTGAATACCGATACCCACTCCGCGTCCGTCATGCCGTGCGGGTGGTCGACGTGTGAGATGAGCTTGAACAGGTCAACAACGTTGACGCACCGGATCTTGAGTTCGGGGAAGTGCTGCAGCAGGAGGTCGATGGCGGCCAGCGACTCGTGTGTGGAGATGTCGCCGCACGACGCCATGACTACGTCCGGCTCCTCGCCCCGGTCCGTGCTGAACTGCGGCCATATGCCGATGCCCTTGGTGCAGTGCACGATGGCGTCCTCCATGGGCAGGTACTGGAGGTGCTCCTGCTTGTCCGCCACGATAACGTTGACATAGTTGGTCGAGCGCAGGCAGTGGTCCATGCAGGACAGCAGGCAGTTCCCGTCGGGCGGCAGGTAAATGCGCACCACCTCGGGACTCTTGTTTGCGACGACGTCAAGGAAACCAGGGTCCTGGTGCGTAAAGCCGTTGTGGTCCTGTCTCCACACCACCGCCGTCAGAAGGATGTTCAGAGAGGCCACCTTGGCTCTCCACTCCACCTCCAGACACTTCTCGAGCCATTTGCAGTGCTAGGATCCGTTAGCGATGGTCGTCCTTCCACTCACAGGATCGGGGCGGGAGCGTACCTGGTTGACCATCGAGTCAATCACGTGGATGAATGGCTCGTAGCTGTTCAGCAGACCATGGCGGCCGCTGAGAACGTAGCCCTCCAACCAGCCCTCGCAGGTGTGCTCCGAGAGAATCTCCATCACCCGGCCTTCCCGGGCGAGGTTTCCGCCATTGCTGTCTTCTTCAAAGTACTCGCCCATCCAGACTTTCTTCCCCGCCTGGTAGACGTTGGAGAGTTTGTTGGACTCGGTCTCGTCGGGGCCGAAGAGACGGAAGTTTGTTTGGTTCGCAGCCATAACGTCCCTGAGAAACTTGGCCACGTTCTGCATGCTGGCGTCCATGGTAACTGCGGGCTTGTCCACCTTGATGGCGTAGTTGCGGAAGTCGGGCATCCTCAGGGGCTTCCGCAACAGGCCGCCATTGGCCACAGGGTTGGCGCTCATGCGGCGGTTACCCGTCGGGCAGAGGGCTTTGAGTTCGGGACTGATCTTGCCGTTGGCAAACAGACGATCCGGCTCGTAGCTGCGCATCCACTTCTCGAGAAGCTTGAGGTGCTCCGGATTGGTGTGCACGTCGGTGATGGGTACCTGGTGGGCGCGCCAATAGCCTTCCAGGTATTTGTCGTCGACCTTGCGGGGGCCGGTCCAGCCCTTGGGGCTGCGAAGGATGACAACGGGCCACATTGGCCGGAAGGCCTTGCCAGACTCTCTAGCCTGCTTCTGAAATTTCCGGATCTCCATCACACAGTGCTCAAGGGTCGCGGCCATGGCCTGGTGCATCGAATTGACTTCGTCGCCCTCAACAAAATACGGCTGGTACCCGTAGCCGAGGAACAGGTTCTCCAGCTCCTTGTGACTGATGCGGGCGAGAACGGTGGGGTTGTTGATCTTGTAGCCGTTCAGGTGTAAGACAGGCAGGACGGCGCCGTCGGTAATGGGGTTGAGAAACTTGTTGCTGTGCCATGACGTCGCGAGGGGACCTGTCTCGGCCTCGCCATCGCCCACCATTGTAAGGGCAATTAGATCGGGGTGGTCGAATACGGCGCCAAAGGCATGGGATAGGGAGTATCCCAGCTCACCGCCCTCGTGAATGCTGCCGGGGGTTTCGGGAGTGGCATGGGAGCCGATGCCGCCAGGAAATGAGAATTGCTTGAAGAACCTATGCATGCCCTCCTCGTCTTCCGACGTCTCGGGATAGACCTCGGAGTAGGTGCCCTCAAGATAGGCCTGAGACAAGACGGCGGGAGCACCGTGACCGGGACCGGAAATGAAGATTGAGTCGAGATCGTACTTGGAGATGAGCCGGTTGAAGTGCATGTATGTGAAGATCTGGCCAGGGGCTGAACCGAAATGGCCGAGAAGACGGGCCTTGAGGTGCTGTGTCCTGAGTGGCTCCTTGAGAAGCGGATTCTCGCGGAGGTATATCATGCCCAGACTGAGGTAGAGACTGGCCTTGAAGAAGTCATTGTACTTGTTCAATTCGTCTTCTGAAAGAGGAGACCCCTTGATAGTCGAGCGAGCAGGCCCAAACGGGCTGATGCTCTCTGGCTGTTTCGGATCGCTCATGCTCGGAGCGCTCTGGGAACAAGGAGAGAACGGAGTGATGACTGAATTGGGGTATTCGCTGTACGTTGGGATTCAGTATGTGTTGTGTTGCTCTGTTCAGTATCTGGATTGCCTTTCTGCACAGCGCAGGCGAGGAGGGTGTGGGATTGACTTTTATAGATTGGCTCCTGGATTGCATGATTCATCGATACAGGTTTCGACCACCTGATTTGAAGGTTGTTGAGGAGTCGTACAGCAGCTGTCTAACCTAACTGGCTCGTCCTTCATCCTTCATCCAACAGGCACATCAAGCCATCGCAACACGGAGCGGCAACCGCCAAGATGCCCTGATTGAGTTGCGTCAATTGCCATGGAGACATTCGATCTTCTGTTCGGGCCACCCAGAATTCCCAATAGTGGTGTGGCCAGCTGCTGGTTCCGAAGCGATGGTAAGGGCGCCATTGGAGAGTTTCTCTCAGGGGATCGATCATGGCAATGCGTTGACGGTGGGATCCGCTAAGGGAAGTGCCGTACCTGCCTCCAAGTGGTCTGATGTCGATGGTGATGGAAAGTGGAGCTAGATGCACGTAGCGGTCCAATCAGGGCCATGACAGCATCCGTGCGAACCGACCTTCACAACCCGCGCGCTGTGACCTCCGGCGTTCCTTCCCCTGCCCTGAGCTACCGGGCTATCTCCCAGCATCCAGGCAAAGCTCGGAGCTCCCATGCTCGCCATGTCAAGAATCCGTGTCTTCATGTCGTTTGCCAATTGGGTTGGGAATGAACGAGCCTACAAAAATGAGTGGTTCATTTATGCCGTTTCCCATCTTTCCTCGCGGACAGAAACGCTTTGACGGAAGGTTCATAAGGTTAGGATGTGATCCCCACTGACGTATTGCCGTCGAGGGCGCCAGGGTTAGGGGAATGGGGCCTTTGCCGCATCGGCGGACCGCGAAGTACCTACACTTACACAAAACGGTGCAGAAGTGCCCGGATCGGCTGATGGAGAGAGTGGGCTGCCGAGTCTCAACCTTTCCAAGGGGCCTGGAACGTTTTTGGGATTCTGGCGCCTCCGGCGATTCCCGCACAGCATCACCTTACCTTGCCCGACTGCGCGAATCATGCTGAACAAAAGTAGAACGTTCACTGCTTCCCATAGTTAGTTCCAAGCTGGGCAAACATTTCGCCCTGGGTGCGAGGAGGTCACGCCATCTGAATTGTCAGACGCCCTGAAGTCCAGGTTGGAGGAACCCAGCGTTCACCTGAACCAGGGATGAAATGATCCATTCCATCCCTACTTTCGTATTTCGGACTTTCACACGCCCTGCGTCATCAAACCTTTCGGGGTATCAGCTTCTGATTCCCTTCGTCCCTTCCCGAAGCTGTGGCTCGAGACGCAGTAGTTACACTCGACTACACAGTCTTATTGATTGGTTTGGAGCAACTATTGTTCGATGGATGCGTTATCGCAGTTTGGAGACAGCCAACAACCTCGAGTCTCAAACTCCACGTGGGGAAGCAATCAGCAACACGCTGTACCCCACTCACAACTCACGGCCCGCCGTACAACTCTAGTTGGGCGGCCCGGTAAGCCGTTTACTTGAGATTGGACAGTGGAGTAGCCTCGCAACGGACAAATTCATTGATGGAACATGGATAGACTCTCACAACTGACTGTCAGTCGCATTTTATAACCTTCATTCCTCTCCACTGCCGTGGGCTATAATATATACTATCTAGTTCCTTGCTAGTACGTAAGGGTCAAGCAACACCCCGAGCCAGGAAACAAACCGACCGCAGTGGAAGCAGCAAAGGAGACAAGGATATATCCACAACCACGGTGCGGGAGAAACAGAAATGAAATACGTAGCTCATCACAAGGAGACAAGACAACCGCCCACAGCAGGCAAGGCTATAACCCTCCTAACGGCCCAAGAAACAAAGGGCAAAAAATGAAAGACAAAAGAACAGAGAACCTCTTCAAACCTACAAAAAGACCACAGCAACCAGCAGGCCGTCCCCGGACCAGCCGAACCACCAGCCTGCCTGCCTGCCTGCCTGCGCGACTGGATACTTTGCTTGCCTACAAAATACACATACTGAACCACGCAAAAGGAAAGCCCCCTTGTCGCCGAATCCATCGTAGCATCACATTACCGCAGCGCCCTAGACCGACCTCCCGTCTGTCGCATCGGCTCACACAGGTAACCTTCCTCCTATGCTTAGCCGAGACGCATCTCGCCGCTATATCGTCATCCATCCGTCACGTCACCGCCAACACCATCGCTACCCTGTTGTATTCTGATTCCTTCCATCTCCATTCCCGCCATTAGAGTTATAGTATTCGTTTCTTTGCAGTTACCAGAACCAAAAAACCAAACCAAGTAAAAATACCCAAACCGGACCAGGAAAGCAAACACTCCCGCAACTCAAAAGAATACCGCCGACAAACCAGATCGATTGGCGGTGTGCGGGGTGGGTACAATAAAGAGGAGACAGGATGAGGCGAGACAAGGGACGAGTATAGAACTTTCAAACTCGAAACAAAATGCAGGCTGCGACAGTGGTATCAGGGCCGTGTCGTGTACAGCGGCGCAACAAGCCAGTAGACAGAACATGCAAACAAGGAAATCACCCACCGCCGAGCCCAAAACACAACGCCGATTTCCCATTCCCCAGCTCTGCGGTATTCGATCCAAAGGCGAGTGAGGGAAACGGCCAAAGAAAAACAAACCGGCGCCAATTGCCCAAAAAGACAGGGGAGAAACCAGGGAGGTGGATCTACCACCCCTTCTTTCTCGCAAACCGCTTGTTGAGCAGTGCTAAAACCTTGGGAACGTTAAACTGGACGTATTCCAGATCCAAGTCATCCTGGTTGTCCTTTTGCATTTCGAGCAAGTCGTCGAGCTTCAGATCCAGCTCAAGTAGTCCTCGATTGCGCCCTGGTTGTGAAATTCTGCGTTAGCGAAAGCTGGTGTCCGATGAGCATTGGAAAGCTTACCCTTGTAGTGCAGTGAGATGACGAATGTTCCCGGAAGAGGGCTCGTGAAATTGAAGTAGATGTTAGCTCTCCTATTATCGGGAACGTTGCTCTTCTGAATGACACCCTCCTTCTCGAGCTGCTGGTGCGTGAATTTGTATGGTCCCAATACTTGCTGTTTCTGCTGCTTTCGCCTCGTGCCCTCGCTCTGGCTGCGCACGTTGTGGAGGTAATTCTTGTACGTCTCAAGCTGGCCGACCAGGTAGGTGTTATGATCGCGAATCGTCTTGTAGACCTCTTCGAGCTTTTGCGTCTCAAGAAGCACACCTTCCTTGAGGGAGCCTAGATGGTGAAGCTCTTGCTCCACCTCGTCTCGCAGCAGGCTGAACCCGTCGCTCTTATCGACGACTCTGAGTTCCTGCAGCTGGCTGAGCAGCTCCATCGCCCGAATGCCCTTGCGCACCATGACCGCATCGTTCTTAGACGTAGCAGCAGCGTCGGCGATGCGCTCGAGCCTCAACGGCCGCTTCGCCACCGAGGATGTCTGAGGAATAGTCCGCAAGATCTGCACGAAGATCGATTTTGCCTCCATGAAGTATATCTCCTCCTGTGCGATATCCAAAGCGGCCGTCAAGTCATCCATGGCAGTCTCCCATTTGCTGAATAAGGGCAGATTTATGACCTTGTTTTCTTTCCGCGGCACCTGAGGTGGCGCGGGCCCCAGCTCGTTCATGATGATCGAAAGATGCGAGTTCTCGTCCTTACAAAGTACCGCCTTATGTTTCTCGATCAGCGCGTGCATGGCGTAGATTTCGTTTAGTGTGATGGAGAGTTCGAGGTCCTTCTTGGAGAGCGCCACGTAATTGTCCATCTCAAGGCTCTCGTAAAAGTCCTGAACTTCACATAAGTCCAACATGAATCTGTTGACCCTGTCTTTGTTCTGGTGGATGAACGGCTGCAGCTTCGCCATGTATGGTTCCTTGGCATACGAGGGCTTATTCGCCAGGTTCTGCAACATCTTCGCAATCAGGGTCAGTGTCCTCCTGGGACGCTCGGCCGGCGTTCCGTCGATGAGCATATATGACTTTGGAGTCACAATGGCCGGGTTGATGAAGCGAAGGAAGAAGAAACCACCAATGAGAGTGCAAATGACTTGGTCATTAGCGTCAGGGTACTTCCTCTTGGTCAGACTCCGAATCTGTTTGCAGATCCACCGGATGCCATAAGGCGCCTCCTCGAGACCGTCGATGATGGTCGTTAGAAATCCGTTTGCAATTTCAGTAAGCATGGTCAACCGCGGCTCGATGATGGCCTGGACCTGAGGATTTTCGGCTGCCTGCTCTTGAGTGATGCCCTTCGGCAATGATGCCGGTAGACTTCCCGTGTCTTCTTCAATCTGTTCAATCATACGCTCGTAGACCTTGAGAGGATTGATTTCCAAATCCAAGTCCTTCAGTTCGATCAGGCTGTTGATCCTATCGGCCAGAACCGACTTCAGGAAGCTTTGGCCCGGTCCTCTCCTTGTGTATGTGGTCATCATCCGCGAAACCGGCGTGTTTGCGCGCAAGAGTGATGAATACTCGGGCGTATTATCAAACTGATAGGTAAGGACGGACTGTAGTCAAGTTGTCAGTAAAAAAAAAGAGGGAGCTGTCCATAACACCATCCACCGCAACGCACCTGAAACATGGTCAAAAGCAGATGCTCTTCCCGGCTCTCGTACTGATTCCCATAAATAGTGAACATTACGGTCTGCAGCAGCGAGTCAATCTCGGCCATTGAAACCAGCCGGCAAAGGTGGGCAATGTGTCTGGGCTCCGACTGCAGCAGAAACAACAAGTTCCCGTATCTTTGCGTCTTTTCGTCGTTGGGGAAGACACCTTCCTGCATCTCGGCCGCTTCTTCAAGGTGACTCGCCACTTCGTTTTGCTGGCGGCGCTGTCAGCATGGATGCACACGACGATAGGCCGATAGGCCGCAGATGACAGGACGGCATACTTCTTCCAAAGCCATGCGGTTCTGGATGAGGAGAGCAATGCGTGAATCCAGATACCGGACATCCTTCTCTAAAACAAAATTTTTCTTGGATTGCGACGAGATCTTTGCTTTGAGGTCGCGCAAGACTTTTTGGGCTATCAGGACTGTCAGTACCCTGCGAGGTCGCAATTGGGCGATACAAGCGCACCTTTGGCAAGATCGTCTTCAATGACCAGATCGGATTCATTTGCCGACATGGACATGTACAAAGCCGACATTGAAAAGCGTTTTGACTGGCGGGCGGACCGCGAGCCATCGTAGGAAGACATTGTGTTCTGGCGGGATATCGGCTGGAATGAGGAAGAGGACGCTGTCGATGCTCGTGATGGTGTCTGTAGCATGACGGACATGTTGGCGATCGCCGTCGAGGGCGATCTGCAGGCAGCTAGGGCCTGTGGCCTCCTGGAAGCGTGAGTGATGAGCCGTCAACACCGGCGGCGGGGGTTGCAATTGAGCTGGTCTAACGAAAATATTTTTGTTGTGGGCGTTGTGGGCGAAAGGCGTTGTCAGGACCCGACGTAAACCTCCTTGGTCGTCGCACGATGTGTCAGGTAGGAGGGGGTTTCGCTAGGCTATGGATGCGGCCGATAGCAAACAGAAACGGTCGTAATAAATTAGAAGCGATATTGAGATAGCTAAGGCGAATGTCGATTGAGCGAGATTGAGTCTTTCAGTGGCTTGGGTACCTCGACAGCGAAAAGGCTTCGTTCGTGCGTCTTGTTGAGCCGTTCGTGCGAGAACGACGGGAAGGGGATTGGATGGCTGGTGAACGAGACTGTGGGGCCGTCAGCGAGTGCCACAAAGGACAACAATTTCGAGACCAGCGAGCTCTTTGGTCGGGAAAAAGCCTGCGAGTGTCGAAACGGCCTGGAATCCGGCGCTCAGATGATAAGAGACGAGGCGGCGGCCTGTATGCGTGTCGGTCGAGTATCGATGGCTGCCGACGGGAGAGTTGATTGAGTGAATTGATGAATGGGTGCGAATTCTGTCTGGACGCTTCGAATGCGGGAGTTGCGCGCGTCGGGGGTAGTGGGCCCCTCGCAAAACTTCCGGTTGGGGTGGTGCCTAGCGCCGTCAGGGCCGTTTTTGTGCTGGGGCCAGTCAATTCAGGGGGCCCAGCATCCACTCGTTGACCGAGCGCAGGAGACGGAAACTGGAAGCTCGTTTTCCCGCAAGACCTGATGGAAAGCAGCATGCGGGGGAGAAGGGAGTCTACAAAAAGGTTGGAGATGGCGGGCAATCTTTGCGACAAGGCTACTGTAATTCAATGGCTGTGTGAAGATACGAAAGTACCTAGCTCAAAAGTGAGCCTAAGCGACACCATTACAAAGCAGAATAATCACAGTAATAAAACGGTTAGTTAGCTGGGGCCGAAAGCTTGACTTATGTCGGAATTGGATGTCAAGTACACGTGCACAGCGTTCCATGAAAAGATGGTGGTCCAATCCGCATTCTCGTAGTCTTCTCCGTAGTGCCTGTGTGAACACGCCGTTTCCCTCCTGGGAGGCTTGTCCCGCGCCAATGCAGCGTGGACCTGCAGGACGATGGACGCCGTTTTGCGCTAGTATCATCAGTTACACCATTGTACTGTACTGTACCAGGTAATTAACAGACGGCCAAAGCGAGCAGAGATAAGGATACCTACCCAAAGTTACTCCGTACAACGTAACGTACAGAGCATCACGATATATAATGTATAGGCCACGGGTATGTACCTGTAATGTACAGTATGTATATAGCGTACATACTCGTACTGCCCTATCTCCGTAGTTCAAGTTTTCAACTCCCTGCAGTATGTAAATATTGCGCGCCTGCTATAGGACTCTCCTCGCCTGAATCCCAACCCATCCGTTTTCATGTCGCATTTTCATCCACTCTAGTCATTGGTCACGTATATGTCTCTTTATTTGAGCCGGTTCTGCGAGAATAGGTAGGTTAGAATTCCATAGTCATAGGAAGGTAAGCAGATAGGCGTTGTCTCCAATACATAAGAAACCAATTCATCAAGCTGCAGGCGCCCTGGCTCCTGGCCTCCTTGTCTTTGCTGAGTGGATCGGCTGCGTCTCAGCAGCGAAACTGGAAAGAAACTGCCGGCTCAGTACCAGGGCATGTACCTCCGTACAGTATCGTTACGTAGGTATTTATGGGGCTCCGGACGGCGATTGCTCACTGTGAGCGAGTGCCCGGACCCCTCCCGAGCCCCTAAAGAGGACGGGAACAATGGGGAATTGGTCGAGTTTGTGAACAACCTAATCCGAAAACCCACTTCTCATGTTTCATCGGATGGCAATCTATGCCGGTTCCTTGTTCCTGAACCATCGTAAGATTCGTAAGTCCCCGTCTCAAGCGATCAGCAACGAGAACAAGGATTGCAATCCTCGATCGACTAACATTCCTTGGTTGAGCTAAAAATGAGTTTCTCAATCTTGATCCCTGTGTCTGTGTTCAACATATAATTATTGATCTTCCGTTGTGGGAAAATGTTAGATACTGGCATCTCAAATATGAAAATACGGATTTGACGGGCTTGTATTTTACTACGGAAACTGAACTACACTAAAGTACCGGTAAGTTACAATTTCCAAATCATCGGGGGTAGTGTACACAGTAAGCACTGAGAGTTCAGAGAAGTCGAGTGTGTTTCGGGCCCTTGCGGGAAGGAGAACCATCCAGGGAGCAGGGGAAGAAGCAACGTGATTCGCGAGTCACCCACACCTTTCCAACACTTTCACACCCCCTTGTTCCAACGTAGGCCGACCGGCCGAGGCTAGGGCCAACAGATAACCACTTGGTGACTTGGTAACTTTGTACATAGGTATCCGTAGGTGGATGGTATATTGCCCTTCCTCTATATGTATGCACTTACGATACATCAACCTGATGACTCCGAGGGTGTATTTGGTTTTGTGGTCAATTGTTCGAAGCATAGTCACGCCCTCCACGTAAAGGGCGTTGCCATTGCTGTGCTAATGAAGAGCAGGGGATGATCGTCTGTGGCAGCCTGGCATATAGATAGTTTCCCTCCGTTTCAGTGAGGGAACCCGGAATCGACTCCAGTTGTAAGCTACCTATCTAGTATGTAGTAAAATGTTTAGCGGTTTAGCGGTTCAGCGAAACTCGCGTTGCAAACCCCGTTATGTTATGGCTACCTAGATTCCGATCAACATACGTGTACGGGCGTGAGCCAATCAAGGGTCCTTCGGACAAACTTTGTTGTTCCCAGCCGTCTGGGACAGCGCATGGAGCTCATCCCCCCATGCCCAACCTCACCGTTACGCAACGAGAATTTGGAATGGCTATCTATCAGCAAACGCCGCATAGATTGGATTCGCCAAAGCAATCTTTTATCATACACTACCTTACGGTCCAAGCCCTGATCCAAAAGGCGAGGCGGTGTTACAACAGCCAAAGGACCCGATCCACTGGTCTCGAGGGTCCCGAGTACCGTACCCAGGCCTCTCATGGTTGCCGTGGATTGGCAGTGTTTCAAAAGGTTGCCAGACTTGTTCAACTTCTAACTACATCACAGCCTTGCCACACTCTGGCAACCGCATCAGAGGCGCAAGCAAGCATACAAGCCTAAATGCGGTGATCGCGCTGCTGCTATCTCATCCCGACAGTGTGGTTACACCATGTTGTTCCTTCCAATCATGCGCTTCTTGGAACCCCTGCAGCCCTGTCATCTTTTAGTAGGTGCGTCCGTGTGGGGTATTGTACATATTCGCTGAAGTAGTTGCAGGCTGCGAGTTCTTTGCAGGCAGGCACGGACATCTAAGAAACCTTGAAGTTGGGTTGTTGAGCCGGACTTGCCGCACTTGCTTCCTGTGTAAGTGTATGGAGTTGCTGTATGCAGCGAGGCTACCATGTCGATGGTGTGTGCTCGACCAAAAAAGCCGACAGACGGGAAGAACAATGAAGTCATCAGGTCAGCAGGCCAATTTTGCGGGGAGAAAAAGAAACATGTCCTCGTCGATCTTTCAATGCGCCTGTTGGTTTTCATCAGCTCCGGGAAAGGCGCTTCGGAGCTAAGACGGGATAGGAAAACAAATAGGTACTGTACCTAGGTGCCCCATCAGGCAATTACACCTCTCCCAGTGATTTCGGTTTGAGACGGTCCTGTCATCCCTAGCGAGACGGATAATTTTTCGAGACAGCTGAACTGCTTATTTCCTCCCCTGAGAGGGAGAGCTGATCAAAGGAGCAGGCAGCTGATAAGTATCGGAGACATCGCTGCCCAAGCAAACCCGAAGGTTGACTACGGAGTAACGTTAACCACAAAACCTCGAACCAACGTCCTGGCCTACTTTCTTCCTATCCAACCCCATCTGTAACCTGATCGGACGAAACGGTCAAGGCAATCCTCTGGCGGCAGCGATGACTACAAACAAGGTGCTCGATACAATTTATCGATCCAGTGTCAGGGCCATATTTACGGGCCTGTAGTAGTTTTTAGGATCAACACTCGTCGGAGCCGCTCGCGTCCTCGGTGGCAGCCGCAACCTTTGCCGAGATCCGGCCCCCGAAAGACGGCGCTGCGCCGTCCCCCACAACTGCCCGGTACCCACACCCACAGCTTTGTTACCGCTGTTTAGCCTCGGCAGAACCGGGGTATCTACACAGTGATTGGGTGATATCCATGTGCTTCCTTCGTTCCTTGCACCGGGTTTGTCATCAACCAACCATTCACCCACCATCAACGGGTGGTAAACCCGGCAATCATTTTGGGTAGGCTCGGAGGGCTCGGTAGAGTATGTAAGGTGCACTTGGTAAACACTGACGGACCTAAGCTAGCAATTGACCGAACAAACCAAAAGAGCTCTCCTTCAAAGAAGGGCCAGCGGAGAACTGCAAGCTACAGCGGGCCTATACAGCACACATGCACCCCGGATTTGAAGGATTCTTTTGTTTCTCCCAGTGAGCCGGGATACGTTGCGAAGGACTCGGCTCGGCGCCAGATAGCCCGGGATCGGCATCGGCCGACTTTGGCCGTGGGAAACGTTAAGGTGGGAAAAGGGGGGTAAGATAACTTCAGCCCCACCAACCGGAGTTGGGCAGACACGCCAGACCGTCCCTTGTATCCCCCTTGCTGCAGAAAGCGTGTAGGTAGTTCGGGTGTTGAGGCAGGAGAAGAGAATAAAAGACGGGGCACCATGCGGATCGCGCGCTAATGTATGTAGCATTGAGGTAAGGGGGATTGGGAGCCCGGCGGTAGGATTCGCGGGAAGTGGATTGTAGAATTTCTACGAAGTACGGTGGACGTTATATCCGGGAAGCTTGACCCGACCTCGCATCGGCACCGGCAGAGCCCTTACAGTCTCCTCACATAAGGTATGCTTCCGTCTAGCCCACTTGCAAATCTGCTAATCCAACCTGAAGCTGAACCTTAGAGAACTGCTATGTCTTCCCGCCTCGGTTGGTGATATCTTCGAAGCTCCTACAGGGCGGTGTTATTTCCATGTACCCCTAGGGTTCCACTACCACTCACAATATTTTTTTTTCCCTCCCTTGAACGAACTGAATCCCGGCAGCCATGGCTGGCCAAGCCCCAGATCTAGATCCAGAAAAGCATGCGCCTAGTGCGCTGGGGGATGCGAAGATATCAGGAGCCGGTGATAATGGCTCCTCATCGACATTAGACGGCAACTTGAGCTTCAAAGCAACCAAGGAGACGGCATCTCATCCAGACTGCCAGCATAGTTTGACCACCACCCATAGCCGCAGCCACTCACGCTCACGCTCTTCTTCGCTTGATACGGACCCCCTCTCCCCGCTCGAACATGCCCTGGCGCGAGCTTCGTCGCTCCAAGAGACCGACTTGGCCATCGCAGAAGCCGAGTCCCCCCCGGTCGACCTCGCTCACGCTCACACACGCACCTCCATTACCTCTGCCGCCTCACGGCCTCCTGATTTTGAGGTTACCCTCGATCGAGACGACCCGGAGAACCCACGTAACTGGCAAGTACTTTTATTCCATGTCTCGCAACTGTTCGGAAATCATCATGATGTGTTTTGTGCAAATCTGGATATAGAGACAGAGAGAGAGCAACCCAGTCCAGTGGAACCAACTGCCCATCATCCGTGACGAACTAATCGGTTGCCTACGGTAGAGAAAAAGGCCCCTATGGTACCGTGCCTGGACCATCTTTGTCGTGTCGTACGCCACCTGGGTCGTGGTGCTCTACAGCACGAGCTACACGGCCACGGTGCAGGGCATTATGGACGAGTTCGCCGTGTCCTCGCGAGCCCTGGCCACCCTGGGCCTCACGACCTACCTCCTCGGCCTCGCCGCGGGTTCCGTCGTCGTCGCCCCCATGAGCGAACTCTACGGCCGTCGCATCGTCTACCTGGCCTGCCTCGCCGTCTTTGTCGTCCTCATCGTGCCCGCCGCCCTCGCGCGGTCGCTGACGGAGATGGTGGTTGTCAGGTTCTTTGTGTGCGTTTGTTTTCGAAACCCCCCTACTTACCCCTTTTGTTTTGTTATTTTTTGTTGTGTGTAACAGAACTATTCCCAGGGCTGACGAAAACGGGGGAGGGACCAGAGCGCTTTTCGGAGCCGCCATGATTTCGAACGGGCCCGGGACAGTGGTTGACATTGCGGACCCGGAGTACCTCGCGCTGTGCATGTCGCTGTGGTCCGTGGCGCCGCTCAACGGTCCGACGACGGGACCCATCATTGGCGGATTCGTGTACGAGTCGCTGGGCTGGCGCTGGGGCAACTGGCTGGCCATGATCCTCGGCGGCGTGGCCGCGCTCATGCTCGCGACGGTCAAGGAGACGTACGCCCCGACCCTGCTCAAGCGCAAGGCCGCGCGCATGCGACGCGAGACGGGCGACGACCGCTGGTGGTGCCGCTTCGACCAGAGGATTTCGACGCTGCACCTCCTCAAGCTCAACCTCAGCCGGCCGTTTGTGCTTGCCGTCACCGAGCCGATCCTGTGGTTTTTTAACACCTGGTTAGTGGCGCTTCCCCTCTGTTAAATCAAACAGAAGGGGACAATGATCTCTAATAAGAACCGTCATACCCCGGCAGGATCTCCGTCATCTACGGCATCCTTTACCTCTGCTTCGTCGCCTACCCAATCGTCTTCACCCAACACCGCGGCTGGTCGGTGGGCATGTCCGGGCTGGCCTTCATGGGGATCGCCATCGGAACCCTGCTAGCCATCGGACTCGAACCCGTCTGGCGGCGACTCATCAACCGCTCAAGCAAGCCACGCGATCCCGACGACGACTCGGGCCGGCCCTCACCCGAGGCAACCGCACTGGTCATGTGCGTCGGCGCTCTGCTGACCCCCGTAGGACAACTCATCTTCAGCTGGACCTGCCTGCCCGCGTCCATCCACCCGGCCGTGCCCATCGGGCTCGCGGGGATCCCCTTTGGCATGGGCAACACGCTCTCCTTCATCTACGGCTCCAACTACCTTGCGGGCGCCTACGGCATCTACGCCGCCTCGGCCCTGGCGGGCAACGCCGTCATCCGCTCCGCCATCGGCGGCGCCCTGCCCCTCGCGGGCCCGGCCATGTACGACGCCCTGTCGCCGCAGTGGGCGGGCACCCTGCTGGGCTTGCTCGAGGTGCTGCTGATTCCCATCCCCTTTGTGTTTTACCGCTACGGCGACCGGATTCGTGCGCGGAGCCCCGTCATCAGGCAGATGCGTGAGGAGCAGATGAGAAATGAGCGGAGGCAGGCCAGATTCGCGGCCAAGAGGGAGAGGGATTCCGGGGGGAAGGGATCAAAGGGAGGTGGTGTTGGTGTTAGGGAAGGGGCTGCTGGGACATTGGGAGGAGCGGGTGCCCCGTTGCAGCCCCAGTTGTCTGCTCAAGGAGTGGGCATACCTTGATAAGTGTCAACCGGCATACGGCGGTGCGCGGCCGTTTCTGCATTTACCCACCAGCGGTTTGCATAGCAGGGTATAACGTGTAAAAGTCATGGCCAGGTCTATGATGTATGTACAAACATAGAATCGGTAAGACTCCATCATATCCATAGGTAAGCTGGGTATGCATAAGTACAGTACTGGTATTCTTCCACAGCCGCCGATCACTACCGATATTACTAGAATAGCTGTCTGCAAACCTGCTATTATTCGATAAACCAACTCGACCGCTGATCACATGGCACCATAGAGAATGGTATCTCCCTACCAAATATTTGTCAGAATTCGTGTCTATTCGCTTGCTCTCCACTCAAGCTAGTCTACACCCGGAGCACTAAAACTGTCGCTGCTTAGCAAGGAAGTGCGATCTCTTCCGACTCAAACGAACCCTTTACCCTCCGACTGGTCATTCCTGTTTTGCCTCCCGTTCTCCGTAGTTCTTGCGCCTACGCCGGCAGCGTTGGTTGGGAACTTTGTTTTCGGCTTCTCGGTCGCCGCAGACGGTTAGGCCAATGTCCAGGGACGGGCGAATACAATAGATAGAAAACAGAGCCATGTGAGGAAAACGGCGCCGGAAATGAACTGTCTTGCCGAACAGCATGTAAAGAGGAGAACAGAAAAGAGGGAGAGGAGCGCGAACCATGCCGTCCTACCCGGACTGAGACCCATCGTACCCGTCCGTAAGTATGCCTCTCGATAACGCCACAACAGATAAGGGGGAAAGCGAGACAAAGCAAAGCCAGTGTGTCTCTGAATGCCGAGGTACAACTCTCAGAACGCCTGCCAGACCAAGAGAGCAGCACACCGACGCCGCAACCTGCTGACACCTGGACTTAATTCCCGGCCCCCTCTTTCATGAATAATACAGCCCAACCGGGGTCAAGGCCGGGTTGAGAGGATAGATAACCTCGAAGACCACGTTCCCCAGGGACCCTCCCCATTAATACATAACCCTCAACAACAGGTGCGCACATCCATGAATGTGTTGTATGTGTCCGCCAACTCACATGGTGATCCCAGACACGGCGCCTTGTGCCGCCGAGGCACCAAGCCCTAACACGCCATTGGCCACCGCAGCTCCCGGACTCGCGCCAGTTTTGGATGACAACTGCGCAAGCTTCTCGCGCTCCGCCTTTTCCTTGTCCCTCTGCTCCTTCTCCAGCTTTGTGATTCTCGGCTTCCTGACCGTCCCGCCTCTCGAGCCCGGCCCACCCCCACGGCCGCGGCCACTGCTTTCACCGCGCGCCGCACCCCCTCTGCCCCGACCTCTGCCCCCGCGGCCTCGTCGAGGGGGTCCCTCAGGAACAGCAGGCTTCTCGATCTCGGGTATCAGCGGCCCGCTGTAGACAAAGAATCCGTCCCGGCTAGCTGCCGCCTGCTCCTCCCACAGCAGCTCCGAGTCATCGACAAAGTCGTCGTCCTTGTCATACTCGTCCTCTTTGAAGTTGCGCTTCTTCCTAGCCGGCTTGGCCGGAGCCGCCTCCGGGCCGCTCATGCCCAAGCCGGTACCATTGGCCGCCCCCATCCCGCCCATCTCGACATTACTGTTTTCGGCGTCCGACTGCTGCAAGTCTTCCTCCATTTCATCCCCGGACTCGCGGCCGCTCCCATTCTTCTCGAGTGCAGCCGTGGCCGCGGCGATGCGGGCCTTGCGCTCCCGGCTGGCCGCCAGCCGCGGGTGCAGGGCGTCCCAGCCGTACCGCTCCTCGGCCATGCGCATGAAATTGACATACTTGTTGTTCTCGCCCGGTTTAAGGGGTATGTGCAGCGATATGCTCGGCGCTTCAATCTCCTCGCCGGGGCGAACTTTCCCAAAGTCGAGAATGGAGCGCCCTTCACCGGTGGGAAGGGGCGGGAGCGCGTCCTTGAGGCTGTTGATTTTTGGTGAGGAGGAATTGCTGCTGCGGGCTTTCTTGTTAGACTCGCGTTCCTGCTGCACGACGGCGGCAATCTTTTTGCTCGGCGCGGTTGCCGGCGCGGCGGGCGTCGCTGTGGCGGCTGTTGAGCTTGGGACTGTAGTCATGCTGGTGAACGAGGTGGATTTTGACTCGGGTTTGCTTGCAGAGATGGGTGCCGGGGGAGGGGGCGGAGGCCGTCTGGCATCGGCAAGGGTGGGTTTGGGGAGAGGTTGAGGAGCGCTGCGCACAGCATTGGAAGGAGAGGGCGGCACGGAAACTGTCTCCGGAAAGCGTGCCTGAGGTGCGGGATTGCCATACTGCGTATTAGACAGTATGGGGGAGATAGCGCTGGCGACAGGGTGTGGATCTACCAGGCTGGCAATCGAAGGAGACGCGCTGGCCCGGTTGACTACGTGAGTGGGCGCTCGGGGCGAGCCGAGTGGGCCCGTTCCGTACGAATCTCGGGCCGCCACGGATTCTCGAATTGGATCGTAATTTCCCCGGATTGGGTCAAACATCTGCCTCGCAGGCGCGGCGGGCTGGAGTTTGGGAGGCGGCTCTTCGTTTAGGAGGTTGTGCATCTGCATCGAACCCTCTCGCTTCGGGGCAGGCTGGGGATATGCGACCTCGGAAAGAGGTGGACGCGCATTCAGAGCCATCCGCATTGACGTGAGCTCGGTGATTTTTGGTTGGCGGGGCGGGCCCGAGGCAGACCTCGCGTCCATCTCCGAGGTTGCATCGCTGCCCTCGGTTGCTGCGGCCTTCCGCTTTCTCTGGGTGGGAGGGGCATTAGGGTCTTTGGGCTTCCGCGGGCGACGCTGTTTAGGTTGATCGGGATTTGTGGAGTTGCCATCGGCCGGGGGGGCCTTGGGTTTGACTGTGCTGCCGGGTTTCCTGCCGGGCTTCTTCCTCGGAAGGCCGGCGGCGGTCAGTGGGATATTTTGGGGGGTTTCGGCGGGCTGGTGTTGCTGCATGATGCCAAATCGAGATGCTGAGCCAGGATCGACGATAATCTCATCCATTTCAATATTAGCGCGGCCGGCGTTGATAATCCTAGTCGGAGAGCCGGGCTCCGAGAGTGCCGAGGGCGGTGATGACAACGACGGTGATGAGCTGTTGTGCTGCTGCATCTCGACCTGTCGTGTCCGCCACCCGCTGTCAATCTCCAGCGGGCAAAAGAGCCACTGAAGAGGATGTCGAACAAACACACGGCCCTATTCCTTTACTGCGATGATGTCCGGTTGTAACTGCTTTGCAAAAGAAGGGGAGAATGAACTCTAAACAGATTAAGGCAACAACTGCCACCTCAATAATGCCCCTTGAAAGGGTCAAAGAAGCAAAGACAAAACAAGGTAACGGAAGCTCGCCAATCGCCTTTGGTGAGATGTCTGAGGGATGATAGAGAAACTCCAAGAGCTGGCGTTGCGTTGGATGATTGGCTGTTTGATACCAAAGGCGCCCCAAACTCTCCCCAAACGAAGGTACCGAAAGTTGTGTGCGTTGAGCGGAGGAGGAAAGGTACCTTGGCACCCAAAGCGTTGGAAGTCGAGCCCAAGAGACAAAAGGAACCGTTGTGGTTGGCTGGTCGGCTGAACTGGGCCCAAGCGTCGATGTGTAGCCGACTGTGACTTTCGAATCGAGTTGCACAGGTGGAGATGCCAGCTTCTGAATACCTTCAATCATCCAAGACGCTGCAAATCTGACCACGGTCGGCCGACAAAAAGCGTAAAACAGTACCCAGCGTACTGGTGCGCGGCCAATCAATGCGTATGATTCAATTCGGCAGAGTCCGCCGAGTTTGAATCTGGCCTTTGCACGATGCAAGAAGGAGAAATGGCAGACGATTTAAATGGGTTTTGCACTTTGCACCCGAAAAGTCGACTGACTTTGTTGCGTTGCGCGTTAAGAACAGAGAAGAAGGGGGGAAATTTGGGGGATTGCGAGAGAGGCGAGAAGAACCATGGGGAACGGCTGCGTTTTGGTACCTACACTCATTTATTATTTTCACAACTGGCAGTGGAAAACCGGGGCCTCAGATGCAAGGGAAATTTTATCTGGAAAAAAAGAACTAAACCACCAGGGCGGCCTGGCTGGCAGAGCTTCAACGGGCGCCGATGGAAGAGAGCGAGCCAAAGGGGCCAAAAGGGGGCCAGAGCGGCGGGGAAACACCTTGGAAATGCGGATGGATGGGATAGGGGATAAGAATGGGTGCATTGACCGAGGAGCGGAGCCAAGCGAGGTTCGCAAGATGGAAATGCTGTCAGCGTTGTCCACAACCAGCGGCAGACCCATAATCAAATTCGGGATGCACCGCACCGCGCTAGAGACGGAAATGAGAAACACCAGAACGCATGGATAGAGTACTCCGTACAGGACCTCTATCCGTACTCGAGGGAGCCGGCAGGTAAATTGGGGTCTCAACGCCAAGGAGTTGTCCAGTAAACATACGATGTATGTACAATACAGTACAAGACCTCCGTTGTGTAGTGCAATGTATCAAGAAGCAAGCCAAACCAAGAAGGGAAATTCGCACAAGGAGGAAAGAGAACGCGGATCCTGTTCGGTCATGGGTCAATCAGCGGACGCCCGCCGCAGAGCGCGCAGGCGCCGTTCTCTGGTTTCCTGGGCCCACCCGAGAGAAATCGGGTGTTAGGCATGACTTCTTTTGAGGTGTGACAGGGGTTGACGACTCTGATCGAGAAGAGAGTGAGGAAGACGTTCGTAACTCAAGTGGGGCCCATGCTCGTTGTGTGCCGAAGACGCGGAAGAGGCTCGCATCGCCGCGTGGTAGCTTAATGTACAGTACGCCAATGGTACAAGAGCGGATCCCGAGACAAGTACGATGTACCTCCGTATATTGGAGAAGCACATCGAATTTGAGGTTATAAGACGGACCAGGGCCCTGGCGGGTACATGTCAGCGGGCCCAGTCCTTGTACCCCACGACCCCGTTTCGAATATGTGTGGGTGCTGCGTGACATCTCTGGAATCCGCAGCTCCGCAATTCGAGACAGAAACAGTCGGCTGGAAGCCGGGACTTAGGACAAGGCCGGCACACAGTGGGGGGCATGCTGCACATGCCACATGCAGCAGGAGAATGCTTCGATTTGCGAGCTGCAGCCTGGGCAATTTCAAGTTCAAGCCTGAGGAGTTTGGGCAAGGATTGATACATTTACTAGGTAAACACCTTTGGCGTTGAAATATTTAGATATGATGACACTTATTTGGGCAGTAACGGTAGACAGCTTGTTAGGCTACACCCTGGCCAAGACTTTGTATCAAACGGAAAAGACCCTCCATTTGTGACTGTGCTCGCTGTGCTGGACAAAGGACTGAATTCGACATTGAACACTGGACATGTAGGTTACTCAGACTATATGGCTAGGCTCCTGGCACATCACCCCTTTATTAACCTCAGGTAGTTGAGGTAGTCAAAACTGGCACTTGAACGAATACTCATTTGATCTTATCATCCTGGCGAATGTGCACACAGTGTGTACTTCGATTATTACAAGTACAGTACCTATACGGTGTAAGTAGCGGCGGGCAAAAGCGGAGCTGGAGATAAGATCCTGTCAGATAGCGTTAAACAGCTTGATGGAAATATCCATTGAAACCCAACTTTTCCAAACCAAACCCAGTGAACTTGACATTTGCACAAAATGGACACCACTCTAGAGGTATTAGACGTCAAAGAACGAGATATTGGTGATGACCAGACGCCCAGCTTCCCAACACCGCCAGCGCCGACACCGTCGGTCAGCGGATTCCCTCCGCACAAGAAACGAGTATCAGCGTTTAAGCAGCAGCGACAGGCGAAATCGCCAGCCGCTTCACCTGCTCCAGCTACCTCTGCAACCACAGCTTCACACGTATTCGTCAAACCGCCAAACCAGAATGGCCTTCGCTCACAGGCAACGGCAGACGCGGACGAGAGGCGGCGCATCGACCAGGAGAATCAGGCCGTGATAGACTCAATGTCGCCTGAGGAGATAGCCGAGGCCCAGAAGGAGCTGTTCGCTGGTCTGGATCCCAAGTTCATCCAAAGGTTACTGAGCCGCGCGACACTCGACGAGCCGAGCGGACCGTCACCATTTGACGCCGTTCCTGCATCAACACCACCATCATCATCAAGGTTAGATGTCCCAGCAAAACCACCCCGCGCGACAGTCGAAGACGAGCCGGAGGAGCCCGAGACGGTCCCAGCTCCAGCGCCAAAGGGCAGCAGCAAACCCAGAAAAACAGTCACCTTTGACGAAGACGACCCCCCGCCGGTGCCTCCAGCCGACCTCTTTCCCGTGACAGAATCCGGCGCCTCGCGCAAAGACGACAACACCACCAACACCAACCCCGACACAACCCTGCCGCCACCCAAAACCCACTTCCCCCGCCCGCCGACCGTACCCGACCTCGACCCATCCGACCCTGACTTCCTCGAGACGATGCACAAGAAATTCTTCCCCACCCTACCCGCCGACCCGTCCAAGCTGGCCTGGATGGCGCCCATACCGTCGCAGGACTCGCCCGCGGACCGCGAGTCGCCGTACTACCCGGGGCAGGAATCCTTACCCGTCTCGGCGCTGCGCTTCGACTTCCGCGGCGCCCTGATCCCCCCGCGCCTGAGCCGCACCATACCCGTGACCAAGGGCCTGCACCACCACGGCGAGGCGCCCGAGGCGGCCGGGTACACGATCCCCGAACTAGCCCGCCTGGCGCGCTCGGCCGTGCCCGCGCAGCGCTGCGTCGCCTACCAGACGCTAGGGCGCATTCTGTACCGCCTTGGCAGGGGGGACTGGGGCGGCGGCGCTGGCGGGCGCGGCGGCGACGAGGACGACCTGGCTTTTGCCCTCTGGCGCTGCGTCAGGGAGGGCAAGGTGCTCGAGAGCCTCGAGGAGGAGGCGACTCTGCCCGAGGGCAGGGGCCATCTGAGTGCCAAGGCCTACGCGACTGAGGCGTTGTGGCTGTTTGAGAAGGGCGGGTGGAGGGAAAAGTGGCGGGGGTTGTGATCTTGACGGATCGTTTACTGGGACTATGGTCTGGACTCTGGAAGGTGTAGGCATACTCTGGGTTGGAAAACGTTGGAAATCGCCCATTCGTTCATTCACAAGATGACCGGGAAATGCAGTGTAATTCCATCGTCCCGATTACCGCGTTGGGAGGTATGCCTGATATACGTACATACCAAGAATGAAGCGGACGAGGAATCCAAGGCAATCAAACAACCGACACCAACCGAGCGAGCAAGCATTATCCATAAGGTCGAACGACCAGATGACATCTCAAACATAGCGACAATCAAGGACATATACTTCGTTGCACTTTCATGACCCCGTCCGTCCTCCTTTCCCTCTCCTCCCTTTCTATACTCCGCCGAACCCGATCATACCCAGTGAATCCTCCCGGACCAATCCCGACAAGACCATTCATTCCGTTACATGCTATGCGAAACCGAACCCAGGGCCAGACGCAGCCTGACTCATAACCACACATTAACCAAACCACACTTCACCAAAACCAACCGCGACCGAGGAAGCGTTTTCAAGGCCGCTCATCTCGGGCGATGCGGAAGGATAGATGGACGAACCTGTTGTGTCTGTGTTTGTGTTTGTGCTTGTGCTTGTTGTGCCTGAACTTGCTGCTGCTGAGCGCGCTGTTGCTGAGGATGGTTCTGCCCTTGCCCGTGAGGAGCCCGCTGGTTCCTCCCGACGACGTAATCGCGGTTCTCGATCGTGACACTCTTGGTCATGTGGTTGACCTTGTAGACGCCGACGAGCCGGGCGGCCAGCTCAAACATGTTGTTGCGCAGCGAGATGACGATGAACTGGGCGTTCTTCGTGCGCTCCTTGATGTAGTTTGCTACAATCGATACCTGTAGTAGCCGGGAGTAAAAAATCAGTATCCCCCTATGGGTAGTGTGGAATGTGGGTTGGAGGTAGACGGCTGCAATATTGATATTACTATTATCATGATGACTTACGTTCCTGAAATCCAGCGCAGCATCAATCTCGTCCATGACGTACAGCGGTGTCGGCTTGTAGTGGTGCAGCGCAAACACCAGCGCCAGTGAGCTGAGCGTCTTCTCGCCACCTGACAGGTTGCTGATGTTCTTCCACGACTTCTTGGGCGGCATCACGCTGAAAAGGATGCCCTCGCTGAACGGATCCAGGGAATCAACGAGCTCCAGTTCGGCGTTGCCGCCCATCGTGATCATCTGGTACATCTCCTTGAGCCGCAGGGAGATTGTGCTGAAGCCCTCCATGAAGCCTTCGAGTCGCAACCTGCGGAGGTCATCGCATCGCTTCTTGGCCGCGTCACGCTGCGCGACAGCGCTCGCCAGGTCGGACGACCGTGCCGCGTGCTCTTCGACACGTCGCCGGTACTCAGCCAGCACCCCCAGATCGACGCTGACGTTCTGAATCTTCTCCTCGAGCGCGGCAATTTCACCCTTAAGAGTCACCTTGTTCATATCTGCCAACTCGTCCTTGGTGTACCGCGGGAGTTCCAGGGGGTTTCGCCGGCCAGGCCGGATCGTCTGGTCAGCCGTGTCGTTGGCTTCAGCTTCGGCTTGAAGTTGCGCGTCAGGGTCGGTATCATCTTCGGCGTCAGCGTCCATCATCTCGGTATCTCCATCTGCGTCCTTGCCTTCGTCCGTGTCCACGCCTTCAGCTTGAGGAGCTTGGGCCGCGGGAACCTCGGATGAGCTGCTGCCGCCAGTCTCCAAATCCTCGATATTCTGGAGTGCGAGCTTGGAAAGTTTCTTCTCCCAGTACTGCAGCCGCTCTTGATTGTCAGCGAGAACCTTCTGGCTTTCTTCAAGCTTGTTGCGCATCTCAATCTCGACAGCCCGAGTCTCGTTGAGTTCAGCCGTTTTCTCATCAAGCTCCGCCTTCAAGGTAGAGAGCTCCTCCTTCTTCGCAGCGAGCGCCTCTTTGGCTTCTTCCACCCGTGTCGTGAAATCCTCGGCCTTGTCTCCTTGATTCTGGATCTCTTCCTCGAGGTGCTCGAATTCCCGGATTGCCGCCTCCAGCTCCTTGGACGCCTTCGCATGGTCCTTTGCAAGCTTGACCCTTTGCTTCTCGGCCTTTGCCTTGCGGACTTCGGCGTTGGACATTTCCTCATTCTGCGACGAAATCTCCTCTTTGAGGGAATCGACCTTGGCTCGTTGGGCGCGGAGTTTCTCGCCACCAACCTCCATGATCTTGTCCTGGAGCATCTTGATCTCATCCTCAACGCTTGATGTCTCTCCGTGCAGCTTCTCTACCTCCTTGTTGAGCTTCGCAACCTCCTTCTCCAGGGCTACGATGCGGCTGTCGTCGGTCTTGGATGGCTGCAGCTCCTTGCTGAGTTCCTTAGCTCTGCGCTTGGCATCGACCAGGTTCCTTTCCGAGCTTTCTACCTCGAGCTTGATCTTCTGCATCTTTGTGTCAAGCTGGGGGATCTGTTCTTTAAGAGAGCGTACACGGGCCTCGAGCTCCCGCTGACGTTCCTGGAAGTCCTGGAACCTTTGCTCCAGTGTATCACGGTCAGTCTCGAGCTTGGCGACCTGCTCCTTGCTGATGTCGGCCACGAGCTTAGACGACATGAGACCCTTTTTGACGGTAGTGCCGCCTCCGGACATGGTACCTGACTTGTCAATCAGCTCGCCAGCGAGCGTCACGACTCGCCACCGCCTAGCGCCGTAGGCTATACGGTTCGCTTGTGCGAGGTCCTTGGCCACAAGCGTGTCTTGGAGAGCGTGGTAAAAGGCTGGCCGGAACTTGTCCTCTTTGGCCTTGACCAGGTCAAACAAGCGCGGCGCATTTTCGGGCGTCTCTATGGGCGATAGGTCCCGAACTCGCAACTTGTCGAGGCAGATGAAGTTTCCACGGCCCAGATTTGTCTTCCTTAGGTATTCGATGCATTGCTGGCCAGCTTCGACCGTGTCTGTAACAAAGTTGTCAAGCGCGCTACAGGCTGTCGAGATGGCAACATCATATTGCTGGTCGATAGTGCCGAGATTGCCAAGGCGCCCATGGAAACCGTCAATGCGGCCTGATTCCTTCATGTGCATTAGGGCCGTAAGGACATTGCCCTGCGTCTGGGTTGCGGACAGGCTGGATCGGGCTTCGTCAGCTTTCTGTCGGGCATTTGAGAGCTGCGCGCGGAACTTGGGCTCTTCTTGAGCAAGCTTCTCCAGTTCAGCTACGGCTCTCCTGCCTTCCTTCTGGAGGGCTGCCTTCTCGGCTTCGCACTGCTCAAACTCTTTTGCCTTGGCCGCCTGGCTTTCCTCGATAGCAGCAATCTTGGCCTCCATCTCTTCAAGAGCGACGGCGCCGGCGTTGGCCTTCTCTTTGAGAATTGCCATTTCACTTTCGGCAACAGCAATGGCAGATTGCTTTTGGTTGATCTTCTCCTTCCAGGGTTCGAGGGACTTTTGCTTAGCAGCAATCTGATCCGAGAGGTGCTGTGTCTTGCCCTTTAGACTCTCGCGGATGTTGGCTAACTCGGCCTCCGCCTCCTTGACCTGTTGTTCAAGCGCGGCAATTTCCTGAGCACGCGTCTCAATTTCTTCGGCACACTGCTCAATAGTCTGCGCTGCCTCTGCATCTGCGTTCTCCGAGTTGGCAATGGTCTTCTCCAGCTTCTTACGCTTGTCTGTAAGGAACTTGCGCTTCTCGTCGAACTTGACACGCTCCTGGTCGAATTTGGTCATCTCCTTGATCAACGCCTGAGTGGCCTTTTCCTGAGCCTCGAGCTCTTTGCTGCCTTTGGAATAGGCCTTTTCGAGCTGCTTGATGACCACCTCACTGCCGTGGTGCTTCTCAAGCTCAGCATCTAGCTGTGCTTGGATCTGACCGATGGCTTCCTCTGTGACGGCCAAATTGTCTTCGCATTCGCTGACATACAGCTGGTACAGCGCAGATTGCTTCATGGTGAGCTCGTTCTCATCGCGGACATAAGCCAGGGCCTTGTTCTTTTTGTCCTCAAGGCTGTTCTTCTCCTTCTCAACGTGCTGGACCCGACCACTCTTCTCCAGGCAGATCTCGTTGAGCGTCTCGACTTCGGCGGCTGCCTCTTCGATTGGCGTCTTGTACTTGGATGTGCCTATAATGTCCTCCAGATATTCCAGAAGACCGTCTTCGTGCTCGTTGGCAGCTTTCGGCTTCATCTGAGCGATCGACTCGACCTCACCCTGCAGAATCAGGAAACGCTTATGGTCCAGGTCAACTCCACGGTCACGTAAGAGCGTAGTGACGGTAGTGAAGTTGGAACTCTTTCCATTGATGTAGTACTGGCTGGAGTTGTTCTTGAAGGCCTTGCGCGAGATGACGAGTTCCGAGTTGGGGATGACCTCGTGACCCCCGCCTGGCAAATCCATGACCTCGCAAAAGTGCACAGCGACCTCGCAGTAGTCCAGATTGGGGTACTGGGCAGAGTTGTGAATCAGAGCGGAGATCTTGCCCTGGCGCATCTTGCTGGCCCGGAAACCGAAGACGAACAGCAAAGAGTCAATGACATTGGACTTCCCGGACCCATTTGGCCCGACAACCGAGGAGAAGGAGGCGTGGAACGGTCCGACTTCCTGTCTACCGGCATAGCTCTTGAAGTTTGTGAGGATGAGGTAGGTAATGACGATTCGCGCTTTAGGGCCGATATCCTCAACGAGCGGCATGGCCATGTTGCGCGATTTGAGCATGATGTCCATGGGCTTCTCGAGAATGGTGTCCATGGCCTTGATGGGTTTTACGGCGGCAAGAACCGTCTCGTCCGCTTGCTTGCGCTGCTCGTTGGCCATGATGGTTGTGATATCGGCAAGCGGGACATGACGTAGATACGAAGTTGCTGGCGACGAAGACTGCTTCAGCGCAGGGGCCGGTGGCTCCAGCTCAGGCGTAGCAGACTTGTTTGCACGCGGCGCAACACTCTTGCGGGTCCTTGTAGATGGCTTCTTTGCTGGGACTTGGTCCTCTTCAGGAGCGGCGGTCGTCGCTGTCGTCGCTGTCGTCGCTGTAGCTGCTGTCTCGTCGGGATCAAATGCTTGGCTAGGCTCGGGATCGGGCGCAGGTGCAACGCTGCTTTTCTTTGGTCGCCCGCGACGCTTCGGCGCTGTGGGAGCGGGGGCTTCTGCTGTGGTGGTAGTTGTTGTGGTTTTCCTTTTGCTTTGGGTCGAACGGCGCGAAGCGGGCGCCGGCGCAGGCTCAAAATCGTCCTCGTCCTCCTCATTCTGCTGAGGCGCGTCAGGCATATCCTCGTCTGAAGATTCTACAATCGCCGTGCGCCGAGTCCGGCGTGTCGGTCGTGTCGACATGGCGGCAGTGGTATCTGGAAAATAAAAAGAGAAGAAAAAAGGCAACTGAAAGTAATGAAGAGCAAAATATCGCCTTCAATATTGAGAAAAGAAGGGTGAGTAGAATCTGTGTGTCTCGACAAACTAATGTGTGACAGTCCTGTAGGAGAGCGGTACGTAGTCGCGAAAAAGATGCCGGTCGCTCGGGCCCCGCAGCTGTGTTGACATTGATTGATTGTAAACAATCAGCCACGGCTGTGCCAAGCCACCCAACACCGCATTGCTTCTTCTCCTCTGCTTCAACCCTGCCAACCCTGATAGTGGCTCACGCCAACGTGGCTTGAACCCCGATAGAGGCAAGTCAAGGAACTATGCATAAAGAGGTATCCGTACATTCGACCTGAATCAATTGGAGTGAGCTTCACTCCTTCCGAGCTGTGTGAGCTGCGACAAACAGCAGCGCTACTTCGTACTACCGACAAGTTACCCTACCAAAAAGTTTCCCAGCCCTCTTCGCTCCCCCAGTCTGCACCTGAAGACACACCATTCCAGGCCACCGCCATGCTGGACTTTTCCCAGTTCAGCGCCGCTTTCCCGACAGACGGGCCCAAACCGTACGACCAGAACGGTGTACGAGTTATCGAAACGTTCCGCAAGTCGTTTGATGGCGTCTTGTTTATCGACCGTGTGCTGAAGGCTTTGGGGCTCGGCGAAGGCAAACCATACCCTCCGAGAGGCGACAGTGGCTTGCGCGCTCTGCACCAGCAAATATGCGAGACTAAGGTGTCAGCGCACGCCAAGCTATCCGTCTTCTACTACTTTCTCCTCGACTACGATGAGCTCCGCGGTGCGCGGTCACAGCTCGCCGAGGCGCTGGCTGAGGAGTCGGGCTTGCCGCAAAACTACCAGATTCTTATGAGGGGTCTGTGGCATATGGACCGCAAGGAATTCAAGGTGTGCATCGCTTGCCCATTGTCAACAAAGGATCTACGTATCGCTAACCAATCCTCCACAGTTTGCTCTGGAGCACCTCGCCCACCCGTCCCTCCCTTCCGAGTTCGCCGACGACATCATCACGGTGCTCGTCCGCCACGCCAAGGACGATGACTACAGCCTTCCGCTGGCTTACTACCACACCACGCAGCCCGTGCTGCAGACCTCGGAGGCGCTCGAGCTGCTGTTTGGCGCCCTGGCCCGCACGAGCGCCACCGAGGCGCTCTATTTCTCGCGCAAATACCCGGATCACGCGCGGCAGCTGCTGTTTGAGAAGCTCGTGGCGTCCGTGCTGGAGCATCCCGACGCGGTGGGCGCCCGGGGCAAGGAGCTTGTCAGCTTGCCGCTTACGGCAGACGAGGAGAAGTGGTTCCAGGAGTACATCGCCGTCGGCGCCGGCAGGAAATCCAAGAACGCCAAGCCCGTGGCGCAGATGAGGCAGGTGGTCACGGGCAGGCACCGGGGTCCTATTGATGTCGGCTCTCGGGGGAGTCAAGGTGCTGCCGCAGTTCGAGTAGGGCGGTGATTGAGTGTCCATGGCAAGTATTTTGCTGCATAGCGACGGCGTTTGGCTTAGCTGGGAATACCATGGTTAAGATTGGAAGCAGGACGCGTGGTGCTGCGATTTGCGTTCAAGCCTTATAGGCGAAAATTATACTTGGGTCGCCTCCGGATCCGCCCCAATGACCCGAACAACACTTTCTATATCGTCACCTCGGGCATGGTTCCATCTAACACTCCTCAGCTCCTCTATACTCAAGACGATGGCATTGTTGAGATCAGTGACACCAGAAACGACATCAGTCAAGACGCGCTAGGAGCTGCAATATGAAGTCATGATGATCCTTTAGTGTTTTTAACCTAGGACTAGCTAGGCACTCTGGCATTGACCTCAGCGTCTACTCCTCGGAAATCTACCCTCTCATCTCAATCCGACTGCTATTCGCCACCAGCTCCCCAACCGCCTCAATCGTCTTGCCGCTGACAATCTCAAACACGGGCACGTCGGCCGCGAACTCCTTGCCCAGCCAGCTACGCAGCTCGACGGCGACGAGCGAGTCGACGCCGTACGCGTGCAGCGCCTGGTGCGTGTCGACGTCCTCGAGCTTGATCGACAGCGTCCGCGCCAGCCGCTTCGAAAGCGCATCGACGACCACACGGGCCCGCTCAGTCGCCGATCCGGCCTGCCGGAAGAGCCTCGCGGCGTCGTCACTGCTGCTGTTGTTGCTGCTGCTGCCGCCGGCCCGGCTGCCAGGGAGCTGGCTGAAGCGGGCAAAGAGCGGCCGTTGCAGGATTTCGGGCAGTGGCTCGTCGAGTGATCGCGCGAGGAGGAGGCTGGCTGGCGTCTCGAGGCCCATTACCATCTGACACTGGTGGGATCCTGGGTGGTACGAGGGGTCGCAGCAGATGTCGAGCAGGGACAGGAACTCGGCTTCCTCGATTGGGACGAATCCTCGAGAGTTCTGGAGGAGGTGCCGCTGGAGCCGCTCCGTTTCGGCGACGACGCCGATGCTGCGCATGACGCCGAGGTCGATGGATATGGCTTTCTGGCCGCCACTGCTGCGATGCCGCGCTAGGGCGTCCTGAAAGGTGCAGCCTGCTGCGTAGTTGCTCTGGCCCGGGTTTCCGACCACGCCGGAGACGGAGGAAAGTAGGATGAAGAAATCTAGATTGGGAAGCATGGTGTGGAGGTTCCACGACGCTTCGACCTTGGAACGCGAGGTCTGCTCCCATTGTGCCAGGGTCATGTTCTCGAACGTGCAATCCTAGAAGAAACACTAATGGTTAGGGACGCGATTCAGACCGAAGATGGGCCAACTCACGTTCAGGACCATGGTCGCAACGATGCACCCTCGGATCGGGGGAAGAGTCGCGGTAGACTCTTGGAGCATGTGTGAGAGGGATTCTTTCGAAGATACGTCACATTTCGGAGTTGATACGACGACGCCCCGACCAGGAAGCTCACGCACAACCTCGGACGCGGCGGGGGAGGCAGCCCCTGACCTCGATGGGACAAGCAAGTATTTCGCCCCTCTCGCGACCATCCATCTGAGGATGGAACGGCCGATGCCACCGAGACCCCCTGCCACGAGGTACGTAGCGTTCTCGTCAAACTTCCAAGTTCTCCGCTTTATCACCTGTTTCTGGTGTTCGTGTCAGTAGCCAATCTACCAGCCCTGTGCTTTTTCATCGAGGGCTCTCTCATCGAATCATCATACCTGGACAGTCGTTGCCGAATCGATTCGGATCACGATCCGACCTGTATTCTTGCCACTCGCGAGATAACGAAAAGCCTCCTCCACCGAGTCCACGTTGTAGGCATGTAGTGGTCTCGGCGCCCGGATCCTTCCATCCCTGGCCAGATCCATCGTCTTCTGCAGAAGCTTGTGCCCCAGCTCCTTCTTGTTCATGTCCTTTACTATGTGTAGGAGATCCACGCCTGCGTACAGGGCATTCTTTGCGAAGCGAGCCATGGGCAGCGATGCGTTGGCGTCTATATCGGCCTTGCCGATCTCGATCATCCTTCCGTAAGGAGCAATGCAATCCCACGAAGCACGTAACGATTCGCCTGCTAACGAGTTTAGAACCACGTCAACGCCATAACCGTTCGTCATCCTTATAACCCCTTGAGCAAAGCTGGTGTCTCTGCTGTAAAAGATGTGATCGGCAGGCACCCCGTACAGGTCCATGAGGAGCTGCTTCTTGTGGTCGTATCCCACCGTTGTAAAGACCTCAGCCCCAACCATTCGCGCGACCTGGACGGCCACCTGGCCGGTACCTCCCGATGCGGAATGGATCAATACTTTCTCGCCTTTTTGCAGGCGCGCGACCTCGACTAGCGACTGCAGCGCGGTCATGCCGGGTATGACGACGGCGCAAGCGTCTTCGAACGAGACGGAGTCTGGGATCTTGGCCGTGAGCCATTCGTGCGCCCTGGGGTAGGTTTTCATGCAGTCCGTTGTCTGCATGCAGACACGGTCCCCGACCTTGACTGACTGGACGTCGGCTCCCACTCTTGTGACTATGCCTGCGCAGTCGGCCCCAAAATCATCTTCGTCCAGGCGGCCTAGGGCAAGAAATACGTCACGGAAGCCGACGCCCCAAACCTTGGCTTCCACCTCGATGTCTGTTGGGCCTAGCTCGTCATAATAGGCGACGTCCTCTCGAAACTGCAGAGTCTCGAGCTGCCCACGAGTTTGGATTGCCAGTGTGAGCGGCGGCCCTGGCAGCCAAGGTTCAGTGATGGCTTGCGGGACTAGAGACGAAATGAGGTCTTGGTTGATGTCGATATCCTCCACCAGTCGCCCAGTCAAGACCAGGCCGTCACGGACAGCATATTCGACATCAGCGCTGATCCCTCCAAAGGCTGACTCGAAGACAGTCGATACGTATTTCGAGCAGGCGACGACGTCACGGGTGCTATCACCGACAGTGAGAGAGACGATGCGGTTAAGAGAATACTCAGAGCGTAATGTGCGGAGGAGCCCGTCCTTAATGCCCGCGTAGGCCGCCGACGACGCAAGCGCGGTGCTCTCGGCATCGTATGCAGTAACCCAGAACAGGTTCGTCGACTGCCGCACCCAGTTTCGAACCGTGTTCAGCGTTGTCTGGCTCATGGGCTGGAGGAACGGCCGGTAGACGTCCGCGAGACAGATGACATAGTCGCCTGAGTCGAGTTTCTCATCTGCCATCTCATTGAGCGTGTGCATTCGGGAGATCCAGTCTGTGTTCAGGCTCCGAAGGACGCTCTCCGCAAGCGACTTTTGGAAGTCGTCGCCATCCGCCACCACAATCAGAACCCTGGTACCTGCATGTAGAGGGCCTGGGTGAGCCGCTTCGCTCGACACAATGAGGCTTGAGCGATGCGCAGCATCGTTCTGGTAGTCCCTGATGACTAGGTTGGTCCCTGAGAAGCCATTATTCTTCAGGACTGCATCCCATTGAGAGGCCGTCATCGTCGCTCGATCCCAGTCGAGGTCGTCTTCTCGGCCACGCCACCAGTCCGCAGTGACGCCGAAGCCGAAGCCTATTTCGAAGCAGTCGGGGGCGGTGATGTCGTGGAGGACGAGCTGGCCACCCGGGATCAGCACGCGTCGAAGATTTTGAAGAATGGCACCGATGTCCTTCTCTCCTCGTACGCTACCTGCTGCGAAGATCACATCATAGCTGGAAGGCTGCAACCCTTGCGCCACGAGGTCTTGGTTGACGTCAAGACACATGAAGTCCACGCGGTCTTGGTACTCAGCAAATCGCTGCCTGGCGTCGTCGACCGAGATTGTCGACGTATCCGAATAGACATACTCGGAGAACGCTATCCCTCCCGTACGAGCTTCAATGCTCCGAAAGACCGAAAGCACGAAGCTTGTGAGGACGCCTCTGCGAGCGCCAACCTCGAGGATTCTCTGGGTAGGCTTCCGGTGAGCCAACAGTCCGAGATACGCCTCGAGATCCGGGTTGCAGACTGCAGACACCATGTCATCGAGACAATCCTGGAATAAAGTTGATGAGATGGATAACTCGAGCTCGTGTGGTTCTCCGTGGACTATGGCGACAAGGTTCTGTGCTACCTCTGTGAACATCCTCCACGATGGTCGCCTCATGCCAAGATCTTGCAACCTGGTGGTAAGATCGCTGGCTTCAGGGGCGTCTTTGCTTGGTTTTTCATGAAGCTGGCGTTCTAACCAAGAGAGATACTTTTTCATATGGGCTGGCATTTTCTCCCAATCGGTACCCCGAAGGCTGTCAATGTTCTGCTGCGCTACAGACCAAAGGGTTTTCTCCAGCTCGACCCTGTCGTGGACGGCTGCATCTTCGTGCTCCCCTGATTTTCCCGTGGCAGTACGCAAGCGATTGGGCTGTTGTAGGGTACACAATGACAGGTGGGGCTTCCAGTCGATATGGTGCAGTAAACTCCTCCTTCCGCTCTTCTCGATACCAATTTCACGCTCCATGACCGGCGACATCTCTAGCCGTTTGATGTGGCAAAGAAGTACGCCTGTCTCCGACAAGACGGCTATCTCGCAGTCAAGACCAGCGCCAGCGTGCTTGAGCTTCGCCTCTGCCAAGACTTTGACGCGGTTTGTACACGGATTCTTCCACCCGGTCGCGGCTATCCAGGCGTTCTTTATCTTGTGCGGGATCGAAGTCGGGACATTTGTCGTCATTCCTCGCGATGGCACGATAGGGCAGACCTGCAAAAATGAGTCGAGGACGCCGGGATGGACAAGGCCCTCCTCAAACCCCTCAACTGGAGGTCCAACGCTGACGTGGGCAACGGCGAGATCGTTCCCATCCCAGCAAACCTCGTCGGTGATGAGAGAAAAGGTCGGTCCGTAACGAAAGCTGTTCTCCTGGAGCCAACGATAGAAATCGGAACGGGTGATCTTCACATCGGCCTTGCTTCTTGTATCGGCGTATTTGCGAGCCAGCGAATCGCTGAGAATCTGGAGCTCTTGTCCGCCGCCTAGTACTTGGCCTCGGGACTCTTGTTCAAACTCGACATGAATGATGCATTTGCAGCAGGCTCTCCAGTAGCTCTCCCCATACGAGAAGATCTCAATTTCGAACCGGGTGGAAGATCTCTCATACATCTGTTGTACTGGACGGAGATGCGTCATGACCTCTGTCGTCTGTCCTGGGGTGACGACAATGGGGCTCGTGAAGGTGGCCTCCTTCACGAGGTAGCCCCGGATGGCTTGTTGGCTGCTGCTGGCAGTTTGCCTGACAGCTTCCATAGCCATTATAAGTGAGCCCACCGCTGGGAAAACGATGGTATTGCCCACAACGTGATCAGCCACCCAAGGAACCTCCTCGACAGTGAGCATTTTCCGCCAACGTGGTTGCAGTGGGTTCCAGTCGCTGGTACGCAAGCCCAAAAGGCTCCCCGAAGACCCTTCACGGAGCCGCCAGTCACGACTAGACCTAGGTTCATACCAGTATGTCTGCGTCCTGTCAAATGGGTACTCAGGACCGTCTACCACAAGCTTGGCGGCCGGAGAAGGGCCGTCCTGCTGGTTCGCCGCCGTGATGGAAACTCCATGTCCACAGGTGAACAGCTGACCAACCAGCTGCAGAATGGTTTTCAGCGGGGAGTCCTGCCTCGACAGTACTGACGCGTATCGGGCCGTGCTGTTGCCAGCGTGTGTCAGGCAATCGCGTACGGGCCGCTGCAACGCTCCGTGGGGTCCGATCTCGAGGTAGTCAGTGATGGGTTTGAGGCCGTCTACCTTGGGCGCCGTGTGGACAACGTATTGCAGTGCGTCAGCAAACCGTACGGGTGATTCCAGGTTGTCAGCCCAGTATTGGGGGTTCAGCAGGTTGATTGTTGCGACCTTCTGACTTGTGACTATGGACACCATGAGAGGATTCATGTTGCCGCCTGGCAGCTCTCGCGGCTTGAGACGACCCAGGCTGGACAGGTACTCCCCCGCGACGGGGTGCATGGCGGGCGAGTGGTAGGCTACGCCGGTTCGGAGCTTCCTTGCAAAGACGCCATCTCTTTCGAAGCCTGCTTGCAGCTGGTCAATGGCAACCTCATCGCCGGACAGCGTGACGTTGGTCGGGCTGTTGATGCACGCAACAGAAACGCGTCCCGGCGGCGACGCCTTTGCCAAGCAGGACTCTGCTTCGGACTCGCTAAGATTCACAGACATCATGGCCCCTGGCTGCTGCGCAGATGCCGCCGCTACCCGCCCAGCCAGACGGCCTCTGTGATAGGCAACCGTGCAGGCAGAGTAGAGGGAGAGGGCTCCAGCGCTGTACGCTGCCGCGATCTCTCCCGATGAATGTCCGACTACGACATCTGGGAAGATATTGAAACTTCCCAGCAGTTCCACCAGGGCGATCTGGAGCGCGGTGCATAGAGGCTGACTGAACTCTGGGTTGTTGATCCGCGCTTGGTCTCTGAGTTCATCTAGCATACCTCAGGTTAATGAATGCTGTTCTGCGGCCATGAGGTAGTACCTATTGAACGACTGGCAAAATGCTATACTTACCGAATAGCGACCATTCAGCTCCCAATTCTTGAAAGATGGCGTCAGCCTCGGCGAGTGTGGCGTGGAAGATCGGGTAGCGGAGCAACTCCATTCCCATGTTGGCGTACTGCGCGCCCTGGCCGGTGAAGATGAAGGCCACTCCATTCTCGCGTGCCGCGCGCTCGCATTTCATAGCAGAGATGTTCAAGGTCTCTGGCGCCGCCTCGACGTCCACAACGGAGAAGGACCTCCAAGTCATGAGACTCCGGCGGGCGGCAAGCGTGTAGGCAAGATCACCGAGAAAGGTAGCATCACAATGCATTTGGGCTTTGATAAACCCGTCATACAGATGCAACATTCGTTTCAGCGCCGCTTCGTCTCGAGCTGACCATGTCAGTAACCGGTATCCCGGGGCCACTTCTTTGCTCGTTGCCCTGGTTTCGGGGTCTGCGTGATGGTTCACCCCGTTCAGGCGGTCCGCACCGTTGGTCCCGGTCCTGTTGGCTAGTTTCTCAGGCGCACGGGTAAGAAGGCCGGCGGAGGCGAGGGTGCGATGATTGACTACGAGCCCAAGAGCCTCAATGGCATGGAGGGCATCATCGAGGATGATGTGACTGTTGGCTCCGCCAAAGCCAAAGGAATTGACCGAGATCCGTCGCAGGCCCTGGGTTGGCCAAGGGATGCAAGAAGTAGGCACCTACAGCCCGTTAGCCCAGGCTGATCGAACCATACCTTATGAGCGCCAGTAGTAGGGAATTGAACCTCCATGTGGTACAACTTGGCTTTGATCTTGGGGTTCAGCTTCTCGAACGAGGCGTTTGGAGGGATGATTCCTGTCTCGAGTATCATGATGCTTTTGAGGATGCCGGCCAGACCGCTACATCCTTCTAGATGACCGATGTTTCCCTTCACTGAGCCACTGCCGGGTACGGTCAGGTCAGCAACTGTTAAAGGGCAAATCATATGGACTTCAACTTGCATGTAGAGTGGCTCGTTGGCGGACCTGCTGCCCCTGAAAACCCGGCCTAGTGCGGTTGCTTCTGTCACGTCTCCAATTTGCGTTCCGGTTCCTGGTCAGGGGATGTCAGATGCGGCGATGCGAGATTTTGATCATGGAGAAAAAGGAATTACCATGGGTTTCCACGTAGCGCGTGGTCTCGAAGCCCAAGCTGCAGCTCTTGTACACCTGCCGAATGAGTGCCTCTTGGGCGGACTGGCTGGGTTGAGGAAGGGCAGGGGTACGGCCGTCCTGGTTGGAGCCCGTCCCTCGAATCACGGCACGAATCGTGTCTCGGTCCCTGATGGCATCGGAAAGCCTCTTGAGCACGAGGACAATGACGCCTTCTCCTCTTGCATAGCCGTTGGCGCGGTGATCAAAGCTGTAGCACCGACTGTCCGGCGACAGGAAATTCATGTTGGACATGTAGATGGACCATTCCGGGCTCAGCATACTGTTGACGGCCGTCACCAAGGCCTGGGGAAACTAGGGGTTAGCATTCCTGTACATTGCCCACGGCTCCGCATACTCCATAGTGAGTCCATACCATGGAACTCTGCCCGCTCCTCAGGCTCTGGCATGCGAGATCCATGGCAACCATACTGGACGAACAAGCAGTGTTGACATGGATGCTGGGCCCTCTCAGGTCGAAGTACCAACTGAGGCGGTTCGCCTGAATACTCGGGCTGGTCGAGGTGGACACCATTTGCGGCGCATGGTCTGGGTCTTTGGCAATCATCATAAGGTAGTCTTCGGTGCTAGAAGCAGCATAGACGGCTGTACTGGTGCCTGCTGCTTTTTCCAAGGGAATACCAGCTATATCAGGTCCTTAGCGTAAGCAGCAGGTAGGTTCGAGGTTGAGGCAGGTTCAAGGTCCGATCATGACATACCATTTTCCAAAGCTCTGTAAGAAGTCTCGAGAAGCCATCGTTGCTGCGGGTCCATCGAAGCCGCCTCTGTCTCTAGGTGTGAGCACTTGGTAAAACAAAGGACAGAATTCCAGTTGCCTCTCCTTCTACCTACCCTTGGCCGTGATGGAGAAGAAGGGGGCATCGAATGCAGCAGGATCCTCATTCATGAAGCAACCCCCCCTTGAATACAGCTGCGTTCTTTGTCAGCGACCAACGTATTTAGGTTCGGCTGGAAAGCGTTTTGGCTAAGGTAAGCTTGCCGTGTTCTTGACGCCCGAACCTAGGGGCTTATAGAATGTTTCAATGTTTGCTCGGTTCTCGGGCCATTTCTTCATCACGTTCCTCCCATGCTCAAGCATATCCCAAAAGCTCGAGACATCTCCAACGCCATCAGGCAGCCTGAAGGCCAGGCCAATGATGGCAATGGGCTCCATTAGGCGAGGTAAGTTGCTTGTACATGTACAAGTACCTTAGTTGCCTCGTGCCAGTCGCGGCGATGTCGAAGGTGAGTGCAAAAGGGGATAAGGAGAGTTTACGACTTGAGGAATGGCAGGAGCTACTGCATGGATTCCATTCTCCTGTATATATCGTGGTTCGGACTGGGCACCGGAATCTTGAACCTCAAGCCACTCCATTCCCACATAATACCACCACATCTTATCACTGTTATTCGGACGCTAAGTAAAGAACGACAGATTACAGAAGGAGGCCAAGAGGGCATTGGACCGATTCTGCCATTCTGCTTACCAGGTTACGTCCAAAAGGATTCGGCCCCCTCAAGTCCGCACATTGCTGTGGCCAAGGGGCACCGAGAATCCGAGTATTGTACCCCTTTTCTCGGCGCACTTTATCCGGAACCGTCGATATTCACTTAGCGTGAGTAGACTGTTCAATACTACTAGTATTGAACCAATTCGTAGGCTGAAGACAAAATATACATTTATGTAGAAGCAACTGTCTACCGAAATATCACTTTACCAACACTATGAATGGGAAATATTACTTGAGTTACCAATATAAACGGTTTCGGGCTCTCGGTTTCCTACGTAACCTCCACAGCCAGTACCTACTGTCTGCCGGGTCACACTATTCCAAACCCCTTCACCTGCTCCCGTCTCATCCAATCGTACACCTCCTTTGCCGCCTTGGTCACGGGTGCTGCCGCAGTTCCAGCCTCTATGTCCATCATTTCTTGCACCCATGCGTAAAGTGCATCGACAAATCCCGTGATTTGCTCTTCCGTGTTGTGAGCGTGGATGATGACGCGCAAGCGATCCTCTCCCGGTGGTACGGCCGGGTATGTCGCCGGGAAGGTGCGGAATGAAGCCGAGAGGAGGTGATAGTACATCCACCAGAAAGTCCTGGGCCTGGTGGAGATGGCGATTATATGGGTGTTGATCACCCGCTCTTCCCATCCATCAGCCAGAGGGACGCGTAGGATACCCTTGGACTTGGCTGCGGGCCAGAGGGGATGCGAGGTCAAAAGCTCAAAGAACAGCCTGGCCATGTCCTGGACGTGTTGCCGGTCCTGCAAGTGGCGATGAATCACGATAAATTACTCTTCCTAAAAGAGTGAAATACCAAGGAAAGATGCCGTACCTTTTCTTTTGTGCTGAGCACCTTATACCCAGACATTATAGCGGCGACAAAAGGGAACGTGGGCGCTGTAGAGAACATGATTGCCCTTCTGAAATTTATAACTGTATCTCGGATGATTTTGTTGCCGAGAATGATTGCTAAGGGCAACTGTTTGTTAGCATGCGAGCGTCCCATCATCCCAATGATGATTTTTCCAAGTGAGCACCTACCCCCGGCGGCCCCGATGGCCTTGCCAAAGCTATGCATAATCACGGCAACCTCTTTCTCCAGCCCGAGCTCGCAGACGAGCCCCCGCCCTTCGGGGCCTATCAAGCCAACGCTGTGCGCCTCGTCCACGACGAACTGTATGCCGCCCTCATGGTCCTGGAAGACATCCTGCGCAGCTTCGACGAGTTCCTGCAGCGGACATACATCACCTTCCATGCTGTATACCGCCTCGACGGCAACGATGACAGACCGCTTCCCCTGGCGCACCAGCGGCCGCGTGGCCAGGATGTCCCGCAGCGTGTCTCGGAAGGCGTCGACATCGCTATGCGGGAATGCGACCCTGTCCGTGGCCATCGACTGTCTTATGCCGTCATTCGTGCTCGCATGGACCAACGTGTCATACACAATGACGTCCCCTTGCTTTGGGATGGTTGTCCAGATGGCCAGGTTGGCCTCGAACCCGGAGCCCACGAGCAAGCCCGTCTCGGCACCGTGGAAGGCTGCGATGTGCGACTCGGCTTGCTCTATGTAGGGGTAGTTGCCGTCCAGGAGCCTCGAGCTGGTGGTACCCAGGGCGAAGTCGGGATGCGAGTCGAGCTCGGCAAGGAACTCGGCGCGGTGCTGTGAGTTCCCGGCCATGGACAGGACATCCCCGGAGCTGAAGTCGACTGAGCTGCCATCCAGGCCGCTATCTGTGGTCGGAAGTGTGGAGTAAAAGCTGTCAGAGGCGCGCTTGACGTCAAGAGCCTCCTCCAGATTGCGGTAAAAAGTCGGCAGTGACTTGGTGTGCTCGGGTCGGATTCTATGGCCCTTGATCAAGGTGGCCAGAAAGGGGCTCTCGACTGCCTGCGTGTGGCCCATTGTACGAGGATACAGTATGAAAGGAGCTCGCTTCACTGAGACAGAAGCGCGGAGGTGTAGGCGACGGTGGAAATGTTTAGGGTGAGCGACAGGGCCTTGGGGCCCGGGGGAGTTGGAAAGCTCACATCGTTAATAAGCTACGGTGACAGCATCTGTAATCTAATGTACAACATTTGTTGAACTTCGCATTCCTCACACCTACCCAACTCAAAGCTTGATATCGTTTTATGAGACATATCGTCTTACTAAATGCACTATGCTCTCAAGGTTGCATATCTGCATATTTGCCTATCCGGATATGTAGCCACAAGACGTATTGGAAGCAAACACCACTCTCATCGTTTCGTTTCAGTTGAAGTTGGCACATAATTCAGGCTATTACAATTTTGTGCTACATTCCTTGCAGAATTCGAGTAGTAAATTACCCGAATCTTACGTTACAAATTAATTAACATCTCCCACGCTAACCGAACCAAAGTCCGAGTCGTTGTCGCGACTAATTGTCCCGCTTATCTGCGGCGCCGCCTTTGCCGTGCGCCTTCCGGACCTGGGGCACTACCTTCCGGACCCGGAACCGACTCGTGGGGCAATCGGCCGCATCGGGGCGCATGTCGGAGCTCCCAATTGGCACCAGCCAGCCGTTGCCAAGCGATCACGCTTGGGCCATTCTACCGCCCGCAGCCACCGGCACTGGCACGATCCGCCCCACAGTGTCAACCAGCCACATGTCCGCATGTCTGGGCGTCTTGGTTCTGCGTCTTGGTCCTGAGACGACTCGAAGCTCGATGGGTATTTGGCGGATACAGTAGGAAGGTTCTAGGCCGGGTGTCCGACCAATCCGAACAGACCGGCAGGCTGCTTACATCCATGGTACGGCATTGTATAAATTTGGATGACCGTCTGAAGTATGAACCGATATGGCGCTCGCTCTCACGTTCTTCCGCTTATCCACCATCTCAGTTCCAATCTGGCGTTATACATACTCGCGACTGCAAGCGGCGGCATCGTCTATTCTCCACTGGGAGGATATAGCGCCCAAGGATATTAAGTCCCATCTCTCGCTCGCTTGACTCTTCGCTTGTACTCCTGATAATTACGCCGTCAGCAAGCTTCTGCTCATGTACGGGGCTGGCGCCCCGAACATAACCGCATCCATCATGATCCATCAGAAATCCCTCGAGAGGGGTAGAGTAGCACTGCATGCTGGGTGAGCTGGTGAGCTCCGACTACCCGTTGGCTCATGCACTGGCTTCCTTAGGCAAATATCGGAGCAGCTCAATAGTTGGGCTCAGCCAGATCATTCCTGATACTTTCTCTGAACACCTGGCACAGGTGTACTGCTACATATCCGTACAAGCTGAGCCGTACCTTGTGGCAGGCACATAATGACTGGCTAGCGTCACATCGACGGCGCAGTCCGCCCAGGAGGCGCGAACTCACATGCCTCGGCCGATTCCGTGCCGATACAGCCCCAAAGCTCGCGCTGTAGGTCGGGCGGACAGACAGATCTCTTCCCTTCGCTGGCATCGGCTGGCAGCAGACTGGAGGGATTCGCGCCATCAACTATCCGTAATTCCCTGTCCCATATATGATTTATGAAAGGCAATAAGCCGCTAACTCAGCAGGCCGGTGATGGTGGTCTGGTTCTGTCGCCGTCAACAGGGGGCTTGGATCGCAAGCAGAGACGGGTTACCCATGGAAAAAAAAAAAAAAAAAAAAAAAAAAAAAGGCTCGAAATCCGTTTCTGAATGTGGCATAATGCTGCCCACGATACGTCCCGACTAAGAAACCGCAACCGAGTTCCTTCTCAAAATGCCTTGGCAAGGTATGCGGATCTACTTGAAGACGTTTCGAGCTCGCTCTTGCTGTCCTAAAACTGGATATCCATGAGAGGAGCAAGTGCAACCCAGCCTTTAGTAATTCGCGCCAGTATACCCCCCCCTTCCCTCTCCTCACGCAATTCTCAAGCCTCTATTCCCACGCTCTTCACTGGCAGACTTGGCAGTATCTTGTGATTGAGGTTCCCAGTCAGGTTTCATTTCGCCTGTATAACGAACCCATACCGAACCCATCCAACCCCGTCCGCTCGTATGCCTCTCTGCGTCGACGTTGCGCATCTCGAACGAGTCTCCGTGAAACCGGGGGTGATTCCAATGTCCAAGTGGATAGGACTTCCATGGTAGGAGCGTTCCCTTGCCGAGTGATGGTCATATTCCAGCCCGGCTGCCTGATACAAAGGTCTGGGAGATGGTCATCGAGCTGAGCGTGACATCAAAGTCGTCATGTTTTGCGAGATATCTCCATTGTCTAGTTGCGTCAAGTTGAGGCTCTGCAGCTGGACCCACGAGGGTGTCATGGAAGTGGGATCTATTATGGTGACTTGTAGCCTCGGATGTCTCATGATGATGTTCCCGACATAGACCTTGGCTGCATCGTGTAGCCGGACTCGCAACTCTGTCGATACAACACGTGGCAGTCTTTCATAGCGGCAGAGCGAGTGGTCTAACGGTACTGGTCCAGTAGGTACCAACATGGTCATTCCACGTTTTAAGGGGATTTGCCCCGGTCTTCTAACTCGTTGCAAGCAGCGGTCATTTCTATACCCAGAACCCATAATCATCGTCAATAATCATACTCAACCCTAACCCTCAGATTGCCCCTGATGCCCCTTTTCAATCTCATACCTTCCCCTGAGAGCATCCACCTCTCTCTGCAGCCTGCCCAGGTCGGCGAGTATATCTGGTGCCGCCGACGCTGCCGCCGGTGCCGACGGTGACAGGTCGTCAGCATCCCCCGGCGACCGCTCCGCCATCGGCAGCCCATCAAGCCCACCGCCCTGCCCCGTGCCTGTACCAGTACCAGTGCCAACACCACCATCAGTACTAGGACCCCCACCGCTACTACCAGGACCAGCAGGAATCACACTATCCCCACTATCCCGCCGCCAACTCTTGTCCCGATCCCTATCCCTCCTAGATGGCGGCGGGGGCGGCGGGGGTGCAGCAACGGGAGGCACACTGTCCTTTGCTCGCCCAGTACTTCCCTTGCGGGACGGCGGGGGGGACAGCAGGCCAGCACCACCACTCCCCCCGCCGCCCCCGCCACCACTACCACCACTTCCCGGCCTTTTCGCACGAAGAGAGGCATTGCGCGCAGGCGGTGGTGGCGGGGGCGAGAGCTTTGTACGGAGCGGCGCCGCGGCTGAAGGACTTTGGGTTTGGGCTTGGGCTTGGGTACCATGGCTTGCTGGGCTCAAGGATGGGCTGTCCGCCGGGCCTGCTCCTGTAGCGACAGTGGTAGTCACTGTCTCGGCTGTAGGTGCTTGAGTTGGAGGTTGGGCAGGGACGGGGACGGGGGCGGGGGCTTGAATGACCGTTTCTAGACTCTGGTCGTTACCGCTAATGCTGCTACTGCTGCTGTGGTTGCTGCTGTCTTGGATGGGTAGCGGGGATGAAGTTATCACCGCCAGTGGTTGTGTTTGGACGTACGGCTCAGCAGCTGGGGGGGAAGCAGCGTCTGCTGGGAAGTTTTCGCTACTTGGAGACACAGCGCTAACCGCTGGAGGTGACGTTAGTGAATTTGAGGTACGGTGGCTTGGCCGACGGGGCGGAGGCGGTGCCGGGGCGTGGATGCTGACGCGCAAGCTGGAGGAGCGCGATCTCGTTGAGTCCACCGAGGATCGGCGCAAAGGTGAGTCCGGGTCATCTGGACCAACTGTTGGCTGCGACGCGGCAGCGGTTACTTTGCTCTCGGTGCGTCCGTGCGGCTGGCGCCTCGGGGGAGGAGCAGGCTTCCTGGATTGGGTGTTTGAGGCTGTACGCGATGGCTTTGGCGGTGTGGGTGGCCTTGGAGACATGGTGATGCCTAGTCCATACTCCATATCAGGCTCCGGGACCTTGCCCGCTGCTACGCGATCAAACACGCTTTCCGCGTCATCGTCTGCGGGCAGTCTTTGTGGAACAGGGGGCAGCGGTTTGTTAACGTCTGACGGGGTCGGAGGTCTCTGTCTTGATGGCGAGGTCAGGGGTATCGTAGTATTTCTGCGTGTCGGACTCGGTAATGATAGGGGGGACCTAGCCCCAGCATCTGTTGCTTCGCCTCTTGTCTCTGTCCTGATCAATTTCCCATGCCGTGAGCTCGGGGGCGGGGGCTTTTTCCTCAAAATGGTCGGGCCAGGCTGTAAGCTTGACTGAGAGCTGCTGATCAACGCTCTCCGGTCATCCTCGGCTTCGAGCTCAGAGACTTCGTGCGATGTACGCGGAGTCTCCAGGGCAAGATGTATTGTATCGGATATAGACTGACGCGAGATGGATGAATTGTCTGTTGTACTTGCACCATCGTTCGGCGGAGTGGTCTGCGGAGTGGTCTGCTGGGTAGGATGGGGCGCCTCGCCGGTTAACAACAGCCGTCTGAAAGCTTCTACATCCAGCGTACTCTTTGTTCCCGAGGTCGCCCCTGGCCCCTGTGGTGGCTCAATCGATCCAGTTGCCGGGTCCTGAAGCGTCTTCTGAAACGGATTTGGTGGAAGACGATTCGGTTGTGTCGGCTGCGGCTCACCTCCCGTGTCCGAGCCATCCACGGAGCCGGTGGAAGGGGCATAACTGAACGGATCTAGGTGCTCATCGGCGTCTGTACTGCTACTCTCTTCGTCATCATCGCAATCGACGGGCGGAAACCGCTCAGGTATACCAGCCGACTCGGGCGATGATGGCGGGGGCGATTGTACGCGGACCTTCTTCACGACCTTTGGTTTCTGAAAGCTTGTCGTGGGCGGCGGTTGACTCGGATGAGCATGGGCTTGCAAGTGGCTCCAAAACTGTTCGCCGGACAGCGCCGTGGGCGCGATGCCAGGGGTCGACGTCGAGGCTTCATCTTCGGCGAACGGGGGAACGGTACGAGGCGGGGCTGGAGGGGCAGAATCGGAGGGAGCTTTACGGCGAAAGGGGTTGTTAGAGCCGAAAGATGGCGGTTGGGCCATGGCGGGGGCTCGGAAAGGCTTGGACGTCGAGGCGATGCGCTTGCACAGCTGATATGCTAGGTACTAGGAGCCCATTGCAAACGAATCTTTGGTGCCCCTCGGCTTCGCATCCGACTCGACTGAGCTCGTCCGGACAGGGATAATGGCCTCTCGAGGGGTCAACGATAACGTTACGGTCGGATCTGCGTTCCGTTCAAGTAGGCGTATGGTGATAGTCACCAGCTGGATCGCCAACTCTGCTGGGGAATAGCACTTCCAGAGACTTGACGATACTCGCCAGCCTGTAGCGTTTTGGCTAGGTACGGTAGGTAAAGTCAAGGTGAGATATGTGATACTGTAGCTCAGGCTGCTAACGTTAGGGATCAATTGTCGTTGAACGAGCGGTGGGACACGGCAGAATAATGCCCCGCGCCTGCGCATCCGACTGGCCAGTGACCTGCAGTGGGCCAGCTGCGCAACCCGCTGATTCGACGCGTGGCAGAACATCTGGAATGCAGGCATGTCCCGATCATCAACATGGGCCTAAAACACATAGCTCCAGGGGATGTACTGTAATTACATACTAGAATTAACTAGTAAGTACATACATAAGGTACAATACATACATTCCGTGAGGTTCATAGGCCGCAGCCACGCTTGTCGTCGTATTTGAACAAGTTGCTCTACCTATGGGACACACACATGCATGCACGGGACCTACAGTACCACCCGCCACACTGGAATCTCCAAATCTTGTTCAATTTTTTCGAGTTTCCTGTACCCAAGACCGTGGGTTTGTATCCGTTACAAGTGAGACAAGGGGAATACAAGACGGTAACTCAGGACTTGCCACAGTGAGCCACACCATTGCCGGAAGCGACGAGTAGATCCCACCATCGGCCGGAGTAGCACAGCACAGGCTGGATGGCAAGAATACTCAGATGCTCATCGGCCACAGGCGAAAAAAGAGATAAGGGCGGGTAAGGCATAGGATCCCCATGGCAGCTAGTTGGTTTGGCTGGAGTCTGAGGATGAAGCCGGCAAAATGTAAACAAACGACGCGGCATTCTCGCGTCTGGCCGAAATCCAATGCCGACCCGCTGGAAAACACCACAGCACCAACGCGAATGATCAAGCGCAGAGATAATCATAACGCAAAGCCATATCCATTTGGTATAATTACACTGCACGCAAAACCCACGGGCCGCCATTATGATTTTAGGCCCTTCATACGAATCCGCCACCGTCGCAATCCCAACGCCCACCAGTGATTCCCGAGTCTACCGCTTGTGCAATTCCCTTTCCGAACCATCGGTGAGTAGTATGATAATATGGACTGCAGGAGGCGGGAATCCAAGTCGATGCGCCATAAATGAGGCCCACTGGAAAGGCGCGCTCCAGAATATGCCATCCTGCTGGGAATCATCAAAAAGGAAGCCGAAGATCCAGAAGCAGGAAGTACCCCAACAGCTGAAGTGGGCAAATGCTGTTGAGCGCGGCATCGCCTAACTCAGGCACCAGGATGTTCCCCGAAAAAACCCGAACGCCGAACAAGCCCAAACCGTCGCATCACGAGAAAATGAAAAAGGACGTCATGATAAGGAGATGGCGGCAGCGCTTTATGCCGAGGCCGCTTCGGCCTTCTCAGCCTTCTCGGTCTTCTTGGGTGTCTTCTCCTTCTTGGGAGCTGCGGCCTTCTTGGGTGCAGCCTTCTTGGGAGCTGCTGGCTTGGCTGCGGTCTTCGTGACACGACCCGACTTGGTCTGGGACAGAACGGTGGGTTTGTCGACCACAGCATCTGCCTTCTTCGGAGCGGCGGCCTTCTTGGGTGCCGCCTTCTTAGGGGCAGCAGCCTTCTTAGGGGCAGCGGGCTTCTTCTCCTTGGGCTCCTTTGGCTCCTTGGGGGCAGCCTCCTTCTTGGGAGCAGCCTTCTTGGCAGCAGGCTTCTTCTCCTTAGCCTCACCCTTGGCAGCCGTTTCCTTCTTAGGCGCCGCCGCCTTCTTAGGAGCAGCGGGCTTAGCAGTCTTCTTGGCCAGCTTGGTGCCACCGGAGGGGCCTGCGTCGCGAGTCAGAACGAGCTAAACGAGAAGATACCAGAGCTCCATACCCTTTGGCTGCTCGAAGACACCCTTCTCTACGCCCACCCTCAATGCCTTATTGAAGAGGGAGTCGAACATGTTGTCGCTAACCTTGATGTTGTTGTTTGCTCTCACATACCCCTTGAGACGTTGTCGGCTATTGAATGTGTTAGCAACATGACTGGTTGGAAGCGACAGACGGTGTTTCGCGGTGGTAGATGCGGCGTCGTGCGCGACACAGGGAATTCAGGTGAAAACGCGACTAGACGTAATAAAAGGTCTTACCTCGAACCGTTACGGTCCTTGAGCTACATTTGGGGAGACTTGTCAGTGAAACTCAGACTGATGGATGACAGGGTGGAAAAAAAAAAGCAATGGGATGCGTGGCAACAGCATCACGATTGCGCGCGCCTCGTGTGAGTTGCCGACCGCACGCTCAATCCCAGATGCGCCGCAAGAAAAGGAGCGGGGTGTAATACCGCGATGATAGCATCCGTGATCATATCCTGTTACTCGTTAGACACAGAAAAAAGCAAATCAAGGTCCCGGCAGCGTGGTTGCGCACCTGATACGAAGGATGAGGGGCCGCAGACTTCATCGGAGGAGCACCCTCAGTCTTGGTCTCGGTCTTCTTGGGAGGCATCGCGATTGACGTGTAAGTGATCGGGTAAATCGACGGCTTCTTTTGTGCAAGGGCGAAATCAGATAATAATCTGGTTTTGATGCGAGTATGGACAGAGATCTAGAAGTTCGATCGCAAGTTCAGTACGGAGAGAAGCCGGGGAGAGGATGGTGGGTGGGCAGTCGCGCTCGGGGGGGAGCCCTGGTGTTTATATATGGGAGCGGGGCGCCTCGCCCAAGTGTGAGTGATTGTGCTGATTGCGCCTCCGGGGGCACACAAAACACAGCTGCAACCTAACGTTATTTTCCAGAGCCCTTGCCAGGAGATGGGCTGGCCCGTGCCTCCACTTCCTATCAAAAAGACCAATGCTCGGGAACCGACAATCTGGAATCTTTTAAAAAGGCCTGAAGTGCTCCCTCCCAGATGCCATGGAAGCTTTGTCGTGGCATGACAACACTGCCTGGTGCTCGAGGCGGGGAAGCTCTGGCAGCTTTTCCACTCAGCCCAACTCACCTCAGCTCCCTCACACCTAGTATCCTGCCTGATTATCTCGATTGTCCACGATTCATTTTCATTCTACCCAACTACACGTAAAGCCGCAGACAACCCAACATCAACACCTGGTCCCTGCTGGATGCCCGGCTTGCGCGTTTCTCTCAGTAGTCCACAGCGTAAGGTGAGAGGCAGAGGCTCCAAACACTGCTCGCGAAAAACATCTTAGGACCATATCCGTACATACTTGCTCATTATCTACTTCTATGCCGCCGCCATCACGTTGCTTAATAAAAGTAAAGATCATCCTGACCCAGACCAGGTGACTGTGCCGTGGCGTCTGGGGCAGAGAACGAAAGCTGGGATTTCGTTTGGAAACGCAATCTGGATGGGTCAGAGCTTTGCTGCGTGCCTTCCCATCCATGGATGTCTTGGATCACTTGCCACTCCTATGGTCCCGCGCTTTCCCCTTCTCGGCCAGTTTTAAATCAGGAACAACAAAAAGCTCGCAGCGCATCATTTTTCTGATTGGCCTGCCCAACCACAAGTCATCCACTTTGTACCTCTCGTTGTCAATCATGCACCCCGCCCATCGTAGCGCGAGCTCTTTGCACACTGATCTCGACCTTCCCCCGATCCCCCTTCTTGCTCGACTCGGCTCGCTCCCTCTGCTTCTCTCGTTTCTTAGGCCCTCCCTTGTGTTCGCTGATAGCTGCATCCGATGCTTGGCTTCTTTGTCCAATTTTTTGCCCATTTTTCGGCCCAGAACTGGGGTTACCGGATCTGATGACGGCTTGTGGTCTTGGGGAGCCCGAGTCGTCATCGAGTGTGTGTTTCTCGACGCGTTGCCGCATCTCGCGGCCGATGACTTGACATGGACCCCCTCGGCGCATTCGATATAGCATGCCACCAACCCCTGCTTCGCTGCCTCATTGTATATGAGTCGAATCGGCTCTTTCGAGGCCTTCCTTCCATGTTCTTAGTCTTCTCATTCCTTGTGCCGTTGCCGTGGTATTCGTGCCCGTAGTCAAAGTCACTGCTGATGCCGGGAAAAGCCAAGCACGCAGCGCTTGAAGCTATCCGCATTCAAACCAGTCGCAGCTTTCATCCTCGCCACCAGCACACTCTGCTATTTTCAAGAGGTTCTGTCATTGAAAAATCCATTCATCGCATCATAAACTTTGTCCATGGTTTTTTAATTCGCGCTTCAATTCTTCAAGTGCGGAGTTCAGGCGCCGACCTCTGCGTCAGCAGAGTCGATGTCGTGTCGATCTGCCCGTCGGCCACCCTTCCACGCGGGATTGGCCAACCCCTTGAACATGAAACAAAACACAAATTCATGTGCATCGGGTTCTCCTTGCGGCCAAATGTTGATGCCACTGCCGCTGGTTGCTTACCAGAAGCTTCAGAATATGGCTTGGTAAGGCCAACGATGCTCGCCTTGCGATGGGTTCGGTGCGGGTTGGATAACACGGGCGGCGACACCTGTCGATAGAGCAGGGATTTATACACCGCCATCCTCCTACTCCCAATCTTAACACGAACTCCGGACTATTTCCCCCCTGAAGAGTCAATGTCATTCAATCTCTCCTTATTTTCATAGTGGTCTGTTAGCTGTCGTGATGGTACTCCGTTCAACACGGGTCTCGTTCTTGCGATCAGCATCAGCCAGACGGAGGATTCAACCAGCCACCATCCTGCCTCAATCCCGAGGTCTCCAGCGGGCAACTGAAGCATTGTCAACGGGGTCGTTACACACGGTCCTGATTCGGCCCTGCAACAATCCCAGTTGTCCGTTAACGATACCCCATCCTCGCAACGCACGGTAGCCGGCACTCTCACAGAAGCCTGGGATAAGTAGCCATATCAGATTCAGCACACATTAAAACCCGAGATTGAAGGCTCACCTCAATGTCGAGGTCTGCAAACATAGGGATATGATTGAGCAGTTCGTCCGAGGCTTTAGCGATACACCAAATGAATCGATTGTCTCCCTGACAGTCACAGCCTCACCTTTTCCTACCAGCCTGGGCAGGCTACCATCCCGGTTGGCAAGTCAAAGTAAGCCGAGCAATGTCATAACTCGCTACCCGGGAGAGGGAGGGTCATTCACAATACTACCATTAATACCGTCCACCTTGACATGAACTTTGGCGCAAGTGAAGGGGCATCAATAACAGCATGCTGAAGCCCAGCTAAGCACCGTGATGAGCTATAGTGTTGGTAGCACGTTGTCAATCTTGTCACCTTCGTTTTGTGGAAATGGAAAGTCAAGGTTCTGACCGCACTGTCATAGACACCCCTCTCCTTGGTAGGTTCACGACGGAGAAAGGGATTTGAGCAGCTGTGTTGACAAAGCGGCGAGGCACCAACGCAGATACACGAGGACGGGATGACGCCTAGTTGCCGTCCTATACCGGGCGATGGTAGCCTGCGCTTTCAGATGCTCTCTGGTGTTGAGGCCTACCGTCAATGTTAGGTTATCCAGCGATCGAGATTATATATGAACTGAATGAGACGTCTGGATTCCTTAGTCAGGATATCATATTTGTTATGGTATTCCCGTGCCACTCCCTCTTACCCCAGACTCCTTGACCGCCGTGACAGCCGCTGTCAAATCGATTGAGCTAGCGAAACCAAGGGGAATCTCGGATACCGGCAAGGATGGCGATGATGATGCTGATGAAGACAACGAGGATAGCTACATGACGCCATTTCAAACATTCCCATTTTTCCCATTCAGTGCCAGTTCAAGTTCAGCTAACCTCGCAACAATAATCCCGAAGCGCCTGATCCGCTCATCCAGTCCAGTCCTGTTGTAAATGCACCATGCACGTGAACTAAGGCGGTGAATGAAATCTCCTCCAGTCCTCCTACCAGGTGTATCAATGTCAAACGTAACAGACCGAAAGCATAAGAGACAACGGCTGTAAGAATGACCTTCCCATCCTTAACAATAGAAATTTTTATTCAACATGCCAATCGCCCTAGCTGCGTCCACCCCGGCGGCAATGCCCTGGGCCGACGCAGCCACGTCAGCCGGCTGTGACCCCCTGGGGGAGCCGGTGGGGCTGATACTGCCCGCAATGGTGGGGGCCGTGGCCGTTGTAGCGCTGCCCGGCTCCGAGCCGTTGCCGCTGCCCGCGCCAGTACTAGACGTAGCAGTATCGTCTGGGTGCAGAAGCATCCGTGACAGGGGCATGGCCGCCCCGCCGTTCTTCGCGTCTGATGAAGCGCTCCGCGGCGGAGAAGCTGACGGTGCTCTTGGGTGGGCGGTATAGGGGCTTGTCGCTATGGTATTGGGCGACGCTCCGTTGAGTTGTTGTTGTTGTTGCTGCTGCTGCTCGTGTTGGAGGTAGTGATGATGATGGTGATGTGGTTGGCTACCTGGAGGAGGGAGCAGTCCTGGTGGAGGACTCCGCGTCCCGGCATCCGACACCCGCGGATCCATCATGACGGCTTCCCGAGCCTGGGCTTGCAATTGCTGCGACCGCGGGGAATCCAGAACCGAAGGTTCCGGTGCTCCATGGCCAGCGTAAGGTTGAGCCCTTGGAGGATGTGGAAGTTGCTGTGGGTATGGCATTACTGGTTTTGTGGGAACCGGCGCTGACATCTGCGGAGGTGGTAGCGAAAGGGGGGCTCGATCGTACGCTGGATTTGGTGGACCGTGTTGGTAGGCGTGCGGGGGTGGAGGATATGGGTGCGACGGCGGCAACGGTGCAGGACCCTGGGGGTACGAGTAGTGAGGATGGCTGTACGGAGGTGTTGAAATTGGAGACGGGGGCCATGCGTAGCCCACCGGCGAGTACTGAGGCGGATAAGGTGGGTGAGGGGTTGCGTGGTGATGTGGTAGATAGGGCTGTTGCTGCATTGGCGTCCTTGTCATGGCCGGGACGTGAGTGTCGCTTAGGCTCGATTCTGGATACATGCCCTTTGGAGGGATGATGTTTTTGAGATGCGGATCGGTACTCGGCTGCGGCAGGTTGTGCTGACCCCTGGCGTAGTACGATATCAGATGGAGATGCTCCCCTGCCGATGTCGTAATGCTAAACGACTGCTTCATGAGTCCGTCGGCCTTGTACCTATACCCGTCCGGCTCTCCATCATCGTGGTCCTCGTCGCTACCGCGGCCAGAATCCGGCGTCTTGCCCGCATTCCTTCTAGTCCCAAAGGCGTTCCCCCTCTTGCCCTCCATTTCCCGATAGGTCAAGAAGCTCCCAGACACACGGCTGGCGCTCCATGACTTACCGTCTGTCCACCGCCGCATGCCCGCTTCCCGTTCATCCCACACAAAGACGGAACCCGACCGGATCGCTTGCCGCTCTTTCTCCGACAGCCTTCTCTGGACCCGCGGAAGGAGACCTATCCTGCACGCCTCAAACAGCTTGATGGCGTCCACAGGAGTCCGCACGCAGCCGTAGTATGTCTCTAACATTCTGAATCCGTAGACATAGAAGGCAGTGCCCGTCGTTAAGCGCCAGTTATCCGCTTTTTGGAGTAGCTGCTCAGCGTACCTCCCTTTCCTTCCTCGGCTGCTAACCCTTACCCACCATACAAGGGCAGTTGTGAGGGCTCGGGTGGTAAGGCGATTATAACTTGGGGAAAAGATGGTGTGGAATTCTTTGCCGTCACTCGTCCAAGCGCGTGTTGTCTGTGGCCAAAGTTAAAACCAGGTCTTTTGCGGGAAGCAAGGAGGCAAGCAAACGAGACACATGCACGAAGCTCAAGGCGGACCCATGGTGACATGGGAATATTGGCCTAGGAGCAAAACGTGGGAAGGCTTAGTGTCTTAACAGGGAGTGAGTGGAGTGGCCCACTGTCGATGGAAAGAGTGCACTCGGGTTAACATGTCCCAGGGGACATGTCTGTAAATGGCAGGTTCTTGCGCAGACCCGAGGCCCGGCGTACAGTAAAATGCCGAGGCGGTATTCGACTCTTTTTCAGGACATGCTAGTGCTCACGAGACGTGCAGGGTCACAGCTCGGATATTGCGGAGCAGACCGGCGCAGCACCGTCCTTCCCTTCCTGTCAAGGAAGAGCATAGCGTTGACGGACCCGGAAGTCCATCCGCCACTCGATCGAACAGTGTAGAGCAAGGCTGAGCCACGTTTCCTTACTTCACCGAAGACCCAGTTCCGAATTGGTGACTGACGGCTTGCCCTCGTACCCGATGCAGCTCCGCTTGGAGGTCTGTGACAGTTCCTGACACTGGCCGCAAGCATCACGGCCCAAAAACCATTGTGGCACCAGGCTGTCATGCGGCCGACAGAAGGCAAAGACGGAATGGGATGAGCCAGGGACAGGGCAGAAGAGGGAACCCATATTGTATGGTACATACCGGAGAGAATTCGGGCGCCTAGCAAGATGTGAGCAAGTCTAATTTCCAAGAGATGATTGACGCGCGAAGGGATCGAGGCCGGCGAGGCTCAGGCGGTAGTTTTGGCAGTACAGGTGAGGTATCAGTTTGTGATGCCGTGGAAGCTCAGTAAGGTGCAACAAGGTTTAAGAGTCTGCCAGTGTCGTGCTGTTGTGTAGTGCTGAGTGAGAGAGTTTTAAACTTTTGACATTTTAGGTTGGCCGTGTGCGAGGCTTTGGCACGCCCGAAGAGTACTAACATATAAAATAATGTCCAGACGTTAGAGCAACATCGAAAAGCTACCGTAATAGTCTGTCAATGGGGGCTGCAGTTAGCAAGAGTGGGGACTCGTACGGGTCGATGACGATGCCGCGCAACGATTTATCGGAATGTGGGAGTCTGTTGCGAGTCGTAATTACCGAAAGGTGCCACATTGGAATGGCTTACTCCGTGTAGTACGGAGTATTGAATACGAAGGTGCATCAATACATACCTTACGTGTTGAAGACCGAAGACCTCTCAAAGGAATACAGTCCGATACGCTGCAATACCAGGCATTGTTGGAAGGCTGAGACGCTAGGTTCTTCGCAAAGTTGGAGCTTTCGCAAGCCCGTCGTACCACCAACAATCCAGACGAGATGAGACGGGTCCAGTGGTATCGTCTGTTGGATGTCGTTGGCTGAGCAGTCGAACAATTGTGACGACGGGGTTGCTAGAAGGTTTCTAAGTTGTGGAGCTGTCTCCTTTCTCGGGAAACACGCTGAAACGACGTTACGCGTAAACTTACCCAGTTTCAGCGCCTCGGTACGAAGTACCTTATCAGGTTAGGTTATTAAAGGATCTGCTGCTAACGCTGGATTAGTAAAGATTGGTCTCCCAGGCCAAGTTGGTGGCAACGAGTGTTGGGATGAGTGTTGGCAACGGATATCGAAACCAACAGACAGGATGGAATTATTACCGAGCCTCTGATGTGCTTCCACTCCTCCCAGCCGAGGCGACCACAAGGACCAAGAAGGCCAAGGCAGCCATGAAGTGGAGCAGGCAGGAGCCAAGCGGTTGGAAAACGACAAAAGCGGCAATAACTGCCATCTTGCGGCTCCACCAGCTGTCGTAAGCTTATCAATGGAATACACTAGTTATCGTCGGGGCCGTTCCCATGCAACTGCTCCGAGGTTGGATAGGCTGCAGGCAAGGCGGTAAGAGCGCCCTTGAGAAGCTGATTTGAAGATGGTGGCTCACTACACAGTACATTACACGTACAGACCGTGTCTAATACACTAGTGGATTGTATGTACGCTTATTATTAGTGTAGTCCGACACGAGGCCACAGCCATGGATACCTTCCCACACCTCTTTTCTTCCCGTTGCACAAAGTAAGGTTAGGTGTACGAAGTAGCGTCAACGTTAGTTGTCCCCTGCAAAGGAAGCTGTCCGCCGAGCCGGCAAACGGTCACAACTTGGGCAAGACTAAAAAGTTGTTCCGTTCCCAGCCCCACGACGGGAGCCAGACAGAAAGATAGAAGATGACTGGGCTCTTTACGATACGCTCCGTACAGTTCACTAGCTCCGAATACCAGAGAGAGGGGTCCAAAAGCTTGGCCTTGGCAGGTTGGGGGCCGCCGGGATTGTGATGGAAATTACGGAGGTACACCATGTCTAATAGAATTTCAAGCTTATTTCACGGCGCCATGTCGGGCGCGCTAGCGCGGATTTGCATCTTTGTGGCTTTTCCCGTCGTTCCATGCAACCGAATCTTGACTTGGCAGCTATGGGACAAGCATACCGGGCGCCTCGTGACTCACTAGCATCACAAGAACTTCGCATAAGGATTTGCCATTTCCGTGTCTTTCAATTTTTGTTAGTTCTGGGTAGGCGTGCTGGGCCATGCGACGAGGCGATCTATCTGTTACGACCTGGATTTTGGAGCCAGAGTTGAAGGCAACGATCCCTTCTCTTCGCTAATAGGTATATAAAACCTAGATATTGTGCACTTGGATGAGATGATCTGAGCTGCGAGTGCGTTCTAAGGTTTGCGGCGAGCCAGAAGTAAAGTATCCCTTACGTGTTTCTAGATAATGTCTCTACAGCGCCAACCTATATTGTAGGCGAGCCCGGCAAGGTAGGTTATTACCTTTCGCGGTGTCGGATTTAGACAACTCTTTCGCACCGACGGTCTCGCGTAATCATGACAATCCTACTAGGACAAGAACTACTGTATGTAGCGCCATGCTGCTCCTCGCACCAACATGTTCACTAGTCAATTCCTCTTTTCCACTAGTGTGTCCAATGACTCGCCGGCGCTCAGACATGCGAAACCTGTCATTATCGCTACCTCCGACTGGTGACTTCTCTTGCATTCACAATGGCTTACAAGCTACTACATAAGTCAAAACAGCTCCAATTTCCTACAGTGGCTAACGTTATACAGTAATTACCTTAGATATGGAGTACACCATACAGTACTAGTGTAAGGTTTGGAGTTGGCCTGCCTATGGCGACAGCTGTTGAGGTTTCCCGAATGAGGTCGGGCACCCAGTGCAACATCAAGCCGCCTGGTCGAAAGTGCCATCGAGACGTGTCCAAGGCAACTCAGTAGTGCTCCGAGCCTCCGAACTGCCGATGTGACGCTGTTTGCCTGGGTGTTAAAGAATCCATTTCTTCCTTTTAATGCCGATCATGGCCTGGAAAGGTACTGTATGTGCGTATGGCTGTAAGCGGCGAGTGAGACGCAGTGTATGTATGTACGTGTATATGTAACTAACCTGACGTTACCGCGATGGGTACGGCCCTCTGCCATGTTCTGGAAGACTTGAGCTTTCACATACCAAGGCAGCTTCTACATCTTGCAGGAGGTCCAGTACTCCGTATGTGTAGCAGGCTGCGATGTCACATAATACAGGCCGTTTCAACGGCTCCGCGCTAGACAATACCTATGTATACCTTGAGTACCTAGCTGCCAGATTTGACTGCCCGGTTGGTTCATTAAAGATAGTGTATCCGTACTTCGTACACCATGTAGTGTAACATTATATACCTACAGTACATACATCCAATAACTATCCTGGACTTTGCGAGCAGAGGAAGGTGTGACTAACAGCGGCGGTCTTAGGTCACCTTGGAAATCAAAGTTAAATACTGTATGGATACACTCGTACTGTTGTAGCATTGTAATTATTCTCAGGTCACACGAGGAAAGCACGGCGAGAGGACACTGCAGGCTGATGTGAGATCGACTGATGCCAAGACACTCTGCCGGTTAAGCATGATTTAAGCGTTTTTCTAATCCCGTCGTCATCCCAAAAGCGGCAGGACTTGGGCTTGGATAACAGGCACGCACTTGACCGAAACAAGATTCCAGCCAGCATGCCTAGTGTAGTTCGACCGGAACGGCCGGATGGATTACACATCTCAACAAGAGCTAAACAGCCAACCGTGGCGCCCTCCAACCAACAACCTGAATGCAACCATGTTTCTTGACACCACATAGGTTGTTGCAGTTACCGTTCAGAGAATTATCCGTCTTCGGGATATACTATCGATACAATACACACAATCCAGGAGAAACTGCCCGGAGTGTACTAATGATCTGATCTTTCTTGAGGTATTTATAACGTTAAGTGCATACATGCATACAGTCATCGCTTATGGTACGAAGTAATCACTCCTACCATCTTATTAGCCCCGGACCTTAGCTCGTCGTCTGTTTAAGGTTAACCCCAACAGCCCAGGGCAAGGCGAAAATAACATGGTACAGTACCTTCATTTCAGAGACTGCCCTCGGTTGAAGAACCCCCTAGCGACGCCATTCTCGGTTTATCAGCTCTGTTTGAGCCTAGGCCAGGAGAAGGCCATCAATGATGAATCAGCGTCGTACAACGCCGATGCCGGGTACGTAGCACGTTGCACAGCCCAAATCGATCACGCGGTTAACCTCGCAAGTTAAGGTAGGTAAGGTATCTTATACCGTACCTGCGCGTCAACAGCATTCACCGGATGTGTGTTGCACAATGCTGGGGACCAGCAGGTGGATTATATTTTGCATGAGAACCCTCATGTTGCACCTACATAATCCATACAGGTAAGGAAAAGCCAGCCCCCCTTATTTGTGCCGCTTCCCGACATGAAGCCATCTGTCGAGCCGTCCGACAACTGGGACACTTACAGTACGGAGCACAATACATTGTGACCAAGGGCGGCCAGGAACTGCAATCAGCAAGTCTAAAGATCGCGCCGAGACCGAGACCGAGGTCGACGCCCGAGGTCGAGTGCGAGGTTGCGGGAACAAACGGAGAACTCAGCAAAGGTGTGCTGTGGCGCCCTCGGCAAGCCCTGAAAGGGGACATCCACAGAGCCCTCCGTTCGGCGGAACACACAATTCAACCCCACCTCGCTACACTATTGCTGTGGCCAAGACCTTGGCTTGCTGACCAGCTCAAGACATTCATCAACAATCTTGACGAAGCTCATGAGTACATAGCAGGTACGAAGTAAGGTTGCCAATAAGGTTACTGTAGTTGATGGTAGGTGTGTAAAGGATGAAAGCAAAATACAGTTTCACATTTCCAGGTTCTGCCCTATACGATACGGTATGTACTGTACGTACAATGCATACGAGCCGTGTATGGGAAACATACAATAGTTACTTGAACTTCATTACTTACAAGGCATTCTGTCCATCCATCGCAGCGGCTCAGGTTCGGACTTAGGGTTATTGTAGACTCCGTTTCCTGCCGATCGCAAACGGCTCGCGAGGGTGAATGAAAGCATCCGGGAAGGCGGTGGCTCACCGGCCTTGGCACCAGATGCGTTGCACCAACAGACCGGGCACATGGGTGCTCGGCCTGTCGGGTCGCGTTCCAATCCACAAGTCTCCGACGGGCGGCATGCCGGGGGCGCGAGGCTGCAGGCTCTTTGCAGAACCTGAACTTGGAAGGTATCTGTGGCTGGCTACCATGTCCCTCTGCATCGCCGTAACGTTATGCGTGTCCAACGGGAAAAACGAAGCGGGCCTGGACTCAGCCATCTCGCTCTTTTGCAGCGAACTACAGTATCGTTGCTGCTTTCATTGGAGCAACATCCTCAAGCATCTTGGCAGACGTTGCTTGGGGGTGCAAGACTACCACACCAACAGAGTAACTACCTAGGGAAAGCACGGGGGTGAGCAAGATGCGAGGCCTCGCTCTTTCGCACTTTCCATTCTCGATCCGTCGATATCGCCACCAACGAATGAAGGGAAATCCTTCGTGCCTCGTCTGATTTCTCAATGTACAGCTACCATGTAGTATCCAGGCCGGTCCACCTCCTGAGCAGGATCCGGATTGTCATCATCTGGTTAATGGAAGGCCCGTATCACACCACCAACGCGATGCATCACCTCAAGCCAAGGATAGGCGCGGCCCCCAACACCGCTTAAGCTTAAATTCTTGAGGCCCCTTAGTGCGCAATTTATCGCGTGGGTTGCTTGGGCTTGGCTGCTGAGGCGAGCAGGGGACCGAGGGAAAGATGGTGGGGGAAATTTCGATTCGGATGATCCAGGTTACACAATCAGCAGTCAACCCCGACAGACTCCTTCCTTGGCAGCGGGGTCTTTGCACCAACAATGGTTGTTGGGACTTTCTTTTCAGCAGCCAGCCATCTTTTCTGTTCCCAAATGCAAAGTCCCGCTCGTCCACATGGCGGTCCACCCATGCAAATGCTTTCCCCCGAGAGACATGCCGCCTGGACTAATGGACCGTGTTTGGTGAACGGAATGTTGCGCCTCGCCAAGAATGGCAGAGTAAGAGATTTCCACCGTCTTCGAGACATGAGCCCCGGTTGGGCGTCCACACTCCACAGCGCCTCATTGCTCTTCTTCGAATGCCTCGAGCCGCTGACGCGTCTATCCATCCTTATTCGCAGCTACCTACTCCTTGACGACTGCGACGCCCCGCTGGCGGAGCGTGAATTTAACGGCCTTTAGGACGGCTCCAGGGACCCGAGCCAGGCGAAGGATGAGTTGCAGTCCGCAAACAGGCCTTTCTCCGTTCTTCAGATCGTATGGAGATGTAATAGCGTACTCGCAATACGCAACAAGACACCGATACACCACGTTTACAAATGCCAACAGCGACAAGAAATCCAGGCCTGCTTAGCAGCCTGTAATAGATCGGGCCAAGTCGAGCCAAGCAGAATATGGCCTGACTCTGGTTAGGGATTTGGATATTGCCCAGACCAGTTGATTGTGGTCGTCAAGATCCCATCCTTCGTCAATGGTTGTTTTCCTCCCGCCCATCGACCGGCCGTTGGCGATGATAGGCCGGCAAGCCCAAAGTCGAACAGGTTGACAGACCATTACCGCCCAGTTCTACTCCGACGTGAAGACCTACTGTTCGTGTATACCTCTCCCGGGCCCGCATTTATTGTTGCAGCTGGAGAAGGAGAAATGGAAGTGATCGTCTTGTTGACTGCCCGGTTCGTTGCTGCCGCGACGTTGTGCCGTCCGTGGTTGCAACGAATGTCGGCAGAGCACCCGCGACATACGGCATCTTGTCGCCGCTAGCCTGCCCCCCCCCCCCCCCCCCAGCTCCGCCGTGGATCTGCTTCTCTACACATGTGTATTATGGATGCGAGATGTCTACTTTGACAAATATGAGGTGCGGCAATGGTACGTCAGCTCCATCGCGTGTTGCCAACGCTACAGGAAAGCGAACTAAGGGGAGAAGAAAATCTCATCGCGAAACGTTTGCGGGGTTGCGGCGGCAGCCTACTCAGTTCTCAATGCCGAGGTGGAAGGTGTGCACGTAAGCGGGAAGCTGACACGAGGAATAACCCAGGACACACGGCTCCTTGGTGATCGCCGGGTATCAGAACTTACCGCCCGTCGTTCCCGCCTGTGCACATTATTATGCTTGTTGTGTTTCACCCGGTCGGCGCAAGATGAGGTAGGTAATTCTTCCGAGGCCTCTATTAGGGGTGACGCGGACGACAAGTCGGAGAGCAGTCACGGTGGGTATCCGGGTTTACCACGGGCGATGAGATCGCAATGAGCCCCGTGTCCTCAAGATCCCGCACTGCGGCATCGAAAGGGGGTGCCAACGCTTTCTTTTCCATAGACATGCGCGCTCAATAGTATGTAGTCCTGAGACCTTGAGTCAGATTGACGGTGCCATTCAGAGAAGTCGTCCATCAACCCCAGCCCATACCTCCTTACGTACCATCAATCCGTTCTGAAGCCCTCACATGGAACACCGAGAAGCCAACACGGCGTACATATTAAAAGCCCACGCAGCCAAGTCCGCTGCCGAGGTGCCACCAAGGCCCCTCAGTCTGGGTAAGGTTGTGAAGGTGCAACGTGGGAGGGATACATACATATATAACAATATGTGTGCCTCAACTTTACAATATTGACATCACCCCATGTCAATATATGTCCAAGCAGTCTACATTGCACTTCCGTTCCCTCTCCAAATCATCCCCTCCCGTAATCCCCCATTTCGAATTGGCCGCCCAGCCCCCTTAACTGCACGGATTGGTAAGCCGTATGATGCCGGCAGGGCACGACGCATGTTGGGGAGCTTGAAGGACTACCATTCGTACAATACACAGGCAGTACTGTAGATAGTTCGTTGGCAAACCGACACGGAGACAGATCGTGGTTCATACTAAGCACTTGATACTAACCAAAGCGGAACCCCTCCTATTGAGTATGCCACCCATGAAGGAGGAGATATCTCGGGATCGACCGCGCAGAATCTTGCCCCCTTTTCCCCCTCTGCCCGCCTCGTACGGCAAATGGGCAAATGGCCGAGGCTACTGCGAGGTATTGTACAGGCTTCTGGTACCTATGCACAGTTTCAAGTCAAAGGGAGGGTTGTTCATCCAGAGAAGCGGGCAGTTGATGGCGACTGATTTCGCCAACTGTCAAAGTTCCTGCATGCTCTCGACGAAACAAGGGGTGAAGTGAGCCACCACCTTGACAGTAGCAACTGGATCAACGGTATGGTCTAAGTTTGTGGACCGGGTTGATTTGGATCGCTTCCCGGGTAACGCCCAGTGCCCCGGGCAGCTCTATGCCTGCGATGCCATAGACTGGACTCAATGGAAGGCGTAGCAAGATGTCGTTAGGTGATTTTGCAACGCCTGAGCTCGGCAACTTACTGTGGCAGACTCGCCGGGCCAAAGCCAGTTGCTTGCACCGGTTACAGAGCCTAGCTCGTCTTCTACCGGGGAATGGCAACTGATGCTGGTCGAAATAAAGTAACAAACACTCAGCCATCACGACCTGAAGGAGACACAGGATACTCTGCGTTTGCCGACGGTAACGAACAGCGCCTACATCGTTGCGGTTAGCTGCTTTTTGGGACTCGAGACAAACACATAGGATAGCTGAGGTATACCAATAGGTCACAGAACATTGATATCCATGACTAAGATGACCGGACGGCCGGATACCTGCCTGTTCTGAATGCAGATGCACTAGTCTACAACGATGGATTTGAGCTGAACTGAGATGGGGTATCATTCCAAAGTCACTTGGAGCTTGTATCAACCGCGCCTATTCATAGATGCAGGCATCCGATCCTCCAAATTGTCGACGTGACTGGCCGCAAGCTCACGTTGATTCAAAGGCTCCTAAGGGATAAGGCCGTAAGATGGTCATTGCCCCTTGCAGATAGTTTGAAACCCGCGCAGTTTGCCGTAACACCAAATCCGTAGGGCCTATCCTCGAAGTCGAGAGCACCCTCATTCATTGTCTCCGACCGGCCCCTGACTGTCAACGGATGAAGGCGGATCCCAGGAGCATGCAGAACGCCCGATACGAGGGCGCTACTAATGCCGGCATGGGACATATTGATCCTGTGGCTGGTTGGTTCCTCAGCAGTCGCACCGCCCAAGCCAGCGTGGGAACGAGACTACGTCTCGGATGGTTTGAACGCCAGATAAGTAGCTGAGCAATCGGTCAAAGCCCAGGCCAAAGCCTCCGTGCGGCGGGCAACCCCACCGGCGAAGGTCGGTATACCAGTCAAGACCGCTCCCGTCCGAGGACGACGCGAGAATACCCTGCTGCTTCATTGCGTCCAGAAGATTCTCCAAACGATGTTCGCGCATCGAACCCCCCGCTATCTCACAAAACTCTGGCACTAGCAAGTCAAAGCAATCGACAGTTGGATTGGATGTCCCTGCACCGCCGGGGCTTGCCGTCTGGCTGGCACGCATGTAGAAAGCCTTGATGTCCCGTGGATAGTGAGTGACAAAGACGGGCTTCTCACCTCCGCCAACATGCTGGGCGAGGTACTTTTCATGCTCGGATTGGAGTCCTGCACCCCATACCGGCTTATGCTCGAAAAGCTTGGATTTCTGCTGTAACAAGGCGATAGCGTCCGAGTATGTGATGCGCGGCCAGTCGTGACGCATCAAGCCCTCCCAGCGACGAGCTACCTCATCTGCGGGTAATAGGTCAGAGCCACTTTGACGTGACCGGGAGAGAAGATCTTGGAAGGTTGACGACCCGGAAAGGTTAGTGGCCAAGGACCGCAGCATATCTTCCGCCAAGCCCATTACCGGGCCCAGCTCGTCAACAAAGCTCATCTCAGCTTCAAGCATGTAGAACTCGCTAAGATGCCTCGAGGTATCGCTCTTCTCGGCGCGGAACACGGGCGAGAGAGCCCAGACGTTACCCACAGCTTGGGCCAGCGCCTCCAGGTGAAGCTGGGTGGAGACGGTAAGATACTTCCTAGAGCGAAAGAATGAGTCTTGGGCACAGTCTTTATCTGCGGGACCAGCTACATCGCTGGCCGGTGTCACGGTGAATACCTCGCCTGCCCCTTCGCAATCGGACGACGTGATGATGGGCGGGTGCGTCTGAGTGAAGGAGCGGGCTGCGAAGAATTGGGTCAAAGATGAAATGACCTCGGAACGCAGTCTCAACAAGACGGCATTGAATGGAGTTCTCGGCCGCAAGTGCGGCATTGTGCGAAGATACTCAGGTGTCTGATACTTCTTTTGGATGGGGAACGTCTAGGATACGAAGCCGTCAGTAAATCAATATACTAGAGCATGATGGAGTACAAGTAAAGCATGATGGAAGACAAGTAAAGCATGATGGAAGACAAGTAAAGCATGATGGAAGACAAGTAAAGCATGATGGAAGACAAGTAAAGCATGATGTATACCTTAGCATCTGATGGGCCCAAAACCTCAACCTTGCTTACATGCAGCTCATGGCTCTGCGAGGCCCCTGGCGAAGACACCCATGAGCCGGTGAGACGGACGGCCGCACCAACAGTAAGACTGTAGAGAGGGTGTTAGTAGCTAGGCTGGGTTGAGCGCTAGCCGCAGTAAGGGGCCGCGAAGGGGGTTGCTCGCACCCGTCAGCTTGGTCGGTTTGTACGAGGGCCTGCAGAGGAGAGATCGAAGATCCGTCGCCTAGAGAGACGAAGTTGTGGGCCTTCATAGACCGTACGGATCGAACAAAGCCATTGACGACGACATGGTCAACCCTTTGAGCTGGCTTCCAGCGTAACAGTTCGGCGATGGAGCGGTTAGGCTGTTGAGATAAACATCTGTGGCAGACGCGGCGCGGACACGGCACATAACGCGAGACAGCAGATGGCCGAAGAGCGAGGGCAGGCCGCATGGCTCGGTGGTTGCTCTGAAGTGCCCGCTCTAGGCGTTGTAATCTAATCTTGACTTGGTGAAAGAGACTAAAGAAAGGCTTATAGCAATAAGGAGTCGGAATGTCGATGAAACTGAAATTCGACAATCTGAACCTGACCTGGCTGCAAGATACGGGACGATTTGCCAATGTACGGATGTTTAACGTTAACTCAAGCGCTGAACCCTGTCATTGCAGGGCATTTACAGCGCCTTTTTGGCGGAAGTATACCAAAACCCAAAACCACAAAAATTTTTATTCGCCTACACCCGGGTAGGCTTTGGGTAGCCTACAGTTTTGCAGTATAACTGCAATAAGTGAATTTAGCTATAGTCAACTAGATGCAATTGAGTTTAACTAACTATATTGCTCAATTGTATAAAGTAGGGTAACTATATTCGTCTAGTAAATTAGTAGTTAGCTTACTAGGTAGCCTTCTTCCTCTCTTATCCTAGCTGTACTATACTAGCTATCATTGCTAGCATTCTATCGAAGTCCTCTACAATATTCTTTCTACTTATTTAACTAATGTAACCTATCTATAACAATTTATAGTTTATATTCTTAAGAATCTTAGTAGTAAAGTTGTAAGGCTACCTATAGTTATAGGTATATAAGTACTCGAATAATTCCTCGAGTGGAAGGCTATGCTATAGGCTTGGGAGACGTAGGTCGACGAAGGCGATAAATGCGAAGAAATCGAATGGCTGGCAAGGGTGTAGCAAAGGTGTATGTAACTGGGCATGTATATAAGGAATTGCTTGACTACATGTAGCGCTCTGGGTTGAAGTAGGTGACTAGGCAGTCGAATTCGCTAAAGTGGCTGAATTGCCTAAAAAACGCGATTCCTAGGCACTTAGCAAATTCGCTTCAATTTGCTAATAAGGTGTACAAGCTATAGAACTACTATAATTGCCAGCTACCTCTAGGGAGCTTAAATTGCTAGGAACGCTCTTACTACTAGAGCTCGATTGGAAGCTATTTGAAGAGTAGCGAGAAACACTATTAATTGAAAAGAAAGAGACCCAAGTATACTATAGATACCAGTACAATCGAGTGTAATTGCGTGGGAACTAGAAAGTAGGTTGTAAGGTAGAAAAGAAGGCTAGGTGTGGTGGGAAATTCTTAGATTGGATTTGAATAGAATTAACGGGGTAGGGTTTCCTGCCCCGGTGGGAGCCTAGTAAAAAAATTGTAGTTTTTAGGTTTTGGCACACTTCTGCCAAAAGGCGCCGTAGGCATTTAATTGTGGGGCTCGCACTTGCCTTTCTCGAGGCCAAAATCCGTTACGATTGGCTCCATTATGGCAAGGACTTGAAAGAGTCAAGGACTGCAGTGGAAGGTGCTGCCACTGCCACCGGCCTTGCACTCGTACGAAGTTAGTGTACTGTACTTAGAACTTACCATTATCAGTAGGGCTTTTAACCATCGTCCAGCTTTTAACCAGCCCCACATTGCCAGCTGTGCCAAGAGCTGACAGATGCAGGGCCAATTCTTGACACAGCTGGCAATGTGGGGCTGGTTAAAAGCTGACGGTGGTTAAAAGCCCTACCGTATGATCTCGGGAAGAAGGAAAATTGATGTGGCTTGCCCAGCCAACCCAGCGCAGCAAAATCGAGCAAAAGATGCAGGACAGCCACTCTAGCCACACTTGCCCTGGTGCTCCCATTGGTGGATGTCTGACTTTGCGGGCTGGGCATATCCACATCTAATTTTCCTTATTCGCGAGATCATACGGTACGGCATCTGGGTCTCAACTGCCAAACTCTGCACAGCAATAGCAAACATAGTCAACAGAGCCCGGCGGGAAAGACTGAAGCACTCCGCAGACAACGTGACACTGCCATCTTAGTACAGTCGAGGACAACAAGCCGGACCAGGTATGTCAAAGTTGAATTTGTGAGAGATTTGGTTCTTCCTGCTCTTGTTTCTGGCCATGGTAAATACGAAGCCAAAGCATGCGCACCATCTCATTTTAACTTGGCAGATTTGCGTCCATCTGCCAGTTCCGCGTCTTTTTGGCCCCGCTCCCACGATGCACGCCATTGGAGAGTCAGACATGCACCTATCACTTTTCGTGACCGCCGGCGACTCCAGAGTCCAGGCTCACCGGCTTCAATATCAAAACCCTCGAGATGTTCGGCGTCACGATGGTCGCGCCCCATTCAGCCATCCCGTATGCGGCCACAATATACCATCCATTCCTGGCCCGAATCCGTAACAGCGGTACACGGGGTAGACCTGGACATTGGGCTTGTCTATGGATGGGATGCATGTCACAGCATTGTTCATATGCTCTGATCGACTGTATCTGCCACTGCGACGCGGCTGCAGTTTGCCTTTTGCTACTAATAACCTAGGTTACACAGGATGAAAGAAAGCAAAGTATAACGCTAAACACAACTCAAGGTCAGCGGCCGGAGAAGGGGCCATGTCCCCGGCACCAGTGGCGCAGGAATACAAGATTGGCTTGGACTCAAGATGGCGCACTTGCTGCAACACAACATCCGCCGGCAATTGTCATAAGTCTCGGCTGGCTGCCTTGTCATTAAGTTGACACTTGAGGCTTCACGGGCCGGATCAGTGACACCGGGAGGACTGCCGACATGCCTTGTAGCCGTCACTGGTGCAGTACCCTGGCTTTTCCTTCTAGAAGAAAGCCTCGCGTTACTGGCGTTCCTGGGTGGGTGCCCCTTGTTAGCTGGCCGTCCACATGAAGGGGTGGATGCCTTCAATGTTGAGACAGGCCAGTTACACAGATTGATCTCTCTATACATGGATCGCAGCTGGCGACAGGGCAACCATGTTGGGTCTCTACCGCTTCATGCCGATGAGTTGCTCTATTTCCTCTCTGAGCTTCCCTTTTACCTTTCCCAACCCCGCTGGCTGCTGCTTCTCTGCATCTATAAAGCGCCAGATGCCCACCCGGCCCGAGGACTAGCAACATGCAGAGACACGTTTGCTTTTCACTCTGCCTAGTCATACGACCGACCCACCGAGCGTTCCTCCATCTCCCCCAGGCCTCTTTGCCTGTGATCGCCGATGCCGTCTTCAAGCTCCAGATCCAAGCCAAAGCCATCGGAGGTCGCCTCAGAGGCCAAGCGACATTACATACCTCTGATCAGGACACAGTATGCCTCGATCTGGGCAACCAGCTCATACATGATTCACCACCCCCTACAACAGATTACCTTTCTCGACAGGCCACTCGATGTTACACCTCCTGTTTTCTGTGAGCATGATGTATACCCCCGATGCTCGAGAAAGCCCGCGTCTAACAGAACCGAGGCGTGACTGTCGGGGATCCTGTCGACTTCGCGATCGGATGGGGGGAAGGAACACAGTCGCCAGTGCCATTCATATGCCCAGCCAATGATAGGCGCCCCGGAGGTGACTGGGACACGGGGGTTGTAGGCTATGAGGAGCGCCTCTGCCGGCGAAGCACGCTTGCAGCATGCTTGTCCACTCCAGAGGATGGATCTTCTGTCAACGGCCATTATCCGCTCCCCATATCCGCTGTGATCGTCTCACGTGACGTTGGTAAGTCACTAAGTCCTCGGCTCCCGGCCCTCACAGACCGCCAGCTTGCCGCTGACAAGGTGTCGCCCAGTTGTGTTCCGTGGACCCCACGACACATACGATAAACGGGCCCCAGATGCGTGGCGCGCGCTGCCTGTCGTGTCAGTGCCTCCGCCACGCTGGCCGAAGCTGACGCAGAACGGCACCAAGTATTCATTTGCCGACGAGCGCGATATGGTTAAGGAGAAGCTTCGTGGCGCGCTCCGCATCTGTGCCTACAACAACTACAGCACCATTGTCATCGGAGACTTCGGTCTTGGCAACGGCTACCGCAATCCGCCCCAAGAACTTGCTGAGCTGTGGCGGGAGGTGTTCCTCTACGACCCTGACCTGCGTGGCCGCATCAAAAACGTGGCATTCGTGTTTGAGGACCCGACCCAGAGCACGGCGCAGCTGATACTGGACGACATGGCTAAAAAGGCCAGGAGCAACGGCAGCAGTGCATCAGGTAGATCCAAGGCGAAGGGCAGCTCGTTGGGCTCGGCCTTGGGCTCGTCAGCAGCCAAGATATCCACCACCGACTACCAAATCTTCAAGCAGGTGTTTGATCACACCGAGGTGCAAAGATTTCTTGGGCAGCCTGACCCGAGATACGAACTGAGCACTCTAATCGCCTGATCTGCTTTGTCAGGATTGCACCATGGGCATAGGAGTTTGGTGTTTGTCGAGACCTAGAGTTCACAACTCATCATGCTGACACCGGCAGGCATTTACGCTCGGGCTACACATTTGCCTGTGCTACACGGTTACCTAGATCAGGCCTGTAATGCTTCGCGTTCTTCTTTGGGGTCTATAGGATTCTGCAGTCATAATATTTATTACCTGTCTGACCTGGCTACTATGCAGTCACCATTGGCCGTGTTTCGTCTCGCACCGTCTCATACTGTGCTTGATGCAGGCCTGGATACTAGTAGCGCGCTTGACGGGAGTATGGCCGCGCAAAGACCTTGGAACCCAGCGCATTTACAGGGCAAACGATGTCCATACCCGCCGAGAAGTTGCTCGTTGGGCCACGGCCCGAACGCCATGTCCCAAGCCGGGCACCTGTGGAACGGGGGAAGGGAGGGGGCCACTTGAATAACACATGTTCGCATCTGGGTGTTGCTGCAGCCATGAAAGGATATCACGGCCTGGTTGCCAACCATCACGGGTTTTAAGACATGGGGCTTTCCCTCTTGCACGAGGCTGAGGCACCTTATCCACGGCCATGCCACGGCATGCAGAAAGACGGCACCGAGAGAGTGGAGATGGTGCGGGATGTGTACTGTCTCGAGGATGTAGTCGTGCGCGGTGGGCATCATCTCGCAGACGCGGCCAAACCGCAAACGGGATATCATCTTGCCGACATTCCTTCTTCAGAAATATCTGCAGACACGTATACTGGCCAGATTTCCTTCTCTCGGCCGACCTGACGCCCCCTCAGAGGGACCTCGGCATGCATACCATTCCTGAATCGTGCACACACTACATGACAGCGTGCGCGAGCCACTGCCTGCTCAGTCTTCTAGCAAACCGTACACTTCTGTGTGCGTTCTCCTCCTTCTCCCTGGACCTCCCTTTCGGCATCATCGGCAGAATAGCCGGGCGATCACGCACAACACAGAGAAATACACAGGCTGCTTATACCTTGATACATGAACGCGATGAAATGGAATCATGCAGCTGTTGGATGTTGAATGAGCATCTTCGCGGCGTCACGAGGCTGGAGGACTGAGATTCCAAGGAAGAGAAAGAAGAAGAGGATCATTGGGGCATTGGTGGTGGTGCTGGATGAGGGCGGATTAGGGGTGATGAATTGGTGGTTGGCGACGAAACGACAGTGGGCGACAGCCAAGCCGTCACCACTCGTACTTTGTCTCAGCTATCCATCGGCACATGGCTCAGGCTTGTCGGTCTGTACATGGTGTCTGGTAGGAGACAGCGCACGCTTGGCATCCAAGGCCGACCGACTCGGCTTGCCGCAGTACAACAAGCTCTCTTCTCGGGTCCGCTGGCTAGCTGGCTCAGGAGTATGAGTGGCGCGCACACCGTCACTTTTCCCTACAGGGAGAGATGGGACACATCACCAATAGCCCGCAGCTACGATGAGCGCCTCACGTTGGGCCCGCGGGCTGGCCCCTAGAATCTTCTCCCTCCCCTCTTTCCGCACCAATGGCCTGTCATTGCCCTCATCATAGGCTAAGCGGTGAAGAACGCCCTTGTCATACCTTGTGGCACGAGAAGAGGGGGCTGCTGCGGCCGACGACATGCCGGCATACCCGTATCGTGGTAGCACAGGAAATTTGGAGCGACACAGACGCGAAGCCGGATGAGATCGAGTCAAACAGATCGCACAGGAAGGCCCTCTGACCGCCCTGTCAAGCAACCCTGCCGCAGCGCCGGTTACATTCGGGACAGGACAGGACATGCAGCCAGACCCTGACCAAACAGGACCCCTAAGACGCAGGTCAGGAGGTCCATGGAACAGAGCAACACATAGGGCCAGTGCTGCCCAGTCTGCCATTAGGGAACCAGCACTTCCAGATCTGGCCGAGTACGTCCGATGTGCATGCTTAGTATTAGTCTGGGGAGAGGGGTGATACGGCATCGATGCAGCGACAGGATCCCTCAGGGCTGTGGTGGTTGTGGGGCTACCTACCTGCCTTGGCCCTGAATCTCGTGTGCAACAGAGGGAGAAGTGAAGTAGCTTCGGCCTTTCAGGGGCACGTGCAGTTCCTCTCTACAAAGCAGGTACAGTACACGCACACAGGCCTTTGGCCTGTAATCTCTCAGCATGATGCCACGAAATCTGCGTTTCAGGTTCTCCTCGACCGCCTCAACCTCTTTTGAATGATGCATCGAGGCAGTCTGTCGGTGCCGCCGTGAAATAACGCTAGTCGCCGTGCCGAGAGGGCATTGATATACATATAGAGGATCTTGACGCGGGTGAGAGAGCTGGAACCCCTGACCCTCTTCCTTGCTATCACAAAGCGGACTAGTGGCTGGATACATACGTCCTGCAAAAGCTTCCAGAACAAGCAAGCCAAGACGGCACCATGCCACAAACATCATAAGCCTTGTCGCAATCCCTGGACCCGCGTTGCTAGCCGCTTGCACCACCAGTACGAAGTACAAGGCAGGCTTTCTTTCAGGTAGGCCATCTACTAATACAAACGGCCCGACAGTCAGTCGACACACCCCGCGCCGAAGAAGCAAACAACTAAACGTACAGCCACACAGACTCTAGATTGCAGCGCCATCTCTCCTGTTATCTCGAAAGAGAAGGAGGTGATCAGGAGAAGGACTAGGTAGAGCCTCGGTCCTGACTCGGTCGCGGCAGGCAAGGAACACACGCATTTATCAACGAAAGCTAAGTTAATCCATGGAACACACCTAATCTTCCCACTACCTACGCTAGTCCAGCCACAAAACGCTCGAATGGGTCGAAGGAGGATGACACAACAGGAAGCCAAAAAAGCCAGGCCAGGGGCTTGAACTCGTTGGTGTCGTCGATCACGGAAACGCCGGAGCGGCCAGTCGAAAATCGCAAAAGCTAAGACGGGAAAGAAGAAAAGAAAAAAAAAAAAAAGAGTGAGAGAATCACGCCAGAAGACGGATCGAAGCATTTAGCAGACAACAAACCAGGGATCTGCCACGAGGCCGAGCGAACGGTTGCCAAGGCCCCCAGCCTTCTCTTTTTTAGTGTAAAGTCAGCCTTGAAGCCTTTTCGCAAGCTGCATGTTGCGCAGCAATTGGCGGTAAGTGCCGACCTTGTGTGTCCCGTATGTATCATACCACAGTACACAGATTACACACTTCCGGACTCCGTACGCCAGCATGTAATGTCACCCATTTCGGTGCCATCGTCAGTCTATTCGGCTCACAACAGCCTAGTGTGGTCAAAGAGAGACTCTACTCCCTTCCGACATATGCCTGGGTAGCTGTACGGATACATTCATTTTTCAGTTTAAGTGAAGAGGACTCATGGTGCGCCGCCGGTGTACATGTACAGTAAGGATGAGACGGCGGTTACATGAATGTATGTACAATACAGTACGTTATATGTAATTAACCCCATTACCGTTACAATGCGTCGAGAGAATCCCATGGATCACAAACTTGGTGTGATTACCCCTGGCCCAGCGGTGTGGATATCGCTGGACCCAGCCGGGAGGGCGATGTCGTCAACAACCAACAACATTAACCACAAACCCGACAAGACAATCGCCTTGTCTCATTCATGCTCCCACCAGGGTGGTTCGGGTTCGGGGTTCGGCGGAAGGCTCCGTGGCTTTTTACACTAGGCGTAGCCCTGCACATCAGAAAAACGAACCCTTGTCGATGAAGATGGCACTTGCCGGCGCAACACGCTTTAAAACTGTCAAACGACGATGGATGGATGGATGGACCGATAGATGTGATAAGTTACGTACTGTACGGAGTATGTGTAGAAACAACCAACAAAATACTACCATCGCCGCCTTCTGTTGCTCCTTCTTGCTCCTTCATAAACCAGAACGCCAAGCCAAGCCCAGCAAAGCTCAGCGCACCCAACGGCTCAAAGCTCCACTTTCACCTCAATCACATTCACCCTGCATCACATCACGTCTGGCATAAGATTTGGATATACCTCTCTTTTTCTTTCTTTCTCATCATGCTGTCGATCGCCGATCTGGTTTCTAGTCCGGACAACCATCCTACCCATCCATTCGTCCCATCCCATGTTCCCCATGTTCACAGCTTAGTTTCAATGTACCCGCCCTCGCCCCTCCCACCAACCCGCCAGTCCCCAGTCTACGCCTAGCCCACGGGGCTGGCTCCTTTCCCCTGTTCTCTTTCTCACCAATACGACGGCCTCAACCCCGTCAAACCCGCCAACGACGACTCGGAGGAATCCTCCCGTTTCCGCTGCCCGGCCAACTTTTGGGACTTGTTAGCATAATTCTTCATCATTTATACCAGTAAAAGAAGAGAAATAAACTCACCTCCAACTGCACCCCCTTATGTAAGTGCACCAACCAATCCACGTAGCTCTGCGCCTCGTTATTCCTATCCTCGACCAGCATGCGCGCAAACTCGTACTCGGCGCCATCAATACCCTGACGGGCGAGCTGGATGGTGAGGCCCTTGGACCCGCGCATGGTGCGCAAAAACTCAATGATGTTCCTGACCTGCGCGTTGAGGTGCGTCTGGAGCACCGGTATTTCACTGGTGTATGCATCAAGCGCCTGCAGGCTGTCTTTGCCTTCTCCAAACAAGTCCGCCAGCAGATTGGGCGACGTCTGCGCGTGGAACCAGAGGAGGCACTGCTGGCCGTTGTCGACGAGGTAAACGCCGCCCGGTTCGACGCGTGCAAAACTGGCGCGAATCGAGGGAGGCATCCTGAGGTGGCCGCCCGTGTTGGGATCCGGAAACCCGTCCTCGGGCTGCAGGTTGTGGATGGGTATCATGCGCGGGTACAGGTACAGGCTGAGCTCGAGCGCGCCCATGGAGCGGATCAGGCGCATCTCGTGCACCCGCCGGTCTGTCGTCTCGTTGCCCCCCTTGAAGGCCCGGCACTTGAGCATGCCGAGCATGTACATGGAGAATTCCTTGAGCCGCTCGGGCATGACCAGCTGGCCCGGCGGGTGCGCCTGCGACAAGAAGTTCTTGCGGTAGTTGGCGAGCACGTCGATCGTCTTTTCTGTGAGGCTCAGGCGTATGTCTTTGAGCGTGCTGGACGTTGTTGCCAGCTTGGTCGATGCTTCCTTTGCGAGAAGCGAGTACACGGCGTCCTGATCGATGAACTTTATGCAGTCCCGGGCGTTCTCGCTGACGGCGGCAATGACGTTGCTGCAGCGCACACGGCGCTGGCCCGAGGCGGTCGTGTAGAGCAAGGCCGACTGGAAGTGCGCGTCGAGCTTTGAGTCGAGCTTGCCGTCGTAGCTAAACGATACCCCGAGCGCCTTGTCTGCGTCGATCACTCCGATCTCGAGGTCGGCACCAAACGTGTGCTGGATAAAGTTGCCGTGGTACCCGGACACCTGCAGGCCGTTGGAGCATCGGACCTTCATCAAGGCCTGATAGCCTGTCTCCCGGGTCACTGCATGCTTGATCTCGAGCGACAGCTTGGTGTTGTCCCTCGGCGCGATGAAATTGGGATAGTAGAATGTTTCTCCGCCTGTAGTAGCAGATACGTAGCCTAGGAGGGAGTTAATATGGTTGGAGACGCCTTGGAAATTCGGCGGACCTCGCACTCACCAACTGTGGCAATGTCCAGATAGCCCCCTGACGGCGCGGCCATGAAGAAGTCGATGCCGGCGCCGATTGAAGCCATCTTCTCCGCCAGCTTCCTCCACGCAGGATGCTCTGTGCTGAACAGCTTCTTATCAGGCTCACCGCCAGGATGCTTGCCGTCATCCCTCATGAACAGGCGCCCCGGACCCCATGTGGGGAGTGCCGAGAGCGAGCAAAAAATCTTGCCGCCCGTCTTCTCGAGTGCTGCAACCGCCGAATTCAGAGTCGACAGGAGCGCCGGCTCCGGGTTCTTGATGCTCGAGAACATTTGCGGTAACCGAGTCAGCAGAGAGCTGATGACGGTTCTGGACTCGTACGGATCCACAAACAGACCCTCGCTGAGCGGGACAAATGGGTCCTCAATGTCCGGCATGATCATCATCTGTGCCTGCTCCAGCGACGAGCTGACATTGTAGAAATGAACTTCCTTGTCAAAGGTGACGAAGCCGACCTTGGCACCTGCCGGTATCCTCCTCTTGACCTCGCCGTTCTCGTCCTTCTCCTCATTCTCCTCGGCGCCATAGAGGGCACGCAAAATGCCGTCGCAAAAGGACTCGAGAAACCCCTTGTTATAAGACTCCTGCGTCACGTCAATGAGAAAGAGGTACCGAAGCCCGACCGGTTCCCTGGTCCAGTACTCCTTGGGGACGACGAACTCGACGGTTCCCCTGGTGAGCTCTGGCCGCTGGTCGCGGTCGACACGGACGCCCTGCGGGCTGGTGGCACAAAAGTACTCTGAAGGCGTGTCGTTGGCATAGCCGCACAGGTTGCAGACAAACTTGTTGCCCCCCGAGCGGAACATCATGAAGGGGTTGATGTAGGCTCGGCATCGATGGCACCGGGGCGGGCCGGCGTCCCCAAAGTCCAGAACGGGAATCTCGAGCTCGCCGGCTTGGAGCGCGGCGAGCGGCTGCAGGAGGAGGCCGAGAGGCAGGCCTGTGCTGCGCAGTCCCTCGGCCGTGGCGGGGATGTTGCTCAGGGTGAGCCGCGCAAACTTGGGGGATGCGTTTCCTTGGTCGAAGGCGACGAAAGAGACAGTTGCAGGCGGAGGGACCAAGCGCTCGAATGTCGGGTATACGTTGCTGAGGAAGTATTGCTGGACGGCATCCCGGGAGAGGGGGACACTGGGCATCTCGTCGGGCGACACCTTGGCCTGGCCCGACGCCGGGACCATGGTCGGCGACGGTAGCGCATCCCCGGCGTAGCCACTCCTGGCCGCGAACTCGGCGGGCGAGGCGGGGGCGGGGTGGAAACCGGGGCTGACGGGCGCGGGGAACTGGTTCATTGCGGGTGTTAACCCGGGGCCGTAGCGGGATGCGGCGGCGGCGGAGGGATCGTTGTTCAGGTAGGACGTAGCCGGCGTGCCCGCTGGTGGTATGCCGTTGAAGGCCTGGGACGAGCCCAGGGGCGCGTCGACCGTGTGGTAGGCATGGCGGTCCTTCTTCTTCCTCTTGGCGGTGCCGTGGTGCGGGTCGGCCCCGAGCGTCATGCCACCCATCTGCGCCGCCAAAGCAGCATCATCGGCTGGTGGTTGCTGGCCCTGGAAGTAGCCGGCCGGCGGCTGGGGCGACCCGTATCCCGGCGCCTGGGGTGGCGGAGGCCCTGCCGCGGGTGATGGCGAGCCGTAGCTGTATCCACCGGCAGCGGGCTGGTAGGGGTTGGGAGCAACGGGCGGCTGGAACTGCGGAGGCGCGGGCTGCGTTGTTCGGTTCGGGTCGTTGGGATCGAGTGCTTCGCCCTGGCCGAGGGCGTGGTACATTGCGTACTCGGCCATCTTTTATTCTTTTTTCCCTTCTCTGCTTCCGAGGTTCGCGTGTTGGTTCCCGTATGCTACTTGCTGTACCTCAGGGTTATGTACAATACAGTCCAGTGCAGTACTCACTGCAGTGCAACAGAGCAGCTGTGGCCTCTTGTCGAAGACGGTCACCGGGGACTCGGTTTGCAGGATGTAGGCTGGTTCATAATCGGAGGCAGGTCGGCATTTGATATAAATGTCTTAAAGTTCTCGCAAGGTGGCCCAAAATGGCTGTCTTTTGCTTCTTCGCGGAGTGGTTGTGGTTAAAATCACGGTCCCACCTTTAACAATTGATTTTGGAGGTTGAGCTGTCCTCTTCTCCTTCTGTCGGCCCGCCTGGGCCCATGCCCACACTCGAGCCACAGCAATTGAGCATGAAGCTTTGAGCAGGGGTTTGCCCACTCGGCAGCTTCCGTTGGTTCAATTGGAGTCTCGCTTTCTGGACCTGCCGCCTCTGACCGCCTTGGAAGCTGGCTGGCTTTGAGTAGGTCCGTCCTTTCGTCAGCCGTCGCGTGCCGCTTCGACGCGACAAAAGCATCAACGATTGACAAGGGTTCTTACCTTTCAATGAAACGGACCTACTTCATACGAACAACCGCAGTTTTTACCTCCACCACCCACCACACTACGGCCACTGCCTGCCTCACTCCACTACAGCAGTTATCGTCACTAGGCAGAATAAAACAATAAAACGAGAAAAGATCAACGTTGGCATAATGCGCCAGTTCCGGTAGCCGTCTCAAGCGAGCCAAGAACGTAGCAGCCATGTTCAGTTTCTGCCCGCTTCAAGGCGCCCTGTCCGAATCGACAGCGTCGCAGTCGCTGCTGGAGCTCGATGGCGGTGTCAAGGTGCTGGTCGATGTCGGCTGGGATGAGACGTTTGATGTCGAAAAGCTCAAGGAGTTGGAAAAGTATGTGATTGCCGATGGATTAGATCAACACTCGAGGATCCCAGAGCTAACTGCACCTTCACCCAGGCAAATACCCACGCTCTCTTTGATCCTGCTAACCCATGCGACCGTCTCACATCTCGGCGCATATGCGCATTGCTGTAAACACTTCCCTCTATTTACGCGCATCCCCGTCTATGCCACGAGACCCGTCATCGATCTCGGCCGCACCCTGACCCAGGACCTCTACGCCTCAAACCCCTTAGCCGCGACGACAATATCACCCAATTCGCTCGAAGAGGTGTCGTACGCCTATGCACAGACATCTTCCACTGACCAGAACCTGCTTCTACAGCCCCCGACGCCAGAAGAAATTGCCCGCTACTTTTCTCTGATCCAGCCTCTTAAATACTCTCAGCCTCACCAACCGCTCCCTTCACCATTCTCGCCTCCACTCAACGGCCTCACCATAACCGCCTACAACTCGGGGCATACGCTTGGTGGGACCATCTGGCACATCCAACATGGCCTCGAATCCATCGTCTATGCTGTAGATTGGAACCAGGCCCGCGAGAATGTATTTGCCGGCGCTGCCTGGCTGGGAGGAGGGCATGGCGGCGCCGGAGGGGCTGAGGTGATCGAACAGCTGCGCAAACCGACCGCCCTGGTATGTAGTAGCCGTACGCCCGAGACAGCCCTCGCGCGCGGGCGCCGCGATGAGCAGCTTCTGGAATCAGTTAAGCTCTGTATCGCCAGAGGCGGGACCGTGCTTATACCCGTGGATTCGAGTGCGAGGGTACTAGAGCTTGCTTATCTCCTGGAACACGCGTGGAGGGCCGAAGTTGACAAGGACAACGACGTGTTCAAGTCGACAAAGGTTTATCTGGCCGGCCGCAGCGTAGGAAGCACCATGAGGAATGCGAGGAGTATGCTGGAGTGGATGGACGACAGCATTGTGAGAGAGTTCGAAGCTGTCGCTGGAGGCAGCAGGGCGCCGCCGAACAGCGGCCCGGCTGGCGGGAAGGGCAAGGATGCGGGGCCCTTCGACTTCAAATATTTGAAGCTGCTGGAGCGGAAAGCACAGATCGAGCGGATCCTGCAACAAGCAGCGGACGATGCCGAACCAAAAGGCAAAGTCATACTAGCCACTGACTCGAGCTTGGAGTGGGGCTTCTCCAAAAACGTACTCAAAGCTATCGCTGGGGATCCAAGGAACCTCGTGGTCCTCACTCAAAAACCGAGTCTCAACCCCAACAAACCTTCCATCGCACGAACACTCTGGGACTGGTGGAAGGAGAGGAAGGACGGTGTGGCTGTCGAGCAAACACGTAGCGGGGACACATTCGAGCAAGTTTATGGAGGTGGACGTGAGCTCCAAGTGACTAATGCTGCACGACAGGCCTTGGAGGGAAATGAGCTTGGTGTCTACCAACAGTGGCTTGCTACGCAGCGACAGCGTCAGGCCACCTTGCAAACTGGCGGTGGCGCCACACTCGAAGCGTCTGCCGACGTGGTGGACGATGCCTCGGAAACCTCAACCGAGTCGGAAGAGTCTGAAACGGCGCAGCAAGGAAAAGCGCTCAACGTGTCGACAACCATTGGACAAGCGAGCCGCAAGAAGGTTGTGCTGACGGATGAAGATCTAGGCATTACCATCCTGTTCAAGAAGAAAGGCGTTTACGATTTTGACGTAAGGGGTAAGAAAGGCAGAGAACGCATGTTCCCTACGGTAATGCGGCGGAAACGCAATGACGAGTTTGGCGAGCTCATCCGGCCCGAGGATTACTTGCGCGCAGAAGAACGGGAGGATGCTGATGGCCAGGATGTCGGGCAAGACGGGAATAGGCAAGACCAGGGTTTGGGTAAGAAGCGCAAGTTTGACGATCTCGGCACGGCAGGCAAGGGAGCTTCGGGGCCCAATAAGCGCCCTCAATTGAAACGGGCCTTGTCTGCAGACGAGCCGGACATTGCCGCGCTTTCCGATGGCACAAGCGCCGACGAGCTAGACCAGCTAGAGGACGAGGAGGAAACAGTTCTCGGCCCATCGAAGCTGGTCGTAAGCTCAGAGACCGTCTCGGTCAGGCTCCGCATCGCCTTTGTTGACTTCAGCGGCCTGCACGACAAGCGCAGCCTGCACATGCTGATTCCCCTCATCCAACCGCGCAAACTCGTCTTCGTCGCCGGCGCCGAGGCAGAGACCCTAGCGCTAGCCGCCGACTGCAAAAAGCTGCTCACCGCGCAACTCGGCGAAGCGGAACCGGCCAAGTCCACCGTCGTCGACGTCTTCACCCCCACAATTGGCGCCACCGTCAACGCCTCAGTCGACACCAACGCCTGGGTCGTCAAGCTGGCCGACCCCTTTGTCAAGCGCCTCAAGTGGCAGAACGTCCGCGGGCTGGGCATCGTCACCGTGACCGGCCTGCTGCTTCCAGGCGGGGAAGTCGCCATACAACAAGACGCGGACGACCGCGGCCAAGACACGGCCAATAAACGGCCCAAACTGCTGCCAGAGGCTGCCGGCGGGACAACACCCGACGGCACACCCGCACCACCAAGCCTCACGGGCAGCAAACCGAGCACCCTCCCCACCCTAGACCTTTTGCCCACCAACCTGGCCTCGGCCGTCCGCTCGGCCGCCCAGCCGCTCCACGTGGGCGACCTCCGCCTCGCAGACCTGCGGCGGGCCATGCTCAATGCCGGACACAGAGCCGAGTTCCGCGGGGAGGGCACGCTGCTCATCGACGGGACCGTGGCGGTGCGCAAGACGGCGACGGGCCGCGTCGAGCTTGAGAGCGTCGGCCTGCCTTTGATGATGGACGCTACCGCGCAGCAGAGTGGTGGTGGTGCTGCTGCAGCCGCCGCCACGTTTTACGCGGTGAGGAAAAAGATTTATGAGGGTCTTGCGGTTGTTGCCGGGGCGTAGTACATATCTGAGTTACTACTAGCCATTTGTATTGTACATGTCCGTGTCCATGTATGACGAGATTTAAGAATGGTCCCGGTGGGTCGGTAATGATGGGTTCGTGCCGGTGGGAAAGTCCACTATGTAGTGGGAGGATAGGATGACCGGTGACAGCCGAGGGTGATACGTATTGTGCATAGTAGCATGTTGTATAAGGTTACCGGTAGCTCCGTGGTGGATGTGCTGTATCATTGTTGGGCTAGGTGGCTATGGGTCCAAGATGCGTAACATGGCACATCCAGGGGGTTGCAAAGCATGTTTTTTACAACCAAGGACTTGGTAAGGGAAAGGATATGGGGTTCATGGCGACGGCTCACAAATAAGATCCCGGCTGCAGTTACACACGTCGATTGAGTCTGTCCGATACCCCGGGGCGTCCGTCTCCGATCCCGAGTGCGGCCTCCACCCGGAAAGAGCGGCGCGGACGATGCCGTGAACGGCAAATATGCCGGAGACATTTGCTACATCCAAGTATATGTAAGGTACATACTGTACTTGAACCTACCACGCTACTAGACCATCAGATCCCCCGAGGCCCTTTCCACCTGTCTCTCCCTCAGCCGCCACGGCAGCCATCTCCATATCCCGCCGTTGTCATCCCGGCGCCAAACCCTCGTAAGCCCCAACCAAGGCGTCCTAATATCAACATGTCGTGACTGTTGCTGCAGGTGCAGTTGCTGGTGTGTCATGTGGTAGGAGTGGTGGTACTGCCTGCGATCGTCTCCAGCCGCGCCGCCTGCCGTCGTGGCTATGCCAAAGAAGAGTTGGCGGAGATAGCCGTCGACAAGCGATCCAAATCTGCGCACCATTTGCATCGCCGCGCGGGTTTGCTGTGCAAATGGCGTCAGCTGGGCAGTCGCAACTTTCTTTCTTTATCTTTCTTTCTCTCTGTGGAGCGGTGGACGTCGAGTATCGAGGGGCTTGAGGACTCACTAGTACTAGGATCAGGATGAAGAACGGGATGCAGACGGAGACTAGGGTCACAGCGAAGCGCCAGTCCTCGGGCGAAATGTCGAATTCTGTTATTCCGAAGACGCCCTAACAAAGCTATTAGTGCGTGATTATCCTTGATAGCATTATATGGAATGTGATTATGTGCTTATCGTAGGCGAAGGGGAAAAGAATCAGTGATTTCAGGGGGGAAGGGGAACTCACAACAACAAATGTCAACGGCAGGAAAATCATGGATACATTGGTCAAAATCTTGATGTTATCCCCTTGCTCAATCGCCCTCCTAGATTCCTTCACGCTGCTTCCGCTGAAGAGCTGCTCCCTCAGCGAGCGAATCTCGGTCCGTGTAGTCTCGTTCTTTTCGTACATTAGCTGGAGATCTGCAACAGCGCTCTCGAGGTCCTGGCGCAGAATATCCATCCTCGCAGCGTAGTCGCGCCCCTCTGTGGAGTCCGGATTTGGGTGAGGCCACAACGTCGGGTGCCGGCCTGCCCAAAAGTCCTTGGTAAAGGTGCTGAGGTAGGCAGAGCGCATAGATTTGATCCCCTCGTTGATTACACCTAGCGTGTTGTACGCCCAAAAGTAGCGGCGGGAGTAGGTAAAATTGCTGTCTTCGAATAGGAGTTTATCCCGGAGGCGGACATCGAACATGAATTGGTTCTAATCGGTTAGTCCAACGGGAATTTCTTCCATCCAGGGCGAGTACCTACTGGGGGAGTAATGAGCTTCGTTATCATCTCATTTAGATAGGTGTAACGCTTTACTGCATCGCGATATTCGATGCACAGGGCGTCAAGGAAGGCGTAAGGTCCATTGAAAAAGTGCTTTTTGGAGTCGTCGCTCCTCGTCGAGTGCTGGTCGTCGGGGAAGCATTGGATGTTAAGAAGATGCCAGGGGGCAAACGTGTCGTATATCAGTCCGCTACGGGTCTTACGTTTAACCTTTACTTTGACCGTACCGGTCGGGTCGCCCCCAAGAGAGAGCGCAAGGATAGAACTGCACTCGGTAATGTCAATGTGGTCGGGTGACTTGCGGTCCGGCGGGCGATGGTCGAATGCCTGCCAAGGGGCTGGTGTGAGTCCCTCACCGACGACTGTGTAATATTTGAAGACAAAGAAAAAGCTCCGTTGCCTCAAGTCAGCCGTTTCGAAGGCTCTGTCCATATAGGCCTGCACAGTCAGCACCGTTGATCTGGCTGAGAACCCTAGCGTGACTTACCTTGGTCTTTCCTTTATTCCCAGTGGTAGAAACCAAGTGCTGAAATAGCTCATCCATGTCGAAGTGCTGCTGCATTGACATGTGGGTAGCAGCAAGCATAAGGGGCGTCGGTTCTTGGAGGATACTGCGCTGCGTAAGCGATGTGCTTTTTGAGCTATGGGAATTATTGTTGAGCACTCACGTTATCCTTCCGACCGCGTCCCCATCAGCGTTGATATCCTTGAGAACCCTCCAGACAGAGGAATCCTGGTTGTCACCGTCCCCATCACCAGCACCACCAAGAAATCCCTGGTCGGACTGTATTTGTTTGTGCCGGGGGATGCTATCCATGCCAATTTCCAAGATCTCGTAGGTGGCGTTGGCGTAGGGGCTGCCTTCCCCAGTTTCAAATCCGGTGAATACGCTTGAGATGTCCAGCTCGTCCCTCTTTTGCCAGACTTCGCCGAGAGCTGTGATCGTGTCATGATTTGTCTCGCCAATTGAGCGAAGATGGATGAGTAAACCTTCCTCAGAAAAAGTCTCTTTGAGAAGGGGCCTCTGCACAGAGGGCACGATCGTCTCCGAGGTCCTCGCTGAGTTGGAGCGTATCGGCGGCGTCAAGGGCAAGAAAGGGGGTTCCTCGGCCGGCTCTACTGCGTCAGAGACCGGGGATGGTTGAGTTGTTGGCGAGTCGTTTGTCAAACGTCGCGCTCCAAGACTTCCCGTTGACTGGGCCGACACCTGGCCGAAACTGACGGCTTTGATTAAGGGCGAGGCTGTCACATCGTTGTTGATAAGCCGAGTTGCCCGCACGCTGGCGTTACTATGCACCTCTTGGAGGAGACGTAGGTTTTTGATATACTGCTCATGGTGATACTCCAAGGACCTTATGATTTCTTCAACCCGTGAACTGTTCATTAAGTACTTGGGTGTAGCTTGTTCGGGGGGACTGAAGATATTGATCGACTAGGGCAGTGGGTTTGAAACGGAGGGAGGATAGCTGAACTAGCAAACTTGGGTAGGGAACACCAAGGCATGGGAGCCTGGATTATCTATCGTGACAATGCTAGGCATTCTCGTGCTAAGCCTAGGCAAACCGGCTTGTTTACTACTAGAACTGCCCAAGGCATCCCACAACTCAGCCTCCTGCATCCTCACGGCCGTTGTGCGTGACTAGCCCATGTGCTGCGGTTCAGCGGTTCGAAACGGAAAACCGGTAAGCTTGGGGAAGGCGAATCGCATCGATCGATCCGCGGGGTGCAGCTTGGATCTAAACCTCAAGGAAACGGCGCTAGACGGTTTGCCCAATGGATCAGAGTGAGGCTGGTAGGACTCAGGAGGGGGCGAATTTGCCCTGGTTGACGTGGTCTTGAGTTCCAATGCGGGGATGATGAAGTCTCAGGCTGACGGGAGAACGGAAATAAGTGACTCAAATTCGAGCCTCTTCGTTGTCCACAGTGAGGGGACATTGTTGGTTTGTCAGGAAGATGCTCGGTGTCTGGTTGAGGAAGTCGCTTCCTTCTTACGCGTGTAGGTGGGCAAGTGACTTAAGGAGGCGGGGCTCGGAGCTCACCGATGACCACTCTAGGAAGTGACGGGCCACACCTGCCTTGCGGTACGATACCGCGGCCATTATGCGCGCAGCCTTGCCATGGAAGTCTGACTTCCAGACGGGATGTTCTTGATAATTCAGTTTATTACTAGAACAGTTCACTGCAGTAGGAAGACGATATCAGTGGACTGGTTTCACGGCGGTTGCACACACCAGCGGCTGAGAATGAAATACAGCACCTAATTCCCCTAACCATCATTCCTTTACACCCTCCACTCTGCCACCCTCTGTGCCATCCAACGGAGGCCCTTCATGCCCTCCTGTGGCAGCCTTCTCGTTATTCCACTCCTCTGGCGTCATGCATTTTGCGCTCCACGCATGTATGGACGAGATTTCGTCCTTCAGAGCTCCGTTCACCAGCCGGTGCCGCTTGAGCGAGTTTTTGCCTGCAAACTCGGGCGAGACTATGAGGGCTGTAAATGACTGGCCGCAGCCTCCTGTCAGGTTGAAATAAGACTCTGTCAGTTCTCATCGCAATGGGCTAGAGTGAAGTGAGGGGCTGAGGGCGAAGCAAGCGCCGGCAGGGTTCGGGGATGACGTCAGTGCTTAAGTTGCAAAGAGTTCGCGCCATACCAGACATATCTTGCACTTCTACATGAGTCGCCTTGAGCCGCTCGGTCAGCGCTGCTTTTATGGCGTCTTCTGTTATCGACATCTGAGCCATCGTTGAGTGTGCATGTGGTTTGTGACTGTCGTCTGAGATGGCAGAAAGTTGCCGAAACAGTGGATGTTTATAGGTCCTCTGCATCCAGGTCTTGGCGCTGCGGGAAACCATTAGGGTAAGGGTCTATCTTGGCCATTGGATATTGGAGCTAACTGCTTACAGTTGAACTTCGACGTGCATTGACACCAGCAGTTCCAGTGCTCCTGCGCCAGCTTGAACAGGGCCGTCAAACCTGCAAAGGTCCAGATGAAATCCGTCTTTTCTGCCATCAGAGCCCCAAGACTAATTCCAGCAACCCGGGTGATTCGACCAGCAATTTTTACCAGACCTTTCACGATGGACCAGACACTGCAATGTCCACCATTCACCCAGAAGGTTGTCCAGGCGATGCGGACACTGTAAATGCGAACCCGAAGAATTGCTAGATAGCACAGTTACTGACACAAGATCAGATATCCCGAAGAGCTTGCTGACCGGGCTTGGGATAACGTTGGCTTGCTTCAAGAAAATATCCAGTCCGCTTCCGGCGCCTCTTCCATCGTTCTCCTCACCAATGACTTGACGATCCGCGTTGCCGAGGAGGCAATTGCAAAGCGGGCATCGGTCATCGTGAGCTACCGTACGACGCAACTGCCTTGTCTCAAGTCGGCCATAAGTTGACGCTGCATTAGACCCCTTCATTTTCCGCGGACTCAAGTCCATCAACCTAAACGACCCCCATCAACGAATTGTCTTGCAACTCGCCCAACACAACATAGCAGTTTGTAAGTAACCAGTCACATGCAGAAGAGGCTTGATTGACAATCTATAGACAGCCCGCACACTGCTGTGGACGCCGCACCGGGCGGCCTCAACGACTGGCTTGCCGGGATGCTCGACGACGTGACCAATGTGTCCGCCGTCAAGCCCATTGCGGGTTTCACCCCAGAGGGTTTTGAAGGAGCAGGATATGGCCGGCTTGTTAAGCTTGCCCGGCCTTATAGCGTCGGCTGGATTGCCAAAAGATATGCCGATCGCCTCGGTAGCCTGCGCCATGTCATGGTGGCACGGCCTTTCAAGGGAGTGAACAAGTCAAATGAGATTCGAACAGTCGCCGTATGCGCCGGATCTGGCTATGACGTGCTCAAGGACACAGCGGCGGACCTGATTGTCACGGGCGAGATGAGCCACCACAACGCGCTGAGGCTAACGATGGTCGGCAAGTGGGTGTTGACCGTATTCCATAGTAACTCGGAGCGGCAGTTCTTGGCGGAGGTCCTGCAACCGCGTTTGCAGAGGCTGCTGCGGGAAACGGAGCAGGACGCAGAGGTGTTGGTTAGCAGAGAGGATACGGATCCGTTTGTGATCTGGGATGTAAAAGATCTACCAGACTTATGAAATCCGAACTCAACGAACCAGGAGGATTACTTAGAATCGGTTCTAGGATCGAATCAAGCTGTTTGCTTCCTACCTGGAAATAAGCGATAGCGGACAGTGGGCGCGATAAGGAAGTCGCTTGAATGGATGAATTGAATTAAGGCACAACGTTTTTTCACGGCTTCACGTATGCAGATCCTTCAAGATCCCATACCCATCCATCTGGGCATCACGTCGTGGTGCTAGCAACCGCGCTCCTCTCTCGCTCTTGCCCCCCGTCTCCCGCTCCTTCCCCCCTAACAAGCGCCGCATCCCCCTCCTCAATCAACGCGACCACATCTTCTCCTCCTAAACCCTTCTCCCTCCACCTCTCCAATAACTTCCTCGGCACTTCCCACTCCCTCCTCGCATCCTCCTCTCTCCCCTCGTCCATCAACCTCCTCAACCGCCCAGGAACCTGCACCACCTCTCTAGCCAACATCCTTGTCCTCCTCTTAGCGTCATCACCCCCTTCACCTTTTTCCTCCTCTGGCCGCCCAGCCTCCCCTCGTTCCCCAAGCTCAGCCCTTAACCCCTCCCTCACGGCCTTGGCAAGCTCATAGACGCGTTCAACCACAACCCCAAGCGCCGCACCGCCCATCGTCCCGCCGCCACCATTATCATCATTATTGTTATTATTATTATCCATGGTAGCCCTCATCCGGCGGATGGTCTCGGTCGCGGCGATGAGCTTGCTGTAGTTGTCGTAGACGAGCGCCTTTTTCTCGGCGTCAAGCGCCCGCATCTCGGCCAGCACCCGCGTGTAGGTCCGCAGCAGGTCCGCCAGGGACCCGTGCTCGAGCAGCTGCGCCATATACCGCTCCGCGTCGAACCCGGGCTGGTCGAGCTCGGCTGTAAGCGTGCTGCTGCTGGTTGTTGCTGTTCCTGTGGCAGGGTTGTTGTTGCTGTTGAAGAGGTTGAGGCTGTTGGCCGGGTCGTCGCCATCGGTTATTTCTACCGTCGGGGGCGGCGGCGGCGTCGAGGGGAGGGACTTATTCGCGCGGAGGTTGTAGTACTCGCGGAGGGCGGCACGTTTGGCGCGTTTGTCGGTTGTTGTCGCGGTTGTGGTTGTGGAGGTGTTGTTCCCGCTGGGCGAGCTGGTTGTCGAGGCTGGGATGTCGAGGCTGGGGCGGGATGAGGAGGTGGGTGTGACCAGCGCTTGGGATGAGTTCGCGCGACGAGGAAAGGGCGCGGAAGGGTCCCGGGGGGAGGCGATTGTGGACATGGCGGCGTTGGCTGGTTGAATCAACTGTGAAGGCGTAGATTGTCATGCGAGTCGGCTCTAGATGTGGTGTTGAGGTCGAGGAAGGGGCAATTGTACCCTCGTTGTGTCTCCCGGATGAAGCTTGGAGCTGAACAGAACTGTCACAGAAGCCCTTGGTATGGAGCTTAGTTACAGTGTACGTAGCCCCATGAATGAATGATGAAGCTCTCTGGACAAGGGGTTGAAGTGGGGCTTGGTTTCCGGTTTCGTGGAACAGCGCTAGCCGGGGAGTGGTCCCGCAACTGCAAGGGTCACTTCCCCACAATCCGTGGGGTATCACTGCAGGTACGGAGGTACGGTCGTTGAAGGTACCTCGCAGATACAAAACACATCAGGCAGCTTCTCACTGCTTCACATCCACATTCCCGTTAACGCGAAAGGGCGCCACAATTGAAAGCCTGTTTCAAGCCAAACCTTCATTTCAGATATCTCGGGATTCCATGGTGACAACTATATATCTTCTCTACCTTACGCCTCGATACAATTGAGGCATCCAAACCCAAATGACCATCACCTCCCGACCATCTTGAAGCGTACGGAGTACCTTATTCAAGTTCCATCTAACTGGTGCACTTTCAAGTCTCAACCCTCTTTTGGATTTTACATAAGAAAACCAGAAGAGGCGAGGAAGGAGGGAGAAAACCAAGCACGAAAAGACGGGAAAAACCAGCCCGAAGATGGAAACAGCCCGCCACCTTCAAACCTCCCTCTCCTCCCAATCCATCCCCACCCCGTCCCTACAATGGCTCTCGGACCTAGTCTCCTCACGCTCGCAGCGCACTACAGCGCCACCGCCACCACTCGCCTCCTTGCTAGCAACGGCTCGCGCGCGGCTGCTGGCCGCTGACCTAACCACGCCGGGGCTTTTAGACGCCGGGTACGCGTCGGCGCACGCGCTGCCAGAAGGGTTACAGCTGAGCGGCGTGACGCGGCGCGAGTCGCGGCTCCCGCACGACGTGGTGGTGCAGGTGCTCGATCTCGAGGACGTGAGCCGGTCCCGCTGGGAGCAGGTCGAGGAACTTGAGGCCATCCAGCGCGGCGAGGGCACTAGGGGCAGGGAGGTCATTCGGTTACCTGTTGCTGGGGAGGATGGGGAGGAAAGCGGAGAAGGTGAGGGTGAACAGCAGCAGGAGCAGCGGCAGCAACGGCAAGGGCAGAGCGCTGGCGGCAAGAATTCCACGCACAAGCTGGTGGTGCAGGACTGCAAAGGGCAAAAGGCGTATGCGCTCGAGTTGAAGCGGGTGGACAGGATCGCGGTTGGGAAAACGAGTATTGGGGAGAAGATACTGCTCAAGGCGGGGACTACGGTGGCGAGAGGGGTGTTGATGCTCGAGCCGGGGCAGTGTGTGGTGCTTGGAGGCAAGGTTGAGGCATGGCACCGGGCGTGGGTTGATGGGAGACTGGCGAGGTTAAAGGAGGCAGCGGCCGCTGATGGTGCCGAGAGTGGCTAGCGTTGCTTCAACGGACAAGACGTCTAGTGTTGATACCCATGGTTTTCTTTTGTCTAACCTAATTGTGCATCGCATGATACAGCGAATCGGGACCTGACATCTCATCCTGCTTTGACTACATCTCCCAGCCGTAGCCAGCCGGACTTTTCCCACGGGGCCACCATGATGGCTGTCTGGGCATCCCTGACTCGGCCGGTCCCAGCATATGCCCGCGCCAGTTCTTCCGCAGCGAGGTCTCCCCTCGGCGGCACTCCCTTCAAGGCAACGCGCAGCGCCATCTCGGCGGCGCTCTCGCCCTCTTCCCCTCCGACCGTCCCGAGCTCTGCCCAGCCATGCGGTAGGTACGGGTGGAACATGACATCCGCCTGCGCCTGGCCCGTCGCGAGCTCCTCCGAGTCGCCGACGCCTTTTCCGGACGCAGCAATAGCTCTTAGCACCTCTCCAAGCCGGCTCTGCTCGGAAGGCGTGACCCCTTCGTCGCTCGCCCGCAGCGTCTGGAGTTCCGCCATGACTGCCTCCAAGCTCTCTTTGTCCTCGTCCAGGAGCGCAATCACGCCAAGCAGCAAGACAGATTGCACATGGTCTGGCGCTCGCTCAATGACGCCGAAAAGCACCTCCCGCGCACGCTCCCTCGCCTCCTCTCTGCCGGTAGCCCACAGCACCTGCGCCAAAACACAAGCAACATCGGGATTGCCATCCGACTCGTCAATGGCCGAGTCGAAACAAGCCACCGCATCGTCGATGCGGCCCAGGTAGTATTGCGCCAAGCCCATCGTGACATGGGCACTAAGCCTTACTCTCTTACGCTCTTCTGCCGTCAGTTCGCTGTCAGACTCGTCGCTGCTCAGCTGGAGGGACAGCTCGGCGGCTTCGATCGCCTCCTCGTTTGACCCGGCCGCAAGGTAGGCTCGAGCAAGGTCGGCTTTGGCTATGGCAAACTGCTTCAGGGACTGAGGCGACTCGGTAACCTCATAGTCCGCCTCGACGGCAGCACAAACTTTCTCGAGCGTGGCTACAGAGCGGTTGTGCTCGTGGTTACGCTCCCGGAAGAGCGCGGACAAATGGGCGTAGGCGAGATCCCGGGGATTGAGTCCCTGGAGCTGGCCGAGGGCAAGGATTGGTTGGAGGAGAGCCGTGACGGGTACCTCAGCGGGAGAGGTCAGGAGATGGTCAAACATTGAGACCGAGTAGTGTCGTCTAACCGCTATGGATGAGCTCTCGGCTATGTCCATGGCGTGCGTGAACAGGCCCCGCGCTTCCTTTTGGTCGCCGAGCATCAGAGCCACGAGGCCCTGGCCGAGCCAGGCGTGAGAGTGATCAGGATCAGCCGACTGAGCTCTAGTAAAGGCCTCGTTGGCGAGCTGAACGTCACCCTGAAGGAGAGCTAGCGTTCCCAGGTTTGTCCAGGCATGCGCGCCTCTCTCGTTCAGGTGCAAGCTGCGCACAAACGAATGCTGCGAAACTGCCGGGTTCACGTTGCTGGTCACAACTCCGAGAGCATTCCAGAACTCAGAGTTGCCTGCTTCGAGCTCTATGGCCCGCTTGAAGGATGCTATGGCCGCTTTCAGGTACTTCGTCGACTTCTTCCTCAGCCGTGCGGGAAGACATGTGTGAGCTCGGTACTCTGCCCACCCCAGGTTGTAGTAGGCTACCGCCTGGGCGTGGAAGTCGTTGGCAGAGACATGAACGGCGCGCTTGTGAGCGAGGATTGTGGTGTGAAGGACCCTTTGTAATTCAGCGTCGATGTCCCCGGTGCCGCCGTTGGTTTCCGTCATACCAACCCCATCAATGTTGCTGAGGACCTGATACCCCAAGACCGCATCATCGGTCCCGATCAACTGTTGGACCAGCTCCGTTGGGAATTGAGACGTTCGGTCCTGGACGCTCGAGAATAGGGAGCACGCGTCTGCTACCGCTTTCCAGAAATTGAATGTCTCCTTGATCGTTTCCCGGGCTTGTACCGCAAACTTGATTGTCTCGACGGCTAGGTCGATTGACTTTCCGAAGAAACCCTTGTCTAGGCTATACAAGGCGCTGTCAATCGTCGCTTGCATCAGGGCAATCGCCACACCCGCCTCATCTGGACGGGTTTCAACGATTTCCCGATAGAGTGCAACTGCCTCGTCAAAGTCGCCCAACTCCCGCTTTATGTCGGCGAGGATAGACTTGGTAAACCACGTCTCTCCGGACATGTCAGCCGCGGCTGCACCCTCAAGCTTCTGGGCATTTAAAATTGCCTTGGTTGCCGCGATGTAGCGGCCGGAGCCGTGGTAGCTCTCTCCCAGACCAACCCACGAGTGGTAATCGTCTGGGGACATCCTCAAAGCTGCCTGGAAAGAGACGATAGCCTTGTGGTAGTCCTGCTTGTTGAGCTCGGCGACGCCGAGGGCGGCGAACGGCCAGCTAATGCCCTTCCGCTTGGAGCCAGGGGGAGGCTTGACCTTGCCCGAGTCGACAACTCGCTGAGCGACAAGCTCGACACGATCCCAATCTCCGTCATCTGCAAAGGATCTCGCAAGCCTTTCTGCCGATTGGGTTTCGGAGGGCGAAAGCTCGAGGGCTTTCTGGAAGCATTTCCGGGCTCGTTTCTTGTCCTTAGCATAGTCGGCGTAGTACAAGCCCAGGCTTGTGTAGGCTGGTGCGTAGTTTAGGTTGTTCTTAAGGGCGTCGATGAAGTATGCATAGGCGCCTGTGCGGCTTTTCCTAGCTGCCCTTGACGTGTCAATGTTCCAGACGCAGTACCCGATACGGTACTGCGTCTGTGCGAGTAGCTCCTTGTTTACTTGCCCCTTCCTGGTCAGGGGCTGAATGCAGCTCTCTAACTCGGCTTTGCTGGTTTCAAAGTCACCTTTCAAAGCCTTTACCCAGGCGGCCTCTGTCCTGACACGAAGATTGTCCGGGTCACGCAGCAGGGCCCGCTCCAGAAAGTTGATTGCCTCGTCGTACTCTTCCTCCTCTTCGTAGATCAGGCCCACTCCGATCATGGCCCGGGTCGACGTTGGCTCATGGGCAAGTACTGCGTCAAACAGACTTTTGGCTTCCTGGTGATGCCGAGGAGACTGGTAGAAAACCAGCGCTGTGCCAAGATAAACAGAGAAGGCATCCTCAGTGTTTCTGAACTCCCGGCCCGTCTTGGAGCGCTCCTGGTTCAAATGCTCGAGCGCTTTGCGCATGAGCTCGACATTGCTCTCATGCTCTTCAATGTGCTGATAATATTCTCCTGCCAATCTGTAGGCAAATAGCGAGTTGGCTGTGGCGATACCTTCCATCATCATCAGTAAGCGGTCCTCCTCGGTCAGGGGAACATATGATGTAGGCGCTCCTCCCGCTTCATCGTCCTCGCTTTCATCCTCGCTTTCGCCGCCCGTGGCAGGGGCGGGTTGTCGTGACGTCTCCTTCGGAAAGGGGGAGATGTCGCTCGTCAGGAAGGCCATGATGACTCTGTTGAGATCGCTATCTGGGAAAAAGGCGCAGTACTGTCTGAGCACGGTGACATCCCAATTGCCAATTTCTTTGTGGTCTTGCCAGTCAATTGCAATATCCCACGCGAGCTTGAACGGATGTCCGATGATGACCATGTCGTTGGCCAGCTTTTGAACGTTGGCTGCTTCCCGCTCCTTTTGTTCGCCCGGCGCCCAGGCGAGAAGTCGCTCATAGCAGTATTGTAGGAGCTTTTCCTCGTAAGTCCGGCGCACTTCATCGTCGGATGCCCAGTTGATCAGCTGCCCATAGACGTATCCCAGCCTGCTCTGCTGGTATACTTCCCTTTTGACTTCAAGGGTCACTTCGCTGATCCGTGCACCTATTCGTGTTCGACGCTCTCCAATCAATGTGTTGATTCGCTTTTTCTCTTCTGCCTCGACAATCTGCGCCTGGATCTCGTATGTCTTGGCTGGATTGGGGACACGGCCCTCAAGAGCCGGGTAGATGGGACTTTCGGGTAGGATCAAATCCAAGGCGTCAACATACTGATCGCGACTTCCGTGCGTCCGCGCATGGTCGATGAACTTGTCTACGACATCCTGACACTTGTACATCTCATCGGCATCCCGGTAAAACTCGGCCAGCTTGAGGGCAGCGTGTTGATACTGCTTCAACTTCTTGCCTCCTTGTCGCTGATAGAGCTTGATGAGACCCTGCCATGCTTGCGCGTCGCCGGGCTTGAGCTTGGTGGCAGCAAGGTACGCGGTCTCGGCCTGGTCGACCTTGTTCGTCTTGTCCAGGGCAAATGCCAAGAAGATGTGTCTGTGATAATCAGCAACTGCGGGTGTGTCCAGGAACCTGAAGCGTTTGGCGGATCTTACCCTTGGTAGTTTTTACCATCTTTTTGAAGAACCTCCTCAGCGGCTTCGATTGCCGCATCCCATTTTTGCTGTTTGATGGCTTCATTGACGGCCTTGAGCAAGGCCTTCGTGCCAGACATTGCGAGGTCTGGCGGACTTGTGCGCTGCTTAGTACCAGGCCTGGGTTTGAAGGCCGGTGAAAGCAGCTTTTTAGGATAAAATGGCTCTTGCTTGCCGGTGGAATAGATATCGAAGAGGGTAGATTTATACCTGAAGTGTTGAAACGTCAGTTGAGTTGTCGACGCCTGAATTTGGATGACTGATTGACAATTCGCAGCTTTTTGTTCCCACAAGCGAGTTTGTCGAGGATCGGGAAATGCACAGTGAAATGTTCAAAATATGACACTCCAGCCCGTTCTCTAAGACACCATAGCTCGCAATAGCAGAGGGTGCATTGTACTGTGAAACTCGTGCCGGTTGATGAATCCAGCCTGGACTTTCATAACCCAACCTTTGAAGTCATGAGGGAATTCTCTATGTTAACCCTAACCCCTGTCGACCCCGCGCCTGCCACCCCGCTGGAACGGGGGGTGCTCTGAGCTCCGCCTATCGGCTTATCTCTTATCTTTCGATCTTATCGCCCTAAAAAAAAGAAGCTTCTGTTCCATCATCCACGGCAAGAACAGCATTGCACAGACGGTAGTCGCTTGCACCCGCAAGAAATCAACACTTCCCAGAAACAATGGATTCGGCTCCAGCAAAGCGGAGGAAACTGGACCACGGACATGATGGGGCCAAAATGGCCCTGGAAACCGCTTCTTCTACGGGAATTTCCAGGTCCCGCGCCTTTGTTCTGGAAGCCGAGGAGCTCCTAGACACTGTTCGCTTGGACTATGAAACAGCATTCGATGGCGCCGACGGTTTTCTGCACCGCATAAAGGGCTCAATTGAGGCGATCAAGCCACATGAGCCTCTTCCCGTATGAGAACCGAGTTCTCAAGCTGCAGAGCGTATGCTGATTTTACCTAGGTCGCCGAGGCAGTATCAAAGCTCGAGAAAAAGCACAAGATTATAGTCCCCTTTCCGGATCCACCGCCGCCCGAGAATTGCAACTACAAGTTCTCCTTCGCTAAGCCTACCTGCTTCAACGTCGTGGGCAGCTATGTCTCCAAGACCATGACTAAGACACAAAAGGCCCATGGCATCGACATGGTCTTGGTTTTGCCCGAGGAAATTCTGCAGGAGAAGGACTACCTTGATCTACGATACTTCTACAAGAGGGCATACTACTTGGCTGTAGTCGCTGCTACGCTGCGGAAGGATTTTGCGAACGAGGGCCAGCTGTCATTTGAGTACCTCAACGGCAATTCATTATGCCCTGTCTTGAATTTCCAACCTAAAATTTCCCGGGGTTCGGAAAAGCCGGGAGATAAGAGCGCCCTCGACTACAGGATACGGATTATCCCATGTGCGCCAGACGGCTTCTTTCCCAAGGCAAAGCTCTCCTTAAAAGCCTCCCTGGTCCGCAAGGCACGAGAAACGAATGAGAATGCCACCCAGCCGACACCGTTTTACAATTCGACGTTGGCTGCCGAGAGCTGCTTTCTGTCGTACCTCAAAGTCCTGCGTCAAGCTGAGAAAAAATGCGCAGCATTCAAGAATGCTTGTATCTTGGGGCGTATCTGGTTACAGCAACGAGGTTTCGGAGGGGGCATTTGTGAGGGTGGGTTCGGCCACTTTGAATGGGCGGTGCTGCTGGCCCTGCTCCTTCAAGGAGGCGAGAGCAAAACGCAGGTTGCCTTGTCGCCATCGCTCAGCAGCACGCAGCTCTTCAAAGCAGTCACCCAATTCCTCTCAGTAACCGATTTCGCCAAGAAGCCTTGCATTCTTGGTCCGGGCAAAGCAGAAGCGCAACTATGTACCGAGGCTGGCCCCATCCTCTACGACTCGGCTCGACGGTTGAACATAGCCTTCAAGATGGGGTCCTGGTCCGCCGCCTTGCTTCACCAGCACGCCAAGTGGACGCGCAGCCTGCTGAGCGACAGTGCGATTGACCAGTTTAGCCCGACATTCATCCTCAAGGCGGATCTTCCATCTCACACGTTTGACCTGGTTGCTCGTCTGAATTGTGGGGCGTCAGAGGATGTGGCGGCCGAGTTGGACTCTTTTGGGTCTCGAGGACGGATATGGAAACTCAGCAGCACAGTCTATCGAATCTTGAGGAGAGCCTTAGCGGACGAGGAGCTTGGAGAGAGAGCTCGGCTGATTCACATCCAGACCCCCAGTTCCCCGGCATGGCCGCTGACGGAGCGTTCCAAATCGCAAGAAGGCTCTACGCTTCAGATTGGTGTTCTCTTTGACCCTGTTAACATGGCACGGACGGTGGATCGGGGCCCGTCGGCGGGCCCAAGTGCTGAGGAAAAGGAAAAATGCGAAAAATTCCGTAGATTCTGGGGCGACAGGGCGGAGCTCAGGCGCTTTGAGCGTGACACTATCAGGGAAACATTGATTTGGGCGTCGACGACGCCTTTTGACCTCTGTGAGGAGATTATGCGGTATATCCTCAATCTACACCTGAGAATTGGCCAAAGCCAAAGCGATATCAGCTTCCACGGCAGCGGGCTGCCGGCTCTACTCTCGCTCAAGCCTGCGGATACGGCACTATTCAATGTCGCGCGGAAAGCGTTCGGCACCTTCGAGCGTGATATTCGGGATTTGGATGACTTGCCGCTTCGGGTGAGACAGATTGCACCCATTTGCGCCGAGCTTCGATATTCTTCGGTCAAACCCCCGGCGTTCGGGTCATCCAAGTCGGGCCCGAGGCCGATGGAGTGCATTATATCGTTTGAGGCATCCGGAAAGTGGCCTGAAAGCTTAGTTGCGATTCAGCGAACCAAGATCGCCTTTCTTTTAATGATCGGCAGTCTTCTGGAGAAGAGCAAGCCTGGTGAAGTCAGGACGCACGTTGGGCTGGAGGACTCAAAGTTTGAGACTGAAAACCTTGCATTCCTTGACGTTGTCTATGAGGCCGGGCCCTCGTTTCGTTTGCGGATACATAGTGACTTGGAGGAGACGCTTCTCGAACGACAGGTCAAGGACAAGACTTCGGAGCAGTACCTTCGCCAGCGGGCGACAACTCTGCTTGCGGCATTCAGGCGGTTGTACACGAATTTGCCTCTGCACAACCAGTACCTTACTACCTCCGCTACGCGGTTCCCTGCCTTGGGTCCAACGATCCGTCTCGTGAAGCATTGGTTCAATGCTCACATGCTTTCCTGCCACTTCACCGCGGAATTCATCGAGTTGGCTGTTCTCCATGTCTTCTTATCGCCATACCCTTGGGATGCACCTTCGAGCGCCAGCACCGGCTTCACGCGAACATTGCTCTTCCTTGCCCGTTGGGACTGGCGCTCTGAGCCCCTTATCGTCGACACGGGCGGAAACATGCCTGCGGCAGAACGGGCGTCGATCGAGACGCGACTGGAAGCGTGGCGCAAGATCGATCCCAACATGAACCACACCGTTTTGGTTGTTGCCACTGCCCAGGAGCCTAGCGGTGTCGCTTGGACAGCAACCGATGGTCAGCCAAAGCCTTCCAAGGTTGTGGCAGCTCGGATGACATCCTTGGCCAAGAGCGCATCCCGGTTGATCAGGGAGGAGGGTGTAGGACTCGATTGCAGAAGGCTGTTTGTGCCCTCCTTGAAAGACTATGATGCGCTCATCCATTTGCACAGCAAGGCACTTAGAAGCACCCTAAAAACATACGCTACGGTCGATATCGAGGAGGCTGAGAGTACTGGCCGCTCCAAGTTCAAGAATCTAGATGAACGGACCGGCCAAGAGCCGCTACCTCTGGCACAGCATCCCGCAGAGCTGTTCCTGAAGCGCCTGGGTGCAGCGTACTCCGGCCCGCTGGTCTTTTTTCACGGTGCGGCAGACGACAGCACCATCGGCGCGATCTGGAATCCACTGATGCAGAGGCGGAGTTTCAGGATCAACCTGCCCACTTCATACAAGCCGGTCGTTGGCCAAAAGCGTTCCAAGGAAGACGAGCAGGAGTCAGGTAATGCCGAGGATGAGGATCTGGTGGATGTAAATAAGGAAGCAATCCTGGCGGAAATTGCGAGGATAGGGGCAGATTTGATAGACAGGATTGAGGTGAAGGGGACATAGTCACAAACATAGAAATGGATACGTGGTTGTCTCATGCATTGATGGGTTGTCATACAATGTGCTCTAATTGGCGTGACAGAATGCGGGTTTATGACTATAATCCCGTACAGACATACAAAGCAGAACGTCTAGGGTATGAGCATAGCCCCCGAAGGCTCAAACTACCGCATGCAAAAAGGTAGTCCTGGCGTGGCAACCTCCAACGTCTGGAACTTCGGTTGCAACCCCATCAATTCCCCCCTAGTGGACCATTGCCTCCCCCTGCTTGTTGAGGACTCCGGCACCAGAGTCGGGCTCATCCACCTCCATCTCGTTGCCCTCACCAGTCTCCATCTCTCCACCCTCCTCCTCTTCGAGAAGCTCCTCTTCACTCTCGTCCTCGATGTCCACACTGCCGTCGTCGGACATTTCGTCCTCCTCAACCCCGTTCTCGCCCTCAACACCTTCCATCTGAGCATCCTTGTCTCCAACCTCTTCGCCGTTTGCGGCACCTTCGACAGCCTCTTCCTCCTCGAGCTCCTCAGCGCCGTACTCTTCCTCATCGGCAACAAGATCGGCTTCCGGCTGCTCAGGAGGAAACTCTGCAGGAGCCGAAGCCTCGGAATCCCTAGGCAAGAGAGGGAAAGATGTCAGCGACGGAACGAATTAAAGCACAGGTAGAATGCAGGATGCAAATAAGAAAAAGACAACAACGTACCACTTGATGGCAAACCGCGTCACGCGCGGCTTCTCGGCGAGCACATTGCGGCGAATCTTTTCGATGACGGGCTTGGCGGGAGGATCGTTGGCCAGCTCCTCGCTCTCGTACTCGTTGTTGACGTAGTAGCCGACGCGCACAAACTCGCGGCCGTCGTAGGCGCACGTGAGCAGGATGACGGTCACGCCGAGCAGCTCGTCGATGGGGATGCGCTTGGTGTCGGGGGGGTCCGCCTCAAACACAAACTTGTTAATGCCCACGGGGATCGGCCCCACGAGCAGCTCGTCCAGCAGCTGGTCGTAGTTGTCCGACTGCGCCGAGCCGACGTACGTGAGTCTCCATTCGAGGTCTGTGGGCGGGGGAGAATCATGGGGGTTAGTTATCTTTTATAGGAAGCTTTTTGTTCTTCTTTTGCGCAAGGGAGCAACGGGAAACAAGGAGACACGCACCCTTCTGCAATGGCTCCAGACATTCAAAGGTGATTTCGAATTCGTACTTGTCGGTGAACTTGGCGGGATTGTTCATCACATTGACCCCGAGAAGCGACACAACCGACATGTTGGAGGTTGGTAGTGAAGCAGAAATATAACCGAGTATAGATTGAAGTGTGAGATATCAGGAAGACAGAAGTTCGCGACGATAACTGGGAGAACAGTCGGTTGGCTCTAGCTGGGGTTGAGACTCAGCAACAAAAGTTGGAAGCCGAAAAAGAGTGGGTAGGTTTGCAGAAAAGCGCTTTAAGCAGTCATGTTTATTTTGGTCGCCTATTCGCTCGAAATTAGACCGCAAACAGTTGAGAGGGGTTAGGACGTTAACACGCGCTGGGCGTACTTTGCTGGGCACCCTAGACCTTCCTTGCGAAAAGTGGTCGCGCATGTGGCAGCGTCGCGGGGGTTTCTAGGTCTCGAGTCGCGTAAATTGACCGCAGCCCAGAACGCGTCGGCCGCGCCTAACGTAACATTCACCTGTTGACAGCCCCACCTGACAATGCTTGGCTGAGGCTGAACTGGCTACTGAGTCTGGTCCTAATTACACCGCCACATGCAAGTTAAGGTACCTAGTTACCTAGTCAAGCCACATCTGCTTGCCATTCGTGCCAAGCATTGGCTCGATTGCTGTTCTGGAACCTAAGGTCGTTCGTAGCTTTGCTCGGTTTTTCTGCAAGAAATCTGTTGATCGCAAGAAACTCCCAGCCACATGCGATTTCACCTTCACGTACTGCGCTCAGCCCTCTGAAGAGGCACCATCGTCGGGCGATACTAGTGTGACGCATTTTACACGTTCCTTTGTGTGGTTTGCGATCTCTGGCGCAAGTTTCTTTTTTCCAGTTTCTTTGTTGCATCCGCTTGCCTTCTTGATCGCCCGATCCCATCATATATTCTTTCAATCCCTTCGCATCTCTGGCGCCGAGCTCGATAGAAACACAGTTCCTGGTGCCAACCCACAAGACATCCCGTTCGACATCGCTTGCCGCGAAACCCGCCGTGACGAGCACCCCTGCGGCTCTCCTGCACTTCGACAATTCCCCGCAGCCTTGTTGTGAGCGCTAATCTTAATCACGGTCTCCCGCATTGTCGGGCCCTTAGTTGAAGTGTCGCGGCAACGGTTGCGTCCACAGCCAACGCGAGCGCCTCTCGACAGCCGGCGTATTTCAAAGTTACTGTCTCGGCACGCTTCCCAGCTCCGGTCGACGTGCGAACGCTTCACAGTCAAGCCGGTCCATTTCTCTCGAGAGCCGGACCTTGCCGAGCACAATGGCTGAATACGATCCCAGCCACCAAAGCGGTACTTGGGATGATGATGAGGGTTATGAGATGGCAGATGGCAACCACAAAGAGCATATTGAAGAGCATAGCAACGATGAAGATCAAGCACAGTATTCTGTCAACATTGCCCAAGATGCCCCAGGTGACCACTCATCTTCTGATGGCGCCACCGACGATGGTGGTGACTATGATCCAGAATCAGTCACTTTTGCACCGGTTGAGACTCAGGTTCCCCTGAGGTCTTCTCCGCCGCGTGCTGCCAAGAAGAAACCTCGCACGGCAGGAGGCTTCCTAGTGGGAGACTCTGAGTCTGAAGATGATGAGGCATCTGAGTCTGCTTCTAGTGGCGCTGCATCGCAGTCATCTGTCCCACAACCCCAGCCACAACCACCTATAACTACCCAGCCTGCCAGTGCTACTGGCGCTCTGCCCAACGCATCTCCTGCTCCTCAGTCAAATGCCGCTGCGACTGTTGCCGTCGCCAAATCGGAGAATGGCGAGCCTAGTGCTTCCTCTGCTCTGGGAGCTGCAGTTGGCTCCGAGTTTCCAGCCCCCGTTGATGACAAGATTGCTCAGCTGGAAAACCGCATTCGGGACGATCCGCGCGGTGCTATGGATGCCTGGTTGGCGTTGATTGCAGAGCACCGATCGAGGACCGATGTTGAGCAAGCGCGGAAGACATATGATCGGTTCTTTGCCGTTTTCCCACAAGCTGTAAGTTCCCAAATGACTCCCAAGCACTCACGCTTAACCGGTGACTGACAAATCCTCCAGGCTGACGTTTGGGTCGATTATCTAACCATGGAGTTGGAGATGAACAACTTTCCAGAAGCGGAGCTCATTTTCAACAAGTGCCTCTTGACGACGCGCAATGTAAACCTGTGGACCAAATACCTCGACTATATCCGCCGGAGGAATGACTTGAATGACAGCACTGGTCATGCTCGTCAGACTGTTTCACGCGCTTATGAGTTTGTCATTGACAATATTGGCCTCGACAAGGATTCAGGCAAGATTTGGGCTGAATACATTCAGTTCCTCAAGTTTGGCCCTGGCACTGTGGGAGGGAGTCAATGGCAGGATCAGCAGAAGATGGACCAATTGCGCAAGGCTTACCAGCGAGCCATCTGTGTCCCTATTGCCAACGTGAACACCTTGTGGAAAGAGTACGATCAGTTCGAGATGGGACTTAACAAGCTAACCGGCCGCAAATACATGGCGGAAAAGTCCCCGTCTTACATGTCAGCAAAGAGCGCCAATACCGCGCTCGAAAACATCACCAGAGGATTGCAACGCACGACTCTTCCTCGATTACCCCCTGCGCCCGGCTTCGACGGCGACCAGGAGTACATGGAGCAGGTTGAGATCTGGAAGAAGTGGATTGCATGGGAAAAATCCGACCCCCTAGACCTCAAGGATGACAAAGACCAGCCAGATCTGTACCAGAAACGCATTCTCTACGTTTACAACCAGGCATTGATGGCCCTGCGGTTCTGGCCTGAGATGTGGGTCGACGCTGCGCAGTGGTGTTTCGACAACAATGTCACATCAGCAGACGGAAGTTCAACTGGCCTCGATTTTCTCACTCGGGGTATTGAGGCAAACCCAGAGAGCGTCTTGCTCGCTCTGAAGCATGGCGACTATATTGAAGCTACCCATCCGATCGAGGAGAACGACGAGTCGAAGATCGCACGGGGCAAGGCGGTCCGTGCTCCGTACAACAAGGTGTTAGACACCCTCTATGGTATAATCAAGAGCTTGAAAGATCGGGAGACTGCAGAGATCGCGCGCATCGAGGAAGCTGCTAAAGCAGCTGCCGGGACATCTGACAGCAAGGATGAGGACGATGAGGACGATGAAGATGAAGCTGGGGCCTCCGACAAAGATGCCAAGGACAGCAGGACGGATCACCAGATACGCGCCATCAAACAAGCTTATGCTGCCCAGACGCAGGTGCTTTCACGAACCATCTCGTTTGTTTGGATTGCCTTGATCCGTGCGATGCGCCGCATTCAGGGCAAGGGAATGCCGAATACAGAGCTTGGTGGTATGCGGCAAGCTTTCCAAGATGCACGCCAGCGTGGCCGTCTCACCAGTGACGTGTATGCTGCTGTCGCAAAGCTGGAGTGGTACATCTACAAGGAACCAGCAGGAGGCAAGATATTTGACCGTGGAGCCAAGCTCTTCCCAGAGGATGAGTATTTCACTTTGGAAAACATCAAGTATCTGCATTCACGGGATGACTTTACAAGTTCGTCGCCCATTTCCACCCTTTCTCTCTATGCTCGACTTACTGACTGGACTACAGATGCTCGCGTGCTCTTCGAAACCGTTGTCAACCGTCTAACTCAGAAACCGGAGCTTGTGCACAAGGCCAAGCCGCTCTATGCTTACTTCCACAAGTATGAGTCGCAGTTTGGCGAGCTGGCTCAGATCTCCAAATTGGAGAAGCGCATGGCAGAGCTCTTCCCGGAAGATCCCAAACTTGCCCACTTCAGCGCACGGTACTCAACAGAGAAATTCGACCCGATTGCAGCCAGGATCATAGTCTCGCCAGCTACTCAGCTTAGGCCCAAGCAATTGATCCCCTCGATTGAGCAGGCCACATCTATTTCCAACTCTCCTCGCCCCGCACCGTTCGGGACGCGACATAGCCCTGCGTCGCATTTCATGCCGGCTACAAATTCCCCCAAGAGGCCGCTTCCTCTTGATGATTTCGACGAGCCGAATCCGCCGCGGAAGATCCAACGAAATGACTACGGCGAATTCCAGCGTGGCGCATCACCGCTGAAAGGTGCCGCTGGTCGCCGGCTGGATCAGCAGCGTCGTATGCAGGGTCAGGGCGCTGCCGCATACAACGCTGCTCCAGCTCCGATCGCTCGAGACATTACATTTCTGCTAAGCCAGATTCCCCGGGCCGACCTCTACGACCATTTCCGGATCAACCCCGCCAAGTTGACCAACATGCTTCGGGATACTCATGTGCCGGACTATTCTGCCTGGAAAAGCAGTCGGCAGGCTTCTGAGTATTCCGTTCAATATGGTTACCACAGCCGCGACTCGCCAGCGCCTCCTGGCGGCGCTCGCCCCCTGAGCCCCTACCCAGGAGACGGGGCACGCGGCCGGATGCCTCCTGCGTCTACTTCGTACAGGCAGTCTTCGCTCAGGCCAGGTTCTAGCGGCTCCTATGAGCCTCCTCCGGCGGTGTACGCCCAGTCTGGGCCACCTCCACCCCAGGGACAGTACAATGTCCCGCCTCCGGCCCCGGGACAGTATGATGCTGGTGCCGGTGCCCCTTGGCTGGCATATCCCCCTGCGCCTGTGGTTCAGCAGGGTTACGGGCAGCCGCCGCCGCCGCAGTTGGGATATGGCCAGGCTCCGCCCCCGCCTGCTCCAGGCGGCTACCCCCGCTATTACTAGGACCAGAACTGCGTCGAAAAGATTGTGAATTCGGCACATGAGGCATGAGTTCGAATTCGTCAAAGACGCGCACAGACGTGTCACTGGAAAACCTTGGCCGTCTATCCTCCCCTTCCAAACCGGAGAGGGCTGAGCGATTCGTGCTCACTTAACTTGTTGATTTGTATTATCCACCTCACACCTCTTTGCCGTCCCAACAGGGGACTTGGCTCATCTTGTACGCATATACACAAGGCAAATGGGTTTTCCGAGTTAATGACTGGTGGATCTTTGGGTGCATCTGGGCGTCAGGAAGGGGAGTTTTCAGTGCATCCTCGTTCTTACATGGCGCGAGATACCGCATCTCTTTCTTGATAGAGGAGGAACGATTCAGGAAGAGTGGGAATAGCTTTTTCCAGCCGGCCGTCTTCTTGCTGCGCATAGCTGCCCCAGTTTTAGAGAAATGGACTGGAAGAGATTGGCTCTTGCAAGGAAGCCCTCTGGGTTGTTTGCCGTGTCCCGTGTTTTTCCTATGACACACATTCTGGCACGAGGTAGTAATGGCCAGAGCCAAATTCTATCATAGCAAATAAACGGTTGGGATTGGTATGCTCAGAATCATTGATTGACAGCAGGTCTTCAAACCGGAGTCCCACACTGCCATGGCTGTGATACCATCCGTCCTAGTCCTCGTCACCCAGTCCTGAAGAAGCATCTGGCAGGCTGAACTCTGATATGGGGTTATCCTAGCCTTGTCCTCCTGCCTCCTGCCGGCCCGTCTGCTATGCTTGTGACCAGTTTGGTGTTATCATAGACATTATCAGTCAACACTCATAACTAGGTAGGCAATGGGCATCAGAGTAACAAGCAAGTAATATCAGAAGAAGATTACTATTCTTCCGTAACTCCAGGCCTGGCAGACTGGCTTCGTTGTTCAGTCTGGCTTTGCCATCCGATATCAACTCCCATCCACCGTTACGAGAGGCAATCACTCGCCCTCCTATCTGTCCCCTGACTTCAGCCTCCTGACTCTTGAGGCAACTCCACCAAGTCAAGATAACGATTGGAACCTTCCTTCCGAAGTCTAATTCGCGAGGCACAACTTGGAAGCGAAAAGTAGCCAGGCTGTGGCACGCAACTGCTGCATATGTAAAGTGCCTTTCCTCCCCCGAGCCCTCACTCTTTTCCTCTCCTCCAACCACTCACACATCGTTTGATCTTTGGAATCTGGGCTTTCAATATCCTTCAGGTTCAACTGCATCTCTCGTATCTTAACAACCTTTGACAACCTCACAATCACAAGCCAAGCAATCAGGCAACCCATCGCTCCAGCTGCTCTCTCGGACAGCAGCGCGATCATCACTCTGCGATCCTGCAGAGGAGGGCTTGCTTCCTCTCGTCTCCCGATCCATCATCTGACGGTAAGTACTCCCAAACGGCCTGGATTGGCAAACTGCTGCAAAGTACTGCACGTTTCCGACGGCAACATTCAGTACAAGGAATTTGTCTCGGAGGATATAATATCTTCTGCTTCCTTCACTCTTTCTCCCCTTTGTTTCAGAACCACTACATCTCTTCTCCTGCAGTCAAGTTCAAAACCGAGACCGACCTGGTGGTGGCCATCAAACCTGCTTTTGCTGGTCCCGCCTCTCGCCTTTCTTCCTCCAAACCCTTCTTCCCCTTCGGCCTTCAACTTCCTTCAGCCACTTCCTTCTTAAGCCTTGGTCTCCTACGAGCAATTCCCTTCCAGCTGCTTCCTCCAAGCATTGAGCACGCTGTTCACCAAACCACTCGATTGCAGTACCAAGTTTGAGAGGCAAGTTTGTCGTCATTGATGATTGAACTGGAGCAGTTTGAACATAAAGTGCCTGCTTTCTCTCCTTCCACCGCATGGGCAATCTTGCGCACAGGCAGCAAGATACCTAGCCTTGAGGCGATCGTGCATTCCTCAAACTGTCAAACAGAGAGTGTGCCTTTCGTGGTCCGACCACTGCCATATTTTTCACTCTCCGCAACCCTCCTCTCCCTCACTCTCTCTCCAAACTTCTTCTCTTCATCACTGCCTACTTGGTCGGCTAGCCTCCCACCGACTTGATCGCTGATAGGTCTTCAACAGTAGCGATTTCCGACTGCTGAGTGCCAGTCTGCTAGCAAATTCTGTAAGTTTTCTGCTTTTTCCTGGGTCGTTACTGCCTATCGTTTACTTTGCCCCCTGCCGTTTCCCGGTCGGCAACTGCGATCTTTGCAAGTGCAAACAGCAGTTCACCTCCCCAGGTACTTTTCAAACCATCTCTCCCCCAATCCTCGTTTCCCTCTTTCACTTCAGGCCTTTACCCCGCATAATCAGAGGCAGATATTTCTTTGAGCTTGTTTCTCATGAGCTCGGCCTCGAGGACGCGACGCGAAACTTCGTTACTGCTTCACTTCCATGGTCATCAAATTCAAACGGTTTCCTCACCTCACCCAACTTCAACCCTTCTCACAAAACTCCCTTTCCTGGGCCGAGGAGGCCTTCTGAGTGAATTGAATTTCTTCTCAATTTCTGCTAGTAAGCTTTACTCTGGGAGCACATTCGGACTGCTAGGTGTTGGGCTTTGCACATCACTGCACCAAGTCGTTCATCCATCGATACTCCTCTACACTGTCCGCAGAGCCTACCTCTTCTTTCATCCATATGATATCAATGTTCTGCCCTGCTAACTCATGATTAACCTCTAGAAACTCTCAATCACCAGGCTGCGATTTCCTATCTTCGCGAGCAAGGGTCGTCGCCATGGCGGCCAAAGTCAAGTCTGAGAGGAAACCCGACCCGATGGTCGACCACTTGGCGATTCCGCAGGGAATCAACAAGCGGGTTGATCTGCCGCCTGAGGCCTACTTTGTAAGTCTCTTCACAGAGCTGTTGGGTCATGTTCGCTAATGCCACCTCAGATGCCGGGCAGTACCCACACCCCGTTCGCCGTTCGTCCTGGCTACAATCAGTCAGCCCAGGACATTCGCGTCGCTGTCAATCAGTTTCGGATCACGACCATCAGTAGCCCTGATGTTCACCAGTATGATGTATGTAACCCGCCAGTTCCTTGAAGATCTGTTCCGAGACCTGAAGTTAACCCTTTGCGTAGGTCAGCGTCAAGCGCGAGGGTGTGGAGGTCGACAGGCCCGCGATTTACAAAAAGGTCTGGCAGTGCAAGGCTGTCCAGGAGAAGCTCAAGTCGACTCCGAAACCATGGATCTATGATGGACGCAAACTCGCTTGGTAAGCGTTCGTTGCTAACGCTCCGGAGACTTCACAGACTGACAGAATTATCAGGTCCACGAACCACCTCAAGAGCTTCAAGCTTGAAGTCGACCTTGGCGAGGACGACGGCCATGCGGGCCGCAAAAACAACCAATTCGTGTTCGAGCTGACGTACACGAACAAGGTTCGCATGGAGGCTCTGAGGTCCTACCTTGAAAGGAGGACGAGCTGGGACACCACAGTCCTGGAATGCTTGAGTAAGTCAAAGGCGCCAGGCCCATATTCTAGGCATCGATACTCATGACATCTAGGTTTTCTGGACCACGTACTCCGCCAGGGTCCTTCTGAGAACTTCCTCCTGATCAAGCGGGTGCTGTTCAACAATGTCTCCGAGACGCAACGACTCAACAACTACACCGAGGCCATCAAAGGCATATACTCCGCTATCCGCCTCAACCAGGTACGTCCTGTCATACACCTTGTATCGAGATCAATTCTAACAGTCACCAGCCTTCTCCCGGCGGTAGTGTTGGACTTGGTGTGAACGTTGATGTCTCGAACCAGACCTTCTGGGTCGGCCAGAAATTTGAACAGCTTGCACGCAACTACATCAGTGGTGCGGACAAGAAGTTCGCGAACAGTACGTCGCACATTCCATTTTACTTTATATTACCTTTGTATTTTGTCAACTGTGTTGTGCTAACACGTCTCCAGTGACTTACGATACAATGAAAACGGCTCTCCAGCCAACCTCAACTACCAAGAGCGACGGCTCCAAGACCTGGGTCATGTCTGAAGCCTTCAAGTATCTGCGCCGCCTGCAGAACGTACAATTTAAGGTGGTGCACCGGGGCGGAGAAACTGGTGACACGGTGTACAAGGTGAAGGGCTTCACCTTCAGCCAACAGTATGGTCAACAAGGTGGTCACGCCAAGGCCATTACCTTTGACAGGAAGATGGAGGATGGAACCATCAAGAAGTACTCCATCTTCCAGTACTACCTGGAGAAGTACAAGTTGCGGTTGCAGCATTGGTATTTCCCCCTCATTGAGACTACCCGGGGCGGGTACTTCCCCATGGAGGTCTGCGAGGTGACTCGCTTCAACCGGTTCCCTTTCAAGCTTGATCCTCAACAGGTACGCACTTTTCTCTTATGTCCAATGTGAAAATCCGTGGAGAACGCTAACACCGAGAATCTATAGACCTCAGACATGATCAAGTTTGCTGTGCAGCGACCCCCTCAGCGCAAGGCTGAAATCATGAAAATGGTCGAAAACCTAGAATGGGATAAAGACCGCTATCTGGCACACTTTGGGATCAAGATCAGTCCCGCCATGCCGATGTTCCAGGCCAAACTGATCAAGAATCCCGTTGTGCAGTTCGGCAACACCACCAAGGATCCTAGCACCAGCGGTCGCTGGGATCTTCGCAACGTGAGGTTTGCTGCGGCAAACCCGAGGCCGCTTGTCTCGTGGGCTTTTGTCATTGTTGATGGATGCGTCGACAGGCCCACCCTTGACAACTTTGTTAGGTTGTTCCAGACAACCTATCGTGGCCACGGCGGCGTCATCACCAACGCCCCTGAGATCATTGATCCTCCTCGTGGGCAGTCTCACGAGTCCCTGGTTCACAATTCTTTCTTGCAATGCGGAAACAAGTTCCGAGCCACTCCGCAGATTATCTTCTTCATCCTGAAGGACAAGAATGCGATGGTTTACGATCGCCTGAAGCGGTCTGCCGATATTGGAGACGCGGTACTGACGCAGATGTTGCAGGCGCAACACGTCCGTAGAGCCCAAGCCCAATATTGCTCAAACGTCTGCATGAAGGCCAACGCCAAGCTCGGTGGCCAGACCTCTCGGATTCAACACCCGCCCAAGGGATCATTCTTCAAGGTTCCCACCATGATGATTGGAGTGGACCTATCCCATGGTCATGGCGGCGGTGGTGGAGTGCGGCCGCTGTCGATGGCGGCCATGTGTGTCTCCATGGATAGAGAGGCGGCGATTTACAACGCCGCTGTGCAGACCAACGGCTACGGCGTCGAAATCTTGCAGCCCGGCAACATGCATTCCATGCTTGGTCCCTTGGTTGTGAAGTGGAAGACGAAGTTCAACGTTGCACCCCAACACGTCTTCTACGTCCGGGACGGCGTCTCTGAGGGACAGTTCGCCCACGTGATGGAGTGGGAATTCGAAGAGATGAAAAAAGTCTTCAAGGAGACGGTTGGTGTTGTGCCCAAAATCACCGTCATCATCGCGACCAAGCGCCACCATATCCGCTTCTTCCCTGAGCGCGGAGACAAGAACGGCAACTGCCTGCCCGGCACTCTTGTCGAGCGCGAGGTCACCCATCCTTACCATTACGACTTTTATCTGTGCTCACATTCGGCCATCCAAGGCACAGCCCGGCCGGTGCACTACAATGTGCTCCACGATGAGTGCAGACTTCCCCCTGATGATCTTCAGAGGATTCTCTATCATCAGTGCTACCAGTACTGCCGCTCAACCACTCCTGTCTCGCTGCATCCTGCGGTCTATTACGCACACCTGGCTAGTGCGCGGGCGCGTCATCACGAGGATTTGACAGCAACAGCGAATGGGCAGGAACGTCGGGAGTTGAACCATGTGGTGCTGCTCAGACAGCGAGGCTCCATGGCCAAGCATGACGGGAAGACCAGCACTTCGGTGGACGAGAGTTCATGGCCTCCACTCGTTGAGGTGGGTGCTCACGGAGGCCGCCCGGATGCCAAGCAGACCTTCACCAACACCATGTGGTGGGTCTGAGTTGGGAGAAGGAGGGAGACGGGGGATCGAACGGTTGCCTGACGTGGCGTGGACGGCCGTTGTGTCTGTATAATTCTCATGTATTCTGAGCTTGGCAGTGGCGGATTTGAGGGTCGAGGACAGCTGCGATGATGGCATCTGGTCTATGGCTCTTGTTATCCTCACCACACAAGACCAGAGCAGCATGTTATGACCTCTGTATTTGGAGCTTGGCTGTGGCGGGTTTGGGGGTCAAGGACGGCCCATGGCTCCCGATATCCTCACCACATAAGACCAGAGCTGCATGCTTTCACCACTGTATTTCGAGCTTGGCGGCGGCGGATCGAGTGGACATGGGAGGCAGATGGAAGCAAGGGGCAAGTTTCTGGCATCTGGCTCAAGGCTCGCAAGTTCCTTACCACATAAGACCATAGCACAAAGTTACACCGCTGAATTACACGATGAGTTTCCCCAATGAGGTATTGAGGTTGACTTGCCTGTGACCTCTAAAGGTGTGCTGCATCTGCTGGCAGACTCTAAGATTTCTTAGGGTGGGACAATTGCCGCCAAAGGAGAAGTTTTACGGCAACGCTCCAAGAGACTGACTGAGGAGGCGGTCTGGGGAACATTTGCTGCTCGGTGTCTTCGCTGGTGAGGATTGAAACCTCAGAATTATAGGTCCAACCATGCTGCAAACGTTGGTGATGAGCGGCAAGGTTGAAATAAGGTGAGACTTGACCCCTGGGACAATACCCCTGACGGACAAGGGTGCTGACGCAAGGCTCCACAGCTACAGCGATGGTGATTCGTTTGCCATTGGTGCCGTTGGCCTTGTTGGGCGACCCCACGCAACGTGACGTTATTCGGAGATAACCTAAAAGCACAGCTCCATGTACCCCATTCACTGCAGCAGCCATCCGCATCACTCCTGAACCAACAAGAAGCGCAAGACCGATAACACCAAGACTGCCATCATCAGAGATGGCTAGCTTCCTTCGCGCGCGGCAGGCTGGCATTCAGACCGATCTGTCCGCTGGCATCGCGCCGGGGTCATTTGCGCCAGAAGAGCTGTCTAGGCATGGAATCAATTCACAGATCAGGTCAGTTTGTTTGTACCTCGCGCTGAATTAAGTTCTATGGTGCACTTTGCGCCTTGCATCTCTATACGCACCCAGCCTAGCCCTCGATATTATCACCTCGCCAAATCACCCCAAGCGCATCGTGCTAATGTTTATCATAACAGCTGTCTAGCCTACGACCCCGTGCAGTCCCTGCTGGCCGTGGGAACCAACGAGTCGCAGTATGGCGCGGGGCAGATCTACATCTTTGGCCATCGCCGCGTATGCCGGACCCTGCATCCCCATCAACCCACCAACTCGCACACCCGTACACCCTCCTGCTCTACCAGCACCACAGCCTCCTCATCGTCCTCAATCCGGCAGCTGGCCTTTGTCGCGAACCACCTGGTCAGTCTCGATGCGCGCAACCAGCTGGCTGTGTGGGACCTGGCTGCAGACACCACCGCACAAGACAGACCAGCCGCAAAAACAACCTACGGCCGCGTCACCTGCCTGCTGACAGATCCGGGCCTGGACTGGGCGCTGGTCGGCTTGCAGAGCGGCGACGTGTGTGCGTATGACCTGGACTGGGGCCGGCCCGCGGTAAGGTGGCGGCTTCCCAACTTTTGGCGGGAGCGAGCGGGCGGCGGGGTTGGTGCTGGTGGGAATGACATGGTGGGGCGAGCCAGGATACAACAGCTTGCGACGGGCTGGGGGGACGGTGTCGTGGCTATGCAGTTCCATCCGCGGGATATCGGCTTGTTGTTGATTGCGTACCCGTACGGTGCTGTGGTGTACTCGTTCAAGCAGGATGCTGTGGTCAAATACTTCGAGTACGAGCTCCCACCGGGTGCGCCCGGCGGGGATGGTATGGTTGTGGACGCACCGCGCAGACCGCGGTTGACGCACGCCGTTTGGCATCCTACCGGAACCTTTGTGCTGACGGCGCATGAGGATGGGAGTTTGGTCTTTTGGGACGTCAACAAGGACGGGAGGCTGGTGGCTGCCAGGTCAATATATGAGACAAGGGTCAACGAGCGGGCGAGGAAGCTTGCCAAGCCAAGGCCCGTTGTGCCGTTCGTCAAGGTGGCCTGGTGCTGCAAGAAGGATCCCGATGATACGGGCGTGCTAGTTGCCGGGGGGTATGCGGCCGATGAGGAGCAGAAGGGGTTGACCTTTCTGGAGCTGGGGCCGACGCCGATCTATGCGACGTCATCGTGGGAGGCGCTTGCGAACCACTTTGAGGGGAAACGCAGGGTGACGCTGCCGACGCCGCCAGGAGCAGAAGTGGCGGATTTCTGCCTGATTCCACGCTCCTCGCCGCATTTCAATGGGGCACAGGACCCGATCGCCGTGCTGGCGATGCTGACTTCCGGGGAGTTCATCACGATGAGTTTCCCGTCGGGATACCCCATAAGTCCCACGAACATGCTACACCCGAGCCTGTCGTTTGTGCATCCCTTTGTGCAGAAAATCGCCGTTAGCAGCGTGCGGCGTGAGAAGTGGCTGGGGTTGGTTGAGGCGCGAAACCAGGGCGACCCGATCCTCCTCGGCGGTGCACCAGCTGCCAAGCGGAGGAACATGTCCGAGTTCCGCAGCATCATCCAGGTTGCCCACGCCGACAGCACGGTGCGGATCTGGGACGTCGGATACGACGATGATATCGAGAATCCCGGCCAGTTGCAGGTCGATATCGCCAGAGCGCTAGACCGTTACGAGGATGTCCGCGTTACTGCGTTGGCAATGGCTGAGAACACGCCCGAGTTTGCGGCCGGCACCCGAACCGGAGAGGTGGTCATCTACCGGTGGGGCCTCAACGGGAGCTTCGGCCGGGACGCGACGAAACCGCTAGACCCTAATCCCGGCGGACTGACGAATATCAGCTTGCGCGCCGAGCCTTCGCTGAAGGAAGGTTTCCAGCCGTTTGTCCTCTACGAGATGATGCAGGGCCCTATCAGCGCGATATGCGTCTCGGACGTCGGCTTCATTGGCGTGGGGTCGGAAGAGGGCTTCTTCAGCATCATTGACCTGCGCGGACCGTCTGTCATATTCCAGGCGTCGCTGACGGAATTTGTCAAGGAGGAGAAGCGATCGTCCTTGCTTGGAGGGCGTTCCAAGGCAGCAGCACCTGCAGGGAGGGAGTTTCCGACTGTGATCGAATTCGGGGTCATGACATTGGAGGGCGACAGTTATTCTAGCATTGGCTGCTTTATCGGGACAAATTTGGGCCATGTCGCCACTTTCAAGATCCTGCCTGCTGGCCTGACATATTCTGCGAAATTGGCCGGGGTGGGAAAGGTCGGTGGGGACAAGGTTATCGCCATCTGCCCGGTAAATTCAGAGAACGGACAAATGGCCGCTGCCACTGGACCTGCTGTTGCCGGGTTGAGAGAAGGGAAGCAGGTCCACGGCGTTCTTGTTGTCGGTGAGTGGTTTCTTGACATAACCTGAAACTGTCCGCTTGGGTTGCGCTTGTGACTTACCCCTGGGACAGTGACGCAAACCGAGATGCGCGTCTTCAAGCCCGCCTCTACAAAGGGGGCATCCAAGTTTTTTGACGATCAGCTCTGCGATGCTGCCCGCGTGGTCGAGTTTGCCCGCCAAGGAATCGCGGTTGTAGCCGTCTTTGGCGACCGCACGGCTCGGGCGTATTCCCTCCCAGCGCTGAAAGAGATTGGCCGCGCCAGCCTCCCCATGCTCGACCCCGCTCGCACCGTCTCAACCGCCATCTCTAGGACCGGAGAGATCTTTGGCTGGACAGGGCCGTCAGAAGTCTCTGTCGTCTCTGTCTGGGGATCACCCGGCAAGGGCAGGACGCTGCAGCAGCAGCCGCAAGACGCGCTCATCAATCCGGAACTGCCGTTGCCGCCGCGACCGACGATAAGCAACCTCCAGTGGATTGCGGGCACGCAGTATCTGAGCCCGACAGAGCTGGATCTGCTGATTGGCGGGGAGGACAGGCCGCCGGGCAAGAGGATGATGGAGGCGGCTGCTGCAGAGAGGAGTGCCATGGGAAGTGCCGGTGGTGCAAAGAGCCAGGAAGGATGGGGAGAGTACCTGACAAGACAGATCAATGAGCGTACTGAGAAGCTGACCATACTGGACGACACCATGGCCAAGCTGCAGGAGACGAGCCAGGGGTGGTCGGAAGGCGTGAGCAAGTACGTCAAACAGCAAAAGAAGGATGTGTTGCTGGGCTCGGTGAAGAATTCGGTCAAGAAGTCGCTTTTTTGAGGGTATGCTGTTTTTTTGTTTCCGTTAGATGGTACGGTGGGCTGCACGGCGCATAGGATGGTCTTGGATGGGAACATGATGGGTCAAGATAGAATCTACTGGGTCTATGAGAGGTATTTTATCCTGGTTCTATGGGCAGGCTTGGATTTTGGAATATCATTTTCTTTTCTCATTCTTGGCAAAGGCGGAGATTGCGGATGCAAGGTGCAGACATTGAGCAGTATGAAACGGTATGATATCCCCGTCATATCACTGTCATCAACCACGGAAGGCTTACGAAGAATGTCAGCTTAACCTGTAAAGGGGCTCCAATCAGTCTTCAATATGCTTGATACCCATTAGTGGATGGTTCCAAGCCAGAAAGCCACTATTCCCAGCTCTGCCTCCATGTCATCCCGGCCGGAGCAGGCAGCCTCGCGCTCAGCGGCGTGTTTGTAGACCAGCCGCCAACCAAAACGAGTTTCTCGAGGTCAGTGATTTCCCAGTTTTGCGTCGCCGTGTTCCAGTTGCTGACGTCCCTCCTAGTGAGTTCAAATGTCACATTCTTGCTCTCGCCCGGTGCGAGCTCGACCTCGTCAAAGCCACGGAGGACGCTAAATGGGTTATCGGAACCGCCCAGTTGGATGTACTGCTTCTTTGTCAACGGTGAACTCCCAGTAGAGGGCGACTTGGCGAGCTTACCAACTGCGGGATCTCAGTCCCAGCAACCTTGCCCACGTTGTTGATCGTCACAGTGGCCGTGTACATGACCTCAAACAGCCCTGGATTACCACCGGGCGCCCCCGAAGCAGGCAATACGGGCTGTGACGACCCGTTCTTCGCCGCTGGTGGGAATTGTCCCGCAGCAGTACTGTTGCTGACCAAACTCACACTATTGTTCAGCCAAGGATACACATACGGCGAGATCCTGCTGAACCCCTCGGGCGCCGTATGCCGTTCCAACTCAGGCTCAACAACCCCAAGCGTCGGCGCCGGCCCCGTCTCTCCCGTTGCAGCTTCATACCGCGCCCTAGCGCCCTCTCGCAGCTGCACGCTCAAGCCGCTGTACTGAAACCGGGTGTAACTCAGACCGAACCCGAACGGGTACGTCGGCCGCATGCCCTGCTTCACGAACCACCTATAATCAATAAACACGCCCTCATCAAAAGTCTGAGTCGGCGCCCGCGGGTTCTCGGCGCGGAACAGCAGCTGCGCACCGTAGTCCTCGACCGACTTGCCCCACGAAAACGGGGTCCTGCCCTGGGGGTTGACGCGGCCGTAGAGCACGTCGACGAGGGCGTTGCCCGATTCTTGCCCCGGCAAACCGGCCCACAGGATGGCGGAGACATTGGGGTGTTGTTCGGCGTAGTCGATGATGACAGGCCCGGGGGTATGCAAAACCACGACAGTGTTGGGGTTGACGCCCGCCACGGCCCGGATCAGCGCGTCCCCGTTGGCCCAGAGCGTCAAGTTGTTGCGGTCGCCCGCGTTGCCGTCAATGGTGATGAAGTTCTCGCCCGCTGTTGCTGCGGCGAAGACGATTGCTACGTCGGCCGCGGCCGCGGCGGCGCGGGCTGCGTCTAGGTCCCAGTTGGAGGTTACTGCTTTGATTAGGGTAGTGTTGTCGGCTTGGACCTGCAGCTGGAGAGCGGTAAGGGGGGAGACGAGGTAGGGGAACTCGGCCGTGCCCGAGCCGTAGCCCATGGCCAGCGTGCCGTTGAGGCAGCCCCGTTCCGGGCAGGCATTGGGCCCGAGCGGGTGGTCCCGCGCGTCGTCGCCTACGATGGCCAGGGTGGCGGGCTTGTTCAGCGGGAGGAGGCCTTCCTGGTTTTTGAGGAGGACGATGGATTTGGCGCCAATCTCGCGGATCAGGGAGGCGTGGTCGGATTGCACGTCGACGTGCTCGTTGACTACGGTGAAGGACTGGTTGGCGGCTGGGTACAAGGGCCCCACGGTCTGGTTCGTCCACGCTGAAAAGTTGATGTCCGGCCGCGACGTGTAGTTGCCCGTGTGCACTCTGAAATAGGCCGTCATGATGCGCACCGCCATGTCGTCAAGCCGCCACTGCGGCACGTCGCCCCTGAGGACGGCTTCCGTCAGCGCGCCGCCCCACCACGCCCGGTACGGAGCCGGCCCACCGTCGCCAGGCATGGCCATGTCCAGCCCGCCGAGCGCCGAGCCAAGGGTCGTATGTTGCGCGCCCCAATCGGACATGACTTGAAGAAACAATACAACATCAGCAGCGGGAGATCAAGAAATGAGCATAACAAACTCACCAAACCCCTGAAAGCCAAGCTCGTTTTTGAGCAGGTAGTTGGTAGTCCACTCGTTCTCGCACGCGTACGTGCCGTTGATCTTGTTGTACGAGCACATGACGGACCCAACACCGGCACGGACCGCGTCAGCAAACGGCCAGAGATAAAGCTCGTGCATGGTGCGGTCGTCGATGCGCACATCGATGCTGCCGCGGTAATGCTCCTGCTCGTTGAGGATGTAGTGCTTGGCGCAGGCCACCACGCCGCGGCTCTGGATGCCCCCGACCGTCTCGGCGATAGCCACGCCTGTCAGGTATGGGTCCGGGCTGGTTCATCACGTTAGAACTTGGTGGGAAAACGGCAAGAGAGAAACAGAAGGGGTAGGTTAACTATGTTTTGTACTTACCTAAACCCCTCCCAGTTCCGTCCGCCCTGCGGCACCCTGCCCAGCGCACCCGCCACAGGGCCCAACATCACGTCGACCCCTTTGCCGCGGAACTCGGCACCCAATGCCTCCCCGCGAAGCCGCATCAGTCGTCGGCTGAAGGTGGCGGCGACGTTGACGCCGGCAGGGAAGACCGAGTTCTTGTCGGCTGAGTAAGTAGGTAAGTAAGTACTAGCGAGCCAGATAAACGAGAAGAGAAAGGGGGCAAAGACGTAAACAACGAACTGTATCGAACCCCAACCGGCCCGTCCATAAGACACAGCCCACGGAAACCAACACGCGGCACGCCGCCCGTCATGCCGATGCACCGGTCCGCTTCCCAACCCGTGCCCGTCGTCAAGTTGACCTTTTCGGTGAGTGTCAGGCCCGCGACAAAGGCCACCGCCTTGGCGTGGGCGGCTGCCCAGGAGGAACTCTCGTCATCCTCGGTCGTGTTGCTGGCCACTGGCCGTGCCCAAGGCGAGGGGAAGCCGAGGAAGGGGGTGTCTGTTGCCGCTGTTGCTGAGGGCAAGAGCTGAAGGAAAGGGAGGAGGAGAAGATGAAAATGGAGGAGGGAGAGGGTGCGGGTCATGGTGGCGGATGCTGGGGGAATAGGTCGGGAGAATTCCTGGTACTATGGTAAGTAAGGACTTGTTATTGGGCATAGTTCTTGTGAATATCCCCGGGCTCGCTCAGTATAGTTACTAGAAGTACTAGTAGTACGGTTGTTTACCGATGTTGAAGGGGGGAAGGGTAGCAAGCGTCATAGCCACCCGACCATCAAGGCAGAACATAGTTGCGCGAACCGAATGGGAATGAACAACACGGTGCAACGGCCTGCAATGTCCCCTCGGCATCTAGAGTAGTAGCGAATGGACAATCCATCATAAAGGGTCATTAATTGGTGCATGTTGCTGCAGGAGAGCTCAGCACCTGGTAGCTTCATTTAGCCAGAGCAGTAGCAGTAGTAGATCCCATTACCCGCCGGCTATGTCTGCCAGCAGGGCTCCAGATTGAAGACGGAAGCGCACGCGGGACATTGATGTTGGGTATATTTTCCAACCGGTCGCTACAGGCCCACTCGGATCGTGCCGGATGGTAAATCATAACATAATGCTCATATATCATTGGTACGTCTGCCCCTTGACAGCAACCAGCCCCCTAATATGTATAGCGGAACCCGGGCTCATAGTTGTCGTCCAAGTCACACTCAAGCTCCTTCTCACCCCGGTCGGCCTTCCTGTTAGCGAAGTAGAAATACACGCTCAATCCGCCCACAAGAAGCAGCGTCAACAGCGTGGACGCGATACAGGCGTACAGTCCCGGCCTATAAGTTGGCGCATCCTGATCTCTGCGGGGGATATCAGCAACCTGCTACTGCAACTACCCCTGAAAGGCTAAAAAAGGAGGGGAAAGGGGTAACCAACCTGAAAACCAAGCTACCAGCAATCCCACCAATACCACCAAACGACACAAACGTAGCACTGCAAAACGCGCGCTTCCACTGGCCGCGGATGTTGTTCGCCTGGTACGACATGGCGGCGGGAACGTTGGCGTTGGCCCCGGCCGTAACGAGGAAGACGCCAAAGTACCTGACGCCGGCGTTGGCGTGGAAGCCCATGATGGGCAGGCCGATGAGGCAGAGCAGGGCATTGAAGACAATGATGGGGCCCCGCAGGCGGTATTTATCGCCTATCCAGCCCGTGCCGTAGATGATGATGCCCGCAAAGGCGTAGGGGGGCGCGATGAGGCACTGCGCCTGCCCCACGTCGAAGCCCATGTTCTGCATAAGAATGATGGGCAGGAAATAGGCGAGCGCGTATGTCACGGTTGTGGTGTTGAAGAAGATCATGGCAAAAACCCATGTCTTGAGGTCCAGCCCGGGGCGCAGGTACTTTTTCAGTGAGAACGGTTGCGGTTTCACGTCGCCGCGGTCGAGGTTGACACGCGCGCAGATCCTGAGAGTGTTAGCAATGTTTCTAGTGCTATGAGAGAGGCTCTGTGACTTACCAGTCCCGCTCCTTTTGGTTAAGGAACCCCCAGGTGTGGCGCTTCGAGTCGGGAAAGTCGACAAGCAGCCAGTAGCCGGCGATACCAAGCAGTATCGTGATGATGCCTTCGATGATGAAGATCCAACGCCAGCCACTGAGCCCGGCTAGGCCGGCCATTTGCATGATCTGCACAACCCGTTGGCACACACATCACGCACGCAGTTGGGGGGGCGGGGATTTGTAAGAGTTCTGATACGTACTCCGTAGGCCAAGATACCAGCAAACGCAGAGGCACAACACCCGACCAGGTAAAAGACCGAGTTTCGCTTGCCGACCTCATCTGGCTCTGGTGTTAGTTCCGCTGCCTCGTCACCATGTTGATGAACCGGACTTACATCTCGTATACCATGTGCTGAGCAAGTAGACGCAGCTCGGGAAGAAGCCTGTCGATCCGTTCGTCAGCATATCCTGTCCTCGTCGATCTCGAAGTGGAAGACACTCACCAGCCTCCAACACACCCAAAACAACCCGCATACCCGCCATATCCTCCCAGCGATTAACGAAGCCCATGCCGATCATAACGGCGCCCCAGAGTACGGTGATGGCAGCGAGATGGATCCTGGGCCCGATCTTGCGTACAATGACTGTGGAGGGGGGCTGGAAGAGGACATAGGTGATGAAGAAGACGAGCGAGATGATGCCCTACATAGAGTTAGGGGATGTCCTCGGCTTCAACTCTCCAAGAACAAAAACAGAAGAAGAAACTCACATATCGACTATCGATCAGCACCAATTCCGTCTTCATGCCCGCAATGTTGGCCGCGCCGAGGTTGGTCCGGTCCATCAGGCTGATGCAATACATGGCGCCGACCGTCAGCACCAGGCGGCGGTCGACACGGTGGATGATCTTTCTCTGCTCGGCCGGCGTATATCCAAAGTCGTCGGGGGACTGGTGTGCCGCTGATTTGGCGTCGGCGCCCGAGACTCTGGCCGACTCGACCGTCTCTAATGCCTCGACGGGCATCTTTTCCTGGGAGGAGGACGCCATTTTTCCCCCGTTATGGTCCTTGATGTTGGTCCTTGCTTTAGGTTGTTGTCTCTGTACCGCGACTGTCAAGGTGAGTCCCACGAGAGGGAAAGGGTTGAGGGATGGGGAGGAGAGATAGTAGCCCCGGCGACAACAAGGGGGACATGGGAAGGGAAGGGGGAGAATTGAAGACAGGATGATACCTGGTTATAAACGTAAACGTGTGGTATATCCCTCCAATGCGTCACTGGAGGATTGCACCGAGAGTGTCACCGTTCCCCAGACCACCTCCACTCCATCCCCCCCGTTCCCTTTTCCATCTCCAGGAACTCTGACAGCCTGCAAGCGCAAACGAACAAGGCCTGTCATGATTTGGTTCCAGACTTTTGTTCCCCCTCCTCGGGTGGCGTCTGTTGTACGGCACTCAACCCTTATCGCACTTGGGTCTGGTAACTCTGCAAGCGAATCATGGACGAGAGTGGTGTACCGTACTCCGTGTAGAAGAACCCCCCTGGTCCAGGGAGTACTGCGCAAGCTTTCGCGGTCCAATCTAAGTGAATCTAATTCAATCTTGCTCCGCATTAAACCAGGCCCAGCTTACCAGCCGAGCCTTTTCCCCGCATCTGTCGAGCTGATTGATGAAAGCCATGTCCATGTTCAACTCCCATGGCCTGGGGAACATTGCCAAATCTGGTTGCATCCGCCGTTGACTAGAGAATGGCCTTGTGGAGAGGAAGTGCGTTTGGAGCTTAGGGACTTGGGCGCGCTAATGCGAATTCTTGTCGTGTCGCTGAAAGCTTCTTCTTGGCACGCTGCCCAAGGCACCGGCGCCATGAGATTCCAAGATCCCCGCGCGGCAAACTGCCCCTGTTCGCAGTGAGGTGGTGGTGTCGGAGTCGGCCAGCTCCACTTCGGCAGCGTATTCGTACAGGGGACAGGGCACTACAAACGCGGGGCTAGTGGGGCCGTCGTTCTTTCCTCCGCAAATCTGGGGTTTTGTGGGGAATCTCACCTCGACAACAAACGACGCTAGGCAATCCATCGAGGCAAGTTCAGTTGGCGCCGTTCTGCCCACCTTAAACTTTGCCTTGTTGAATTTGCCTAGGCAAACTCAGCGTGCTGCAACCAGTCGCTCAGCCACATACGAAACCCAATCGCCTCCTTGCTACTTGGCACTCGCAAGACTGCCTCCAACCTGGTTAGAGAGTCCAGTAGAACCTCGGCATTTCTGCTTCTATTCTTGCCAAGGAAATTGAGCCTAGGTATTTACCGCCTCTAGCCTTTCGGTGGAAGGATATGATTCAGGAGTGGAAGGAACTATTCAACTCTAGCATTTGCGCCTTTTCACCAAGTTCACCAACACTATTCGCAAAGTTTACTAACATACAATCAGTGGCGTGTATCAAGAGTTCATCGTCAATTTGTCGGTTAAAAAATAGGAAATTTGCAAGGAGTCTCAAATTACTCCTGCCAAGTCAAGCTCAGACTACTAGCACGCACCTACGCCAGGCCTGTGAGAGGCCATGAGTTCGCGGTGGTCCATAGGGTTGTCGATGTTGACCATCCGGAAGAGGTGTGGGTGGGATCGAGACGGGCGATATGGAAGTTCCCGGCTTGTTGGATCAGCCTTTTGATTCCACTGCCCTTTGATGGCTGCGGCCTGCAGCGGCAAGGAACATCGCGCTGCGACTAGTAGTGTCCCAGATGCAAGATCCCGGACCCAATACTTACCTGTCCCTTGTCCGCCCAGGCAGCCGGAGCCTTATTTACCTCGGTCGAGACCAATCGTCTCATTGACACCGTGGATGGACCTCGGCAATCGTGTTTTTAGAGCGTTCCCCCCGGTGATGGTAGTGGCCACGATGGTTGGTCATGCTGGCGAGAATGGACTGCCTCCGGAGGATTCCAATAGCGGGCCGGGGAATGCGCATCTTGGGCCTGGGCCTGTTGGCGAGGGGTTTCCTCGCCCCGTCGACCCTGCGCTTGGGAGTCACCAACAAGTTCTACGTCGTCAAAACCGTCGGCGACTTCGCGGTTCTCGGTACCGTGCCTGGATCGCACTGGTACCATCGCGATGTCCCCTTCATCCACGACGACCGCGGTCCTCGCGGATTGAATCGACCCTTGGCTGAACCCACTGAAGCGCCACCATCGCTCGTCATCATCTCCATCGCTGTCAGCGTCGGTAATGTCTTCTGCATCATATATGGCCCGGATGGGTCCATACCGATTCGCAGTGAGTTCATCGTAGAGCGACTGACCAGGACGATGGCTCTCCGCAACATTTGGCGGCGATGCCGGAGGAGCTGCGGGAGGAGCTGGCTGAGGAGCTGGCTGAGGAGCTGCTTGGGGAGCTGCTTGGGGAGCTATAGGAGGACCTGCTTGATAGGGCCCATTGCGCTGCTGCAGAATGTGGCGAGATATGTACTGGTCCCTCCGCCGCAACTCACCTGTGAGAAACGTGATCCTCTGTTGAAGAACCACGCTTTCTGTAACGGCCTTGTTCACTTCGGCCAACCATTTTTTTGTCTTTATGCTCAGTCTGATTTCGGCGACAACGCATGCTGTCACGGCCAATACAGCAACAACACCGATAACGGAGACGACGAAGATCTGCTGATCACCCCATCCGCCGGCCGTGCTCGGCTCAGCGTAGGCACGAGGTATTCTCGCCATGATTATGTTGTCGACGTAGCGATGTGTTCGTTCGATGATGATTTGAACACGGCTACAGTATCGCAGTGCTGTTTGGCCTCTCTGGAATCGATGAGACACACACCGTTTAGATTGTTTTATAGACATTTCGTTGCGGACAATACTAAGGGACTAGACATGAACATTGTGGTATGCCATTCGAATTGCTTTGTCTGGACGGTGGTTACGGCCTTTGCTCGGGTTGGCCAACAATAGATATGTTTCCGCGCGGAATAGCTTGGTTTGTATCAAGGGCCAGTCGTCTCTTGCGAACACCAGCATAATCAGCCTGTTGACTCTATTCGAGGTTTGAGGCATTATGATCATTATGATAGCGGTAACCTGGTAATTGTCCGAAATCAGCGCCGTTCTATAACCTCGGAGTACTAGTTACCTCCTGCTTGAGCCTTAGAACCACTACGAATAAACGAACGGGTACCATACCCGAGGGTATATGTGAGGACGGGGCATGATCGCCCCCATGAGATATACAATTCTCATCTATATCATCACCATGGCTTAGATGTTTTCCGAAATCTTCCTATAGCTGTTAGTTATGAGGGATCTTATGGAAATGTACAAGGAATTGCAGTTCATCGCTTGGCGCCCGGCTGCCATCTTCCGCTACCCACGAAGAGGCCATGGTACGACTAACACCTACAACCCCTTTTCTAGAAAGAGAAGTTCCGAAGCAAGAAGGGGTAAAAGAGAAGGAAAAAAAGAAAGCAAAAGCATACAGCACCGGGGGTTCGCTGGTCGTCACCGACCCAACTACTAATCCGGCGGTCGGTAGCTTATCTAAGGGAGAGCGGACGGGATCCCGAGCTTTCTACCGCCTATGGCCGTATGTGTCAGTGTGAGTTGCAAACGTTGCTGATAGTTAACGTCAACTGCCGTTGGTTGAAGCTAAGGGATCAGCACGGCTTCAAGTTCGCATGATTTTGGTGAAGACGCAGCATTGGTTCGAGACCACTTGGCAGCTCAAGTCTCGAGAGGCTGTAGTCCGGGGACTTCTGCTTGATTTGCAATAAGATCATGATGTAACCAACAGAGAAAGCGGTTTGCGGGCATCACACTCCTATCAGTTGACCCTAGGCGTTCAATAACAATTATCACAATGTACAACAATAAGTGGATGGAAAATCACCAAAGCCACCTTCTTTACAAGCTGAAGCTGTCATTACAGGTTGTCATTATTTGTTATATAATGAGAAGTACCAGTGCTAAATAACCCTCAATGCTTATCATCCCCTTGATCCCATCCATTTACTTCGTGCTCGGGTTAGGACTGATCTTATTCTCGGGGAACTTGCGGAAGATGTCCGCAATATGGTCAATGGGCGCGGCCAGCATGCCCATGGCCGACTCGAAATAGGGGTTCTCGCCCGCGCTCGGGTGGCTACGCGAGGGCACAAAGGCCTTGGTCAGGCCAAACTTCTTGGCCATGTTCTCGGACTCGCCCGGCATGGACCGCAGGGACGATTCCAGCGCCGGAAGGTCCTGCTTCTCTTCCTCCTCGATGTGCGCCGACAGCACGCCCCACAACTCCTTGAGCTTGGGCACGTACTCCTTTTGAGAGGGCTTCATGTTTTGAAACTCCTTGAGCAGTTCCTTGACCTGTAGGGGAAATGAGGGATTAGTGCCAAAGTCTGGTGATGTGGTAGCTGAGAGGGTCGGGCTTTGGAAAGCATCATCCTTACCCGGTGGTGATCCTTGCGGTCGTCTTCGGCCATCTGAGCATATTGTGTTAGCGAAATGCTGCTACGAGATGAAGATCCGAGTTCTGTTTACCTTGTGGCCCTTCTCACCCATGTGCTTCTCAAATGCCGGATAGACAATCAGTTCTTCGGCAACCTGTTCGTATGCGTTAGGGTATATTGATTCATTTTACATGGCAAGGAACAAACTAACCGAGTGCCTGGCAAGTTCCCAGGTGAACTGGTTGCCATACCGTTCCTGGTGGTCGAGGTCGGACGAGTTGGTGATTTCATTGTAGTATTGCTCCAACTCGCGGTGGTCCTTGGTGATGGCGTCTGAGATGGTCGACATGGCGGCGGTATTGAATCGAGATGCTGCTAGCGGACGTGATGAGAGAGGCAGAGCGTTGTATCGAGAAACTACTCTGAGAGGAGCAGAGATAACAGGGCGTAGACGGAACATTGATAAATACTTATAAGCGTGTGATGCGATATGTGTGTAAGTCGTTGAGGGTGTGATATGGACAAGAAGGTTACGAGCCGGACGTCAATAAGGACTGAGGATTAATAAAAGGAATCATATGACTGGTTGGATTGAACGGAACCAAGTTCTTTCAATTGTAGACACGTGCAGAGTTCGTTGGATTTATATGACGCGGTTGTGCGTTTCCATGATGTAGGCAGGTCCGGATTCAAGGGTGAAGACGTCATCACTCGCAGCGTCGTAACTTGGTCGCATTCCCACAACATGAATTGGATCGGCCTGCATTGCAACGTAAATCACGGCTAACCCGCTTGCGGCTCAATTCGGACATCAATCTCCATCACGATGGGCATGGAGGACAATTAAAACGGCAGTCATGGTGCGAGTGTCTAAAGGGCACCTCCGTCGCTCCGTGGATCCAACCCCTGTTTACCAACTTTACCCCAGGCTCTCATCACCCCCAAGATCAACAAGATGGATGTCGACGCAAGGACACAACTGCCAATCGATCTCAACCCTGTAGGTAAAGATGTCCGCAGGAAAAATGAATTTCAACCAAGCAATATCTTCCCCTTCAAGACATGGCAATCTCTGCCATCCTTCTCCACCGCCTTACTCAACATCTCCCTCTCAGTCGGCACCCTGATCGTCTCGGCAGCCGGTCTGGCCGTGACACTCGCCGTGATACTTCCGCTTGGCATACTCAAGAGCGTAGGTGGTCGTATCTTTGCTGGAAAACAAGCCGCTGTGCGGGACAACAGCGGTGGGGGTATTAGCCGAAGACGCTGCGTGGTGATCCACGGCGCCAGTTCTGGAATCGGAGCAGCGCTGGCCCTCGAGTACGCGGCAGCAGACACACACCTCGTCCTGATAGCTCGCGATCATGAGCGCCTGAACGAGGTCGCAACGCGGGCGCAGGCGAGGGGCGCCACAACGGCCACACACTCGCTTGACTTCTTCGAGCCGGCCAGCACCACCAAGCTCCACCACCTCCTGCGCGAGATTGATGCCAAAGCCGACGGCATCGATGTTGCTATCCAGTGCACAGGCGTCACGATCCATCGCAGCGACGTGATGGGGACAGACGTCGAGCATATCCCCCCTTATAATGGTGGGACCTCGGCAGAGACCGATGGCCTGCATGAGCCTGAAAGCAGCCCAAAAAAAGGAGAGAGGGATGGGGATGGTCAAGCGGATGTTTGGGGCACGACGGCCGCGTCCCGGATGCTGCAGGTCAACGTTGCCGCATGCCAGGAGTTCATTCTCGGCTCGTGGGAGCTTATGAAGGCGAGGCGGCAGCAGCAGCAGCGTGCTTCGTCTCAGCTCCAGGGCAGCAAGGGTGATCAGGATCATGCTCATGTGACGCCCGGCCCAAAGATCATCGTGCTCTCGTCTTCGACAGCCTTCTTCACGCCGGCAAACTTTGCGCTGTACGCCGCCTCCAAGGCCTATCTGTACACGCTGGCACGGTCGTTGCAGGTGGCATCGGCCCCGTACGGTATTGGCGTCGTGACTGTCACGCCTGGCTTTATCGAATCGGGCATGACGCTCACGGCAATCCAGGCCGGGGCGACAACCCCCTTGGCAGTCCTGGGTGATCCCAGAAAACTGGCCAGAAAGATTAAGCGCGGCGAGGAGAGGAATGAGCTGGTGGTTTTCTACCCGCTGTCGCAGGTTTGTGCCCTCTGGTCTGCCCGGGCGCTGAACCCGTTGTTGGAGACAGTAGGGATGTGGGCTGGGTCGGCCATGGGTGTTGCTGGATGGTTCTTTAGCTAGAGCCGTTGGAATTAGCACCTTTCCAACTGGATAGCTGAATCAGCACACTGGAAGTCAATTTGATGTGATACTGACAGTATCAGTACGCATACTGGAAGCTTGGTCCTAGTACCTACCTATGATGATGAAAACTGTCAAGAGGTACACACATCGTATATCTCCATCGAATGATTTGCCTCTAGCCACTGAATAGCCGCTTTGCGGACTATATGAGTTTCTGGATGTGACGTCTTTGCGAGTTGCTCGCCTCCGTCAAATGACAGCTCTCGCAGACGGGAGAGCGTGTGTCGAAGTAGGTCCTTCGCAATCCTCCTTGACAAGGCCCCGATGATAAAATCCCATTCTTCAGTCCTCGGGAATACCCTAGTGAGATCTTCTTGTTCGATTCCCGACCGGGCGACTATGCCTCTCAAATCATCATACGATGATACCTGTAGGAGCTTTTCGATTCGGCTGCTGGCAATGTAAGCCCACTCCCCCCTAAATCTGGAATTGTACGGTGATCTCTTTAACCGTAGATATCGCCCATTGAAAGCGGCCCATATAATCCCCGTTTTTATATACCTCCATTCTTCTATCCCTATCCTGTAACGAAGAGAAGCGAACAGAGGAGAGTCCCGGGCGAAGCAGAGGCAGGGTCCGAGTCGAACGAGCTGGCGCAGCAAGTATTTTGCCATTTCAGAACTCAGCAGAGGGATCATCTTCATGTTGGAGATGGGGCTTTTGTCGGACTCCAAGCTGGACGAGTCGTCGGTACTGTCTATCCGGCCGAAAGTCCCAGCCAACTGAGCCAAGTTATATTGGGACTTTGTATTGTCACCGACGCCCAGCGCACTAAGTGTTAGAATTCTTGAGCCTGCGATGTATGCCTTAGCCCGCTTTGGAAGGGAGCTATTGGGCACAGAAGCGCCTCGGGCCCGTCTTTCCGAGTGTGAGGGTGACACACTCCAATCTGGAACCCAGGAAGGGAGATTAGCGATTTTGGGTTCACGGACGGTGGCGTGGTAAAAGACGCGACCCCAGCCAAATACGCGGGCAAGACAGAGTGCCGTATTGATGTACACCTGGTCTACGCTCAAAGTGTAGTTTGCCTCCAGGCATTGACGCTCCCACCCAGACACCAGTCCAAGAATCGAGTAAACTTTGTCTCGGGGATCCTCACTTTGACACCTTGAGGCCAGGTCAAGAAGGTTGAGAAACTGGCCGGGCTTAGAGTAGACACGATGGTCGAAGTGCAGGGCAGGAGGGATTCGTGGGTTGTCCGGGTTCAGGAAGAGCTCTGAGGCAGCAAGGCGCTTAGGTTGAAGCAACTGCCATGTAATGGTAGTGTCTCCGCATATCAACTTCGATTCCCTTGCCAGGGCAATCTCCTGGAGAACCCAAATTCGGGAAAAGTACCTCCTGGACAACAAACGGTCCAGAGCTTTCTTCGCAACTTCCAAATCGGCTTGGGTTGGAGTGTTCCCGAAACCACCATTTGCGATGAACTGCAAAGCAGAAGAGCTTTGGTCCGCTGCTTCGCCAATATATATGAGGACTCTTTTCGCCCTTGCGTAGATCTCGGGCACGAGGCGAACCTGGTGGCCACGCTCGTCGATATTGGTCTGGTCGATACACACAGCATCAATCCAGATGCGCCTCTCGTACGACCGCCAACGTACTCGCCGTAATGCCATCTCACAGTTTCGGGTAACAGGTATGGGGGTAGAGTTCACGAAAATCAGACCGCTTTGGGTCTTGTCACCGGTCTCGTCGGCCCAAGTGTACGATATTGCCTCATAGTCATACATAGCCTTCCCCACGGCTCTGGTAACCATGTCGCATCTAACCGGCTCGGGAAATTCCCCTGGATGAACCACCAGGAGTCTTATCTCTGTATGTTGGCTGATTGGCGAATAAATGCTTCCGGGTCCTAACACTCCTGGCAGGCTCTTGGAGTCCTCGCTGACAAGAAGCTTGGAGGAGCCGCATCTTATGCAGCTGATGAGATTGTTGGCGCAAACTCCGTCCAACCGGGGACAGGTTGGGTCGTGCCAGTGCATCGCATCACGAGTCAGCTGTCGGCGCTGGTCCGACATTGCCTCACATAGATAACTTCGGACAGCAACTGAGGGTGGCTGGTCTTATCACTCGTGTTGAAATATAGAGGTAGCAAAATAAACTGACTGTAGAACCGTCAAAATAGATGTGTAACAGTTTCAGTACCTCTTAGGTTCATAAGTGGTTTTTCAGACGTGGACGGTGGAGGAAGGACCGATTGTCAAAGAAGGAGGTGGTGAGCTCTGAGTATCAAGGTAGTACCTTCCCTCACCTTCTGAAATACCTACGAACGTACTTCCCCCACTTAATAGGTTTCATTCGTTGAGCGAAGAATCAGCCTGGCCTACTGCCTGCCCGGAGGCGCCCAGAGCTTAGCCACACAGCAGCAAGCCATTGGTTCGTACTTGGTAGGTAGTTCGCATGTACGCTCAGAACGCCGTCGACACGCAGATGCGATGGACTGGATCCGACCTATAACTCACCGAGTTTGATGAATCTGCATCTGCTGAGAAAGCGAAATAACTCGTCATCTGGTGCATATATGGTTACTTAAATAAGGTCGTCACTGTTGGGTCACGGTAGCTCGGAGGCGCGAGATGCGGCCGGCCGCCGGCCTTGACATCTCAGTGTTCACAACCTAGCGAGGGGATAAAGCGAGAAGTACCCACAGCTAAAAAGAAACGAATAAAGCCCGTGGCAGCTGGGTAATCACATCCAGGATTCCAAGTAAATTCTCCCATCTTCCTTTCCCAGCCAGGGGTTTTGAGAGGCACGATTCCACCCTTGACCGTTGCTCCATAGGGGACAAGGCGAGCCGCAAATCTTGAATTCTATCCGGGCTTGAAACCTGGAATCCGGAGAGCGTGGGGTTAGGAGGTATACTCATTAAATATAAATGAAGGCCGCCGGTTCGGGTCTTCTCCCTCCGCTCTCGTCAGGCCAAACTGACATACGTACAGGAAGACAAAAGCCTTGGCCATCTCGGTAATCCGTCACTGAAGCATGACACCTCGGCGGCGCCCGCGCCGATGGGGGGGCTCGCGGCTTGTGGTGTTGACCCGGCCCAAAGCTGCACATGATGGACGATATACTGTTGAACATATAGTATCTATATATACTGGCTTCGATCATCCTTAACTCGGGCACCAAGATGACGGGAATTTGTTCCAATGGCAGGCTGAGCAGTCCCTCAAATCTCAAGCCTCACCCCTCGGACGCAACAACAATGAAAGGTCTTGCTCTCCTCGCGGCCGCCTCAGCAGCCTCGGCGCACACCATCTTCGTGCAGCTCGAGGCGGGCGGCAAGACGTATCCGGTATCGCACGCCATCCGGACCCCGACGTACGACGGCCCCATTACCAACGTCAACTCTAACGATCTGGCTTGCAATGGCGGCCCGAACCCGACGACACCGTCCAAGGAGATTATCACCGTCACTGCAGGAACCACTGTCAAGGCCGTCTGGAGACACACGCTCACCTCAGGCCCCAGCAATGTCATGGATGCGAGCCACAAGGGGCCGACGCTGGCTTATCTCAAAAAGGTTGACAATGCCTTGACCGACTCGGGCATTGGTGGCGGCTGGTTCAAGATTCAAGAGGATGGATATAACGGCGGCACCTGGGGCACCACCAAGGTAATCAACAACGCTGGCCTTCACTACATGTAAGCTTCCCCAATTAAGGGCCTCTAAGATCTTTTACCGCAATCCTTTAAAGGTTCGCTAACTCAACCACTACCAGAGACATCCCTTCCTGCATTCTTAACGGCCAGTACCTGCTCCGGGCCGAGATGATAGCCCTGCACGGGGCGGGCTCGTCGGGTGGCGCTCAACTCTACGTAAGCTTCTTCCCATTCCGCTCCGTTTGTCCTTCTCAAACTAACAAACCCCTCTCCAGATGGAATGCGCGCAAATCAACGTAGTCGGCGGCTCCGGCACCGCCAAGCCCAAGACATACAGCATCCCCGGCATCTACAAGGCCAACGACCCGGGCATCCTCATCAACATCTACTCGATGTCGCCCTCAAGCAAGTATACTATCCCGGGCCCGCCCGTCTTCAAGTGTGACGGCAGCAGCGGCAGCAGCAGCGGCGGCAACAGCCCTGTCACGACCCCGCCAGATGAGCCAGAGAACCCCTCGCCGCCGGCCACTCAGCCCGCGCCGGTCGACACCGGCTGCAACGTCGCCCAGTGGCAGCAGTGCGGTGGCAGCACCTACACCGGGTGCACCCAGTGCGCGTCGCCGTATACCTGCAAGAATATCAACACGTACTATTCGCAGTGCCAGTAAGAGGGCGGTTGACGGTCGGGGTAGGGAAATAAGAGATAAGGTGGCGCTAGACGAGGCGCAGCATTGAGACCTTGAGAGGATACCTAGATGTGTAGCATATGTTCTCTATCAAGCGTCATCGTTTTCACCCTTGGACGTTCTAGTCTAGTAAGCGTGGTTGATGCAGTTACCCACGACTCTCGCAGGGCTGGTGTATCGTTCACATCCTGTCTGGGCCTTTCACTCAAAAGACCGAACCCAAAGGGTCGTGAAGCCCTCACCCCCTGCCAAGATCTCTCCTCACCCTCCATACCTTGCTCCCAACGGCCTTCTTCTGACTCCCATGCAGCATTTCCACCCAGGGTACCTCACTCCACCTCTCCTGCACCACCTTCCCACCTTCACCTTCCTCATCCTCATCTCCATCCCCATCCCCATCCTCATCCTCATCATCATCATCACCGCCACCACCACTCAACCCCTTCCGTTGACCTTTGGCAGCAGCCCGGCGGGAGTACAGGTCCTCGGCGTACGCCCAGGTGGGGGTATCAAACCGGCCGGCGACAAGGACAAGCTCCTGACCCGGCACTGTAGCGATGTGCTCCGCGGGCAGCGGCGTGACCAGCTGCAGCTCACCGCGCGCCACGTCCACGCCGCGCACAAGGACCAGGCCGAGTAAGCGGGAATGGCGCGGGTCGAGGATGCGGCCGAGTGGGTTGGGGATGAGCGGCAGGGGGTGTGTGTGGCCTGCGGCGGCACGCACATTCACCTTTGAGGAAGAGGTTGGTGCAACAATTGCGTCGTCTTCTTCTCCAGCACTGGTGGTGGGTGGCTGAGGATTGTGACCTTGAGACGAAGAGGGGAGGGGTAGGAGGAGATCCCGCAGGGCGGCGCGGGATTCCAACTTCACGAGGGCCAGCACGGTGCCGTTGATCGCTTCGGCCAGGAGCTCGGGCGCCGGCTGGTGGTCGTAGCAGAGCAGTCCGAGGAATCCTCTCTTGTTCTCTGGGCCCGAATACCGCACCCGCCAGGGGCGGACGTGCGTGAGTGGGGTGGGGTCCCATTCGCCCCCTGTTTGAGAGTCGCGCTGCGGCCTCTGGTGGAAGCAGGACATGGTCTGCATCGTGCGGAGGCTGAGAGGTGTGCGCGATGAAGCGGGATCCCCTGGTTGGGAGGGCAAAGTGGAGAGCGGGATAGGGTTGGTTGAGGCGCTGTTGCAGGCGGACTGAAGGCTGGCGACGGTCTCTTCTGGGCCGTCTTGGGACATGTAGATCACTTCTGTCGGGAGAATGGCCGTTATGAGATCACAGAGAATGTCGAGCCCGGTCCCTTGGATCCAGCCTGGCGTGTTGATCAGCAAGGGGCACTTGGCGTCGGCACTTCGCCGGTAGTAAGAGATGAGGTCGAGGGCACATTCGATGAAGTGTGCCGGATCGAGGGCCGGGGTAACAGACGCGATGGCATGGGCTCGTAATTGTCCTTCTGTTGATTCGAGGGTAGGATGGCAGAATGGCGGGGAGAGGTTGGGGATGCAGATCTTGGAGAGGGATACGACCCCGGGAGGCGAGAATTCCGGCTGCCCTGGATCGAGATCAAGAACGTAAACTGCCGGCCAAGTCTTTGCTTTAGAGCCCCCTCGGTGGGTCAAGAGACGATTTGTGAGAAGCCGCCCGAAAGTTGACTTTCCTGATGACTTTGGGCCGCTTAATAGGATAGCCGGTGTGTTTGTCCGTTTGGCTCCCATGAGGCTCGACAGCTTCTTGTTCCATTCAGCAGGGGAGACTAGCTCTTGTAAAATGGCTCGTTTAGGGGCATCTTCCGAAGTATAGATCTGCAAGAGGTCAGCTATGCTATTGAGCCAAGAAGCAGCCAGGCCACAGACGATCTGAAAGGTCCCAGCAGGTTTGTGTCTGCCAGGTGCTCCTTGTGAGGTTGACTCGTTCCAGAGATTTGAAAACACGGGGTTCAGCGTTTCCAGCTGTCTCAATCCCCGCGCGGCAGGATGAGGGTGCAGCTCGAGCACAGTGTCGTCTGTTGTCCGCAGTATGGGCAAGGCATGGCAGTGAGGAGCATGCAGCCATTGCACATCATCTGAAGGCGTCAAGACGGCACCGGCGATTGTGGCCTCGCCTTCCCGCACCTTGACACCGTAGCTTCCCAAAATTAGGAGCCGCTTCATATCTGTCAGCGAACAGGCAGATGCCGCCAGAGGGTTGACGGGAATCTTGCCTCGGGTTCAGGGGTAGTTATCAACAGATGGCCCCCTGCTTTTCGCTGTAAGTTCTTTTTGTTTGGGCGTATAGAAGAGTGCTGCCTGACAGGGATGATGGAAGGCGAATCAAGACGAGATAGTGCAGCACTAAGATGAATTAATGCCATAGTAGGAGACACACACGGATACCAGCTTGCACACACCTTGGACGACCTGTTGCAATGTCAACTGAGTCGGCGATGGCTTTGTCCGAAGACTGGGCGTCGGCACGACTAACCATGCCACGGGACGAAGGCGTCTCACTCCTTCCTTGCTGAGAATCTTCTTCAACGGGCCTATTCACGCCCTTCTCGACAGCACTGCTTGCCGTCGACGACCCCCACAGCTTCTGCCGTGCAGCAAACGCGCTCATCACTTTCACTTCACGAAATCAGCACATTATCCACAGTAGAATACAGGGTCGGTTGGATGTCTCATACAGGGCGGCGTAGAATCGCCGTTGCCATCCAACTTCCTCTTTTTGTTTGCCGCCATCCTCTGCGACTGCCCGCTAAGACTTTAGTCGGCTCAACGGTGACCTCGCTGCTGCCTTCGCAGTTCGTACACTCAAGTCGACTTCCAAGCAGCAATTAGTTTGGCTTGGTAGCCTAACTAGAAACAGCCAGTCAAAATGAAGAAAGTGGTATATGATAAGAAATGATGTTAGGAACAAAAACATAATAATGAGTGACTCGAGCCCCTTCAAAACTTCAAAACGATGAGCTCTTACGGGCAAGAAGCACAAGGCTAAACTCCGTTACCCGCAACTGTTCTGACCAACCATATCTGGCAATTCCATGCTTCAGCTCGAAGCCCCACCATGGGCAGGGGACCTTGCATGGGGTCTGAACTCTGAAGCTTAACGCAGTGATCGACAATCGTGAATTTTCTGGGCAAAAAGCAAGTCGGCAATAAACAACCTGAAATCATCCCATTACTTTTCTTTCACCCCGCCTCAACCTGATCGCACTTCCCAATTCTTCAAACACCTGATTATTTGTTGGCTTTTTGCATCGCACATTTTTTACTCTCATCTATCTCGCGACTATCAGTCAAGGCCGCTCCCATGCCAGGGCCGCGCGCGCCTATCGGAACTCTCCAACAGCACGCAACCGCGGCTGCGGGCCTCGTGCGCGGCATGGTTCCCTCCATTTTCACCCGCGACGATCCCTCGAAAAGAGCTCCCAAGGTCGAAGAGCCTTCTGAAAGTGACAGCGATAGTGACAGTGACACCACCACCTCCACCAACAGCGACGACTCAGATAAAGACGAGGCCGACAAAACCGTTCGCAGTAATGAGAATTGGGCGGCGGACTTGAAGTCGAAAAAGGCGAACGCGACACCCTCGTCCAAAATGAATGGCACCAAGCCCGCTAGCGGCGAGTCTGACACAGTGGCTCCGAGCAAGATGAAGCAGGAAAGCCCGGATGCGAAGCCTGCTAAGGTCTCATTTTCCGATTCCTCAGCCAGCGAAAGCGAAAGCGAGGATAGCGAAAGTGAGAGCGAGGATAGCAGCAGTAGTGACAGCGACGACGATTTGGCCAAATCGGCAGCCAAGTCCGGATCATCATTGGCCGCAAAAACTGGCAACAACAATGAGTCCGGGTCAAGTAGCGACGAGTCTGACGACGAGTCTGAGAACGAGAGTCAGAACCGGAGCAAGAAGCAGGCTATGCAGAAGAAGGAAATGCCAACGCAGAGCTCCAAAGCCGCCAGCGAGGCGCCCAAGACCAAAAAGGCTACTGCCAAGTCATCAGTCTCTACCAACGGCATTGCGAGGAGCAAAGAGTTCGTGACTGAATCAGATGATGCGGAGAGCGATGTCGAGGCTCCCAATCCGGGGATTCAAACCATGGTTGCCGAAAAGCAAAGCGACAAAACAGCAGTGTTAGTGGTATACCCCGATCCTGCCCTCTTCTTGCACTGACAATCTCCCAGCCAACGTGTCCCGGAAATCGTTACCCAAGGTTTCCATCTGCGCAAGGCTGAAGGAGACATTGACGCTGCCGCGGTTGCCGCGGTCTTCAACAAGGCAAAGGCCGAAGGCAAGCAGATATGGTACTTTACGACGCCCAAATCTGTCCCAATCGAAGTGATACAGAAACAAGCCATCCCGTTGGACAAGGTTCATGCCGGCGAGTCCATCTTTACTCACGAGAATGTCGAGTACACTGGTCATTTTGAGGAGCCAGTGAACCATGCTATCAAGGTTCTGATCCCTGGGAAGAAAGGGACCAATTATGAGACATGTATGTTCCGATTTGCCATGTTGTTCAGGCATCTACTGACATTCAGCAGTGAATCAGCCGGTAGACCGAGTGCTTCACATCACGCGCGTGACGCGCTTCGGTCAAGATGGCGAGAGCCAGTCGAGTTCCGCCAGCGCAAATGCTGGCGCCGTTTCCACAGTTCCTCGGCCGCAGCCAAAGGACTTGAAAGCTCGCTATCTACCATTTGGTGTCACCAATGGCGACGTGAGCCGGACCGGCGCCGATACCTCGGACGGCGATGAAGACGTAGAAATGAAGCAAGCCCCGCCGTTGTCGGCAAGCTCGGCAAGCGATGCCAAAGCAGACGTAGCCAAAAAGGCGGCTAAGAAGCGAAAGCACGGCGATGTCGAGAAAGGAACGCCAGGTCAAGAGGAAGCGGCGGCAACTCCAAAGAAAAAGTCCAAGAAGCCTCGAGTTGACGATTCTAGCACGCCAGCCGTGGCGAGCTCATCTTCCAAGATTACCAAGCAGACCCCTATTGCCCCTCCGCCTGTCCCTCCCATGAGCAGCGTGAGCTCTGTTAAAGCGCCGGCGTTGCCTGAGACAGCGCAGCCGTCTCCAGCGGCGAAGAAGTCGAAGAGCAAAGACAAGGCCAAGAAAAAGGACACTGCATCTAAGGAAGCCAAGCCTGCTGAGACAAAGATGCCCTCAAAGGTCACCCCTGTCCTGCCCCCTCAGATCCCTGGTGTAAAGAGTGCTTAGGCAGGCTCTTCCCCTCAAAGCATCAATCAGGGAGACGCTTCCGGCGGAAACCAGCAGGCCTACCAGCCCATGGCGGAGCGCCGGAAGATTGAATCGATGCTGGCCTCGACGCCTGCCACTCCGACACGGGCTTCTAGATTGACTCCTGTTTTGATTCCTGGAAGGCCCCTCCCCGCCACCCCGTCGCGTCACACGGGCCGGAAGGCTCCAGACCATCGGGCGCAGCCGTCTATCTACTCGCCTTCGGTTTCTTCTCCAAGCCAGCCTCTAAAGGGCATTCTGAAAACTGAGACTCGTGACGGCGAGGGGTACTCTGAGTACTCGGATGGCAAAGGAACCAGTCCCGGTACCCCGGGCAGGTCGAGCAAGAAAAAGAAGAAGAATAAAAAGAGCCAGGGCCAGAGAATTTCCTTCCACGAGGGCACAAAGCACACCCCTGGCCGTTATTAAGCTTTCGAGTTCTTAATACCCCATTCGCATAGGGTCACGCGAGTTCCGTTGGCTCGTTTCCCCCTTTGTTTACTGTTTACGAAGAGGATACATTTGAGCGTCGGGACGGTTAAGCTCCGATTCCGACGTACTTGCCGTGGAAGACAAGGTCACGCTGCTTCTTCTTGGGAGGCGCATGGAGCGCTACTACGACTCACCGCCTGCATGGCCGTTTCTATTTTATGTGTGTGTACAGACTTTGTATGAGTGACTAGGCTTCTTTTTAATGGATCTGATCCCTCCACCGAGACTGGTTGGTCTGGACATTTGGGAGGGCATCCTTGGAGAGTGCCTTTTGGTGCTTGCGAAAGGGATGTCTTCAAGTTCTCGCATGGACCCTAGGGAGGGAGGTATTGACTCGCGAAGGATGAGGAGACAAGGGCTCGGAAGGGAGGACTCATCGGTGATTAATTCAGAGCTCTTCGGCCAAGAGCGATGTATGTACTTTCATGTCAGGTTAGCTTTGCGATAGCAAAGGATTTGTATGTATTGCGGCAGGATCAGTATATTCCCCTCAGCTACGCCATTATGCATCGACGTAGCTGTGCTTCGTGTACGACCCTGAGCCATTCATCAAGTCCTCATTTGAAGATCTCGCTACTGTCTACAGTGTAAATCCTGGAACCCAAGAACCTGGAGCTGTCAGATTCCACCCACACCTCACGAGTCCTTGATCAATCCCACGTGGGTCAGGGCTGGGCGTGCGGCTGAAACGCCACGCGAACGCATCCCTGCACAAAATGGACCATTGTAGGCTCGGGAAGCTTACTTGCTATGGAATTAGTAGATGTATTAAGCTTTTGAGGCTCCTTTCCCTTTTATCGTCCTCTCATGTTCCCATTTAACGTCCTCTCATGTTCCCAACGCTCTTCTTGTGAACGCACTGTCATGATGTTGAGCACAGTCACCCCAACTCTCGCCGGTTGACCGACTGGAGATGGTTCCGCTATAATTCGACGCCTAGCTATACGATACAAATCCACCCAATTACAAGATATTCTTCAGATCCTCCTTGACCTTGGAATATGAAGATCTAGGTGAGGAAGATGGGCTGCAGGTCCTTTCTATGCCAGAGCACGAAACAGCAAGGTCCCAAAGATAAAGCTATGCCCAAGGGCATGTTCCTCTCCCCTTATCCTTGCTCTCACTCCCATCCAGTCATCCTTGATATCCATCAGCATTATTATTACCCTTTAACTCGTCTCGTCTTCTTTTCCTCCTTCCCTAAAAGCCTCCATGATCTCAAAACGAGAGTCATCCATTCCAACAACATCCAACGCTCCGCGCAATGCCATGTCACATCATGTCATGCCATATTAATACAAGAGATGCCAAGCGCGAAAACAGAAGATCCCGGCATCTCTCCGCGACCACAGAAAATGCGCGTTTCCTCCAGGATACCGAGGAGGTCTGTTCAGGATGTCTAGGACGAAGCGGAAATTCCCGAAATTAACGACCGTGATTGCGCCATGTATATGATGCATGCTCAAGAAACGAGAGGGGGTATATCCATTTGCCGACTTGCTGACCGACCGACCGACCAACCGACCAACCGAGGGGCCAAGACAACCAAAACCGTAACGAAATGCCCGCAAAACGCTATTTGTTCTGAATAAAACGGAGCCCGTGAAGCAGGGTAATCCAGTATTATCCGGCAGACACAGATGGGGAATTGACGAGACCGACACCGAACCGACCCCTGGCGCCTCACCTCGCGACGTAAACCTCAGCCGAGTCATCCTCTCTCGGGCCGAGGCGGATCTTGCTCCAGGCATCGTAGTGGTCGTCGGTCGGCGTGGTGGGACTCAATATGCCAGGCGTGCTGCTGCTGCTGCTGCTGCTTCCGCAGAGGGTGTCACCGCGGCTCAGGGAATCGAAGCTCGAGCTGCTGCCGAGCGTCCACTCGTCGCTGTCGCTCGTCCCCCGCCGTCGCGGGAGCAACCCGAGCCCGTAGCCGCCATCCCCGGTCTCCTCGTCGGTCGCCCGCGACCTGTCGCCATACTCGACGTATTCATACTCCCAGCGCGTCGTCTTATCGAGCTGCGGCCTCGGAAGCCACCTCGACCGCGCAATATAGTACGCCACGGCCGCCATGATGCCGCCCCCGACGAGGTCGATGGCATAGTGGTGGTTGAGGTACATTGTGGACCATGAGATCCAGACTGCATAGAAAATGAAGAGCGGCCTGAACCGTGGGAAGCAGTACTGCATAAAGAGGGCCTCGAGAATGGCGTCGGCGGCGTGCAGGCTGGGGAAGGCACCAAACGGCAGCGGCGCCGTGGTGAAGCTCGTCGTGTACATGTCGACGCCGAACAGCTCGTCGACCCGCCTCAGCCCCGCGGGGGAGCCCTCCATCCCGTAGTGTGCGGGTTCCAGTCCGTGCAGCTTCTCGTACCAGGGCGGGGTGCAGGGGAAGATGAGCTGGATGGTGACGCCGAGCATGGACATGTAGCCGAAGGCGCGGGCAAAGACCGGGGTGGTGCCGGGTGCGGCGAAGAAGAACATGAACGCGCTGCAGAAGGCGGGCAGGGCAAAGTGGCCGAGGCCGTAGGGCACCCAAGCAAGGACATCGAGGACGGCGTGTGTGTGCGCTGAAAGGATGTTGGAGAGATTCGCTCCGTACAGCACGTTCTCGAGGGCAGGGAGAACTTTGACCCAGATATGCGGCCGATATTCAGGGGCGATGAACCTACCCAAAGTCAGCATCCCGCGGCATTTTCCCCTTTTTACTCGTTCTCTCCGCCCCATCCCCTTTCTGCCGCTGCTCATGACTTTTTATCCTTTGCCTTTTTATTCCTCCCCCCGTCCCACCCTCATCTTCTTAGTGTCCCAAGGCAAAAAGGCTAACTCACCGACTTGCAAAGAAATATAGCAGATACGTCCAGATCGGCAACGACGGTAAAAAGAACTGCCTCGTGATCGGCATAAGCAACAGCACACCCAGCACAGCGAGCGCGCCTGTCTTGACGAGGGGTGCGGGCGGTAGGATGGCCAGGGAGAAAAGGATGTAGCCGAGTGTCACGAGGTGCTGCAGATCCCAAAGGGTCCATCGCCTTTCCCGCAATGCCCTTAGCGACGCCCATACATCAAACGACGTTTGGAGCCTGGTGATGTCATCAACCTCTCCACTCGAAATTTTGACGTTGTTTGAAGCATCTTGTGTGCGCTGCCGAGTCTTCAACTTTAGCTTCCTCCCAGGCGACCATATCTTGTGCGGAATAACGGGCAGGTGCAGGCTGAGCTTGCCAGGCCAGCGGAGCGGTACGAATTTTGGTTTTGTTGACGTTGGCAAAATAGTGGGAGTGTGGATTGGGTCGAGGAATGACGAGGGGTACTCGTCCAAGGTCTCCATGATCGGTCCCGGTCGGTGTAAGTGCACCAAATTTGGCCCGCAGAAGGGCTCGAGAGAATCGTGGGAGAGAAGATGAGGACTCAGAAATTCCCGAATGCCGCCAAGATAGGCGATGTTGTGGAAAGTCGAAGCTGGACAGCAAGAGGACGGAAGTGAATCGGCGTCGGTTCACAGTGGAGTTCCCTACTACAGTCGTCGTTGCATTCGCATGGTCGTTTAGTTATTCTATCAAAGGCGAAAAGCAACAACCACTCCGAACCAGCGGCCACGGTTTCGAGGGTCTGAACGGATATTTTGTCGTCAAAGAGGAGACTTGGGCAAGGGCTGGGACCGGAAGCGCCGGAGCAGAGTCGGCGGAGACGGAAGGAAAGAGCAAAGGGTGGGCGCGTGAGAGGTGATTGTTTGCGGCTAGGACGAGGCAAGTGGGTGTCACCCGGTGGAATGTTGCTAATCAGAGCTTGCCAGCCCATAGCTTGAGCTATCTACTCTACGTACCGTGACTACCTTACATGCTACCTGCCTTATTGTACGGTCGTACACTACAAGTACCTATCTGCATGGTCAAGAAAGTCGCCGAACAGCGGCAAGTGGGCTGCTCCTGGAGTCCTGGGAAGCTCGGTAGGATACGCGGAAACCGATGGCTGTCTTGGTGAATAAACGAAGTGGGCCACACTAAAGCGTCCCTAGCCATTGATCGTTGCGGCACACGACCATTGACGTCGTCTGCGTCCCAGTCGCACTATGCAGTTAGATCAATATATGCAGTTACAAGGAGCGGCCGTGCGGCATCTGATGCGGAGGATCGCAGAATCGCTCCATTTTGCGGAAGCGCTCGATCTCGGCACCCTTGGCAATGGCGCGATAGGCCCGAGATTTCATTCTGACAATTGATCTGTCAGGCAACAACGACGGAAGCTATACTGATGGTTACTTCTCGGGGCATGACGACATTCATTATCGCAAGCGGTGAATGGACACTACTAACGTCAGTGGCATCTCTCACAAAACGCCAGGCAAAGAACAACATGGTAAAAAAGCGCTAAGCGACGCACACAATGCAGCTACCGGTACTTGTCACGCCACTGTCGTTGTTGGAAAGGCTCCATTCTAACTCAGTTGGTTCTCGGGTCGAATGCGAATTGTAACTTCCCGATGGTAATGTACATGCCGGTACGGAGTACATTACTCATCTATCACGTCCAAGTTGACCCCGAAGAAGCCGGGTCTCATCAATCCCGCCTTGCAGCAAGGCAGCAAGGGCATGTGAAATGGTCTTTGCACTGTCATGGATGTCTGATGTACGGATAGGTAGCTTGCGTTACCATCATGATCCGAGCTGATTAATACACTACAATGGCGTCCGTTGTGCCTCTGTGTTACCTTCGCGGCGGCATTACAATAACCGGCGATAAGTCCTTCTAATCCCGACTGCTCACTCTGCCTAACGCTTGTTCGGGTTGGATGGTATACTTTGAACCAACGCTTTGATATTTAGCACGGCCGTCTAGTTTGTCAGGTAATTGGACCTCCACAGACAGCCAATGTTTCAACAATCATGATGAAGTGATTTCTTATCAAGGAAACTGCCTGAGTATGTACTGAATAGTCCACTTGTGCAACCGACGGGATCTACCGGCGCTTAGGGGAAGCCCGATGCAGTAAAAGAGAACCGAACACGCCCCACTGAGGGGAACCATGTGCCGGCAATGTCGGCGCTTTCGCTGCGCGCGCAACGAGTGATGAGTTTTGGGGTTGCCAGACAACCAACACTGCAGCACTGCTGGCTTGTCACCAACCGGAAGACCTTATCTTTGTCGGTTGTACAGCATCTATTCGCCGTTCAATACAAGTGATGACTTACTGTAGATTACTCCTGCCTGGACTAGGTATCCGTATACTCGATGGGAATATGCAAGTGGGAATTCGGCTAGTCCCGATGACTTGGGGAAGCGCTGCTTGATGCTGTAATGGTGACACAAGATCCGTTTTCATTCTTGGTGTCCTGCTTGTATCGGAGCTCTATATGCAAGTAACAGATATATACGATGCCCACATCGGCCCTGTGGATCTCTTGTAGTATCACGCACTGAAAGTTTGTGGTGGACAAGAGGATTTTTTTTCCTTTTGCTCTCATGGAGTGGGGTTATCATTTCGTTGCAGATTCCGGCGTTTAATGCGGTCTTCGACCTCTACGTGTACCAGTGCCGACCCGCTCTATGGGAAACTGAAAAAATTTTTCGAGTCCTTTATAAGCCTTGCGACCCAGCAACTTATGCAGCCTTCTTCTCCGGGAGGACCCAGACCTTCGCTCACCGGAGAGTACCGGCAAGAAGACACATCTCACCCGACAATGCAAGTCGCCATGGACTACTATGCATTGCCTCCGTGTGACAATACCTGATGTAATGGCGAGCTGTCCTGAGCGGTTTTGATCCTCGGTCGGACTTTGTATTCTCAGTGCCCGAGTGCCCTTGAGGGGTCGGGCCATCTCCGAGTCTGCCGTGTTGAGCTGGAAGTGGATCGGAGTTCGGGCCTTTCGTCGGGCGAGGAAGACCCCGAGGACCCGCAACCGCCGCCCCGGCTCCCTGGACATAACCCATTTTCCATGTCGTTCAACTAGGTACCTTGTAAGTGACCAAACTACATATCCGGAGTTATGGGATTAAGCGATTCATTCGATACTACGGGGTCCTCAGCGCGATCATGAATGTGCGCATCCGAGGCTGCAAATTCCATATCTGTATGTAAAAAACCATAATTTGAAGATCGCGTGAGCCCGCTGGCGGACACTCAATTCGAGATATATTTCCCTCATGAAAAGTTATGGCCACCAGACCACAGTATGCTATCGGCCCCCTATACAGCCATGGCAGACCAAGCCAGTGGTGTATAAGCACCATGAATTCCGTGTTGTGACTTCCGAACGTCGTGCTGTAAGACAGAACCACTGCATCTCGGCCAAGACCTGCTCATCTCTAAAGAGCTAGCCATCAAGCCTCTCAGTACCCGTTTATGAACCAGGCAAAAGGTATCTAGTCTGAAAAGAGAGAAAAAGGCAAAACGAAAACAGATGAAGAGTCACAATCAGCATATCAAGTGAAACAAACTCAACGAAAAGGCCCAGCTTAAAGAAAAACGTTTAGCAACTTGCTCTTGACCGTGTCGTATCCCTCATTCCAGTCGTCTTCGTTATATTCCTAGCGAGCTCAAACCCGAGGTGCAGAAGGAAACATGAAGAATAGGGGACCATGCATCCATGGTTATCGAGCACTCGCCCCCTCCCTCCATCCAATGATCCCTCGACAGCCGAGCGTAGTAGCAGTTATCTGAAAGAGAAGCCAGCCTCTGCCATCCAAATCCCCTGTTTCTTGCCCGACCAAAAAGCAAAAAACAGCAGGAGATGCCCAAGGCACAGATAGTCTTCATAAGCTATACGACGGGGGCGAATGGAGTAAGGGGGGCAACAACAAAAGGACTCAAACGAAACATCACCGCCTGCTGCTCCCGCTGCCGCTCCACAGCCCCTTGCTGGTTTCGACCACCTTATTGGCCTCGTTCCCAGGCCGCAAGCTAGCGGGCACGGCATACGCGGGCGGCAGCTGGCCGGGACTCTGTTGCGCCGCAGCCGCTGCAGCAGCAGGCGGCACATCACCATCATCACCCATCTTCACATCCACGCAGCCGTCCAGCCCTTGCAGGCCACCGTAGCCGCTGTCCCTGCCGCTCTGCGTCGTCGTCGCGCTGCTTGTGTTTCCATTTCCACTCGCGCTCCCGCTGCCGACTGAAACACCGCTATCATCCTTGCGCGACGATGACAACGATGGGGGTGCGGCATTATTATTACGACCCTGGATATTCTCCCTCTTGGGCTCGTGGCTGTGCAGGCCATTCATGAAGCCGCCGGCCTGGCCCTCGCGCAGCTTGTTGATGGCGCGGACCGTGTCGATGGCGGCGTGGAGGGTGCGGCGCGCGTTGAAGTTCTTCTTGACGGTGGGGAGGAGGTTCTGGCCCTTGTCGGCGTCCGGGCCGGCGCCGGCGACGCGGGCCCATCCCGCGACGAAGGGGTGCTGCAGGGCCTCGTGGGCCGTCATGCGGCGGTTGGGGTCGACGGTCAGGCAGCGGCGGATAAAGTCCTTTGCGCTATCCGAGACGCCGCGCCAGTACTCGACCGGGGTGAAGCTGTAGTCGGCGTTGAGGATGGCCTGCATCTCCTCAAAGTCCGTGTCGCGGTCAAAGGGCGTGTAGCCGCACAGCAGGAAATACGTGATGACGCCCAGCGCCCACAGGTCCACCGGCTTGCCGTGGCCAGTCTTCTTGAAGATCTCAGGAGCCATATACCCAGGCGTGCCACAAGTAGTGGTCAGCATGTTGAAATGCTCCTCCTCCATAATGCGACTGAGGCCAAAGTCGGCGATGAGTAGGTCTGCGTTATCCTCCGGGGTTCGGAACAGCAGGTTTTCGGGCTTGAGGTCCCGGTGGACAATGCCATGGTCGTGTAGGTAGGCGACGGCCGAGAGCGTCGCGCGGATGAGGTCGGCCGCATCTGATTCGTAGTACGAGCCCTTGCGGCAGATGCGATCAAAGAGTTCACCCCCTAGCGCCAGGTCCGTGACGAGATAGAGGTTGTTCATGGTCTCGAAGTAGTCGACGAGGGTGAGGATGTTTTGGTGGCCCATCGATACCTTCTTGAGGACGGCAATCTCGTTGCGCACCATATGCTCGCGACCGGCCATAAGCCGCTTGTTAATGACTTTGGCTGCATAGTAGCGACCCGTGTCGATGTGCACGCACTCCTTGACCACCGAGTAGGACCCCGCACCAAGTGTCTTTCCGACCTTGTACCGGCAAGGCTGGATCTGCGGCTGCTGCTGCTGCTGTTGCTGCTGCTGCGGCCGATCGCCGGCTGCAGGGACTGTATTCATCGCGTTAGGACGGCGTGAAGCCCGCACACTGCTGCGGTGCCAAGGTCGTCTTCGCGGCTTTGTCTGAACGAGAGGCTCTGGTTGCTCGGTCGCGTTGCGCTCGCGGCACAGCGTATCGCGTCTCACTCGATTGCGCCTTCAAGTACTGGGGACAGTGCCGGCAGGTTACAATGCGGTCGTAAACTTCACAATCAACACGATCGATTCAATCCCGTGTACGCGCGTCGCTACCGTAGTTTGGGTTCAGGGGATCAAAGCAGCCTTGTGGAGCTGTACTGGTGGTGTGATCGACGACGATCCTTTCGATAGCGGGGTCGCGGGGTTGAGAGGAAAGTCGAAATTCAGGAGGGTCGCCCTGCATACGCAAACACGCATGTACTTAATCAATGTCGTAACCTTCCATCAAGCGTAACCTGGTCGAATACAATATGCGCAAGGCAAAGGAGAGATCTTGAGTTTAGAGTGTAAGACGAAAAGGTCCTCCTACGTGGTCTGTAGGTAATCCCTCTTCTCTCTGATCTGGCCAGCCGCACTTGAGTTGTTCCTCAGCTAAACTTCACTTCGTAAAAAATTCCATTTCAGCTGCTCCTACTAGCGCACTGCTATTCGTATAACTAAGCCAATTAACAGCAGCCCCACTTCCTGCAAGTCCGACCTCCTCCTGACTTCCCCCTCGACTCGAGCCCCTGTCATGACAGCGAGTTCCTGCACGAGATCCCGCAACTCAATCATGACAAGATCTGCTTGAGCCAGCCGTCATAAAGACCCATTATCAACCGCTCTGGCGTCAGACTGACCTAACTTCCAAGGTCTCCAATCACATGTAAGCAGCCAGGTGAGGACAACAGAAATGCCGTGTGAGAGCTTGGGTATTGTGTTACCAAGAGAATCTCCCTTGTGGAATTAGAAGATCTGTCTTCACCTCTTCTTGTCCCTCTTCGCTTTCTTCGATTTTGAATGACCCTTGTCCCCCCTCCCTTCATCATGCCCATCCGCTTCTGTCTCGGCCTTGCGCTTCACCTTTGTTTTCACGCTCACGAGCGGATTAGCCTTGCCGCTCTTGGCTGCCTGCAGGACCCTTTTCTCTGCATCCTCCCATGCCGCATCGTCACCTTCGATCTCATACCTGGTTGATCTCTGTTAGCACAGCATGCGGACTTGATAGGCAGTTAAGATTCCTTACTGATCCAGCGGGAGGGAGTCGATGAGCTCCCGTTGCTTCGCACGTAGCTCGCTCAATGCCTCATCACCACCCTCCTCCAGTTCATCCTCCAGCCGAGTCTCTAGCGGCACATACTTGTTATCCACCACCTCGTCGTCGTGCACTCCGGAGGCATTCTCACGGCTGACGCCGACCTTGTTAGGATCAGGCATCTCAGATGCAATGGCACCAGTGACAAGCGAGCTAAAGTGCGACGTTATCTTGCGCATGATTTTGATAAAGATGGCCAGCACCTGGGACGTTGGTTGATTAAGCTCGTTGGCAATTATATCCACCTCCTTCCGTTGTAAGCCAACGGCGAGCAGGATGGCCTGTTGCATGCCACTGAGCTTGATGCTCGACCTCAAACGGCCGGTAAAGTAGAGCTGCGCGATGGTCGGCATCAGATCCAAGACGACGTGGTAATCGAGCATGCCGTTGGCATACGATTCGAGCCGCTTGTGGTCGAAAGGCGTTAAGAGCGCGTCGAGATCCGTCTTGTTGAGCTCAGCTGGCTCACTGGACGGATCTAGTTTGGCGCCCGCATTCGATGATTCTTCGATTGTTAATGCCAAGACGGAGGGAAAATCGCGGAACTTGTACGAAAGAAGCGACAGGAACCGACGATGAAAGTCATTGGCGAATGCACCAAGCCAGCTTGGATCGTTTCCGTCTTGAAGCGGTCTTATCATCACACAGGTATGCTCTCCCGTAAGGTCATTCGCCGTTTGCCTCTGTCAATTTGTGAGTATCCTGCCGATGCAAGGCCGCATGTTCACTTGAAGATTGACATACCAGATAGACTGGAGCAAACGAGGCACGCTTCCAGAACTTGTGAAGAGGTCCAGTCAGGCCGTAGCTGACACCCACGTAATCGAGCCTCTCTGGGCGCCGCTCAGCCAGCTTGGCAAAAAGCGGCGGCAACTCGTTCATGTCTCGGACCTTGATATCATCGAAAAGGCTGGCATTTGCAAGCTCGGCATCTGTTACCCTGGGAATACTCCGCTGGACAGAGTTGCCAGTGTCTTCAGACAGGTCCGCGAACTTCCCCTCGTAGTAATCGACAAGGAGCTGAAGTGCTTTGGAGCCATAGCCCATTGACATGTAGTCTGGGTTTGTGGCTATCCGTACTATTCGCGCCCCCGAAAGCGATGCGAACTCGTCATCCTGGAATTGCTGGCTAACAAGCCAGGGGATCAAGTCACCGGCTGGCTGTTGACCTCTGCTCAAGCTGTTGAGGATGCTTTGCCTGCTAATCTTGCCTTCCAGTGAAACTTGGATGACACAAAGAGGCTCAGGCAGACGCCCTTCGACGATAGGGGCCGTAAGAACGAAGAGTTCGTGCGCCGGTGCGTCACTCATGAGTTGCAGGTCATTTGGTGAGTTTTTGTAGTGGCTAGCAACATACAAGGCTACCATGTGTTGCAGGAACTTTTCGGAGACCGGGTGGAAGGAGAACAGCGTGTCGCGGTTGACATGGAGCAGCTCGCACTGCGAGGGGTCCGGGCAGCCTTGGATATTCAATTTGGAGCGTGGTAACGTCGCGTCCAAACAAAGCAGCGTATTGAGCCACCTTTCTACCTTATCCCCTTGAGCGTAACGGATAGGCTCAGAGAGTGTGATTTCTTTGAGAGAACGCCCGCCCACGGCATTGGTCTCCTTGGTTGCCTTCCCGCTCGACCGGTCAACTTCGATCGAGCCGCCGCCGTTGGGATTGGTCCCCGTCCTGGACTGCTCTCTCAGCTGTTTGATCAATTTGAGCGACAGCGACCGGCCTGTGCCTTCATATCCGCTGATTGTAGACGCCATGAAAACCAGATAAGGACCCATGAGCTTCTTCACAAGGGGCAAGGGAATAGCCGCCGCCTCGTCGATGACGACAAGCTCGGCCTGGCCCAAGACATGGCTATCTTGCGGCCGGAAGTACTGAATAGTCTGTCGGTGATTTCTGTGGATGTTCACGCGGACAATCGCCTTGTTGAAGTCTGGATTTGTGGATTGAATGATGGTGTAGTCGGCATGGTCCTTGTAATCGAGGGCGTCGAAGCCTTTGAAGACAAATTCAAACAGTGTCTTCAAGTTCTCGGGCGATGGCGAAGTAATGAAAATGTTGCTGTACCCGTAAGCAACGGCCGCCGCTATCGCAACGCCCATGGCTGCTGATTTACCGCGACCACGGGCCGCAGTCAAGGTGACGGTGTTACGCAGCGTCTTTTCAGCAATGGCATCTACAAAGGTAAGCAATGCCTTTGCTTGATCTGTTGTTCGTGCCAGCTTAACCAAAGATCCTATCGGCTGTGTATCCTGCAGCGAATCCTTGATCTTTTCCAGCTCTTGCGTTGCCGCGCTCACGGGCTCGTCTTCATCTGGTGGCGGTAGCGGCTTAACACCCTTGCCGCCGGAAATCGGGAGTACATTGAGTTCGTCGTCAATCACGAGACAAGATTCGCAGCTGCCAAGGGACAAGATGAAGCGCTCATTGAACCTTGCAACAACATCGTCATGGGCCTCGGTTCTGTAGCGGGAGTGTACGTCCATGGATAGGGTGTATAACTGCTTCAAACTGTTCATTCCCTTCAGCAGGAGCACCACTAGGCCGCCACCCTCGACAGTCTCGATAGTCCGAGCCAGGATGTTGGGCGTTATGGCTTCGAAATCTTGTAAAATGCACTGCCAGACTCGTCAGCCTCCTCGCGCTCAGCAGAACGGCACACCTCTCCTTCGGCTTGCAAGGTGTCAACTGACCATGCCATATGTGTTACCCAGGATCTTGTCGGTTTCTTTGTAGTAGACATAGCGGATATCGTGAAGCGAAATGAAGAGCTCAAACGGGTCTTCTGAGTTGGCCTCTCGTATCCCCCGCTTGATCTCTTTCTTGATCTTGTTTTCCCGCTTTTTCCGATGGCTGGTGAAGCCAAGGAGTTTGTTCTTGTACGCCCAAAGTACTGACTTGTTTTGCCTCACATCCATGCTGGACATGATATAGTACAAGTGGACAATGGCCTCCTTGGAGCGATCGCCAACCACGACGAAGAAGCTGCGCTTCTTTTCCTGGAGGCCATTGCGGATTAATGTAGGAATCCGTGAGTCTCTGTATTGAGTAGAGAGTCAGGATATTGCAAGAATCTGTAATCCGGACAAGGGTCTCTTACACTGTCTTTTGTGCCGTCATTGTCGCTGCTGTTGGCGCATTTGATTGAAGATGGTCAGGGTGATGCGAGGGGTCCATAACCGGCAGGAAGAGGTCAATTATTTTTATTTTGCCGGGCGGTGTAGCGCTCTTGCATGGCCAAGCCTCACTCGCCAAGACTTTAAATTCACACCGCCTACCATAAGAGACGGGCCATAGGGTACTTGTACCTTCATCGATCAGCGCAAGTTCGGATGCAAGAGACCTAGGTTGAACGTTGGTATCGATGTAAGTCACAGCTCAGCTTCTAAATTGAAAAAGAAAACTAAAATGTATCATTAATATCGTCATATTTTCCTTCCTACCTACACAGCGTTTGATTTACAACCCGCCCAGCGTTCCATCCAGATGCCCTGACGCAGTCGTCTTGCCGTGATCCTCTGCTCTGGTTTGAATTGCAGCATTGATTGCAACATGCTCAGCAGTGCGGTTCTCTCTTCCTCAGCAATCTCCTCAAACCCCGCTTCCCGCCGCGGCCGTTGTATGCACTGTTCTAGTCGCTTATCCCATCCTCGTCTCACGGTGTCTGGATGTCTTCCCGGTGCCAATTTGATACCCGACTCTCCATCATCGGTCCAAAATTCTGAGCGGGCATCCCACCGGGTCCACCATTCTGGCGGAAGCCTCCCTAGTAGATCCACCTCATCGGCCAGCACCTGATCGTCTGTTGCAAACCACGACTCAAAAAGTGGGCGTTGTCCGAGGACTTCCCATATCAGGCATGCCAGACTCCAGATGTCCGCAGGGAAGCCCAACGCCGTAGGTGGAAAGCGAGCCTCGGGAGGACGAAACGACAGTGGGGCGTTGGAATAGAACCGAGCCGTAGATGATGGCATGAATGACTCCCCGAAGTCACTCAGAATGACTTCCGCTTCAGCCGCCTCAAGCTCCTCGCTCTCTTTCCCGAGCATAGCAGGCACGACAAGGTGGCTCGGAACACCATAATCTAGAGGCTGGCTGTCTTTGCGCCTGACTTGCTCTAGTTCAGGCTCCCCATATCTGTCGTATAGTTCCTCCGGTATCAAACTGTTGATAGTTCGAGGTAGCCTAAAGAAGACGTTTCCCGGATGGATATCTGGACATGATACCTAAGTAAGCATGACAGTGCCAACTTAGATCACGAGGAATGAAACTCACCAGCATGGACTATGCCTTTCGAGTGGACGTAGTCAAGGGCTAACACTAGCTGTACGACGATGGCTCTGGCAGTTTCTGGTCGAAAAAGCCTCGAATAGGAGAAATCTTTGGCGTCGCGGATACTCATCATGGCTGGAGGCAATAACAAGACACCTGTGATGGCCATTTGGTCCCTGGACATCAAAACTGTCCATTATGGTCTGTACCAGGTACTGCCTGGGGCGGGCCCCATCGTCATGCATTGAACGTGAGAGATGCTCCAGTATTTTCTCTTCCAGAGAGCCATCTCTGGTATGTGCAGCGCATACTTTAACTGCAACATGTTGACGGTGCATCGTGTCTAGCGCCAGCCAAATCGTCGAGTAACCGCCAAAACCAAGCTTGTGTACAATACGATATCGACCCTCCTTCATCGTGTCGCCGATGGAAACAGGATGGAACCCACCGACGCAATATCTTGAGATGTCTTCAACATCCTCCATAAAGTCGTATCTGGCAGCCTCGGGTCTGCCGTAAGATGCCATCCCGCGGTTACGTTGTCTATAAGAGCTGAATGGTTGATGTTCCGAAAGACGAGGGAGTGCAGCAGAAGCAATTGATGAGCGGGCTAGGAATGATGGGGGAAGGGAAGAAGTCAGGGAGCATACACGAAAAAAATGCCGTCCCAGCTTCGCTTCATTGTGGCGCTGGGGATGTTCTTGGAAGTCTAGTCGTAGGCACCTTTCCTAGATGACTTTTTTGCACTCTGCTGTTTCTTGAATTTTATTCGTGCCTCGTTGGCACTCTTCTTCCTGTTACCTGAGCATTAGATGCAGAGTGAGCGAGCAACAGATAGTAGCACAACTTACAGTGACTCGTACTTCTTTGCCTTGTCAGGGCTGGTTTCATTGGGCACTGTTCTGCTATATAGGCTCTGGAGCTCTTCGAACAGTTTTTGTCGGTTCTCATCCGCATTCGCTGTGCGACTGCGCTGAGTTTGCGCCTGAATATTGATGCAATCGTTACGCTTAGAGTAATACTTTGACTCTCTAATGGCAGCATGCAACAGCTTGGGCAAAACAGGCAACAGCTGTGGAATCGGCCAGGTGGTGGTCGCCTTGGTTTCCGTCCTGGTGCTGTCAATCACCACTGCAGTTGACCAGCGAACGGAACAGCAACGCAGCTTACTTATTCACATGCTGCCCTCCAGGACCGCTAGATCGGGAGAAGGATGTACTCCCCGGGGGCAAGCTGCTGACCTGGAATGACTTGTGCCATTTCCTGGCCTCAGCCAGCTCTTCCGGATCGAACGACGCGTCAAACGCCTGATGCTTTACGGACCGTTGAGACAGTGCTAGGGATAATTGGCTCCCTTGCCATCCGCTCAGTGAGCCAAGGTGCGGTCGGATGGCGTGGCGAGCCAACATCATAACATGTTGTGAGTTTTGATCTCTTGTCGCCTGTGCAAATTCTCAATCTCAACTGAACAACAACAAGCGGAGGGTTGATGGTGGGCTGTTTAGGTGAGAGCACTAACCCTGAGCGTTACTAGGTAGTACGGCCCTGATTTCAAGTTGCCTGTCAGCGTTTATGTACTCCGTGATCTACTCCGTGCATACACTGTATTTACCACGGTGACCCGGGCGTTTGCCCACTGCAGCTGCCAGTTCCAGTGGTGGGGTTGCTCAAGAAAGCAGAGATCAGGCTTGTGGAACTTGATCGAGAATTTTCTTGCCAGCCTTGCGTCCTGCTCTCCGCATCCTACCAACCGATCTCATCGGCATTTCATGATGACTGCGCAGTTCACCTCACGACCCGAGACTTGTCCTTCCTCAACATCAACCATCTCTGCAGCACAATAAACAGCCTGGCCCAGCCAACTCCGGGTGCTCCAACAGCCTTTGTCGTAAAGCGAGATCGTACAACCAAAAGCAATCCAAGTCCAAGCTTGTCCTTGCCCCTCCAAACTGTTTGCCTACCCTGCCACAAGACCTCATCGCGCCACTTCCTCTCCGGCCGTTTTAAATCCCCTTGGTTTCCTACTCATTCTGTCGTCGGCCCATGTGAAGGTGCCTGCAGCTAGCTACTGATTCTGGGGTTAACGCCTGCCTCTTTCCTACACGCGCATTGCCTCGCTCATCATCCACTGTTGGTGCAGTGAGATCGGCCACTCGCCTGATGTCCGGCCAATCGCCAGAGATCGTGGCGACTGCCAGCCTCAGCCCTCTCTCCCCGGCTCCCATCTCGGTCCAAAGTCAAACAACAGTGGTCCCAAGGCTCCACGACCAAGCCGCTGGTGCTGACGACGCAGCTTCGGACCCCATCACTGTCTCATCTGTGCCTCAGCATCCCGTTACCGCCATGGAGCCGGAGCCGGAGTCGGAGCCGGAGATGGCCGGGGTCTCGGATACAATTGTAGTCGGCGGGGATGACTCGGATGAATCCCACGACGAGAGCGACGACAGCATTGACTATGGCGAGAGCGCAGAGGGGCAGGAACAGGAGCAGCTCGAGCCAGATGCTGCAAACGATGACTATGCCAAATCCTTTGATTCACCCACAGATCGTCAGAATCAAAGCGAGGCTGACGAGGTTCAGCCTGATGTATCAATGGCCACAGAATCCATGAGTAGTTCATCTGCGCCTGACCCCTTGACTAGCCAGTCTTCAACTGCCGCTGCCTCTTCTGATCACCCGTCGCCCCGTTCGCTAGGCTTGCCTCCCACCAACGCTTCCGCCGAAAGGTCCTCCGAGGCTCCGTCTTCGGTCTCTGCCCCGGCCGCCACTCCACCTTCCACGACGCCTGCCACGGCCGGCGCTGAGAAGGACCCTTCCGTTACCTCTCCGCCTGCTGCGGTTCCCGCTACCGCTCCAACCCCTGCACCAGCAAATGATGATGCCTCCTCTATTGACATCCAAAAGCTGGTAGATGGCATTACTGCCAAAGGTGCCGCCACAGCCTCGCTCCCAAACCCGCCGGCTCAAGCTAGCCCAACCACCACAACTCAAGCTGCTCCGGCTATCACAACCCCGTCTTATCCTGCTTCTCTTCCTCCAAAGCCATCTCTTCCTCTGCCACCAAACAATTTGCCAGCCATCCCCCATCCTCACCACTCATTCCAAACCCGAGGCCCTACTGCCTCCACACCATCAGCGGTGTCGATGACCCTTGCCAACCCCGCCGCATCGCATGGCACATACATGTCCGCCGGTCCGCCCGGCGTTGCAACTGAAGGTGTCTCATCCTTGCCGCCGCCGCCCCCCACGCCGTATGGCGGCGTCCCGCATGCCCATGCCCATTTGCATAATGCTCATCACATGCCCGTTGCTGGAGATTCATCCTCCGGAAACTTCCATGGGTCGTCCATCAAACAGTTGTGGGAGATTTTCCAGGCCGATGAGAAGCGCTACACATCAGAGGCGAAATGGGAAAGATTCCCCGAAGGATCTCGCATTTTCATCGGTGAGCCCTGCAGTGAACCTGACTCTGCCAATCACCTGCTTACGCAATTGTCCAGGAAACCTATCCAGCGAGAGGGTCTCGAAACGTGAGGTGTTTGACGTCTTCCACAGATTTGGCCGGCTAGCACAGATCTCTTTGAAGAATGCGTATGGTTTTGTGCAGTACCACACCGTTGCCGAGGGCCAGGCCGCCATGCAGGGCGCTCAGGGGATCGAGCTTGGCGGCCGCAAAATTCGTGAGTTTTCATCGAGACTCCTGTTCTGAGCTTGCCTAACCATCAGATAGATCTCGAGATTTCGCGCACACAAAAGAAGAAGGATGACAGAGATCGCTCACCGGATCGCCGGACTCAGCGCGGCGTCCGTGGGAATGATCGGTACGAAAATGGGGATCGTGCTTGGAGACGAGACGACTACCGGCCAGGGCGCTCTCCTTCACCCCGCCGGACTGACGCCCGCGGCAGCCGAGATAGTTTTTATTCTCGAGACCGTGATCTTAGTGGCGGCAACCATGACCGTCGCCGATCCCGGTCTCCTGCGCGCTATAATCGCTATGAAACTGAGTCCTATAGGCGCCGGAGCCCCAGCCCTCACCGCCGAACCATGTCTGAAGGCGATCGACTCGATATCCCTCGCCGCTTCGGATCCGACGTCCCGGACGTCCAAGTTTTATTGCTCCAGGAAATTTCAAGGGACTTTGTCAGCTGGGTCCAGGGGGCTTTTCACCAGAGAGGTCTGAAGACGGACGTCATGTACCTCAATCCGCGATTTCCTCGAGACGCCGTGGTACAGCGTCAGATTGTTGAGGGAGTGCATGCCATTGTCGACCTGGACTATACCGCCCAGTCACAGGGCAAAATCCCCATTCAAGTTTTCTACCGGTCCGGCGGCAGCAGTGTCCGCTTCGAGCTCTATAAGGAGGATCCCGCCGTGGCGGCAGAAATCGTGCTTAGAGAGAAGGCGCAGTCTGGGGCTCATCTCGCCCAGGCCCGGCCGCCTTACGCCTCCAGCAGTTACAGCCAGCCATACCCGGCAGAGGTACCTCCTGTCGGCTACCAGTATCCGTACTCCCAGCCAGCTGCGCCTCCGCAGGTCCAGCCAGCGGCTCCGGTACCCGACCTTACCAGCATGGTTGGCCAGCTCGACAACTCGGCCTTGCAAGCACTCCTGGCGTCCCTCCAGACTCCGCAGGCTAACCATGCTCACGCCGGCTACGCACCCGCCGGAGTACCAGCTGCTGGTGCGCCTCAAGCTCAGATTGACGTAAATGCGCTTCTCGGCAACCTCAGGAATGCTGCCGCGACGCAGGCAACGCCGGTTCCGGGCGCCCCCAGTTACGGAGTGCCTGCGGCATATGCCCCGCCCTTGAACAACGCGGTTCCTAACGGCCACGGAGGTATAGCCGGCCTCGGCGGGATTGATACCGCGCAACAGGTTCAGACAATCATTGATCAGCTGAAGCGGGCCGCGCAGTAGGGCCCTGCGTATGCCTCAGCGATGTGCCCTCCCAACCCAGTAACGGACGTGAGATACTGACATTTGGGGTACAAAACCCGCGCTGTGCTCACGTCCGCGCCCTTTACCAGCGACTGCTATCCCTATTGAGTTCTTCCCCTTGACTATCATGATCGAATTGTTGGTAACGGTCCTGACTCTGCACATCTACCAACTTGCGGAGCCTCAGTTCGAAGAGCTTTTCGGGGAATCATTTGCTCGCACTATTGGTGACAAGGATCGAGATGGCAACTACTAGGGGCCGGACCTAGCGTATCGGGGCATGCTCGCCCAGTTTGGCGGGGAAGATTCGAGCAGCTCCCGATAAACATGCCAACGGAGAAATGATTGAGGAGGGCGCATTATTCCCCAGCCCGGGCGGGTGCGCCTCCTGACCAGCCGAATCTTGACAGATGAGAAGGCTTAGTGGAATGGTACAGATCCAGGCTAGGGATATCCTCTAATAATTGAGACTAGCTCACTCTAGCGATCTAGGCATGTGGACGACTTTGGTCGGGGCACGTTCAAGACAGATTCCGTTGGTCGAACAAAAATCTTAGCGATGAATTGAATATCAAATTATTGTATTCCAGAGTCGTGGCGGCCTGGTGTGAGCATACAACGTCTATCGTCCCATATCCAATCGGCTAACCCCTGGTGTTACAAGTAGAGTCACCATTGACTACCTCTTCATGGTACATAAGTGATACATTCCACCCCTCGCTCGTGTGAAACACCCGAGCCGGTCCGTTAAGCATTCCACTCCTCCTCCTCAGCCAACAGCAACCTCACCGTGACCCTCTCCCTCTCCTTCGACTCTCCCTCCGCCATCGCATTGGTCGTCAACCGCAACCACCCGCTCAGCGCCCGCCTCAACTCGCCCTCGCTCCGCCCGAGCACCGCAATGCCCCTATCCGCACAGGCAAGCCGCACCTCGTCCTTAACCAGGGCCGGCTCCCCGCCAGCCTGGAGTAGCAGCGCGTCGTCGACGGCGAGGAAGTGCAGCCGCCTTCGCACGGCCGCCGCGACCCAAGACTCGGGAAGCAGCCACTGGGACAGCGCCGCAGAATGCACCCCGAGAACCCGCGCCAGCGCCCTGACGTGTTGTCCCTTCAGATACCATTCGCCACTATTACCATTACTACTACTGCTGCTGCTGCTGCTACCAATACCACTACTACCCCTATCAGATTCAGGAGTAGTAACGTCTGCTGCTGCTGCTGCTGCCGCCGCCTCAGCCCGTCCCCGCCGCCGCGCCTCCTCGTCCTGGCGGAGCAGCTTCTCAATCTGATTCGGGATGCGGCAGGGGAGGGGCACGATCCGCGGCACCGCCAGCACCACCAGCGGGGTGAACTCGCCGCAGACGAGCAGCAGCAGCGCGAACAGCGGCAGCCGGCGCACGTCGTGCTTCCATCGTAGTCTGAGGTGCAGGTGCGCGCGGGTACCGGGGCGTGGCGGGGGCGGAGGGGATTCCGATTCGGAGGATGAGGACGGGGATCGCGACGGGTACAGCAAACGCCGGTTGGTCAGGATGTGCTTGAGCCCCGTCTTGTAAAAGGTTAGGTAGGCTTTGCCTGTCTCGAAGGCGTGCGTGAAGCGCTTGCGGAGGTCCGGGTTGCCTCCGTCTTCTTTGGTGGGCAGGGTCAGCGCGGGAGGGCGGGTTGTCGGCGGGGGATTTGCGGCTGAGGGGGAGAGAGGGTGATATTCTGGGGCTGGTGATTGTGTTATTGTTGGTCTTGTTGTTGTGCCGGTGGTGATTGCGCACGTTGAGCGTCGTTGCGGCTCGGGGGAGGCGGAGGAGTAGGACCGCAAAGCTCGTTTTGCGGGAGCTTTGAGTCTGCCGGTCGACTGTAAAACGGCGGAAATAGGTACTTGTACATCCTTCTTGGACAATTGGCCTGAATTGGCGTGTAGCCTGCCGGAGAGGAGGATGCTGTGTCTCATTGCAGTCGGTCGCTCTCAACTTTCCAAAGCTGAGATCCCGGCAGCAGCGTATGAAATCATCGTTCCTGAGCGCTGGGTAACGTTCACTGATTGACAATGCTAAGGTGCTGTAAGTTTTTAGTGGAGAACTTCACATGTGGCTTGTGCTCGGCAAATGCCAAGACCCAACTGCTTTGAGGTTCAAGTTGCCAACTTGGGAATGCGGGATGTAGCTGCCTATAGCCAATCAATAGCGCCTCGTTAATCTCCCCACGCGCCGGCCGCATAAAGATGCTGGTCCCTCGCTCACGAGGCAGTCAAACTTCGTGTCGGTGAAAATTTGTCCCAACTTATCCCCATTCTCGGCCCTTCCTGGTTTGTTCCATGCTTCTGTACCTCAGGACAACGTTGGCAGGCCCCTGGCGAGGTTGAGGTTGAGGTCGTGTGTGGGCAATTCCGTCTTGAGTCTCGACTAAGACTTTGGCTGTGTTCAAGCGCGACAAGAGGCCTTGTTGCAATGGCCTGGAACTACCACTTCATCGACCTTTCCGAGGACGAGAAGTACGCCCGGCGCCAATCGCTCAATAGATACGCCCTCTACGCCCAGCTCTCGGCAGTCGTCCCTGTCATTCTCATCTTACTGCACCGTATAGCCAAATGGGCAGCTGAATCGAGGGAGTCCCGCAAGGGCGACTATGCTGCGGTACCGAGTTCGCCGGTTCGGAAGCTCAGGCGTCAGAGCAGCTTGGGAACCTGGGGCTCTTTGTTTCAGAGGGCAGGCTGGTGGCTGGGCGAGGATGTGGTGATGGCTGGGAAAGTATGGGGCCAGCGGGACCGTATGTCTTCCTTTCTCGAGAGCACAGCGGGATGACCCTAACAGCGGGTTATGTCTGTGAGGCTGGCATCTGTACTAGGACTAACAGCCTGAGCAGAGTGGGCTGTCGGAATCTTGTGGGCCGCGTGGCTTCTGATACTCTGTGTGCTAGAGACCGAGGAAGGTAAGCGGCAGTCTTGGTGTACACACCTGTGCATCCGATTTGGTCCTGCACTTGTACACTAACAGATCACGTAGACTACTTGCACCTTACAAAACGGTTCGGCGCCGTTGCCGTATCCCAGTATCCCCTCCAGTACCTCTTGACGCTCAAGTCCCTGAACCCGGTCGCCTACCTCCTCCGCTCCTCCCATGAGCAGGTTAACCGCTGGCACCGAGTGCTAGCCCGCGTTACTACCTTCCTAGTATGTCTCCATATGGCCTTCTATCTTAACTTCTTTGTCCAGAGGGACCGTCTGGATCGACTAGGAGACCCAGTCGTCTTCGCTGGCATCATGGCCTTCCTGAGCCTGAATCTCCTGCTCACGACAGCTTTACGTCCGATGCGGCGGTTTTCATACCGACTGTTCTTCCTTGTTCACGTAATCGTCGGAATCATGATGCCCCTCATGATCATTACCCACGCACCTCACTCTAGAGCTTTCATGATCGAGGCTCTGGTTATGTTCTTCGTCGATCTAGCCTCGCGTAAACTGGATACAGTAACCGGACAGGCGACCGTGGAATCTATTCCTGGGACGAATCTTATCAAGATCTCTGCTAGCATCCCTTATTCCAAGGTCAACCGATTCCGTGGGCATCCGGGGTCTCACATCTACCTCAGTATCCCGGCTGCGGCCCGCAAGTTCGCCAGTCCTACCTCCATCTCGCATCTGCTATTTGAATTCCTCTTCAACCCTTTCACGGTAGCTGCCGTGGATGACGAATCCGGAAATCTCACATTGGTCGCCCGCCACAGCGGCGGCCCTATGACAGCGGCTCTGGGACGACTTGCACGCGCAGCACAGCCCAACGATATGGGCAGAACGGACGAAAGCAAGATCCCGCTGTCCATCGAGGGCCCGTACGGAGCAGCGGCTCGCTTCCCTAATCTGGGTGCCGATTTTGACCGAGTCCTTCTCGTCGCCGGTGGCGTGGGTGCGACCTTCATAATACCCCTGTACCGCTCCATCGTCAGTGAAAACCCCGGTGCGAGGGTGGAGATGGTCTGGGCGATCCGGGAGGCAGGCGAGGCAACGTGGGCCGTCACGGGCAAGGAAGCGCAGGCTCTACTGAAAGACGACCACGTCCATCTTTTCCTTACCGGGCATGTGGCTGGCTCCGGGAGTCCATCTACTGGTCATCCAGCGGACGGCGTTCTCGGAGTCGGAGGTACAGGGGACAGTAGCGAAGGAGAAGTAGAATTGGCTGCCATGTACCGGGACCGCCGAGCAAACCGGTATACATCGCAGCACAACAGGAAACGGCCCGACCTGAAGAAAATCGTCGACGACATATTCAAGCACGGGCTCGAGGAGCGGGTCGCGGTGGTCGTCTGCGGTCCTAATGAAATGGCCCGAGAGCTAAGAGAGCATGTTGGCTTCTGGGTCCGGAAGGGTCGGCCGGTCTGGTGGCATAAGGAGGGATTTGGATTTTAAGATCGCGAAGGACATAGAACCACCAAAACTATCACATCGAGCCCCAATAATACAGTGATAAACAGACGATTTCATGCTCCATACCCGCGTTATCTTGTGCAATGAATGCCACCCAAACACCGCCTGCCTTCGCTTTCCTTGTACCACTCTAAAGGAGCGCAAACATTATTGCAGAGCCAGAGGAACGCCATAGCCTTCGGAAGCCGTCATTCATACATTGTGCGTCGCCAACGGAAAGGAGCTGACGCACCCAGTGCTCAACGAACCCATCATAGATCTGAGCGCTTCTTGCCGGACTCGCCGTTCGCATCGGCGTCCTTGCTCGCCGCGGGCACGGAGACGCCTACATCTCCCAACTCGTCCTCATCCCATGCGTCGTCGGCAGCATTCTCGTCCCAGTTATCCACCTCCTCCTCCAGTGTTGTGGCTCGCGGGCGGCCGGCTTCCGTCACGCCCTCTTCATGGTCCCCCATGCCGCTGCCTCCGCTGCTAACCCCGGGGCCCTCGCCCAGCTCGAGATCACCATCCCCGGCATCCCCATCGCCGGCAGCCGTCGGCACGGCGGTGTACTTGCGCTTGCGCTTGCGCTCGAGCATGCGCTTGTGGTACCACGAGCAGAGCCCCAGCCCGGCCAGCGAGCCGACCATGTTGGCGACCACATCGAGCAGGTCAAAGTCGCGGCCGTTCGGCAGCAGGGCCTGCAAGAACTCGGAGCCGACGCCGAGGGCCAAGGTGCAGATGATCAGGGTGGCGTGCAGGGTGCGCCGGCGGCTCGTGTCGACGACCCAGTAGAAGACAACGGTCAGGGCGAAGAAGGTGACGACGTGCAGCACCTTGTCGTTGACCACGGCGTCGACCTGCAGCGAGCTCAGCCCCGCGTAGCCGGCGACGAACAGGAGCAGGGCGAAGACGCCTGCGGGGGGAGGAACTATTTGTTAGCGACACGCACGGGCATGGAATAAAAGGGAGCACGGTTGGAGTGTGGAGGGTATGCAGTGACTGGACGACCGGAAGTTGCGAACATTGAAGTTGGGTCGAGAAATGCGACGCATGGGGTGTGTCGGAACCACGTACCGGCAAAAGGAAGCCGTATCCTCATATTGCTAGCACTAAGCTTCCACTGCTGAGACGGGGTGCGATGCAAACCACTAGGAAACTTCTCGGTTGTTGATCGTCATTGTCATTTTGGCGTGCGTGGAATGGATGTTGGACAGGATTACTGTTGTTCAGGTTTCGGAGCCTTCAGGGCTGTGAATCCTCACCAGGCTTACAAGAGCTCCAGCGGGGACTGTGGCGCCAAGCTGCTGTGAAGCCTAACTTTCATGGGCCTTGGTTGAGGCGGGTGGGTTCACATGCACGGGCCGCAGCCTGGCGGATGTGGGGTGATGGTGCAAGGTTGGAAAAAGAAAGCATGCCTTGAACCTCAGGTTTGGCTCTTGCAACCCCTGCTCTGTTGCCGGACCACGTATTCAGTGCCAGCAAATGGTTGGAAATCTTTGGGAGACAGTCTCCTGACGCATGTGTGGATTCAATATTTGCTCCCCGATACGAAGTTATTCTATGAATATTTCAGTAGATATACCTTTGACGGGCTATCACTTGCTTGTCCGCTGCTCCCCTGAGTGTGAGCCACGTGACTTGAAGGCCGTTTATCCAGATTCCAGAGCGGGCGATAGGGAGTTACAAGTGCACCGTGCTTTGAATGAGTCGCTCGATGTTCAAATTGAAAAAAAGGAAGCGCAGAGCACTGTTGAAGGCTGTATCATCAAGATAATTGTTTGCCAAGCCGATTGTATGCTTACAACCAGTGTACCGTCGATTAGGCGACAAAGAAGCAGCGTGTTGTGTCGAGTTCCTCAAGCTGCCTCTGCGCAAGGCCAAGGAAAAGCAGCGCTCCCTTGTCCAGAAGCGGCAGAAGCCTGCTTCTAAACTTGACTTCACGTCAAACTTCCCCCGAAATCAGCCATCACAGAACCCATCGAGGCACCACTACCGCATCGCCGATTGCCGTCAAAATTTGCCCGCCATCTATGTCGATGTCGCTCTTTCTCCCCATGTGACCTTGACGCCCTGGATTGCCCCGGTGCCGGCTGAACACGAGCGCATTTCCGGCGCATGGCGACCGCGCGATCGCTCTCTCGCTAGCCCCTCCGGACACAGGAAAATGTCCATTACAAACGGCCAGTATGCCTGGCACCCGCCCTCCGCCTCCCAGGTCAATGGCAACAGGATGCATCACGTTGTGGACGATGGCCCGGCGCCGACGCAGCCGCTCGGCGACAATCCGCTGCCGCTGATGCCTGAGGCATCCGATCTCGACGAGGATTCTCGACGCGCCCACTTTGCCGAACTCTTCCGTCGGGCTGACGCCAGGCTCTCGCTGCTGTTTGAAGACAATGGCGAATACAATCGGACCGCTCTTGAGTCTCTGAAGCGTGCCCCGACCCCTCCCCCGTCTCTGCCGCTCCCTGCGACGGACCACACGCCGATCCAGGAGCCGCCCCGCAAGCGGGCGAAGCGCGTCATCGACGAAGATGACTACGGCGACGACGACGACGAAGATGAGTCTGGGAACGAAGCAGCCGCGCGCGCCCCGCAGGTGTCCCCGTCCCTACAGTCGAAACACGCCCAGGCTGCCGCCGCCCGAACCCTGCTGTCGCCGTCCAAGTCCGGGAGCTCCCCGGTCCACTCCGTCCCATCACCCGGGAAGCAAGGCGATAGAGGTAGGGAAGACGGGTCGCAGGGCCAAGCAAAGTCATCCGAGGATGCGCGCAAAGAGCTGGAGGAGGCGCGCAATGCGACCGAGGAGGCGGTCAAGCGGAGCTTTCACACACTCTTCTACACGTTAGAAAACGACAGGACCGCCATGCTCGAGCAGCAACAATTGGAAGAGTCCGAGAAGCAGCTTCAGGCCGAGATGGACAAGACGAGCCACAGCCACACCAGCCAGCCAGGACAAAATCATGGCTCGCTCAGCAATGCCAACCTCGGCGCGTCAAGTCTCACCCTGAAGCATCTCATAGCCAGGATAGACATGAAGCGCGACCAGGTCCGCGCGTCGGATGCCGAACTCCGTTCTCTGATGAATGAAGTGCGCAAAAACAGGAGCAAGTGGGCAAGCGAGGAGAACGTCGGGCAAGAGGAGCTCTACGAAGCCTTAGAAAAGGTGCTCAGTGAACTCAAGGCCCACACCGAATACTCGACTCCGTTCCTGAACCGGGTGAACAAGCGTGATGCGCCCGACTACTACAACCGTAAGTCAGCTTTGATCATGCCGCCTCCCACCAGTCCCTACCCTCTGACCCTCGTACAGTCATCAAGCAGCCCATGGACCTCGGCACCATGACCAAGAAGCTCAAGGGGCTTCAGTACAAGTCCAAGGCGGAATTTGTCTACGACCTGAATCTCATCTGGGACAACTGCCTCAAATACAACGCAGACATGGGCCATCCGCTCCGTCGCATGGCCAATGGCATGCGGAAAGAGGCCGAGAAGCTCATTCCCCTCATCCCAGACGTCGTCATCAGACCGAGAGCCGAAGTCGAGGCCGAAGAGCGCCGAAAACAAAACGGTGGCGAGGATGATGGCGGTGACGACAGCGACGACGAGCCGATAATGTCATCTCGAGGTCGCAAGGCCGGGACAAAGGGGGCCAACAAATCCCGGAAGGCGCCGGCTGATCAGAAAGAAGGTACCCCAAATGTGGAGCAGAAGCCCTTGCTGCAGCTTAACGGCCTTCTCGCCAAATCCCACAGGGAAGGTTCCGAAATTGACGGCAGCAATGGCTTCGCTACTCCGCCGATAGGTGGCTCTTTAACGCCTAGCGGCATGAACGGCCATTCCGGCGTTAGCAATGCCGACGGTATGGACATTGATGGGCCGTCGTTGAACGGCATAGCCCTCGGACAAGCGCTCGGCGAGGCTGCTGAACAGGCTTACGAAGACGAAGCATACAAGATCTGGAAGCAAGTCACAAAGAAGGATCGAGCCCTCATAGCCAAAGAGCGGTACCAGCTATTCGCGGGGAACAAGCTTAATATCGAGGAACCCGCGCTTCTAAGAAGCAAAGCTGGAATGCGTCGATTCCTGAAATCGAGGAGAGAGGCTGAAGCTCTCGGTGTATTACGCTCATCTCACCTCGACGCTTCGGCGGCCGGCTCAAAGGACGGGTCGAAGGCTCCGGAGACGCTCGCCGAGGGTATGGAAGATGAGGCCGACCGCACGGTGCCGGCCTATTATGAGCCTCAGACGATTGTGCCAGATATTGACCCAAAGCTGCAATGGGTTGAAGATGGCGAAGGTCAGGTCATCAACCAATTTGAAGACATGCTCCGGCTGGTTCCGCCAGGTCACTTCGTGTCGCCGCCCAGCCGTTTAGCGAAGAAGCTGGACGCCAACATTCGACAAATGCAGGAAACCCGCAAGCTCTGCTCTAAGATCGGGGTCATCAAGCAGATGCAGATCCAAACACACGTGAGATCCCAGGCAGCTCTACCGTCGTCGTCACCAGCATCACTGACGTAGCCCAGGTGTACACTAATCAATTTCCTAAATATAATCCTGAACCGTTTGTAGAAGCCGACATTGAGCCGCACTTCCTTGCTGGCGAGGGTCCCGTCATGGCGGGCGAAGTCTGCCGGGCGACACTGCAACGCTCGGTGGCCAAGATCTTCTATCACGCCGGGTTTGAGGAGCTACAGCCCTCGGCGCTCGACACCATTACAGATATCGCCAGTGATTACATGCAGAAACTTTTCCGCACGTTCACCACGTACCACGAAGCCGAGAAGAAGCCTGCCGTTGGCGTTTATGCGGAAAGGGGTGCCCGCTTTCAGCCACGATTCACCCGTGAAGAGGTCATCCTGCACACCCTAGACGAGAACGGACATGACGTCGAATCCTTGGAGAGCTATGCCCGCGACGAGGTGGAACGGCTAGGCACCAAGCTCGGCATGCTGCACGAACGCATGAAGGCGCATCTCGCCGATCTCCTCCGCCCGGCGCTTAACGACGCCGGCGCCGACGGTTCTGGTGCCTTCAACGATGGCAGCGAGCAGTTCATTGGCGGCGACTTTGCCGAGGAGCTTGGCGAGGACTTCTTCGGCTTCAAGTCGCTCGGCCTGGACAAGGAATTAGGCCTGGAGATGCTCTCGGTGCCGCTGCACCTCCTGCAGTCGCGCGTCCGCAACCAGTACCAGCTGCAGACGCAGACGGCCGGCACGGTGGTCGCCGACCTCCTCGAGGCCCTGCCTCCCCCCGAGCCCGTCACCAAGGAGAACATCCAGGAGCAGATCGGCCTGGTCAAGAACTTCTTCCTTGCCAAGCTCCATGCCAACGGCGACCAGCCCCTGATCGAGGACGAAGATTTGCCGCTCAAGCAGCGCCGCGCCAGGCCGCGGCTGGGCGCGACGGGTAAGATCGTCTCGCCCCAGAAGAGGCCGCCCAAGGAGCAGATCGCCCTGGCCAAGAAAAAGAAGAAGCTGGAAAACGGCGCTGCGCAGGTCACGGATGGGATTAACGGCAATAGCAAGCCTGGTGGTGGTGGTGCTGGGGGGTTCGCTAATGGGAGTGCCTCGCCCGAGAAGGCCGGGGCAAGGAAACCTAGCAAGGCCGGCGGCCCCGGTGCCGCCCCCGGTGCTGCTGGCTTTAACCCTGCGGGCGCCGCAAGCACGTCCGGGCCGCCCATGACTGTCCAGGACAGTCAGGCAACGGCGACAACGGCGGAGGATAAGGAGGATAAAGATGACGCGGCGAACGGCGGCGGTGCAGGCACGGGCATGATGAGTCCGGAAAGCCCGGGGCAAGGATGATGATGAGAGGGTTGGATATGAAACGAGGTGATGCGATTTAATGAGGACGGGATGGGATGATGGCGGGAATGTAGTGGCAAGGCAAAGCAAGGCAGCAAAGGGATGCACTGTATGTAACTTGTTCTGACCAGGGGCTCCGCGGTCGTGATGATGGACAGGTCTGGTGTTGTGTGGTCTTTCTACGGGCTTTTTAGGGGGGGGGGGGCGCAGTTGTTACCTCTTTACCACTTTCTTCTTTTGCTGCCTCTTTCCTTCCCGATTCCCCGATGGATGGATAGGACTGTTGTGTAGTTTTGTTTTTTTCGTTTAGATCTCCGGAAAGAGAAGGCTTTGGGACAACAGCAGCGGCGGTGGCGGCGGGGTTCTTTGCATATAACTCTGCTACTTGACCTACTTTTTTCTTCCCTTTTTTTGCGTGGTTGAGCTTGGGAACGGGAATGGGAATGGGAATGGATGATGGATGGGATCAGCGGGCACAGCACAGCACAGCACGGCAGCGTACATACAAGTGCAAAACATACACATGCTCGGATTCTTTTGGGACAAGACATGCTGTGATGACTAACTACCTTACCTCGGTGATGAGGGAGTGCGTTTGTCTCCCTATCGTTGTAGACGTTCTCCTCCTCTGCTTTGTTCCATAACCCGCCCCCTCCCTCTCAAACCTCTCTCCCGTCTTTTGATTATGAGACATCGAAATGCCGAGGTTGAGCTGGTGGTGGTTCTCAAGGTGGTAATAGTAGTATTACAGTCCTTCTGTTCTTTAGCATCCATCGTCTTGAATACGCACTATGATATTTCGCCAATGTGTATGACAGAGTTTCCTTGTATAGACCGCGACCCTAACGGAGATTTTCGTCTACACTGCAATTGGATTGATGAACATGTCGAGTTAGATTGGGGTACCGTAACCCCATCGGTCTGATTTATGACTCAATGCATTCAACTTGTAATCCACACCTAGGTATAATCCACTTAACAAACCGCGTTGAAGCAGCCATCTAAACATATGCGCCCAATTCATACATAGACCCAGACTCCCATCCGGTACCGAAACCTGGTAAGTTGATGACCAAGAAACATCCACGTTGCAAAACGCCAAATGAAATGCCTTGCAAGATGAGTGATTTTCCGATTCCCGATCCCCTTCCCATGCATTCCAGATTCGTTGAGATTGCCATCCCTAGGCACCCGCCTGTAGATGCAAAACCGCATAAAAAGCAAGACGGCCTCATTACCCCCGTCTATTCGTTGTTGAACTTTTGGACAGCCGCCCCTTGAATTCCGCGTCACCCAAAACCCTTTACCGCAAACACCTTACTGCTTGCTAGCCCCTTAAATGCCAGCATCCATCCTCCAGCCCTCAACGGGGAGCGGGAACTTCAGGCACCACTCCGTGATCTCCTTCTTCAGCTCGTTGATGCGAGCAACCTCGCCGCTGGCCACCTTGAACTTGAAGTCCTTGAGCTTGTTGGCCTCCTTGGGAAGGGTGGCCTGGACCTCCTTGCAAATCTTGATGCTCTCGTCAATGTAAGCAGCGACCCGCTCAAAGTCTGCCTCACCGAAACCACGGCTGGTCATGGCCGGCGTGCCGATGCGGAGTCCACCGGGCGTGAGGGCACTCTTGTCGCCCGGAACACTGTTCTTGTTGCAGGCAATGTTGATCTGCTCGAGGACCGCCTCGACACGGGCACCGTCGAGGGACAGGGGCCGCAGGTCGAGAAGAACCATGTGCGAGTCAGTGCCGTCGGATACGAGCTTGTGGCCGAGTTCCTTGAACTTCTTTTCGAGAGCCTTGGCGTTGGCAACCACCTTCTTCTGATACTCAACGAACTCGGGGGTGGCAGCCTGCTTGAGCGCAACAGCGAGCGCGGTAATGGTGTGGTTGTGCGGGCCGCCCTGGTGGCCGGGGAAGACGGAGAAGTTGATCTTGTCCTCCAAGTCATAGAGAGTCTCCTTGCCGGTCTTGGCGTCGACGGACCGGACGCCCTTGCGGAAGAAGATCATTGCGCCACGAGGGCCGCGGAGCGACTTGTGGGTGGTGGTTGTGACCACGTCGGCGTAGTCAAACGGAGAGGGAATCACACCGGCGGCGACCAGACCGGAGATGTGCGCAATGTCAACCACCAGGTAAGCGCCAACCGAGTCGGCAATCTTGCGCATACGCGCGTAGTCGATGAGGCGGCAGTAAGCCGAGGTACCGGCCACGAGAATCTTGGGACGGAAGAGCTGGGCATTCTGCTCGAGTTGGTCGTAGTCAATGATACCGGTGTCGAGATTGACACGGTACGGCATGGTCTCGAAATATGTCGAGACAGCAGAGATTCTAGCGGCCTGTGTTAGCGGCCCCGCGGTTCTTGACAGGAGTGGGATCACGACGCTGCTTACTTCCGCTGGGGAGTTTGGTAGCCGTGACTGAGATGGCCACCATGGGGAAGATCTAGACCCATCAACCTGCCGTGGGGAGGCATAATAGCCTGATAGACCTGGAGGTTGGCGGGGCTGCCGCTCAGGCATTGGACATTGACACCCCATTTCGCAGGGTCAGCGTGGAAAGCCTCGAGCGCACGCTTCTGGCAGAGGAGCTCAATCTCATCAATGTGCTGGTTGCCACCGTAGTAGCGGGCGCCCGGGTAACCCTCAGAGTACTTGTTGGACATGGGTGAACCCAGAGCATCGAAGACAGCGCGGGATGTGACATTCTCTGAGGCAATCAGGATGATGGACTCCCGTTGCCGCTGAATCTCTTTTTTCTGAAGAAACAGTCAGTCGGCGATGGTCGGTGCCTGCCTGATGGATTGGTATCTCACCATGATCTCAGCGACCTCAGGGTCCGAGTCCACAAGGGACATCTCCAGCATCTGGTAATGGTGAGTCAGAGGCTGCTTCAAAACCGTCAAGGAGCGGGAACAAACCTCTTTGTGAGTCTGGGGGAGCGCGTATGTCGCCATTGTGAGGATGTTAAGTGCCGACTAGCAGCTCGAAATTCCAATTATCTGAAAAGCTCAGGAATGGAAACAGGAATGACGGGGAAGAGAAAAAGTGAATGCTGCAGGAATCCCGTAAGCTTAGGAGAGGTGTGTTTCTAAGGGTCTTATGAGAGAAATGGAGGGAAATCGGAGCAGATGAGAAAAATTCAAGACCCCGCAGTTCAAACCATCCCCCGCTGAACTGCGTAAGTGAGGGGCTTGGAGAGCCTAGAATCATCTGCTGCAGATCTGGAGGAAGGCCAAGCTTTGCTATGCTTAAACCGGGGGTTCAGTTGCATCCAATCCAGCTCCGAAAGCAGCGATGTCGGTGCTATCTCTAAGCAGTTAACCTACCTTGATGACCGCAATTTCAATTGCACGACGCCTGACCCAACTGCATGCATGTGGCACTGCCAGCCTGCGAAATACCAGTTAAACCTGGGATTACTTGCGGTCAGTCCAAAGAAGACAGCGCCCCCTGATTGACTTCAAGGTTGGCAGGTCGGGTCAGGACCGGAATCGTGATCACGGTGCTGCTCAGGGAGTCGAGTGAGGGGGAGCTCTTGCCAACGATTCGACCCTTGCTAAGGTAAAAGAGCAGATTCGAGACAACACAAGAACTACCTTAGTCACCCCTACGGGAATTGGACTACAACGGAACTCATCCCGGCCTGCGCTGGAAATGATACCATGTCAAGGTAGTGAGTGGTTGAGTCCCGACGGGAGGCCATAATTGGCAAGCACCGAGTAAGGTGTACTATACCTGTATTACAATCCCGTTATGGAGTAACTTATAGAAAGCATATCCGAAATCAAGAGCAGTGAATCTATTTCGTAGGTACCAGGCAATTGGCAAAGAAGTCCAGCATCTACTCTCAAGACATTTTCCCCCTCGGAGTCGCGATCTACTATTTCGAGTTTCACTGTCTGATAGCCAACTTGCTTCATTGTTCAAGCTTTGCGCTACTTATGGTTGAAGGTGTCTGGCTGCTCTTGCACACTAACCATGACTTTGGCCCATTATATAATCCACATTTTATGGCCCGGGTCACGTGCGGACAGTGCGAGGCAGAGCATATGGGCCCACTAATTGCCCAAACCGGCACTAGCGCCATCCAGCCCTCGCGCTGGCTTTTTGCAACCAACTCTGGGGGTGAACGACTGCCCCTTCCGCCTTCCTCCTCTGCTGCACACAGAGATCGCTGCATGAAGGAAATGACCATCGCATGCCGTATGCAGAAAAAGACACAGCCGTAATCGACCTCGGGGATCGTCTTGCCATTGCATGCAGCGGTTTTGGATGAATTTATCCTGCCCAAACGTGCCTGGTCCGCCGTCGACAAAAAACTTTGGTGAGGTGCAGGTCCACGGAGCAGCGACCTCCCTTCCGCGAACGCGAATCGCGCGACAAGACGCAGGCCAGCTAAATCCAGCGCGGCCAACCCATCCCACCTTGTAAAGCCGTCTCGACCTCGACGGCCCATCGCATATCCCCCGCCAGCCACAGACAATGGCTTCGCCCGCCGTGGCCACCCCCCAGCTCAACGGCGTCGCAGCATTGTCGCGTCCAGACTCGCCCACTTCCGTCAATTCCTCCACCAAGAGAAAGCGCGATCCCAGCGACGACGGTGAGCCCGGGCCAAACTCCGACGAGCCCGCCAAGCCCCCCATCAATGGTCTGCGCACTTCCCCGGATAATAGGTCGCTCGTCCGCGATTTTTTTGATGTTTTAAATAGGTATGCGCCATATCATCCCCGACCCCTCGGCCCATCGGCGTTTCAATTGTTTTCCGTGTCTCCATCCTCTTTCTGCGCTTGTACACTGACACTGGTTGATCCCAGCCATGATCCCAGCGAACAAAGTATCCTCAGGCGTCCGCTCCCCGACTCCCTTCCAGATGGCGAGCCTTCCGCGAAGCGGGCCAAGTCGGAAGAGAACAGCAAGCCTACCACCGTTGCCGATAAGCTGATGCAAGACGCTTACAATGTTCTGGACGATCTGGTTTCCGACGTCGTGCGAGCCGCGAATGCACGTGTCAAGGAATTAGAGAATGCAGGCTCGTCGGATAACGAGGCTGCCATTGCAGAGACGGTTGCATTCAGGAACAAGACGCTCGAACTCTACAGACGGGAATTGGCCTACCCGAATGTTCCCCGGTCATTACCGGTGAGAACCTCGTCAATCGAGGCGCAGTTTACAAGTCCGGGAAATCTGGTCCTGACGGCGGTCGGCCCGGCCCCGACTCCGAGGCCGCTCTTCACCAGCCTACAAAGGGGTCCCACACCCGACGGAATCGTCAAATCTGTTGCTGAAGGCACCCTGCCCGATGGTGTCACTGTGACCAGAGTTTTGTCAGAAACACCTGCCGGCGACAAAGCTTCCCGTTCCCTCACTCTGGGGGAGCTTTTCCCTTCTCCCCGGAATCTGCCCCCTCTACAACCCCCGAAGGCGCCCAAGAACACAACCAAGAGCAACGTGCTGTCTTTTTATCACCCGGAGCTGACCGAAAAATCAAAATACCGGACCGGTACTTATTTCTCCCAGACGCTCTCAGCAGGCCACTGGCTAGACTACACAAACGCCACGCCCACCATCCATGCCAAGACAAAGCAGCGGGAGCGGGCTCAGAGTTTGGCGGGGCACAAGCCGTCCTCAACCGAGCTCGAGATGTCCGAGATGGAAGCTCTCTTCCGAGGAGCGTTTTCCAGCTTTGCGCCGTGCAAAGACGATACAGCTGCCATTGTACCTTCAGGCCAGGTCAGCCGTATCTGGTGGCAACGCGTCGGTCGCCGGAATTTTGCAAAATTGGTCGATTCGGACGCGGCCGATGAGGAGAATGAGAATGCGCCTTCTGCGGACTCAGCGGTAGCCATGGAGATTGACGAAGACCGCGTAAAGGAGGCCATCGAGAATTGGGACGAAACTGCCATCGACCCAAGCCTGGACCATGCGCTGGGCAAGAAATCTGACCACGACAAGGAGGTGGATGACCTCTTGGAGGAGGTGTCTGATCTCATAGAAACATTGGCATCCTATCAACGAAACAGGAACCTCACTTTGCCTACTAGCCAGGACCGTTATTCAGCCGATCCGGTGAATGGCGATATGCTTCGCAACGGCAGTCTCTCACACCAGCCGAGCGAAGAAGAGATGATGACCTACCAAACTCTGAAGGCTCAGCTGGCTCTGATTATACAAACACTGCCTCCTTACGCCGTCGCCAGGCTCAACTCGGACAAGCTCGAGGAACTAGCGGTCAGCACCAAGATTGAGGTACGCTCTGACGAATACCGGGGTGTCATGGAAGAGGACGAACCGGCGCGCCTTGCTCGGCAAGCCGCTCAGGCAGCGGCAAGCTCGAACCAACGTCAGCAGCACAGGACACCCAGCGTCTCGGCTGGCGGGCCCTACGCTCATGCGCAGTATCAGCAGCAGTTCGCGCCATCGGCCCGGCCGATTGCGAACGCCCAGCACTTCCCACAGACACCAGTCCGGCCGCAGGCACCGAATATGTATTCACGGGCGCCATCCACCGTGCCGATTCCGCAGCCCCATCTTCAACAGGTTCAGCCCCGGGCGCCTCCAACCCAGTACAGACAGCAGGTGTATGCACCGCAGCTGGCTAAAGCCCAGGGCCCTTATGGACACTCCAACATGCCGCAACAGTATGTGGCTAGTCCCACGCAACAACGGATGCCCCAGCATCCCAACTACAATATCGGGCAGCAGCCTGGCAATGCAAACCACCGGTACCCGCAGGGTTACCCGCCCGCTGGCTACCAACAGCACCAGCCAATCCATCCCCAGCACGCCGGGACACATGCAGCATTCCCCACACCTTCCGCACTCACCCCACAATCCCCCGCATCAACCCCAGCCCACGCAGCAAACCCCATGTTCGCGTACACCAACGGCGGGCAGATGCCACGGACCATGTCACCGCAGGTTCCACAAGCGCATCCGTACGGCCAATCGCCGACACCGCCTCAGCAGGCCCAGCAAATGGCGCGCCCACCGTATGGGAGTCCCGGCGCAGGGATGCCGCCCAACGCGGTGCAACGCCAGTACGGGCCCGGGTCTCCGGGAATGATGGCTGGCGGTAACAGGCCGCCGTCCAACCTCACGGGTTTCGCGACGGTGATGCCCGAGGTACAGCAGCGGCAGGTCATGGAGCAGGCACGGGCGCGGGCCGACGCTGAGCAGAGAGCTAGCAGTCACCTCCCTGCTAAGCCTCCGCAAGGCGAGGTGGTTGGCCTGGCGGGCCTTGGACTCTCGGGACAGATGGATGTCCATAAGGTCGCCGCCGCCAATGCCAAGATACAAAATACCAGCAGCAGTGGCAATGGCGGCTTCTCGCCTGGCCCGAAGCCCTCGCCTATGCATGGCGGGCCGAGCCCCGTCAATGGAACGCCAGCCGGCGCAACAGCCAGTCCCATGCCGCCAACACAAGGCGCGGCAAATCCTGCTCCGGTGGCGCCTATATCATAGCTGCTTTTGCTAGACAACCGGCAACAACGAGATCAGCTTGGAAACGAATAACAAAGCGAGCAAGGCCCACGACGATAGACTTTTCAGGGAATGTAAAAGTGAAAGCGAGGACTTTCACATGTTGTACTTGTAGTACGTGGCCCGCCCCTGGGCAGTTGAGGCGGGAGTGAGCTTGGCAGGTTAAGACTGGAGCAGAGAGAGATGGATCTACTTGCATAAGGACAAGGAAGAGGTTTGCAAGGGATGATCTGGACGATCTAATGGATGGATGTGATATCGAGGCTGGGTTTGGAGTTTTGGGGGCTGAGAACTGGGACTTTTTCAGGCGAGCAGGGAGGAGGAAACTTGCTTCGCTGTTTCTGTTGCTAAAGTAGGTTGGAAGGCCTTTTTACCGCAGGTGGGTTGATGGACTGGCCATGTGTCTACTGTGACTCGATAGTGAGGTCCTCAGTTACTAGGGGAAATCACAAAAGATGCGGTCTCCAGCGGAGTTGAAGTTTGATTTACAGAGTAGACTTGCAGGACATTCTTGCTTAGTATCTACCTGTACGTAGGTAGTGGTTGAAGATATGATTGGGATGTTAAGGACAAACATAAATGTAGCAATATCTTGCTAGTGGCAGATGATGCGCGACTGCGATACAAATGTGTTTGTTTTCTCCGTACTTTGCTGTCCCCGGGAGGCATCTGAATTGGTGAACCCTTAGAGCACATCGCATTGTAGCTCTCCAAACCCGGCAGACCATGCAGGGAAAGAAGCAATGGAGGAGAGATTTTAGTTCGTGGATTCTAAATGTCTATCACCGCATGGTGGTGGTTTATACAGCATAACTGTGAGTTGGGTATCATAGCCTTTTGTTCTTAACACGGTCTCGCTTTTCAGTTTGGGGCCGCCACTGGCCCGTCTCTTTTCTGCATATCTGCCCTGAGCCCGCGAAGCTCAGAGAGCAGCTCCTCCTCAAATTTGTTGTACTTCTCCTTGTGTAACCGCCACAGCTCAAAGCCGACCTCGATGGCAATCAGGATGATGATGATCCACTCGAGCCGCGTGCTGTGCTTCTCGCTCGACATCTTCTCGCTGATGTCGAGCACGCCCTGGGCCACGTTGACAACCTCTTGCGCGTACGTCATCTTGTCGTTGAGCGTCTTGATGCGCACGCCCACGTCCAGCGCCTTGCCGATCTTGGCGTAGTACGTCTCGAGCTTCTCTTCGCTGTCCCAAAAGATGTCCGGGAGCGCGTCGGTAAGGTCATTGTAGTGGTTCAGCTGGCTGCGCAGGTTGAGCAGCTCGCCCGCCTTTTGCAGGATCAGCTGGCGCGACAGGGGCGCCTGGAGCCCCTGCGACAGCCGGTCGGGTATGTGCCGCGTGCTCTCGAGGTAGCGCGTCAGCGAGGACTCCAGCACGGCCAGCTTTGTGCTGCGCGCCAGCCCGGACGAGAAGGCGATCTTGGCCAGCGTTGTGTCGAGCCGGTCCCCGGCCTCCACCTCGCGCCGCGTCCCCAGCACCACCACGTCCCCGCTGACGCGGCTCTGCTCCTCCTCCGGGTTGACGAGGAAATCCAGGTCCTCCACCTCCATGTTCTCGACAAACGGCGACTCGGCGGCGGGCAGCAGGTGCTTGGTCGCCAGCGTGTGGACCACGTCGGGAGGGAGCGCCCACGTCACGACGGTGCCCGAGGGGAAGACGAATATGTCGCCCTCGTTGAGGGCCCGCGCGTGCACGACTTCGTGCAGCTCGAAGCCCGTGTTGTCCGGGTCGAGCGCGAAGCCGTGGCTCGTCAAAATGTCCACCACCTTGTGCATTTCGAACGACTCGGCCACGCACACGGCGCTGATGATGGAGCTGCCGCCGGGCCCCGCGGGCGGCGTCTCGGCGGAGGGTGACGGCGGTTTCCCCGGCACGCCCTTTTGCGCGACGATGGCTACGCGATGCAGCGAGTTCTTGAGCGGTTTGCGTTTCTTTTGGGCGGCCGCCGTGCCGGTGCCGCTACTCGTCCTCTTGTCGCCCGCAGCAGCAGCCTGGGTGTCCGAGGCAGAGGCAGTAGTGGTAGATGGCTCGCGGCCATCTTGTGATAGGAGCACATTAGAGGTGAAGAAGTGCCGCCGGCGTGGCAGGCAGGCCGCCGTGCTTTGGTGGAAGTATCTCGGCGCGAGAAAAGGTCGGGATGCCGGAGCGAAGCAGGTGATGCTGGCGCTGTTAGCAGCTTGTTTGAAATTGGGCAGAAACGACTTCATGATGGCGCCATTGAATGTCGGTTTGACCTGAAGGCCAATGAGCTACGCAGGCCTGACCTCCGTCGCTGCGACGCAGCACGAGAACGCTCATGTATTAACCCGTGTTTTGACACAGGCTTTGTGAGATGATGTCGCTGGCTTGAGAGAAAACGCGGATAAAAAGCAGGCAAAATTGACGTAATGATAGGGTATACAGTCCCCCCCTTGTTTGTTCGTTAGCGCCTGACTTCAACACCAGGATCAGCCCCTAAGATTTCAATTTCAACAGCAAAACGGTCAGTTTTCTCACGAAAAAAAGGCCCTAAAGAAAATAGTCTTCTTGAATAATGCTGGATACTCTTTTTTCTTGCATTGAGTTAACCGTTCTGGCTGCTGAGAAGCATTTCTCTAATTTCTGGACAAGGACCCTGTCAGAGTCTTGTGCTAACAAACAAACAAGGGTTGAACTGTAGTTACACACCTCGAGTGTGTATAGTTACAACTGACAATACATTGATTACTGCCAAGCTCAGCAAGGGCCAAGGTTGGCTAGACAAGCTTCCAGCGGCAAGCTTGCGGTGCTGCCCCGCTGTGTTTAACACTTGAACATCCGGCAGCTCAAAACCTCAAACAGCTGTCCAATAGCAACTTGGCCAACCTTCACTCCACAATGGAATCTGACATCCGCGTCGAGGACTACCTCGACGACAAACTGCAATCGACGACCGACTTTGAGCACCTGGACACGTTGCTCAACGGCGTCGAGTACCAGCACAGTCAGCTCCAGTCGCAACTCGATGATGCCACGCGCGAGCTCGACGAGGCACGCAGGTCGGCCGAAGACCGCCAAGCTGCGCTCGCGGCCAAGATCCATGAGTTTCAGACGCTGCAGAAGAGCATTGACGTCCGCCTCCAGATCATAGCCGAATCGGATGCGCCCGACGAAGCCATTCGCCGACTCGAGCGTCCCATGAAGCAGCTGCACAAGGTCGACCTCGCGTACCGCTACCTACAGCTGCTCCAGGACGTGGAAAGTCTTCGCCAAGAAGCCCGTTCTCATCTGCCCGGGGACCCCAAAGCCGCGCTGGAGCCCTACACAAGGTTGAAGCAGCTGTCGCTGCGGCTCAAGGAGCTCCAAGCTCACGCTGACGGGGCTGCGGTGCATCTGGTCACGTATGTTGAGTCGGCAACGGAGAAATTGTGGGAGGAGATGAAGAGGACCATGTGGGACGAGCTAGAGGCGGTGCTGAAGCAGCGGGGGTGGCCAAACGTCGATCCGGACTCCGAGGTGGACGAGGAGTGGCTCCAATGCTTTGAGAAGCTGGTCGATCTGCAGGTACCAGAGGTTCTCTACCACAACAGCCTCGTCACTCTTCTTCCAGTCGACGTCATGGCGCAAATATTCATCAAAGAATTCCGGTTCCACTTTCTCAGCGACAAGCCGACGAGCAGTCCGCAGGTCATTGGTGCCCACTGTTTGCCGTGGTTTTTGTCGCTGGTTGAGAAATGGGAGGATTTCTTGAGGGATAACTTTGGGCCCATTCTTGCTGCCAAGTTTGGCGACACGGCCGTCTCCCACAAGACGGTTTACATGGACCCTGTCTGCGCCTTTATCGCCTCGCTGCTGCCTGTCATGAGGGAAAAGGTTGCTGCAGTACTTGCCGAGACGGATGGGGACGCCGTTTTCCTTAGCAGTCTCCTGGCTCAACTCATGACGTTTGATGAGAGGATCAGGTCCGGGTTTACCTACGATGGTGGTGATTCTGAGGACGGATGGGAAGGCCTGACATCAGAGGTGCTCAGTAAGCATTTCAGGGCCTGGTTGGAGGCCGAAAAGAAGTTCGCTATAGAACGGTACAAGGGAATCATGTCAACACAGGATGCGAGGAATATCGACTACGATTTCGCCGGCCCCGGAAAGACCAAGCCGACTTTTGCGGCCGTCCGAGTTACCGACTTGCTTCGATCGGTTACGACACAGTACGAGAGAGTCAGGCGGTTCTCGCATAAGCTGCGATTCCTAATCGACATCCAGCTAACCATCTTGGATGAGTACCACGATTACCTCAGGGGCACGCTTGAGGCATATCTGAGCATCACCTCAACGGTTGGCAGAGCCTTCGGTGTGACAAAAGAGCAATTGGCAGCTTTGGAGGGAACAGGGGCCCTCGAGACCCTCTGCAAGGTTTACGGCAGCGCCGACCACGTAGTCAATACACTAAGAGACTGGAGCAACGAAGAGGTGAGGATCCATCCATGTCGACAGGCTGCTCATACTCTGACTCGGCCAGTTCTTTGTTACGTTATGGGAACAGCTCCAGGCGAGAGCCAAAGCCAGCGACGACCAGAGCAACCTTGCCGGTGGCATGACTTACAACCAGGTTAGGGACCGGACCTCGGCAGCCGTCGGCACCGAGGAGGACGGCGGCGTCCTTTTCGACGAGACCATTGCTGCTTACAGGCAGAGGAGGAAGCGGGCCGAGGAATTCCTGTCAGAAGCACTCATCGAGTCGCATCGGAAAGTGTTCAAGGCATACCTTCACCGCCCGCAGTGGAGCACTATTGCAGAAGATTCTTCCGCGAGTGAGTTTCAATACTGGACTGTACGAAGTGTCGATGGCTGACTGGAAAGCAGCGGATCTACCTGTCACTGCTGAATTGGACGAGCCTTTGAGGGTAGGTTACCCACGGTTTTTATGCGCAAGATGTGGCTAACTTGACTTAGATTCTCAAACGGGATCTGGACTTTCTTTCCCGTGCCCTCGGAACCGCCGTGTTCCGCCGAGTCTGGCGGGTGGCATTGGACAAGCTCAACAATACGCTGTGGGGTGACGTTTTGATGAGCCACAAATTCACCGCGTCCGGGGCGGCACAGTTCATGCGCGACGTCCACGCCATCTCGGCCCTCGTCGAGCGCTATATACCAGAAGGGTCTAGCTCGCTGAGCGGCCTCAACGACGCCCTCCGGCTGCTCAACCTTCCTGTGCAAGGGCAGGAGAATGCGATGCTGCTCAAGGATGCCACTGACAGAGTATTCACCGACAATACCGAGGCGAAGAAGGTCTTGGATGAACTCGAAATCGACTCGCTGACTCCCGCAAACGCCAGGCAAATACTACAGCGCAGGGTAGAGAACGCCGAATGAGGCCGCTACACGTTCTACCATTACCGACCACGACATGTCCTCTAGCCTGACGGACATTACATGCATCCATAACGCCCGTTGGAAAACGCCGATTCCTGCAGACTTTGTTGAAGGGCTCCATCCTCCCGTTGAGCCACGGCTTATCGCTTTGTGCGCTTGGCTCCGTTGAGTGCCAGCAGAGAACACCAATCACCCCTCAATTAATTGCCCGCATCGTCATCTCGACCACCGCGAAGGTGCCCGCACTGACGGGCATAGCCCTCAACAATGTCGGCCCAATGCCTTTCCAGAACCCCCGCATCCCCTCAGCCCTCCACGTCTGCCTGAAACAATCCCTCATGGTCTTGTATCGTTGCTGCTCCCCGAAGCCATCGGTCTGCATCTTGCTCTTGACTACGTCGAGCGGGTAACTCGCCAGCCACAGCGCCTCGCCGGCCAGCCCCCCGTACAGCGCGACCTTGTAGCTGGGGATCTCTTTCCGGTCCACCTTGTTGCGCTTCGCGTCGGCGTTCATAAGCCACTCAAAGGCCAGGAACCACACGCCGTACGCCTGGGCCTCGCGCAGCACCGTGACGGCTGAGCCGCGGTACAGGCCCCCGCCCACGCCGCCCTGGGCGCACAGCTTGCGCACACAGTCCCAGGGGCCCTGGTACAGCCGGGCGCCTTCGCCGTGGGGCTGCGTCTGCAATCGGATGCGCACGTGCTCGATGGGGCCCGACAGCGGGCTGTTGGCGACGCCGGCGAAGGCGCCCGCGGCGTAGTACTCGCCGTAGCTTAGAGGCGTGTTGTTGGTCTTCCGTTGCTCGAGGTACCGCCGCGCCGAGTGGAAGGCGCCAAACTGCACCGACACGCACGCGCCTATTCCCAGCAGCGGGGTCAGCGTGCCCTTGTAAAAGGCCAGCGGGCCTTCGTGCTTCCAGATGGAGGTCGCTGCGCTGAAGGCGGACGGGTACACGGTGCTGGTCTGTAACCGGACTTTTACTATGTCGAAGGGTTGGCCTGGATGGTGGTTATTATTACTTGGTTGTTCTGCTGGGAGGGAACAAGTAAAACAAAAGGGAGAGCCGGGGCCAGAGGGAAGGGAATTAGATAACCTACCGATCAGCACCTGGGCAATGCCGCCTGCTGCGCCGGAAAAGAGGTCCTTTGCTGTCTGCACTGCGCCGGCCTTGCCGTCGTGGGCTTCGATGTCTGCTGCTGGGTCGGCCATTTTCTTGTCTTGTGTGTGTGCGTGCTGTCGAGAGCGGCCTCTTATTCCGCACGCACCGCCTTATTTGGTCTGTCAATTGTAGCAGGCGCCGACACAGGCAGGCAAAGCAGACGAGGTAGAAGAGAGGGCCACAATGAATGTTAGGTTCAATTGCTTGCTTCAGGTTTGGGCCGCCCCCCCTTTTCCAGCGTAGCTTGCTCGGCCCGTCCAGCTCAGCACAGCCCTGGGAATCTTTTTTGGTCTGATAGGTGTTGAGTTAGCTCGGACCCTACGTAGTAAGGTCCCGGTGTCGGCCTTGCTTATCAGCTCGGCTTTATGCGGCCGGTGCGGTGTCCTTAGGTGGGACTGTAGGGCGCCTGGTGGAACGGCGGGCTTGGCTCGATTAGTGGCGTCGATGGCGTGCTTTTTCTTGACCTCCAGCATTGACTATAGTGGGTTGAGCTCAGTAATTGCATAATCTTTCCATTATCCAACTACCATTGTACCGGTAATTTCCCAGTTTCGAGTTTATGCGGTATCCGGAGGCCACTTAAGCCCCGCTGACCTCATTTGCGCCCGAACTTGAAGTAACACCGCAAGCGTAGCCGCGCCGCCATCGACAATAACGGCGACGGAGTTCAAGGACACCTAGCACTCCTATAGCACCAAGCGAACTGCCGCAACCTCCGTAGCCAACTCTCTCACGTCAGTTCAATCAACCAAACAGATTTCAACCTAAAATAATCACCGTCAAAATGAACCGGCTGTTCGGCACCAGCGCGCCCAAACCGCCCAAAGCAACGCTCAACTCGGCCATCTCCAACATCGACTCGCGCATCTCCTCCATCGACGTCAAGCTCGCGTCCATCAACGCCGAACTCTCGGGGTACCAAGCCAAGCTGGCCAAGATGCGCGACGGACCGGGCAAGACGGCGCTGAAGCAAAAGGCGCTCAAAGTGCTGCAGCGGCGCAAGCAGTACGAGGCGCAGCGCGACCAGCTGCAGGCCCAGGTGTGGAACATGGAGCAGGCGCAGACGATGCAGGACAACCTCAAAAACACAATGGTCACCATCGACGCGCTCAAGAGCACCAACAAGGCCCTGAAAAAGGAGTACGGCAAGGTCGACATTGACAAGATCGAGCGCCTGCAGGACGAGATGGCCGACCTGCTCGACGTCGGCAACGAGATCCAGGAGAGCCTGGCCCGGAGCTACGACGTGCCGGATGATGTCGACGAGGCGGAGCTGGATGCCGAGCTCGAGGCGCTCGGCCAGGAGGTGGAGCTGGAGAGGGAACTGGGGCTCGGGACCGAGGGCCAGTTGCCGAGTTTTATGCAGGACGAGGTGCCGGAGTTCATTGACGAGCCGCCGGCGGCTGCGGGGAAAGTGAAGGAGGCTGCGGGCTGATCATGGGTTTTGGGTCTTGCAGTTCAATCAAGGGTCGGTTTGCAGCAGAGCGGGCATTATACCAACAAGGGTGGACAAGCGGCGCTCCGGGTTTACGGAGCCATTTGTGTTGCGAATCAAAGTGCCACGAGATGGATAGGTACTGTACAGCAGTTATACACCATTCATCACCGAGTAAGAAGCTTGCCAGTTCAGCTCCTGTCTCGAGGCTAGCTGATATCTCCCTCTGGCCCTCTCGGCGTCCTCGATGAGTTGAAGAACAGCAGGAAGAAGCGGTACAGCAGCGACCGGCGAGGGATCAGCAGCAAATACGGGGTATCCGTATTGCGCACGAATGTGCTCGACAGCTTGCGCTGTCGACCATTGCCAAGGCTGCATCTCATCTATACCTATATATCCTGATGGCAGCAGCGAAGTATCATACAGCGCCCCCTAGAATTTGTCGTGATTCATGAAGTATGCGCAATATACCCAAACCGTGTACATATTCGTTACATCATCAAACAGGGTGGACCGGGGAGCGCGCCAAAGGCAAACTCAATCCACAGGCGCAAAGAAGCGGCTGGCCTCCTCCAGTTCGGCATCGCCATTGCAAAAGTCCCACCCGACAATGACGCTCCGCTGGCTGCAGCAAATGATGCGACGGGCGTCGTATTGTAGCTTGAACACCCGTGCAGGGTTAGCGGCGTCGTGGACCCCGATAGGTGCCAGTGAAATGTGCGGGTGGTGCTCTTGGGCTAGTGTTGGGAGAGGAGTAGAGGGGACGGGCCCAGGAACGGGAGAGGGTACCTGATGCAAGTTCGCCTCATGGGGGACATGTGCGTGCGCCTGGTGCGCCGCTGCCGCCGCCAACTGCGCAGCCGTCAACTGGCTGGCCGGCTGAGCAGAAGTGCCTGCCCTGGGGTTGCTCGTGCCAGCGGCGGGAGCAGGCTCGGCTGTCCATTGTTGTGACGGGTCCTGTGTTGCTGCGGCTGCCGAAGACCCTGATGCGATCGCGTCCTGGTTCCGCAGTGCTTCGCGGCGCTGCCTTGCCTGCTCAAACTGAGCCCGGATCAAAGCGGCCGAAAAGGTCTGCCGCAGCTGGCTTCTCATAACGAGGTTTGGCAGCCTGTCGATGCAGGATTCAACATAGCTGCGATGTGTGAGAATAGCAGGGTGAGCCCCGATGGCACGCGCAAACGCCTGTTGCCCGCCTTCCAACGCGTTGTCGATCACCTGAAATATTGCTAGTGATGCTGCTGGCGGGAGAACTGACGTTCGTGGCGGTTCTTCCTGGCTTAGCTGTGCGGTAAGTGTGCTTAGTGGTGGCAGAGTTGGCCCTGCCGTTGGCAAGCGAGTTGGACCAGCTGGGAATGGTGTTGCCATGGGTGGTTCGGCCCCGCCTGGCGCTCCTACCGTCGCGGCGTCACGGGAAACAGCGCTTTGCACGGGGGGATACAGGGGCATCAGCCCTTGATTGCGGCCTTGGCGCATGGCGACAACCGCGGCCTCGTCTTGCTTGAGGTGATGTTGGTCTTTCCAGATGCCTTCCTTGTCCCTCCGCCAAATGATGATGGTAGTATCATAGCTGCCACTGACAATCCGCGCGTACTTGCCGCCTCCGCCGCCGGGCGGTAGCTTTGCCCCGTAAGCGCAGATATCTTGCGGTCTTTTAGAACCCGCATTACCCTGACGGCGATGGCCCGGCCTCGGGCGCTCTGTTTCGTCAATCAAGCCGGATTCGACCGCCTTAAAGTATTCTTCATCAACCTTCTTGGCCTCGGCGAGGTCCTCTTCGGCACTGTACGGCAGGTCACCGAAACCCGCCTGCACGGTCCGCACTAGGCTCGAGTGGGAGCGGAGGTTTGCAACCTCGAGGCCCGTGTGGCGGTCAAAGATTTTCACTTCGTTGTCGCTGCTGCCGCTGACGATCCGTCGACCGTCGTACTGCACACAAGCAATCCCTTTGGTATGACCGGCAATTGTGCGGCTGCACGCTTGTGTTGGCCAGTCCCAGACCTTGATGTGCCGATCGCCGCTCGCCGAAACCACCTCTCGATCCTGGATCTGGACGGCGTTGACAGCCGCCCCGTGGCCTTCCAAGCTGCCAATCATGGTCCACGCCGGCATCTCGGGAAAGTCGCCAGGCGACATAGGAATGCTGTTGCCATAATCCTTCAACACCTTTGGCACTGGGTCCACTTCTCGGTAACCAAGATCGCCATGCCGAAGCGGCTTCCGATTGAAAATCTTGATCGTCCTGTCCTTGGAGCAGGTAACCAAGATGCGCTTGTCAAACTTGACGTTTAGGACCGATTCGCGATGTGCGTGCTTCAGTGTCTGGATTTCTTTACCCGTGGAAAATCTCCAGATGACGACGTTAGAGTCAGAGCTGCCCGATACAATCAAGTCCTCATCCGGGTCCGAATCGAACTGCAGGCACAAGACTGAGCCTCGGTGTTTGGCAAGGGTCCGTAAACATCGTCGCGTCTTGAGATCCCATACTTTAAGCGTGCGGTCCCGACTACCGCTGACCAGGTACTCGGAATTGTATTGCAGACTGTAGATACATTCTCCGTGGCCTTCTTCAGGATGGTCAGGGTGCGGCAGCTGGAAATTGGTGTAACTTCCACGCTCCCAGTTCGATTCGAGTCGACGTCGCATTGTGTACAGATACTTCCAATTGATCTTGAACATTCTGGACGGCTCATCCCACACCCATAGCGTCGATCTGGGCAGGCGCGGTGAAGCGAGAACAGTCCTAGGAAACTCTTCCTTGATATGGACGCTGCTGGGTGGGCTTGGCGAGAGAGCTCTTCCCTTGCCCTTGTCCACCCCTGTATAGCTGGATCCGGAGCCCGCGCTTTGCATGTGGAGGTCGCCCATCTTTTGTGAGATACCTGTCCGCCTGGGCGGTATCCGCGGCCCGCCGAAAATGCTGGTTTCTGATGCGTCCATTTCCACCGGCTCCTCCTTGATTGAACTCTCTATATCCAGCATGACCATGTCCATATCGGCGTCAAGCGTCGGGGACACTGCAATGGCGCGCTTTTTGTGAGCAAGGCCATCGTCTTGAGACTGGTCTCGACGCAGCGCTCCGTAGGCGAGCGGGGAGGCCTTGTTGATGTCCCGCTCTGCCGCCTCGATCTCGGTAGGTATTGCCTTCCACCCTTCCAAGTAATATAACTGCTCCCACAGTTTGCGGTCCAAAGCGAGATCGTACCATGCCCGGCATGCTCGTGCGACATTGATGAGTGACACAGGGTCAAGGTAGCCTAGAATCTTCAGACACACTTCGGGAGGCAGGTATCGGACAAAGTCGATGTAGAGCCGGGGTTTCAGCTGCTCAACGATTTGAGATACCACCGCAGTGGGGAGGTCACTGAGCAAGGCCATGGCAAGTTCTACTCGGGTGTCGAGTAAGCACACGAACAGCAACTCAGAAGAGCAAATCGGGAGTGCATAGGATTCACAAACGACGCCGTGTCTAGGCTAGAGGAACGGAACAACGAGGGATACTGACCGGTCTTGCGGGAGAGGGAAAGGCTGGAAACGTGCTGGACCAGCCATGCCGGAAACTCATCTGTTAGCCGAGCTGAGCCCAGCGGCGTGACGGCGTCCTCACGGGGTTTGAGAGAGTTGGACGTGGAAGCGGATAGGGCGGTCAGTGGGTCCTCGGAATAGCCTTCGTCGGGCTGCGGCGTAAACCGGGCCATGGTTCGCCGTCGATTAGTGGAGAGAAAGGTGAGGACGCGATCACGGGAAGATAAGCAGTCGGAGCCTGGCCAATATTGGCGGAGGGGATGATGTTGTGGGACAGATCGGTGCTATGGTCTGATGCTGCAATTCTATCAACGGCGCGGGTACGCTGAGTTTCGATATGTCCAAAGAAAAGGAGTCTGTTAGCCCCAAAATCTAGCAAGCGCAGATTGGTGATGACGACCGAAGGCTCAACAGCCTGGTCGCGATGAGGCGGCTGACAAACAAACTGGAAGTGGAGACAAGTGGGCTACCGGTAGCTGTTGACGCCAAGGGGCGCACCGAGCTTGGCCTTCCCCAAACATGTTTGGACTCCATCGGATACCGAAGCTTAGTACGCACGCAACACCGTGAGAAATACAAATTTCTATACTGTACTGATATGATGAATGAAAGCTCAACACAGCCCGGGACTCATGGTACTACCCTTCTTGCTAGGAAATCACCAGGAGAAAGGGGACTTGAAAACACCAAGCGATGGAAAGACCCTTCGCTGCGCGCAAGAGTCAGCATCGGCCCAGAATTCAACTCTATATAAGTGGTTCCCCTAGAACTTCTATAAGGTAACCAGTCCCATGAAATCCGCTACGGCAAGAACCACCAACAACGCCGCACCTTCCGAAGAATCGGAGACTGCACCGCACCGTACTGGAGGCCAGCATCGCTAGGACCACAACCTCGACCCGCCGTCTTATCTTGCTCCCAAACAGCAGCAGTGAAAAGGAAAAAGAAACCAAAAAAGTTCTATTCAGTCATCCCCTCCGTTTTGTAGATCATGAGTCCGCGTGGAGCAAGAATTTCCGGATAGCTCCTCACAATGTCGCGATCTACATTCCGCCAGTGCTCCTCCATTTCGGACCAGGGCACGAGAAACGGGCTGCTCCGGGTTTTGGGGTCCCGGGGCCCCAATCGCCACTGCCCTGCAGTCGCTCAGCGCACCAGCGGTCGTGTTCATTTACGGCCAGCCGCTCGACGTCCTTAGTGGAAAATTCTCTAACGACTTCGCGACTTTCCTGCTCCGGCGAGAGGAAGCACCCGATAAGGCGTAGCTTATACGGGATGGAATCGGCGTGCGCCCGGGACGACTCCCTCTTCTCCTCATCAAGCTCCTCCCACGGCTCAGGAGACGGCTTGTTTGCCGTTCCATCAGGCATAGCGTCTATGGACTTGTTGTAAGCGTTGTGGATACCCCTCGCGACTTCCTCTCGGTGCTCGCGAGGAATAGGCATCCCGCCCATATGACGCAAAAGCTCGTCGTGGTCGACATGAATGTTGAGCTGTGTCCGGGGCGGAAGGGCGGCGAGCTCAAAGCTCTGGCGCCCCCCGAGCCTGCTCATAGCGATGATCGAACGGATCGACCTGATGCCCTGCCGGTAGCTAGGGACGAGAAGCAAGCCAGTGAGAGCGCCATCATCGATTTTGAGCTTCCGGTTTGCCAACAGCTTCGGCTCTTTCTCTTCTAGCAGGGCCCGGAGGAGGGCGGCTCGTCTCACAGGGTAGAGCCTATCCGCCGCATTGAGGCGGTTAGGCCCGAGGACATCGACGGAGCCATGCAGACAACCAAGAAAGCTCCGCACCCCAGCAGATATGTGCGTGTCGCCGTCAGCTCGGCGCTTTAGTTCGGAATACGTCCGTACCGCGCTTGTGCTGAAGAAGAAGACAGCGCGTCCTATGTGCCTGGCCACGCCGCCATCGGAAAACACGCCATCAAGGATCACCGGCGCAAGATACGGGAGCCAACCGAACAGCGACCCAGCAGAACCGGGCGGACTCGTGTCAAACCCATCAAAGTATACCAGGGGCGTCGGTCCCTCGGGCGATACGGCGCAGTCCCGTATGCTGTAGAAGGCGGCAGTGAGATCGGTGGCCGAGATGAACTTCCCAAGGTCGAATTGGAGCTGCCTCACGTTACATCCCCTCGTCGCGCTCTCAGCCACCTGCATTGCTGCGTACGCTCTCCCCAACCCCCTGAGCCCACAGAGCGCGATGTTGAGCGGCGGGCTCTCCCTCTTGGGGTTGGAGACATATTGCTGTATCAGGCTAAAGATGGTGCGAAATGTCTCGATCTCGTGCCGGTCGAACAAAACAAGCCGGCCGAAGCGCGCCTGTGGCACCTGGTTGCCGGGCGCCTCTGGCCCGTTGGTGACGATACGACGTGCGACTTCTGTGACGTCTCCAACCATACTGTCGAGCACAGACCAGTTAGGCTCGCTTTCCCTGGCAATCTTATCTGCCGGGATGGCAAACTTCAAGAGCCGTTGTCCACCAGGCGGATCCCAGGCACGTAGGATCTCTCCAGTACGGTACACTGAGGCCGGTGTGGCCGCAGGGGAGGCCGCAAGCGACAAGCCCTGATATACGAGCCGTCTCGCAGCCCAGAATCCCGACTCAATTGCCATTTCCACACAGGCCCTGATCCTTGCGTCGTCATGCTCGATCGCTGGTCTGTAGGCTTTGCCGAGGCCTTGGGCAAAGCCCGCTACGAACGCCTCCACCGCTCCGGGGACGTGGCCGTGGTTCCTCCGGGCGAAGTCGCCCTCGATGCAGAGCGGATCAAAGAATAAAGTAGGCTTGCCCGCCTCGCGGCCACGATGGTAAATAACACCGTCGTAGCCGAATAGGAAGACGAGGTGGTGGCAGGTCACCAGAGTTGTCAATTTCCCAACTGAGCCCAGTTTCTCGACGAAGTCCTCGCACGTTTTCTCCCAGGATAGACCATGCGACAGCTGAATTCCCTCGGCACGGAGATCGTCGGCGCTGACTATGACGATTGTCTCAGTTCCGACAAGCAATCCGCGATGGTGATGGTCCCGCTGGCGTACCGCCTGCCAGAGCGCCCCGGCACAGAGGGGGCGAGTCATCCGGACGAGTAGGAATTCGAGCGAGATCCCAGGGGATTCGTCAACAATAACACTGCACATGCCATCCGCGAACATCTTCCCGGCGTCAGCATCCAGCATGACTTTGATCAAGACGCTGCCGGCATTGTCCGCAGCATCACTTTTAGGCAACGGTGGTCGAGGCGCATGCCATTTCAGCAACTGCTCTGGCGATCCGACATGCCATTCGAGTGCCAGCTTCAGTATGCCATGGCCTTTCGAGGTACCCGTCTCATAGAGCTCAAGTTCGGTAACGGAATCGATGTCGCCACGCGCTTAGCAGTCAAGCTCGGGGATGTGTAAGCGGACACCGCTTACGAAATGTTGTTTTAGGAGATCAGCGAGGATACCAATGCCTCCATGGACATACTCGATTCCCGTCCTTCGGTCATCGTCACCAGCTTCACCCCATACTGGGTAGAGAAAGAGACGGACAGGCGCGGCTCCGAATATCGAGATGTGGGTTTAAACCATTGCAGAAGAATCTCAAGATTTGAGGACCTGAGTGACGGCCACCTAGGATCGCAAGCAGTGATTCTCGGCCGGACTCCCAATATAAATGCATCCTTTCAAGCTTCGACACAATATAAACCACATGCGGGTGTCAGACGCATGCGCGAAAGGTACCTAATTAGGATATCAAATTGCGGACTGAAGATACGTCTTAGCCAACGCCCAGCGGCTCTCTACGCCGTTGGTAATGTCCAGCCAGCTCTGTAAGCTTGCTGAAAGACCCCTCTTCTTCCCTGAGCCTGCCTTCGAAGGGTACGCCCTTGAGGCGTCAAAATCCGACAATGACCGCCGACAATGCGGTGCGGGATTGGTGGGCGAATTGTCAGGCGCGGGGAGAATGTCGGCATTGGATGCTGTGAGACAATGGGGGTTACCGCATCTACAGAAGGAAATCGATCCAGTCGCTGTAATTCGCTGTTAGCGCTACGTTACTGGATCTCGCATCTGGTCGGGCTCTCATATAGGTCTGGTATCTGCCCAACGCGTACACCTATTGGAAAGAGGATCTGACAGGAAAGGGCGCTAGCAGATGCGAGAAGAAAGAGGGACCTTGTGCAGTTGGGCTACGGGCAGTAACTAACGTCATCTTCCTTGTGACGGCGTCATGGGCGGCTGACCGCCGATAGGCCTACTTCGATAAGATCATCAACAGCCAACTTCCCCTAGGACAGTGTCACGGAAACAATCCTGCCCGCTGGGATGTCTGACTGGTCAGAGGTCGAGGCCTGTCAGCCAGCCAACGTGCGTGCTTGATCGACCCAAGACAACTCTGCACTTGAAGTGGAGCCACGTCGACTACACGTACAGACTCGGTCAAGCACGCTCAAAAGATTGTTTGCGCTGGGCCGATGAGTGTAAGCTTCAGGTATTCGACGGTTCTGTGTTGATCTGTGTGCGAATCTGGAAACTCGGGAGCTGTGGCCCTGGGGTTGGTGGAGGGGGGATGTAGAACGATTCGACTTCGCGTGCCAGCAGGGCAACGCGCACCGCGGTCCCCAAATCGTCGACAACCAAAAGTTCAAATCGAGGCCGCCATCACCAGCCTTCAAACTTTTATTTTAGGCTCCTGAAGGGCTCCATCAGCCATCGTTGCCAAAAGGCAACTAGTCCTCGTGGCTATCAACAAACAGACAGTCGCCGTCTCTTTCGACTGCTCCTCAATCAAGCGCCCCCTGAAACACCGCATAGAACACCGCGCAACGCAACACCATGGCGCCCATCTATAAACCCCTCGACCTCGGACCAACCTCTTCCGACATCCGGTCTTAACTATACTTCCCGGGAAAATGTCGGATGGCATCGTCTGCAAGTTGCGAAACGTCTCACTTGCCGATCGCCCACAGTACGAAGCCTTGTCGTATGTCTGGGGAGATGGGAAACCCGAAAAAGTCATCTCGGTGAATGGGCAGAAGTTCAAGATCACCGCCAACCTCGAAGCAGCCCTGCGACGTTTACGCCGTGAACGGAAGTCGCGCACTATGTGGATCGATACCATCTGCATTGACCAGGACAATTTGAACGAGAAAAGCCACCAGGTCCAAAAGATGTGGAAGGTTTATTCAAAGGCATCGTCCGTCGTCGCATGGCTAGGCGAGCCGACCCCGGGGATTAAACCAGCAGTCGCCATCGCGGCTAACCGCCTTGATCTCTTCCCCAAGAAAATCCAACCAGCTAAGGTGCTCGACTCATACTTCAGCCTTCTCTCCCACCGGTACTGGGCCCGGATGTGGACTTTCCAAGAATACATGCTCGCAAAGGGTGGTCCGCTGTTTGTTTGCGGCAGTTCGCAATTTTCCAAGGCCATTTTCGACCTCGATATCCTCGACAAGCGTTTGATGGAGCTTTTGGGGACGATTTCTGGGATGACGTCGACGAAGAGTCGGCTCCGTCTCTGTGGGAACGCTGGATCCAAACCCCAGGCGGTTTCACCATCAGCTTCGACGATGAAGAAGTTAGATCCGTATCTGATCTCCTTGATGCCACCGCAAAGCAGGTGTGCCGCGACCCACGTGATCGGGTATACGCTCTCTACGGCCTGCTACCTGGTCTCCGGAATAAACACCCTCCTGACTACACGAAGCCCATTGAAAAAGTCATGCTTGACACAATCATGTACATCGCCCGCGAGACCAAGGATGCCGTGCACGATGTGTATGGTCTGCTGGACGTCTACTATCCTTATGAGGACCGCCTAGACGACACGGATTACCCCTCATGGCTTCCCGACCTTACGCAGAGCACTGTATCTCTCATGCAATCGGCTGCCCATCAGTACATGCCTTATTCAGTGCCCAGACATATCAATCGGCCCCCCCTATGGCTAAACGGCATCAGCGAAGGATTTCTCGAGATTCGCGCTATACGACTTGGGCGGTGCACCAGGGTTTTACGTTTACAACTGGAAGCGCCTAAGCCGATCCGTCAAATTGTCAGCCTGCTCGACAATATGCCCATGGAGCCGGTGCTTCGGGATAGCAAGTTATCGGTTGGAAACGCAGATACCCCGGCCGCACGTGCCCGTCTAGTCCGAAGTCTCACTTCCCACAGCATGATGTGGAGTAGCGCACCCGCTCGAGACGTGGACCACGTACTGCGAGAGCTGGAAAGGGAGAAAACGGCCCAACATTCGGACAGAGCTTCTTTCATTGATGGATTGCTTGGTAAGTCCATATTCGCACTCTCCTCTGGGGTCTTTGCCATCGGTCCGCGAGGTGTGGAGGTGGGAGACGTGGTCGTCCAGACATACGAGGGCTCGAGTGTTCCCTTCATCTTACGATGCTGCACGATCACGAGAAAAGGCCAAGAGACTTGGCGGCTTGTCGGTTGAGCATACATCGATGGTGTTGTCAAACGTGGTGACTACGACGAAGAGGGAGATTCTAAAGGTTTCAGCAAGCTCGATCTGGGTTTGGGCAAGGAAGCTCATAGGTACAGAATCTATTGAGGCTCACCGCCATGGAGAGACAGAGTACTGTACGGATATGTACATGTATTTAGGTATCGCAAGAGCTTAGGCCAGCTGTGTTCCTGAAGGCGCGCACCGTCGCATGCACCTGCCGGCTTTTATCTAACGTCACTGGCTGCGCCTTCAAAAAAGTGGGGAGGTGGGTAAATTCTTGGCAGGAGTGAACAAAGCCAACAAGGGTTGTCAGTGCATGTTAGTTCAGGTGTCCGGCCAACGGGCTGAATGTAAATAAAATCCGGTGGTTGGGACAACCGCATCAGGGACTGGGCCAGTCCAACCCGCGCATTCCCAGGATACTCCAGAAAATCGAATGGCAGGTTTGCGAACGTGTTTGAACCGAGTCTCCAGAATCATTCCAGCCACCTGCATTCTCTCCCACAGATTGAGCGTCTTGAGCATTCGTAAGGTTTGTCCCAAGCTTCACTTGCACTTTCCCTGCATCGTTCTACGGTGCATTCCTGCTTCTGCACTGCTGCATCTTGAATCGAGATCTAACATTGGCGCTTGCACAGTTCAGGATAACCACCCCAAAAGTCTGGCATCCAAACCAAACTGGTGTTCTACCTGACTGTCAGTCTGCGACGTCCGACTGCGCCGGCAGCGCAGCGCTTCTTCCTTAACCCCAGCTTTGTAGTTCCCCCTGTCCTGCAACAGCCGACCGTTGCTCGGCTCGATCCAGTCGCATCTTGCAATTCCTCTGCAGTTTCCCAGCGAAGCAGCACGAGACATCGGTCGGACCGAGACGAAGCAAGACAACGAGACAGCGGGAAAGAGGCTGCTCGCCACATTCCAACGCCAGCGCGTCACGGATTGGAAAGGCGAGATTTGTCGGAAAAAGGTGGACTGACTTACTTCGGCTGCGCTTGCTGCCCACCACACCCGCAACCGTCGCTCCGAAGATCGCGGAGGGCCGGTGTGGGTTCAACGACGGGAGCGGCATCACGCGCGGTCGGAAAACAAAGAGGTGTAGAAGGGGTCTACTACCGTAGCATCAGACCAAGATGGCGACGGCGTTTCAATTAGGATGGTACCGTATGTCTGCCCTTTAAGAACCGCGAACGAAGGCCTAGCTCCCCGGGGTGGTGCTGCTGCCGACTGGAATGAGGGCGGCTTGAGAAGGAATGAATGCCTTTGCTGACATGTTCCAACAGGATGGGTGCCGTTTCTGGGGTATCACCACGTGTTGATGATCTTGATAGCGGTCGCAATAATATTGCTATGTAAGCCTCCCTCCCTCAACCGACCGGTCACATTCCAAAAAGACAGCATCACTAACCCAACCCGAATCTTTACAAAATCCAGCCCTCCTCCTCGCAGGGTGTTCCTCCTCATCACCTCTAATCCCCGACATTTTCCTTCTCTCGCTCTACTACGAACGGTACACGGCCGTGCCCGACACAGCACAGGTCGACTACAACGTCAACAATGCCATCGCCAACATTGTGGGCGGCGCCCGCCTCCAGGCACGCGTGGGTTACTTTGGCATCTGTGTCAGCCCGGACGGCGGGTCGTGGCTCTGCAGCAACAACGCGACGACGCTTGCGAATGAAGTCTCGGTCGACCAGGACCCGCTGAATCTTGTCTGGCTGGCGAGTCAGTTTAAGGATATGATTGTCTTTCCTTATCTACTGTACGTTCCTCTCCTCCCTTCTTCTCTCTGACGGTGTTCGTTCTAACCGGCGCGCGCGCGCAGCATCATCGCAATCATCTTCGCCTTCATCTGTCTCCTCCTGCTCGCCACCTTTCCCGGCTGGCACGAGGAAGAGGACAGCGAAGGGTCGGAGCGGGAAGTGAAACCGTTTCCGTCCCGCCCTGTCAGCCAGGTGGCGCTGGCCATCATCTTCATTGCGTCCATTTTTGTGCTGGTGTCGGTCCTGTGGCAGCACACGGCGTCGGTCGCGGCCAGCATCATTGCGCAGGACCTGGCCAACGGAAGTGTTTTGTCCGGAGTGGGCACGTCGGCCATGGTCATGGGCTGGTTCAGTTTTACGCTGCTCATTGTGGTGACCATTGGATTGCTGGTTATGATTTTGAGCATGCAGGTGTTGGCGACTATTATGGATTGATGATGATGTTGATGATGGCTAGGTTGGGATTGATTGCCGCGGAAGGATGGAATCTTGTTTGATTACGCTGCTGTACGCGTCGTCACATGTTACGGGCCGACGGACGATATGAGGATGAGTCGATGAAAGGGGTTTCTGCTTTGGGATGATAGATGATCGGGTTCGTTTTGCGAGGGGTGTACCGAACCACAACAACCAAATTACCAACCAACCAAACTGACCTGGTGATCCTACTGGGGTGGACCGAGACGAGAACCGAGTTATGATACCTCGAACGACGGACGGAGGAAGCGATTCCATGTTAGGATCTGGGACGAGGACAGGGACAGCAAAATCCGCCATCATCCCGCTCATAATTCTTGGGCGGTTGTCTTGTTTGCAACGGGGAGGCGGTGTGGTCTTGTGTTTTTGTATCTGAGCTGGGACGAGTTACGGCGGGGTTTTTCCTCTCTCAATGTGTGCATATAATGGATATAAAGAGTATGTATGGGGCCAAGCCAGGCAACGGCGAAATGAGTATCCAAGCTCTCCCGTGTTGTTTTGGTATTGTGAGGGATCATCATGAGGAGGGGTTCTTGTTGGCATGGAGCCAGCCGTATGAATGGAATCGGAGTTCAAGGCGGGCGTACATAGAACAATGCATGGCTTTCTGCGGTGTACCTGTTTCGTTGACGCTGGTATGGATGGTGATTCACGTCGCATGTACTCCGTAATTAGGAGGTAAAAGGATCCCTCGGCAGATAGCCCAGAGAAGTACAGAAATTTGGAGTCAGACCACTTCACAAAGGCATAACAAACAAATAGAGTTGGTTCATAGAAGTTGCTAGCTTGGCAATCCGATACTGCAGATTTCGATATTCATGATTACAACTAAACAACTACAATTTCCAAAAGTATTTATCCAACGACTGAACTGTCTGGCGTCAGCAATGTATGCATATCCCGGTACAAGATCAACACACACAGAACGCCAAACACCGTCCAAACCACCGCATGCTAATCAAAAGACCCATCCTGCCATGCTACGTCGGCCGCCTGAACGGATGCGCCTCGGTATTCAGCACCCATTCATCCAGCGAAATGACGTCGGGCGTCGCAAAGAGCAGGTAAAAGTACTTGAGCGTCTCGGCCAGCCAGAAGCTCTCCATGCTGTCCTCGAGGATGATTGGCCCATCACCACCATCAGTAGTATTCGACACCAACGAGGACGAGGAAGAGACTGAGACGTCGTGGATGGCGCTGTGGCCGACGTCCGTCCGTGTCGCGCGGATGATGGCCTCAAACATGCGCCAGCCTTTTTCCTGCCAGATCGGGTCGCCCGTGATGCGGTACATGTACCAGACTGATTCGATGGCTTCGGGTCTGTTCATTTGGGAGGTTAGTTTAGGTGGTCGGGCGGGTGGTGGTAGGTAGATTGGGAAGCTTGTCTTATGCTTTTTCCTCCCTTGTTATACTACTTACCTGAGGAGGTACCGCTTGTCGTTCAGCGAGACGAATCCTGGCGGGATGTGCTCCTTTTCGATGCGCTGAGCGACGTACTCTTGGTGGGTAAGAGGCTTGACTGGTTCGGCAGGCAGCCATAAATCATCGCTCATTGGCTTTTGATCGTCCTGGTCCAGGGCCGCACGTCTGGAGGTGCCGTCGGAGTTGTGGTCGAGGCTGTCCTGAGGGTTCTGCGCCCGCGTCTTCTGCTCGGTCGTCTCCGAGAAGGGATAGTGACTTGACGCGGGCCCGCCTGGAGTATCCAGTTCGGCCATAGCATCTCGTTTCTGGACTCCGGGTCGTGGCAATGTGTCTCGGTCCTTCAGATCACTGGTTTGTGAGCTTGGTAGGTGGGCTTTTCCTTCTTCGCCAGGGAGTGTATTGTTCACAGGACGCTTCTTGCGCTCCTCTTCCTCAGCTGCTTTACGCCGAGCTTCTTCGCGACGCTCTTCCTCTTCGGCTGCCTTTCGCTGAGCTTCCTCACGGCGCTTCTGCTCTTCGGCCTGCTTCCGGCGGGCTTCCTTTTCCTTCAATTCCTCCACCTCCTTCTTCCACGCCGCTTTTCTGGTGTAGTAGTCTTCCATCAGCGACTCTCTGTGGTCCGCCTCGGGATCCAGTCGCTCGTGCCAGGCCGTCTGGTTCCAGTGGCAGTCATCGGGTCTCACGCAGGGTATGACTGCTGCGGTCTCGGGCATAATGCCCGTGGGCATCACATCGTACGCCCAGACGCACCCATCGGTCAGCCTCTTGGCGACCTCGACGTCCTCGGGCCGTTCGAAAATCTTGCCACCAAGGCCAAACATGCCTCCCAGGAAGCAGGTCAGATGGGTTACCTCCCACTCGTAAGTCAGTCTGTCGGCGGTCCCGTCAGGACTAAAAGCCTTGGCCGAGAACAGGATGTCGGGGTCGTCCTTTGCCATTGGGCGGTAGAGGAGATAGTTCTTTACCGCGTCTACCACCTTTTCGTGCATGGTGCGATACTTGGGTTCCAGCCCGCCCAGGAGGAGATACTGCTTCGGGAAGTACTCGTATGCCGAGTCTTGGCTGCCACCCATGCTGTACGAGCCCCCGCCTCCCCAGCCGCCACCTGTCAGCCCCTGTGGAACGCAGTCAAGATGTTTCGGTACATTCCTGGCCCTAAAAGGCTCTGGGGCTGTGGTAGGGGGTCCGTCTCGCTTTCCAAGTCCGTTATGGAGCGTTACATTACCCCCAACCTCTGTTCCTGTGCCTAGGCTGTCAACTGACTTGAGCTCAGGTTCAGCATTCCCCAAAGTTTTTGTGTCAACGTCGGAGGACAGTTCATTGCTGCGTGACTCGGACTTGACAGGCGCGTTTGGAGCATCATTGGCTCGTTTCTCCGTGAAGGTATTACCTCGGTCGCTTGCCGTTGACGGCGAAGGAGCAGTGCGATTACAGCCAGATGCGTCCAGGCGCTCGGGGAAGATACCCGGAATTGCCGTGCCGTTTGGCCGGTTCTGGAGGTCTTCGAGCGCATCGGTGATGCGCGCAATGGCGTCGTAGTACTTGTTTTTGCCAGTCAACTGGGCGAGGCGAGTAAACTCCATGCTCATGGAGCCAATTTCTGCCACGCTCACGTCCGCGGCACGTTTGGGCTCCGTGTTGAACTCGGGCTTCCAGTTGTAGTACAAGATGGGCATTCGATTTGGCGTGTCAAAGACGCTCATGAGGATTTCGGCGAGCTCAACAGCCTTTTCCAGCAGGGCGGGATATTTGCCTTTGTGCCCTCCCGTCACGTCATAGGCCGCAAGCAGGCCGCCCAGGTACCGGATGATGGTCTCGAATACCGGAATGTCAGACCGGTACGGAGTGGTGCCAAAATCGATCTCCTTGACCGCCTCGACAGCCTCGTCAAACTCGTCGTTCAGGCCCATGATCCAGAGCGTGTCTAGAGCGTCGACCAGTGTGGCGGCCCAGCCGCAGAAGGGATCTTTGGACCTCTTCGTGACGGGGGTTAACTCGTCATGAGTCCAGGCGTACGTCTTGTAGCCGAACCAGGCGCGTTGGGCTTCCGCCCTGACCTTGGCCAATCGCAACTCGCGCTTCTCCTGGGCTTCAGGCGACTCCTTCCCAAAGGCGAACTGGATCGAAGGAATAGGGTTGGGCTTGCCGGTGGGCAGCATGATGAGTGACTCCTCGGGCACAGGGAACCACTCGGAAGGCTTCTGCCAGTGCACAGTGGTGCTAGTGGGGGCCAGGTGGCCAGTTGACTCTGTTGGCGGGTAACCAGGGCGGACATTGTCGGTCTCATCCTGGTACAAACCTTGCTGAGACGGCGGCTTCCTGTCGGGTACGGTGGCCGGGGCCTTGGTCGTTTTGGGCCGTTCGACGGCGGTATCCTCCTCCGACTCGGCCGAGACGGGCACGTTGGTGGGCAGGCCGTAGCCTCCCCTGACCTCATCGGCTGTCTTCAGCTCGGGAAGTTTGATTACAGGTTCCTCCTTCACCTCGGGTTCGTTAGAACTGTCCGGGCTAGGCCCATCGCGGTCATGGCTGTCGTGGTGGACAGGCGGAGGGCGCTCCTCTGGTGGCGGCCTGATATTGTGGTGGCCTGGCCTGGACTTGGGCTTGGGATCTGGCGGTGGGGGAGGGGGTGGAGGGGGAGGAGGCGGGCGTTTGTGGTCTTCATCATGGTTATGGTGACGGTGAAAGTCCTTCCTACCAGACCAGAGACGCTCAGGGCGATCCCACTGGGAGTTCTTGGAGACTTGGTAGAGAAGAACCGTGATGACGGCGGCGCAGATGAGAAGGACGCGGTAGCGCCGAAAGCGGAACATGGCGAGGGCGGAAAGAGGGAGCGGCAGGCCGTCGAGGGCCTCGCGTGAGGTGTGTGGCGATGGGCTACACAGACACGCTTCAACCACGACCCCTGGATGGCATGGCTGGGGACTGGCGCACTGCTGGGGCCGAAGTGGCAGAGACAGGACCAATATCAGAGCGGCGACTCTTTAGCGGATGCGATAGGAGATCAGAGCAACAACAGCATTAGGAAAGAGACCAAGAAATACTTCGTACAAGAGACTCGACGGATGCCAGCAACGTTAAGAAAGGACACACAATGCACAAAGGGCCAAGCCAAGCCACAGCCCAAAGTGGCCAGCGGACAACGGAAAATTCATCGTGCAAGGGCAGGCTTCCTGCGGGAATGTTGGACAGGGGGATGCGCCAAGGCTCTCGTAAGTTATTGAATTTAAGTCTTGGCATGTGTCTCAATGGTGGGTTAGGGAGGGGAGAAGGAGAAGCAGTCGATATCACTTCAGGCAGTTGCTTTACGGCTGAATTGTTCTGTGGAGTTGAGGGTATTTATCGAACTAGTGTAAATGCAGTATGCATCTTTTTAAGCATGAACTGATGTGGAAAGAAGCTCCCACTACGTATGTAAAAAATGTACCTTACCCTTGTTCGGCGTGACACCCATGAGAGTGTCCGGTTATCTTGTACGGCTTCCAGTGTCTGCAAGAGAAGAGCTGCCGGTACAATAGTCAATTTACTTTCAAAATTTGCGTGATTGCTCATGAGAGTGATTATCCCTATCGGTAGTTGTTGTATATATACTTGTAATTGTTGTGTACCCAGAACTTTCCTGAAGTGTCAAGGGTCGTCTGACCTCGCCCTGCGTTCGTTGCGGGGGCTGCAGCATGCGCTTTTCAATGTAAGCCACTATTGAACTGTACCGTATTGTAATTCATCCAGCTGGGCAGTTATAAGATGTTGAGTTACAATATTTTACCGTCATGGAATTCCAGTACAGTACCAATGTACGGAGTATTACTTCGGATCTTCAGGGTCCAGACCTGAACCGTCACGACCGAAAATGCAAGGGATTGCAAGGGATCGACTGCATGTGCCGAATGCCGAGAGACTGGGGTAACACATCAACCAAGATTCATCAATCACATTCCCAACCATCAACCATGAATTCAGCACAATCTGATATTGTAGTTGGACGACACACCAATGAAGAAAATCACACAAAGTTCTATAGCTGACTCAGCTGACTTATTGGCTTCCGTCCCCAACTTCTTCAATCCTAGAAAGGAGGCCTACGTTGGTAAACAGAAGCTGGTTGAGAAAGAGTCAAAAGGCAGCGCTATAGCAGAGACAACCTATGACTGCGCCGAATCTCTCTCGGCTCGTTTTGGCCAAGAGTCTTCTATGAGACAGCCATAACGTGCTCACGGGCATAGTTACAAGCGAGATCTTGTAGTGTCTAGAACCGAGCCAACCACGTTGAACAACCCCGAACACCTTATCAAGCGCAAAAGGAATCATGGACGAAGGAAGGAATGGGACATCCCACTTCGCCGGCATCTGCATCCATCATCTCCCTGTTTAGGAAACCGACGAACCTGGACGACAACGAAACAATCATTGCGGGTTAGGTTACAAAGTGAATCCTTTGCAACCGGGCCTCTTCCTTTCCCTTCCGGCCTTCCAGCCTTCCCTTCCCCCCCTTCTCACCCCGTCCACCAACTTTTTAATTCACCTTTCCGAACAGATACAGCATCGTCCTAAACTGTACTCTATTACCCATGACCCAAGCCAATGGCCTGCACCAGCAATCAGGGGAAACACTGCAAGCCCAGCCAAAAAGGACAGAATAAAACCTTCCAACTCCCAACTCTTTTATATCAAAAACAGAACAGCAACCCCCCACCCCGCACATACCGCGGAGAGTACTCAATACGTGCCCCTGATTTTGGCATACAATTCAGTATCCAAAAAGCTATAGTTAGGATCCAGCTCGCAAAACGGATGCTGCGAGAGTAAAACATCAGCGGTCGGCCGCTCGCTCGGGCTCCTGTAAACAAAAACATTAGCTTCCCCCAACTCAGACTCTTCAAAAGTATTTCTTCCGGGATCACGTACACTTGGAAACAATCCAGCATAAAAGCAATCGCAATCGGACTAATCTCCTCCCGAATATCATCCGGAATTGGCGGCGTCTCTCCGTTAGCAATCTTATAGATCGCCCCAACAGCCTCCTCTTTGCTCCACGGCCGGCGGCCGCAAAACATTTCCAGCACCACACAGCCCAGCGACCAGATATCCACTTTAGCACTGTACCCTTCGCCCTGCGAGCGAATCACCTCGGGCGCCATCCAAAAGACAGACCCTTGCATCGAGTTGGTCTTGTCGTTGCCATAGATGTTGTCCGTCTTCTTGCTGATGCCAAAGTCGCTAATCTTTGCCGTGCCGTCCAGATCCAGCAGGATATTGTCCGCCTTCAGGTCGCGGTGCAAAATGCCCTCGCGGTGCAGGTAGGCCAGCCCCGAAAGCGTCTGCCGCGTGAGCGACGCCACCACGGGTTCTTCAAACTTGCCATGCTTGCGCAGACACGAGCCGATGGAGCCACCGGAAATGTATTCGAGGAAAATGGAGATGCTCGTCTCCTTCCGCTCGCACCCCAGGTACTGCACAATGTTGACGTGGTCGAGGTGCTGCATCGTGTCAATCTCCTGGTCGAGCGCCGCCACCAGCTCCTGCATCTTCTTCTTGTCGCCCTGCGCCGCCTTGGGGTTGACCTCGACCTCCTTGACCGCCAGGAACTCGCCTGTCGTGGCGTTCATGCCCAGGTACACGCGCCCAAACGTGCCCTTGCCGATCAGCTGGCCCTTGAACCAGCGGAATGTCGTCTGCCGCTTGGGGACATTGTTGTTGTTATTGTTGTTGTTGCTGTCGCGGTTGCGCTGGCTAGGCAGGCTGTCCTGCGGGATCGTTGTCAGGCCCATGGCCATGTTGAGCGACCCGCGCTCGGGCCGGATCTGTACAATGTTTGCGTTGAACATCTTTGTGCTCTTGCGGCGCATCAGCGTCGTGGTTCTGTCGACGCCTGCCGACGCTGCCTGGGCGCCCACGTTGCCCGATGTCTGTGTGTAGCGCTTGTTCGCTTCGAGTGCGCCCCGAGCAACTTCTCTGATTGACTTCATACGACCTAAGCCGCCAGAGCGCCGCACACTGCGGCTCGCCAAGGTTTGCATAGACGCAGGCCGAGACTCGAGCGCCTTGAGAGTAGACTCGTCTGATCCCAGCGTGTCGCTCTCGTTGTAGAGGGTAGATATTCTGCTAGACGGCGCCAGTGAAGCCGGCAGCGGCGGCACCGGCGGTGGTCCAGTGTCTTGGGCCCCGCTCTCTTCGGCGATCGGCGAAGGGATGTCCTGGTCAGCTCCTTCTTCGAGTACTGGCTGGTCAACATCCACGTTGGGGAAGAAATCCTCGAGGTTGTTGATAAGTGCATCGGTAGGGGGGCGGTTCGCCCAGACGTCCTTTTCGATAAAAGATTTGCGTCTGCCGAGCTTGCTGTCCCGGTCCTCCGAATCCCATCCTTCCGATCCCGGTGTCCCGGGAGTGCGCCGGTGCGACGAGCGCGTGCTTGTCTCGTCATCATCGTCGTCGGCCGGAGTCTTCGCCCCAACGCTCGACTGGGGCGAAGTGAAGGCGACCGACAGCGTCTTTTTGGAACGTTTAGTATTCACGCGCAGGCTTGGGCGCTTGCCGTTGCCATCCACTGCCCCGTCCTCAGCCGTCGCTGGACTCTTGCCCTTGATGCCCGAGTTGCGCGCTGAGATGGGGATCGCAAAGAGCCCATCATCAGAGTCGTCGTCAGAATCCTCGTCGGCGACTTTCTTCGCGAGGAGGGTGGATGCCTGGGAGAATCTGACATCGTTGTCCTGGAAATCCGTGTCCGGCCCGTGAGACTTGCGCTTGTTGGCTGCCGCGCTGGAAAAGGACTGGCTCGGCCGCCGACCGGAGCTGGGACTGATAGCCCCCGGAGACGGAGCCCGTGCTGCTGGGCCCGTGGAAGCCTCCAAGCGTCCCGGGAGTCGATCGCCGCCGAACCCGTCGTCGTTGGAGCCGCGTGGCAGGTTAGGAGTCCCGTTCGGCGAGTAGTCCGGAACGAGGAACGGCACGTTCTTGGAGCTCCAGGTAGTAGACCCCGGTGAGCCTGGTACAGCTCCCAGCCTTGGGCTCGCCCCGCCAGAGCCAGAGCGAGACCGCTGCCCGAAGTCGACGGTGGACATGGCGCCCTTGGCCTTTTCGCCAACCTCGCTAGTTGTGATGGGAACGGAGGAGACTCGATTAGGCGACAGCGCCCTCTGACCGCCGGCCACAGGGTGACCGATACCACCCATGCGCCCGCCCATACCCACCAAGAGCTCATGAATGCCGCCTGCCGGACTCGGCACTCCCGGGCGTCTCCTTTGTTTCTCAAGTGTAAGCTCGTCACGCAAGTCGGATGAAGTGCGTCTTTGATAACCGCCCTCTACGCTACCCTGGGATCCGCGCGGGGCATGGCCCCTCCGCCTACTCAGCGAATCCGCCCTGATCTGTGTGAGGGACGGGTTGCCCGGCGGAGCGGGGGCCTCGCGCTGCGGAAGCAGTGTATCCGTCTTCTTGTCCTCGTAAGGAGAGAGCCTCGGCTGGTCAAAGTCGACGTTCCTGCCGACAATACCGTATGGAGTCTCCGTAGCCGGGCTGGTCTCCTTGACCCCAATGGCCTGCCTCCGTTTCGCAAGATACTCTTGCTGCTTTCTGAGCTGCTCCGTCCTATACTCAATCGCCTCCGCCGTCAGCACCCTTTCATCTCGCTCGTTTCCAGACATGGTATTCTGTCTTGATGTGGGCGGCGATGAACTGGCCCGCCGCCGCGTGCCGTTGAGTTTGGCATATGCCTCCTCGTCCATCGGCACCGTAAGCCGCCCGGACGAGGAACTCTGGGATCCCCCCGGTCGTACAAACAACTTTAGCGTCCCGGCGGCGTCCGCCTTGAGCTTCTTGGTCATCATAAGTTTCGTATCGTCGAGCGGCTCCTCATCATGCTCAAATTTGCCCAGTTCAGTCAGGTAGATCTGTGCACCGTCGCCGTCCGGCAGGCCAAGATTGATACAAATCAGCTGCCGCAGGTCCGATGACGTGTCAATGTCTGTGACATCGAGCATGCGGTAATTCCAGCAGTCAGCGGTAGCAAGAATGAAAACGCGTGGGCCGCTAGTCCGCTTAGCGCGGAGTAAGGCTGCATAACCGTGGTCATTGATGAGGCCGGATCCCGGGCGGTCCAGCGAGGTCTCGCTCCCGTTGGCAGTGCGCGCTCCCCCCGGAGGGTGCGGCTTAAAGGACAGTCCAGGACTGGTCGGGGACTCCTGGCCATCGGCTCTCTTCTTGCGGCTGAGGAAAGAGAGGAACGAGGGCGTGCCCTTTGCGCTTCCTGGAGGGTCGGATCCCGCGCTTCTGTCCCCGGGTTCTTGCGGCGAGGGCCGGCCACCATCCTGGGCGTACCTTCGACTGCCCCCAATCGCATTGACCGCTTCAGCGATATTCAAGCCGCTCTTCAGCATTGCAGCTGCATCAGGCGGAACCCCAGAGCCGTAAATGGCTGCATTCGACGAGACCGAGTCGGTGCTGTTGCGTGAGTGATGGCCGAATCTGGCGCTGTGAGGCGAGGCCGACGCGTTGCCCGCAGTGGAAGAGGGAAAGAGGCCGGACTGGGGATTAGGGCTGCCGCTAAGACTGTCCTTACCGTGCGGTGTCGGCACCCGGAACGTGACTGCCTCACCTGACTCACTAACGCTTGGACTGTGGCGGCGGGCACTGTCAATGTCGATGTTTTTCAGGGCGCTCCTGTGGTTTGACTCGGAGCTCATCATGCTGCTAAGCGTTGGCACCGACGTTGACAGTGACTGTGAAAACCTCCGACCACCAAAACCTGGACCCGGGGCCTTGATAGGGGTCTGTTGTCAAATGTCTGTCAGCTCTTCTTCCTTCTTCTTTTCATTTCTTTTTTTCAATTCCATTGCAGAGAGACTCTTTTGTCCCCGCACTTTCACTTACATTAGGAGAATCACCAGAATCAGCTCCAGCACCGGGAGCAGGAGCTACGCCAGACTCCTTGCGGCTATGTCCAGTAGACGACGTCTTAGATGTCTCGACCGGTTTTCCCGTGACAATGCTACGGATCAGACGCCGCATCCGTTTTCCTTCTTCTCTCTCTTTCGGCTGATCCCAAGGCGTCCCGCTATTCCGGCATTCTATGAGCAGGCGGGGATATACTTGCTGATGCATCATGCCAAAGTTACCGCGACCGCCGCGGCTGCCTCCAAGCTCGAGGAATTGCATCCCATAGAGATTCAAAAACTTGAACGTCTCCTGCCACTCCTTGGAGAAGTTATTGGCCTGAAGCCAGGCTATCACCCTGTCCAACGGCCACTGGGCGGCTATCTCGGCGGGAACCGACGACGCGTGCGTGGCATTGCTCATGGTGGATGACCCTCGCTGGGCCATGGCGGTAGCATAGAGTCTGTCCCTGCCCGACGTCTCCTCCAGTGGAGTGGCTGCCGCCGATTCCATTTGACCCCCGGCGCTCCACCCAAGACTGATGTCGTCCGCCAAACCCAGGCCAGGGATCCCAACACCTTCGCCGAAGGTGTCCCCCTGCGGGATATACGTCGCGCTCATCTGCTCACTCGGAGGAGGCGGCGGGGGCACCGTCAGCGTCGGGCCCGACGACGTGGCAGCATTGGCGGCCGCGAGGGCTTGTGCGTGCAATTTCGGGTTGTAGGCCTGCAGCACCGTGGCCCCGTTGTTGCTCGGCGGAGGGGGTGGGATATTGAAGGTCGTCCGTCCATCATATGCACGGCCCCAGGCACCGTGCCACGGCGCGGAGCCCAGGGCGCTCGCTGGCGGCAGGGCGCTCGACGGAAAGGCGGTATTGGGAGGCGGCCCCGGAGGTGGAGGGAGCAAAACCGCTGCGGAGGTGCCCGGGGCGCTGGGGTAGCGAGGCGGAGGAGGAGGGATCGTCATCATGCTCGGTATTCCGATCGAGGGCGGCGGCGACATGGGCGGGGGCGGAGGCGGCACCTGGAAGGGCCGTGTCGCATCTCGCTGTCCATTCTGGTACATGGCTTTTGGCTGCGTCCTAGACGCAGCTTCCTGGGCGATGGAGAGGCGCCGCCGGCGTCACCGGGGGGTTGATGTGGGCGATCGGATCGGCAGGCACAGTGTGGGCGCCGTCGGCGAACCGTGGTGACGGCTTCGGAGGGACTCGGGGTACTTTGGAGGATGACAATGGAGAAATTGGCGAAGCTCCAAGGAACGGTGCAATCGGTCAACGCTGTCACAGCAAAGTGACTGTCGGTTCGGAGCCCTCGTTCCTAGGGGCTTTTTGTGAGGTCTCAGAGTTGATGTCGGCGCCGTCAGGCGGTTTCACGCCACTCTGGGCGGCACAGCAAGCGCCCTCAGAGTGGGAGCAGCTCAGCGGCGGGAACGGGACGCTAAGCGCGGGCGCGGGCCTGTCAAGGCGCAAATCGCATTCTGGCAGAGATGTCGAGATTGGCAACAATGATATCAGTACGATACTTTGCGTGTGATGGTTGAAGGCAGAATTTGGTGTGTGGCCTAACCAAGCAGTAACTGGTGCGTTTGCTCCTATCCCTTGCTGCTGCGTGGGCCGACAGTTCTAATTTCTTTGTGAGAGTCCTCGGCGACGACAAATTGCTGATGCAGCTGCCTGAGTGTCGTACAGTACACGAGTTACAGCTCGCTGCACGTCTCAAAAGCACATTAGCGAATGGGACAGCGGGAACTTGAGAGCGGGGCCCGTGTTCTTATCCAACCGGCCAGGTCCGCGGGAGGGTGGGGTGCCGGTCTTCGCTGAGTTCGCGCGCTGTCTGCTGTGATCCCGTTTGAAGCCGGTCCCTGTCGAATCATTCCTAGGGCCCGGAGAGACCCACTTTTACAGTTCAACCCTTGTTTGTTTGTTAGCGCGGGACTCTCGACAGGGGTCATTGTCCAGAAATCAGAGAAATGCCTCTCATCAGCCAGAGCAATTGATTCAATGCAAGAAAAAAGAGTATCTAGCATTACTCAAGAAGACTATTCTCTTTAGAGCCTTTCTTTTTCATAGAAAATCGGGCGTTTTGGTGTTGAGATTGACATCTTAGGGCTGCCCCCGGTCTTGAAGTCAGGCGCTAACGAACAAACAAGGGGGGGACTGTACCCTAGCGTAGCACCGCCTGCTGTCAATCACTGTTCCGCAACTCACCGCAGCCAGTTACACCACGGGTTGCCCTGGTTGCTCAGCAACACCCATTATTCGCTGCTCACGAAGAAAACAATCGCAGTGGTGTAACTTAGGGGGCAGCCGCCTCGAAGTGACAGCACACTGATAAGTTGCATTATCTCATTTCATCAAGTTCACATATTTCCGACTTTGCTCTGCTCTCAACATTCCTTGGGGTTTACTACATACATTGTGGCAGGTCAAGTGCCAAGTTCCATTGAGAACACCCATTCCGACATAAGAATATCCTACCAAGGTTACTGTCCTACTTGTCGCTGGCCTCTGAACGGAAGCATGGGTGGATGTGGGGACAATGGCGACTTGCAATCTTGGAGCTCATTTTGAGCGCTTGTCGATCCACGACGAGAATGGGGAGGATCAGAAATCAAGAGTGAGCGACCCCTTTCGTAACTCATCGGTCGACGTTATGATCTCAACGTGTTACAACAGAGCTAATCGCCCACATTCCATAGTAGGTCAAACCCACCGCGACATCTCTCGCACACAGCTCAAGTCGGCCAAAGCTCGTCAAATTACCCCTGCAGAGTCAGAAGAACAGCACATCCGCAGCATCACCGCGCAAAGCGCCTCCAACCCGGAAACCTCTTCCTGATGCAGCTCCGCCAAACCTAGCAGAGGCTCAACAGCCCGACCACCACTCAGTAGCGCCTCTCATCCCCCAACCCTCCCCCAAAACCCTGCACCTTGGCCTATTCGAAGTCGGCAAGCCGCTCGGCAAAGGCAAGTTCGGACGCGTCTACCTCGCACGCGAGCGACAGCACAACTTCATCTGCGCGCTCAAAGTCCTCCACAAAACCGAGCTGCAGCAGGCGCGCGTCGAGAAGCAAGTCCGCCGGGAAATCGAGATCCAAAGCAACCTGTGCCACCCCAACGTGCTGAAACTGTACGGCCACTTCCACGACAGCAAGCGCATCTTTCTCGTGCTTGAGTTTGCGGGTCGGGGGGAGTTGTACAAGCACCTACGGAAAGCCGGGCGGTTTTCAGAGCCTAGAGCTGCGGGGTACATCGCCCAGATGGCTAGTGCGCTGAGGTATCTGCATAGGAAGCATGTTATTCATCGGGATATTAAGCCCGAGAATATCCTGGTGGGGATTCATGGGGAGATTAAGATTTCAGATTTCGGCTGGAGCGTGCACGCACCGGGGAATAGGAGGACCACGATCTGTGGAACGCTGGATTACCTCCCGCCGGAGATGGTTAAACCCGGTGGCGGTGGTGGCTCGGAGGACCGCTCATATGACGAAAAGGTCGATCTTTGGTCGCTGGGGGTGTTGATGTACGAATTCCTGGTGGGAGAGGCGCCATTCGAGGATACACCTGTCATGACGCACCGGCGGATTGCACGCGCGGATATGACGGTGCCGGCGTTTGTTAGTCCTGAGGCGAAGGATCTCATTCACAAAGTAAGTGGCATTTTCTTCTTGGTTGGTTCGCTGTTGGACTGAAGATTGACGTGTTCATACACAGTTACTCGTCGTCGATCCTAAAAATCGGCTCCCCCTTGAGCAGGTGGTGCAGCACCCTTGGGTGGTCAAGCACTGCGTCAAGGGTGAGTCTACGAAACAGCATTGATGTCCTGGAGTTGCCAGCGAGTTTGTTAGAGCCATATTGCATTGTCGGAGCACGGGGCAGCGGCGTTTGGGTTACCTAGCCACGTGGTTGGCCTTTTAACGCAGTGATGTATCGGGAATGTTTCGGTCTGTGTTCTGGGAGATTTCCAGTCAAGTATAGGGTAGGCCGGAGCATGGAAGGCGTCAAGGAGCATTTCATGAAGGCCAGCCCGGGTAGTTGGACGGTTTACTGTCTATTCCTTGTAGCGCATAAGGTCCCTGGGATGGGGGTAGTTACTGATGATGGTTCCATGGTCCTCTCCTGGGTGAGTAGATAAACAGCCATCAATGTCCGAAATTTTGACCGGGATCTGGCACACCAGAAATTCCCTTAGCTGTTTGACTATTTCTCGGTGATTGTTGACTATACTCAATATCGGAGGTCAGTACCATATATGCAAACTCGCTCATAAACCTTCTCTAAGGAGGCAGAAACACATAGGATTTCGAGCAGCGTGGAACCTTCACTCCTTAGAGACGACATTACAATCCATATATATACGGCGGGATGATGTAGTGGAAACGCTTGCTGCGGTTATCCAGGCTCGGCTCAATATAGCCATCCTCCCAAAAAGAAAATGTACAACCGAAACTCCTGCTCATCCCACGTATGCACGCCAGAGCAATATAAACAAACCAAACAAACCACCTCATAACTTGCCCTCTGTGCCCGCCCGTTCTACATGAGATTGCAATTACTCCACGCACCCTGGTTACATTGCTCATAAAAGTCCTCGGGGCCCTCTCCAGCATTATGCTTCCTCACAACCCCCGACACCTTCAGTGTCTGTGTCCCATCATCGTGCCACCAGCGTAGCCGCTGCAGGAGGACCGTCTCGTCCTCGTCGCTGCTAATCTCCCACTTCCCCGAGCTCACCTCGACCGAGCATGCGTCTTTGGGGAAATGGTACTCGGGCAGGAACACTACCGTCGGAGCATCCGTGTCAGCCGCCTTGGGCGCCTTGATGGTCAAGTGAAAGAAGCAGCGGCGAAGATCGAATCCGTAATCTGTAATAACTCCTGCGGCGCAGATTGGCGCCGGCCGTACGTACGCCTCAGCTGCCCGATGGCCGGGGGCGGCGGTCAGTTCTGGTTGGCGCGTGGTAGCCTCTGATGATATCGATGGGTTAGTGATCGATCGTTTGAGGTTGGCTGGCGTGACGCTACCATCGTCGTCTTGCTCTTCCCGCGACCCGGCGGCACTAGTGGTGGGTTTCAGGAGGCTTGAAGTCGACCCATCGAGCTCTGAGCTCCGAGGTCGCTGTGGGAGGGGAAGGAGTTTATCGTCGACTGAGAAGATGGAGAGGTCTTCGCCATTCCAATGGTCTCCCCTCTCGTGGTTGTTCCGGGACATGTACAGCCACAAGGTATAGCCTTCCAGCCCGGCACCTTCCACGGCATAGTGATTGGCATCCATAGCTGCTGACTGGCTTGCATAGTCGCCCGTCTTATAGGCGTACTGGTTGTCCATGTCGTAGGGGATGCCGAACTCTGTCATTACGCAGGGGTGGTTTCCGATGCGGTCAAGTCCTTCCTGGCGCATAGCCGCGTGCTGGTCCTTGAAGCAGTTTCGGATTGCCGTCTCCCCCAACTTCACCGCAAAGGCAGGATGCCAATACCGTCCGCGAAGCACGCCGATGACGTCAACATTCCAGTTGCGATTCCACTTCTTCGTCATCAACGTGATCCCATCGTACCAATGGGGCGCATACACAAGTAAAGGGTCGTCGCCGTCGGGGGTGTCTTTGATTTGCGGTGGAAGTTCCATGGCAGGCCCTTGGAGCAGCATGATTGCATCCTTATGGTACGTCCGGATCAAGTCGCGATATTTTCGGTAGAAATCCATGAAGTAATTGTTTGTGAAGTAAGGGTAGTCGATGGTGTCTCCGGTGGTTGGGTGTTTTCCAAAATAGTCCTTTTGGAGGAGCGTGTCGGTAGATGGATCCCAAACACCATGCTGCGCCCATACGCATTCTCCTAGCTTCCACCCCGGGTCTCTCTTATACCCATAACGCGAATCGTCGTAGCCGACCGGCAGCCACGCAATCTCGCCATGAGGGTCAATCAGCGTCCTCCCGACTTTATACGGGCCGAGTCCGCCCATGTCCCACGTCTCAACCTCCACAGCCCGGCCCGACCCAGTCAGTATCGTCTGCCATATCGTCGGGCAGGTTCCCTTCTTCAGAGCCTGCTCCTTGGGTATGACACTGATATCTTCGTATCCAATCATGCCTTTGTTCGGTTCGTTGAAGCTTTCCCAACCAAAGACGACGTCGTTTTCGATGTCGCCGGCTTCGTGGATACGCTTTGCGAGATGGGCACATGCTCGGAGGAAATGGCCCTGGAGGTAATCTTGAATGTTCATGCCGTCAATGATGCACTTTGGCGCAAAGTCCTTGCCGGCGAAGAAGAGGGTGAACAATGTGGCGGCAGCGAGGCGATAATAGTTTGTTGCCCAGATCATTTTTGGGTATGTCTTCTCCTCCGGGTATGTATTGTGTACAATGGCGGCTTCCGTTGCCGCAAAGCTCTGGGGGTTGAGGCCGGCCGCGTACAGCGTCCACATTGGCGCACCCGAGCCACCAGAGAAGCGAGACCACTGCATAATGGAGCGTTAGCTTTGTTCTCGATTCAGCGAGATTCTCGAGGCGAAAGAACTCACCACATCCTGGTGAGGGTCCATGAAGATATAAAAGCCGTAGCTCTTTGCCGCCCTAAGGATCCCGATGGTATTCTCTATCCACTCCTCGTCGTAGATCCCCGGCCCGGCCGCCTCGATCGCTTCCCACGTAAAGACATAGCGGATCGTGTTGTAGCCGAAGCGCTTTAACCGCGAGAAATGAAGATGCGCCTCGTCCTTAGAGAACGGTCTCTTTGAGAAGCTGACATTGTCGCCGTCGAAGAAGTCGTCAGGGACGTGTGAAGGCTGGTCGGGTCTGCTAGGGTATTTGGCTTCGCCGGCGACATTGATGCCTCTAAGGATGACCTGCCTGCCATGCTCGTCGCAGAACTTGCCGTCTTCGATTGTAAGGCGAAAGCCGGCCATTGTCTGCGTTTACGAAGTTGCGATACCGGGATGCGGCGGATCCGCGGGCGACGAAGGGGCGGTCTTGTCTTGGTTAAGTAGAAAGGTAGTTCACAGCAGGCGAGAATGGAAGGACAAGAGGCCAAAAGTTCAGCCAAGATCGAAGTTCGAGGATGGTCACCAATGACGTGTGGTCAGGTGGCAACCACAGCGCCAACAGGCACTACCTTAGCTAACCAACTGATTTCAAGGGAGCCATCGTGTCACCACTGTACTGAACGCTGTCCCTCTCCAGCAGATCAGATGTCTAGCTGCAAAATGATTCGTAGCAGTCTCGGATACGACGGGTAGTATATCTGTGGCTTGGGGGTTACTTCAACCTATCTTGTTTTCCACTCTCTTTTTCCCTGATCTATCTATCACCTTTAGTTTCTGACTTTCTGTTATCTCTTTTCTCCCTGAAATGGATGACGGTCTGAAATGCAGCGGAATGATTACGGTACTGTAAATTTCAAAAGGGTAGGATGGAGGGTTAGGGTTAGCATGAATCCTTGACGCGAACCCACCCAGACACTTTACGCGTCGCGGGGCTTCGACGCGTCTCCCAAAGGCAACCCCCAATGAGCAAACAATTACAAGCAAGCGCCTGCCGGGACTTACACCAATTGATGTCCTCTACTACCAACCTGCTATCATCTGCCCCTCTATTTCTTTGGATAGCAACATCATCAATTGACTTGGGAAATCCGCAATTGCAGCATGCCGCACTCTGTTTCCCCAGCAGCTGAAGAAGGCTCGACTCCTCTCTCAGCGACTCAGATGGACCAAGACTCCCCGGCCGCGGCAGGCAGTCAACCCGGTCAGCCGGCAGAGGAGGATACGGTGATGGCCGATGCTAGTGGAGACGAAGCAGAAGTTGAAGCAGTGAAATCATCAACGGATTTGCCAGAGGCCAGAAACGAAAAGCAAGAGATCAAGGCGGAGGATTTGTTCAACGACATCGACTCAGACGACGACGATGAGTTTCCCACATCGAGCAATCCCGCCAAGGGTGACATGCCCACCTCCACAGAACCGCAGTCCTCACCAGGGTATGGCTACCCTCAGCAGCACACTGTACCCAAGAAACGCGTGCTAACCGTAACCAGTGATGTGGACTACGGGGCTGGGAACAAGGAGTTGATGCGCATTTTCTATCAACGATTCTTTCCCTGGAGATACATGTTTCACTGGCTGAACCACAGCCCTACGCCCACGAATGACTTCAAGCATCGTGAGTTTAGTTTGTGGACCGGCGACATTGTGTTCCGGTACCAATCATATAACGACTACGAATCGTGAGCCCACTCCGGCCCCTTCGGTAGGCGTATATGCTGAACTTTGAACAGATTTCGCAAAGACATAATACAGCGGTTACCCGACCGTGTAGAAATTGGCCCTGTCTATACCGCCAACCCGCGGGATCGCAAGGTTTTCCGCAATTCAACCGCGTTCCGGCCCCTTGCGAAGGAGCTATGCTTTGATATCGATTTGACAGACTACGACGACATACGAACGTGCTGTGACAAGGCCAACATCTGCATAAAATGCTGGCAGTTTATGACGATGGCAATCAAGGTCCTTGACACGGCTCTGCGGGAGGACTTTGGCTTCCAGCACATCCTCTGGGTCTATTCAGGCCGCCGAGGTGTTCACGCCTGGGTGTGCGATAAGAAGGCCCGGGAGTTGGACGACCAGCAGAGGAAAGCAATCACCGGCTACTTCGACGTCATTCGTGGACCAAAGGAGAGTGGGAAGAGGGTCAATCTCCGCCGGCCGCTTCACCCCCATCTGTCGTAAGTTGCGACCTATTTACTCTCCCTCTCCCATCCCTCCCAATGTTACAAACCGGTTGTCTTACCCCTGAACGACACAGACGAAGCCTAGACCTCCTCAAAACCCACTTCCAATCCGACGTCCTCGAAGTGCAAGACCCTTGGCGGTCACCCGAAAAAGCCGACTACCTCCTCCAACTCATCCCCGACCCGGACCTGCGCGAAGCATTGCGCAAAAAATGGGAATCCTCACCCGGTTCCGCATCATCACGGAAATGGGCCGACATTGACGCGCTAGCACAGACGGGGAGCGCGAGCAAGACGCTCGACGCGCGCGACCTGCTCGACGCCAAACAGGACATCGTCCTGGAGCACACGTACCCGCGCCTCGACGTGGCCGTCAGCCAGCATCTTAATCACTTGCTCAAGAGCCCCTTTGTCGTGCACCCGGGCACGGGCCGCGTCTGCGTGCCCATCGACAGGGATGCGCTTGAGGAGTTTGATCCGCTTGGCGTGCCAACGGCACAGGGCCTGCTGCGTGAGATTGACGCGTGGAATGATGGCTCTACGGGCGAGGGGCAGCAGGAGGATGGTGGAGGTGCGGTAAAGCATGTCCAGGACTGGGAGAAGACGAGCTTGAAGCCGTATATTGACTATTTCCGGTCTTTTGTTACGGCGCTTATGAAGGATGAGAGAGAGATTAAGGTGAAGCGGGAGCGTGACGAGGAGCAGGCGGAGTCCTTGGATTTCTAGGGGTGGCTGTACTGTATGCTTTATTGAAAGGGGTCGAAGGTGTGGTTAGTTAGAAATAGGACAGGCTTTTGCGGGTGGTGTACGTTGGTCGGCACGGATATCACGACTTCGCCTTGACGGAGGAAGCAAGCTGATTATTTGTGATGTATATCGGATTATGGGTATCTTGCATATATTTTATATTTTTACATACTGTCCCGCTTGAGAGACAGCTTCCTTTGCTATTGCGACGCACCTTCCTGCGAAGCGGCCGGTCCGTCTACACCACACGTTGTCCCCTGGCCATCTGACCGTGGGTCCCCTTCCGCAGCAGCCGGTTCCGCCTCCTCCTCCTCCTCCGCACCATCCTCGTCTCGCGTTACTGCCTCTGAGGAGTCACGACTCTTTAGGGAGCCACCTTTGCGTTTCGGAATCACATCCATAAACGCCTTCCCCCAGTCACCGCACTCCAACCACTTGGCCATAATCTCCACCACTTGGTTGGTAGTCAAGACGTAGCGGCTCTGCATTGCCATGTACTCGCCGATCGGCAACTTGGCGGTCCGGACTTTGTATTCCCTAGCGCGCTTGTAACAGAGGCCCTTTTCCCTGTTCCTGTCCACTAACCCGCCTATTACATAGCTTGTGTTCGCTTCCAGCCGTTCAAGCGTATAGGGTGAATCCGAGGTGAGATAGACAACCGAGCGGTCAACATCCTCGGGCTCGGGCTCGGGCACAGCAGATGGGTCTTCCGCAGTGCCAGAATCAGGGGCAGTTGCCGGATTGCCCTCGCAGGGTTTGACCAGATCGATCACTTCGCCGCCGTGCGGGCCAGTCATTTGTTCGTGTGCGTGTCTCGCAGCCTCCAGGAAATCACCCTCGTGGATGCAGACGTTCTTCCAGTTCTCGTGGGTGTTTTTGAGCACCGTCTCGAAGCGGCTCTTGAGCTTGCCCTTCCACGAACTGATGTGCAGACTGGCCTGGTACTTGGACTTGCGATTCATGGCGTAGGACCGCACAATCTGACTCGACAGCGAGACGATCTCGGGTTCGTGCATGTATTGCTCAAAGTCGCAGTCGATAATGAACGCGACGGGTACCGGGCGGTATTTCCACGGCTCTTTTGTTGTTGTCTGCAGCACTGTGGCCGGGTCAATGCCGGCTGCCTCGGCCTCGGCGAGTTTGGCTTCCTTTTCCGCGCGCTTTCTCGCCTGGCGCTCATGCCGCTTGTCTTTGCGCTTCGCCTTGCGGTCCTCCTTGTATGCTTCCCACTGCTGCTGTCGTCTCAAGCGCTTGAGCTGATTCTTGGATATGGGCTTGTCCGCAGCCGCCTCAACATTCGCCTCGTGAGCTGTTGTCGACTCCTCGATTGAGGGCTCTTCGTCGTCGCCGCTGGCCGGGGAGGTCTTTTTGCCAGTGCGCTCGAGCTCATCCTCGGCTTTTCGCTTGCCATTGGCCACGAAGGCCGGTTCGGTATTGTCGGCGGATCCGGCAGTGTCCTCCATGTTCACGTCTCGGGCGTTTTTTGACCCAATTTCTGTTGCCATGGCTTGGGTAAGAGAGTGACGATTGGTTGTGTTGGAGTTTGACGCTAAATACCTAAGTGGAGGGTGGGGGAGAGGTGAAGCTTCACCGTAATTAATTTCTGCCACGAGATGAGGGGCAGAATCAAGCTCAGTAAGCCTTTTAGGTAAGCGGTCAATATTTGACCCCCTTGACGCGTCTCCCATGTCCCGACTTCAATTGAGGCGCGTCTTCCAACAGACCAGGGGTCGTGCCCGCCCAAAACCACCTTCTCCAAGTTCTCTTGCACCTACCCTCTGATTTCTGAAATGTCTCTTCAGGCTGCATAATCCTGATTTACACTTAGTATACGGCAGCCAAGATGTCTTCGAGACCAGAATTGAAGGTTTGCAGGATTCTTTTCCTCTTGTCATGTTGCCACAGCTGTCGCTTCAAACCAAAGCTAACAACGGTTTGGCAAAATAGGTGGATGATGAACATGGTTTCATCCGCTTTTTCAAGTCTCTTCCCCATGTCGATGAAGACGTGATACGGATTTTCGACCGGGGTGATTGGTATACCGCACACGGTGAAAATGCAAACTTCATTGCCCGGACTGCCTACAAGACGACCTCGGTCGTGCGGCAGCTTGGACGAAACGACCATACCGGCCTCCCCTCGGTTACCATGACTGCTACCGTCTTCCGCCAATTCCTCCGCGAGGCACTATACAAGCTGGGAAGACGCGTCGAGATCTGGGCAAGCCCGAATGGGCGGATGAACTGGAAGATCGTCAAGCAAGCCTCACCCGGCAACCTGCAGGATGTCGAGGAGGACCTGGGTAGCCTAGCCGAGGCTGCGCCCGTAATACTGGCTGTCAAGATATTGGCCAAGGCCTCAGAGGCTCCGACCGTAGGAGTGTGCTTCGCAGACGCTAGCGTGCGGGAACTGGGCGTCAGCGAGTTTCTCGACAACGACTTATTTTCCAATTTTGAAGCCCTGTTGATCCAGCTTGGCGTCAAGGAATGTCTCATTCAGATTGACCGAGCTGAAAAGGAGAAGGACCCGGCGTTGGCCAAGCTGAGGCAGATTATCGACAATTGCGGTGTTGCCGTGACCGAGCGACCGGCTGGAGACTTTGGTACCAAGGATGTCGAGCAAGATCTGGCAAGGCTGCTGAAAGACGAGAGGTCTGCAACATTGCTCCCGCAAACCGATCTCAAACTTGCTATGGGCTCAGCAGCCGCTTTGATAAAGTATCTCGGTGTCCTCCACGATCCTTCCAATTTTGGCCAGTATCAGCTCTACCAGCATGACCTGGCTCAATTCATGAAGCTCGACGCGGCAGCGCTCAAGGCACTCAATCTGATGCCCGGGGCGCGGGATGGTGCAAAGAATATGAGCCTGTTCGGCTTGCTGAACCATTGCAAGACGCCTGTCGGAAGCAGGCTACTTTCACAGTGGCTGAAGCAACCTCTTATGGATAGGGAGGAAATTGAGAAACGCCAACAGCTCGTCGAAGCATTCGTAAACGATACGGAGCTCCGTCAAACTCTGCAAGAGGAACATCTTAGGTCCATCCCGGATCTTTACCGCCTGGCAAAGCGATTTCAGCGCGGCAAGGCCAACCTAGAGGATGTTGTCCGAGCATACCAGGTTATCATTCGCCTGCCCGGTTTCCTCGGCACGTTTGAGGGTGTGATGGACGAAGCGTACCGCGACCCCTTGGACGAAGCCTACACCAACAAGCTCCGCGAGTTGTCCGACAGCTTGGCCAAGCTTCAAGAGATGGTAGAGACTACAGTTGATCTTGACGCGCTGGACAACCACGAATTCATCATCAAGCCCGATTTCGACGACAGCTTGCGCATCATTCGAAAGAAACTTGACCGTTTACGTACCGACATGGACAGGGAATTTGCAGATGCTGCCAGCGACCTCGGCCAGGAGAGGGACAAGAAAATATTCCTTGAAAACCACAAGGTCCATGGATGGTGCATGCGCCTAACCCGGACGGAAGCCGGCTGCATCCGGAACAAGCCACGGTACATGGAGTGCTCGACCCAGAAAAACGGCGTGTACTTCACGACCAAGACGCTCCAAGGTTATCGCCGCGAATTTGACCAGCTGTCCCAGAATTACAACAGGACGCAGAGTGGCTTAGTCAACGAGGTTGTTAGCGTGGCCGCCTCATACAGCCCAGTTATTGAGAGACTTGCGGGTGTGCTCGCGCACCTGGACGTGATAGTTTCCTTCGCCCACTGCTCCGTGCATGCACCCATTTCCTATGTCCGGCCCAAGATCCACCCCCGTGGAGAAGGCCAGACAATCCTAAAGGAAGCCCGGCATCCATGCATGGAGATGCAGGACGACATCCAGTTCATCACCAACGACGTCGAGCTGAGGCGGGACGATTCCTCGTTCCTCATCATCACCGGTCCCAACATGGGCGGCAAGTCGACCTACATCCGGCAGATTGGCGTGATCGCACTAATGGCGCAGATTGGCTGCTTCGTGCCGTGCAGCTCGGCCGAGCTGACCATCTTCGACAGCATCCTGGCGCGCGTGGGCGCCAGCGACAGCCAGCTCAAGGGCGTGTCGACCTTCATGGCCGAGATGCTCGAGACGGCCAACATCCTCAAGTCGGCCACGGCCGAGAGCCTCATCATCATCGACGAGCTCGGCCGTGGCACGTCGACGTACGACGGTTTCGGCCTGGCCTGGGCCATCTCGGAGCACATCGTCAAGGAAATTGGCTGCTTCGCCCTCTTCGCCACCCACTTCCACGAGCTGACCGCCCTGGCCGACCAGTACCGGCAGGTGCGCAACCTGCACGTCACGGCCCACATCAGCGGGACCGGCAAAAACGGCAACAACAACAGTACGCAGGACGCCAAGCGCGAGGTCACGCTGCTGTACAAGGTCGAGGAAGGCATCTGCGACCAGAGCTTCGGCATCCACGTGGCCGAGCTGGTGCGCTTCCCGGACAAGGTGGTGCGCATGGCCAAGCGCAAGGCCGACGAGCTCGAGGACTTTACCAGCAAGCACGACGCCGCTGACGCCCTCGAGGGCGGCGCCGGCTACAGCAAGAGCGATGTGGAGGAGGGCAGCGCCCTGCTCAAGGATCTGCTTGTCCGCTGGAAGGACGAGGTCCGAGCCAAGGGCTTGACGGCCGATGAGAATAAGGCCGAGATGATTGCGCGTCTGAAGGAGCTCGTGGCTCGGGATGAGAAGTTGTTGGCTAATCCTTTCTTTCAGAGCGTTAAGGCGCTGTGAAGCATGTACGTGATCCAATCTGTGCGGGGCGTATTGTATGTACATTGGGAGTGATTTGGAGCTCGTTTGGGTGGGTGTTGCTGGCGTTGGGGGATGGCGTAGGGAAGTCGGTAATACTCACTTAGAGTCCCTGTAGTGCGTTTGATACACGGGCTGGGGCAGCTGCTTTTTAAACTGTACTTGGGTGACGTGTGCCAACGGTTCATTGTAAAACATGGCGACATGATCCATTTTTATGGAAGACAAACTCACAGAACAGCGACCAGTCTTTCTTTTGCTCAGGTCATTGGCGCCTACTACTCCCTTCACCAGAGTGACATTCGCAAGTAGGCAAACCCAACACCGCGCACCAAGACCAAGTGAACCCAGCCAACCGCTACAGAAATTGGGAGATGCTGTGTTGTACCGTCGCTTGCCAATGAGATATAACGGCTGAACAAGGCAAGAAAGTAATAGCAATACTACTGCAGGCTCATCAGGTGCCATACATCCGCTGCAAACAACAAGCAGAAGGGGTTAATCAACTCCGCTCGAACGCTCGAGTTGCCTGAATGATCCGACATTGTCTAAACTAAACCTTGCATACCCTCCCCTCCCAGGACAACCGAACCGGGGCCCAAACCGTTCCTTAGTCTATACCACAGACCCTCCTCTAGTTAGCCGAGTACGCAGGGAGCGGCTCGATATGCGCGAGCGCAGCCGTCCTGTCTCCCCCGTCGACCATGACAACGTCCTCAACCGACCCTTGGGGCTGCTCCTGCTGCTGCTGCTGCTGCTGCTCCGGCGGCGGCGCCGCTGGAGGTACCTGCTGCCGACGGCGGGGGATGCTGACGAGGTTGTGTACATCCTCCGCCCGGACATAAGCGAGGTAGTAGGGCTCGCCCTTGGTGTTGAGCTGCTCAAAGACGAAGTCAGCCGGGTGCACCGACACGGTCGTGTCGTTGTACTTTCGCCAGACGTCCTGCTCAAAGTCGTGGATCCAGACCCAGTAGTGGCCCGCAGAGGCGCTTGAGCCCGCGTGGCAGACGACGGCGTGCAGCCGATAGGCGACTTGCTGGGAGCCGCTAAAGAGTTCAGCTCGCTCGGCAATCAAGCGGTCTCTTTCGTCAGCCTCCTCTTTGCCGAACTTGGTCCAGAACTCGTCGAGCACTGATGGTGTTAGTTGCAGGCTCCTATCTGCGCTCGGTTGTGGCGGTGGCATGGCGGATGCCTCGATGTTCTCAGGCTTATCAACGCCGTATTTCCCTAGCAATGCCTCGATGGCTGGGTCGAGCTCCATCTTATCCGCAGCCAGTCCTGCGTTCACGTTGCTAGTCGCGGCCGGCGACGAGTCTCCGCCTGGCGCATCTAGGTGTCCTATGACCAGAAAGTCGTCAACCTCGTTGATGGAGAAATCGTCTTGCGCTGTAGACTTCGAAGGGCCTTCAGCAACACGGGCATCGACCTTGGCCGTTCCAGGGGCCTCGCCGGCCACGGCCTGGGTAAGCTCGTTCAGCCTGGTCTTGATATCCCACCTGCGCTTCCTGGCTTTGGAAAGCGGCGAATCATGGTCGCCAGAATCCATGAAGCGGTCGAGATACAGTGTCTCGGGTATGGTGATCGGATTCGTGTTCTTCCTGACACCGTCGGAACGCTGAATGCAGATGTGGAAATGCGGCGCCGGCGTTTGGATGGTTGTAAACGACAGCAGATCGCCAGGCAGACGCTCAAGATCGAACGAGTTCTCTAACGCGTCGTACAGGTCCCGAGGACCTGACTGAGCCGGGTATGCTGTCACCCAGCGATCCAACCTCTTGGTCCGATTCCACTCGGTCTCGCCGATTTTCTTCCGGTTGTCGATAAAGGTCGAGAAGAAAGCCCACTCAATGGGATCACGCACGTCATCTGAGCCAATGTGGGCAACCTTGAAGGCGGCCCGGAGGTGATCAATCGCATTGCCCATCACTTCATCAACGTCCATTTGGTCGGACCCGACGTTGGGCTTGTCAAGCTCGGCGGCGAGCTCTTCGACACTCAACTTCGAGGTCTTAGTCCCTCCATCCCTCGGGTGGTCGTCAGCAGTATTGGCTGGGGCTTGCTCCTCGTGGCTATCCTTAGGTGCGGCATTGTCCTTCTCTTGGGTGATCAGCGAGACTTCTTCATCAGCCGGGTTCACCAATGTTTGCGCGCTGTCGGGGCTATCAGTATCGGACTGTTCTGCTTCCACCATTGGTGCAAACGGAATCTTTGGGTTGGAGCCTTCACCCGCGCGAGGCGGTAGTGGCGGCGCGTCAGTGTTGCTTGAAACTTCCGCAGGCTTGGCACCCGAAGACGTGGGACGCAGCTTTTCTGGTCTCAATAAAGCAGCGTTGGCAAGACGTTGCCTCGGAGATATTGACTTTGTCCCGCACTCATCGAGCTCCTTGAAAAGAGTGCCCAGTTCGCGAGTAACTAGAGATTGCGCTTAGTATCAGGACAATGGGATCGAAACGGCGAAGGTGGCTTACACTCATGGCCAACAAACGCTCTGCCCGTCTCCAAGCTGGGCTCCTTCTGGCTGCTGCTGTCACCGTCATTCCCACGCAGCAAATTACTCAGGTTCGGCTCGGTGGGCTCAAGTGGGGCCAGATCAGTATTCAGAGCTAGATTTCTGACCGCGTTGACCGAGTAGAAATACTGGAGTATGCTGTTGAGATAGCACGTGTTCCGGAGATTGGCTAGGCCAACCGGGAGATCTACATCTCCATTCCCGGGGCTCGGAGAATGGGGAAGATCAGCCGGGCTAGATTTGCGGCTCGACTGAAGCTCTGTGACCATTCGGCTGAAGGCTTCACGGTTCGGGTCGTCCATTGGTCGACTGGCAGCAATGGTCTCGAGGGCCAGGAGGACAAGCTCTGGATCGATCTCTGGATCCTGTTCTGCCTGTTCTGCCGTCAGCTCTACACAGTATTGCGACCATTGTTACTAGCTGCACATCAAGACATACCGATACCAAGCTCTGTGCAGTAGCTGCGATGCTGTCCAGGGGCCAGCTGTCCTCCACACCCAAGTATTGGCAAGCCTCGGACAATTCCATATTCTTTCGAAACACCTCATCCTTAATTTCCTGGTTGTCCAGATATGTCGCGATCATTCCTAGGGCTTGGCGGTGGGCCGATTTCTGTGCCGGGGCCTGTTCTCTGTAGTTCCTGTACACACCGATGAAAAACGATGCTGGCTCTCGCCGATCTTTGGAGAGACCGAAATGCGCAAAGGCTTTTTCAATGGGGTCAGCAGGAGAGACTGATGCGTTTGTGCTTCTATGTTTCTTTTCAAGCAGCTCCTGCTCGGTGAAAACAAACATCTGCAGTTCCTCCCCCCTGCGACGGGCTATGTTCCCGAGCGCTCCTAGATAGAGGGGTATGTGCTCTGCATTTATCTCCGTCTGCCTTCTGTACGCAAATTTAAGCATGGCATCATCCGCATTGACGGGCGCCCCCAGGGTCCGGAAATGTTGCGCCTCGCTGTTGTCGACAGGTAATGGGCTTGCACTTTCGGGGACTTTGTCACATCCAAGGGCCTTTTCCAACTGATCACGAGCCGAGAACAACGGCCGGACCACCCGCTGTCCATCCAGAGGAGGCCTGTCATCAAGCACGCTCTGCACTTCGCTCCTCACATCTTCATAAAATGCTCTGGGGGAACCGAGAGCTGTTTTGCCCTCCTGGGGAGTCAACCGCGGCGGGATCCAGTAAGTGTCGCGTGTTTCGTCGTCATACTGTTCCTTGAATCCCAGGTATTGGAAGATGGGCTCGCATGACCGACCGAACTGTACGAAAAACGTCTTGTTCCGAACAGCAATCCGCTTCTGAGGGCCGGTGCCGTCATCGTCCAGTACATTTCTCAGGTATGTGTTCAGGGTTGAGAGGGCACCTGTCATGTAAGCCCTCTCCTTCTCAGGTGTCAAATCTCCATATCGTGTTGGATCTTCTTCCTTGGCAATCCTCAGCGTCTCCTTGATCCTCCGCTCGTCCATAATCAGCTGAATCCAGTCCGGTTTCAGCCGGGGTAGGGTTATCTCTAGCTCGACGGTCATATTGCAGAGTGAACAGAGGTATCCCAGCCGGCCCTTGAGTGGATACAGCTTGCGAGATTCTTCGCCATAAACGGTGGAAGAGTCCACATCATACCATTCAAAGTTTTGTTCAAGAAGATGGTGCTGCAGATGCGCTGTGTTGGCCTCATGACTGCCTGGCGTGACCCTGAAGATGAAGTGATAGCGACAGTACCTGCACATGCAGGACACCAAGGTTCGGCCACGCATCTCTGGGTCGTGGGCCTCATCGTAACTCTGGGACGGGATGAAGAGAAGATCATGGTCGGAACCTGCGTTGGGAAAGGGAGGAAACACTCGCAACGTGGGGCACTCTGTCGGGGGCCCATTGTGGTCGTCTAGCTGCAGGATTCCAGCAAACCAGTCCTGAATGAGCCGGGAGGCTAGACGGCCGCCTGCATTTAAGCGTATGAGTATTGCGGTCCATTGTCATCTACCAGGGGAGCAGTGCTTGTACTTACCGCCGCTCGGCACTCCTTGATCTTCCCCAAACTCCACTGTTGGCGAGGGAGTTAGAAAACTGACGAAAGAGAATGGCCATTGTACCAAATGGGATGGAACGAGGTTGCAGGATTGCTTACTTGTATCCCTGCCTCTGGTTTCAACGGTCTCAGAATTAGAAGTAAACCGTCACTTCCAAAGACAACTGATTATTGGAACGAAGTTGCTAAGCTCGACTTGGAAAGGGCAGCTGGCGGGTGGCGGCAGAATCCAAAAGGGAATTCAAGTAAGATTCTGCAGGATGAGGTTAAGACTTGTTCCCTGCTGCCGAAAACTGCCAGATTTACAAAGCAACCTAGGGTGAGGCAGGTCCAAGAGTGCGTTTGCTCAAAGAGAGTCGTTGATGACAACTGCGATGACGCGCGTCTCCGGCAGGCAAGGACCACGACCAGGCCGCAGAGGCGAAGGTCTAAGAACGAAACTCCTTCGAAATTCGCGAGAATGAAACCCCCAGTTGGATAAGGTAAGGCAGTTGAACATGCTTTTAGATCATGTCTGTTGCAGGAAGCTTATGCCGCTGCGCAACCGATAGAAGGACTCAAATTCCAAGTGGATAACTCGCCTCGCCTCAGCTGAAGCTTTGCAGGAACCAGCCGCAGGAAAGAGAAGTCTCTGCTGTTCTGAGACCAGGTTTACTTTCGGCGATCAGTGCCTCCTTCTTCCATGACAAGTGCGGAAGGTACTGACTTATGTGAGAGTTGAGATGAAGGGCTTTGATGAAGGCAGTTTGGGCAAAAAGAGCAGCAAATCGCTGGGCTGGCGAATCACGGGGCAGCTGGTGTAGAGCACGTACCCCCGCTGGCAGTGAGGTCGTCGATCTGCAACTGCAACTTGTCAGGCCCCGCTAAAAGCGCCTCATCGGCCAATCAAAGCCCATCAACTGCCAGCCCTGGCGAGCTCGGCGCCGCTCGCTGCAGTGGGCCCCAGCTTCCAACTCCATTCCAAAACGTTCAATTGCTCGACACTCGCTTCACCACTTTGTTCAAACCCAGCTTGATCGTTCCGTCTCTCCACCATCAGCCGGCAAAATGGCGGGGAGTGACGACGACCATTATCATCCCAAGGATGCAATCCACGCGGGTCTCTACGGCACGCTTGTTGCGGGAGGTACTGGTCTCCTGTTCGCAGCCGTAAGGAACTCGCTCGCCGCGAAGAACGTCGGGCCCTGGACCACCTTCACCAAGCATGGCGGCCTCATTGCTACCTTTGGTAGGTTCTGCTACTGCCAATCCGCGTACACATGTACCCTTGGTTGTCGCTAACCATACGTGCAAAAACAACAAGCTACCGTCGGCGGTGTCTACGAATTCACAAAAACGGCTTCTGCGAACCTGCGCGAGAAAGAGGACCAATACAACGAGGCCATCAGTGGTTTCCTCGCAGGTGCCACTATGGGCGTTACAAGTAAGCTCAGAGCAGGTTCTCCTTTGGTCGGCGGCAGACACAACTGACCAGTTCGACTCCGTCGCAGCGAGGCGGTTGCCGCGCGTTTTCGGCTACGGCGCCTTGTTCAGCGTGGCCTTGACGGCATACTATTACACAGGTGGCACTCTGAAGGGGGCGTTCCGATCTGGGGAGTTAGACGAATATGAGCGGAAAGAAATGATGCGCAAGAATAGGAGGCGGCCTATCGAGGAGACATTGGCCGAGATTGGAGAGGGACGAGGTGAGCACCAATTTTACGTCAAATACTGTGAGGAGTCCATGCAGTTCTTGCTCATTGTGCTGACATTCTTTAGGTATCCGGCCACCGGGGTACGAGGAGCGGAGGCGAGAGAGACTAAAGGAGAAGTATGGGATTGAGATCAACACCGTCTCCGCGGATCCTGACGCCGCCTGAATTATCCCTGGGTAGCCTACTGCGGGCATTGTAAACATAGCAGAAGACTTGGCGACTAGCCGCCTTGGAGAATTTGAAGGCTGTATATACCAGTCGTCTTTGAGGAGCCTGCTGTGAGGTGCCTTCCGTTTACGTCTCTCCCCACGGTACGTCTCTTTAACGATGTCTGCGTTGACTTCTCCCCCTCCGCTCCCATGATGATTTCTCGCAAGAGGCTGTTTATGATTCTGAAATGATTATAAACTATCACCTACATTGTTCTATTTCTGAGTCAAACACCGAGCATAAAGCTTTTCCTCCTACTGTCCGATTTCAGCAGATTGCTAACCGTAACCGTCATTCTATAGCTCGACCCTGGAATCTAGCTGCTCCTGAAACCATTGCTCAGTTGCAGCCCTTCCCTCAAGGTATGATCACGCCCTCACTATCCCCTTATCTCCTCAGACCTATGATGAATACTCGCAAGAGGCTGTTTATGAATTACACATGATTATAAACTATCACCTACATTGTTCTTTATCCTGAATTCCACTCTGTAGTTATCTGCCACTTGAGTTTGCCGGGCCTCTGCTTGCCAGCTGCTAACTCTCATTCATCTAGTCCATCGTCACATACATTGCTCGAAAGCACCGCGCCGACGGCCCAGCCTCGCGGCAGCTACCTTTGCCTGGCAGCTAGCTATCCGCCCTGCATCATATTCACTGACCCTGGCACCATCAGTTGTCTGTAACGAGTCATGTCCTATCTCGGGACAACCCCTACATGCGTACAGGTACTTCCGAGTCCGCTCGCTGTCTGCAATCTTCTCCTTTCTGCCAAACCGAGGTGATGTCTTGATCTGGCCGTGTCTCGGCAATTAGCCTATGTTGGAGCATATAGCTTTCTATGCAGTATCCCACTCAATCACCATCATTGGCGATAGATATGAATGGCATGTAGGTTCTATGTCGCCTGAAGTCTCGACCAGGATCAGGATGTCGCAACCACGAAAGCGGTTGGTGTGTATGTTTTGCAAGGCATTTCGGTGCGCGAGTCACAGCACGAGGGCAATATATCAATAGACAAAGCATCTTGGGCATACTACATCGCTTATTCGCTGCGCCGGTCCGTCTGATCGACGATGCTATTCCTAAAGGATAGCTAACGTTCTTCATACAGAATAAAAGTTGCACACGAAAGGCTGCCAACAAGCACCTATCAAAGACAAAGATTGAAGATGAACGCCACCCAGTTAGGAAATCGGATATACAACATTCGTCTCCTCGCCATATCCTAGAAGCCCAACTTCCCTATCTTGTCTTGTCTTACAACCTAGCCTCAAGCCCCGACACACCTAGAAAAGAAAACATAGATTACAGCTTCATACCCAGCGCCTTAGCCACCCTCATGCTCTGCCTGATGCTAAGGTCAAGCATAATCTCCTCGCTGCCACCGGGGATGGCGTAGGCGCGGACGTCGCGGTAGAGGCGTTCTACTTTTCCGCCCTGGCCGCCGCGCGAGTACGACAGGCCGCCAAAGATCTGCGAGGCCTCGCGGGCGCAAAACTCAAACGTCACCGTGGCCTGGGCCTTCAGACCCGCAATGGGCCCGCCCAGGCGCAGCATGGCCTCGGTCTCGCCCATCTTCTGGCACTGGTAGATAAGATTCTCGAGCCAGTTGTAGCTGGCCTCGATCTGGCGGGCCATGTGGGCCAGCTTGAGGCGGATGACGGGATGGTCGATGAGCTTCTTGCCGAAAGTCTTGCGCTTGTTGGCGTACTTGACCGACTCCTCGTAGCACACACGCGAGAAGCGCAAGCACTGGATGATGATGCCGATGCGCTCGTGATTGAAGTTGGTCATGATGACCCGGAACCCCTGGTTCTCCTTGCCGATCAGGTTCTCGACGGGCACCTTGACGTCCTCAAACGTGATGTACGTGGTCCCGCTCGACCACACGCCCTGGCAGTCCATGCGGCGCGTCGAGACGCCGCCAAAGTCGCGCTCGATAAGCAGCAGTGATACGCCGTTCATCCCGGGCCCGCCGGTCCGCACGGCCGTGGTGAAGTAGTCGCACCAGATGCCGTTTGTGATCCACTTCTTCTCGCCGTTGACAATGTAGTGCTTGCCGTCCTCGCTCAGCTTGGCCTCGCAGGTCAGGTTGGCTACGTCACTGCCGGCGTCGGGCTCCGTGATGGCCAGGCAGATGCGCTTGTCGCCGTTGAGGATGCTCGGAAGGATGCGGTCGACGAGCGACTTCTTGCCGAACTTGACGAGCGGTGGGCAGCCAATGCCGAAACCACCGATAACGTTCCAGACGAAACCGCCCGAGCCGGTGCGGCTGAGCTCGTCCGTGATCAGCATCTCGTGGAAGAGATCCCACTTTTCAGGCGGGACGGATTTGACGACGTTGTTGGTATGGTCCTTCTGGTACTTCGTGCCCAGCAGACCAGCTAGATACCCGCGACGGCCCATTTCCTTGTAGATTTCGGGAGGAACCTGCTTCTTCTCGTCCCACTCGGTGACGTTGGGCTCGATTTCGGTCTCAATCCATTCCCGTATCTCGGCGCGCAGGGCAGCATGGGTCTCGTTGAAGTACGGGGAGTGGTACTGCAGGGTGCAGTTGTTAGAAACTCGGTGCATACATTCGACCAAAAGAGCGCTTGGAACTTACACTCTGGTACCAGCTGGGGTCGGCAAAAGGAATTTGCTGGCCGAATGGCTCGAGGGGCTCGGCTGTCTCGGTAGGGGCCGCCGCCGCGGCCTCTGGCTTGGGAGCCTCCTTCTTCGGGGCAGGTGTCGGCGCTGGCGGAGCGGCGGACTTTGGCTTGCTGTCTAACGAGCCAATCTGTAACTGCTTCTGGTATTTCTTGAGGATACCCTCGTTGTGGTATTTCCAAAACTGCTTGGATGCATCCTTGCCTGCCACCCGCTGGAGAATCTTCTTGCCGCCTGTTTCAATACATCTCCATGTCAGGCCAAGGGAAAACACCGGCGGATGAACTGTAATGGAGAGATACGCACCTGGGTGGTCGTCTTGAAATTTGGTGAGATCGTAGACGTCACCGTCGACAATGATCCAGAGGGAGTCGGCCTTATTATGCGACGCAACGTCGCTCTGAGTAAATGTCTTGGACATGGTAGCAAACTGTACTGGGTATATCCTCGAGACTGAGATGAAAGGAAAGAAAGAAAAGCGATGAATGTGTATCGGGATGGAATACAGGTAGCGTTGAGAGGACGAAGGAAGTTCAATAAAGGTTTACAGTAGGGAAACTGGGAAGACGTGGGCCGCTCGGGGATGGGCAATCACATGCAACGGAGTGCCGCTGACACTGCACCCACCCCGGAAGCGTCGAATCTGGGGTACAAGCGCCTCAGACAAGAGAAACGTAGCTGATTCGGCTTGCTTAAAACCGCTGGACGCTCATCCATACCATATTATGCCGTCGATAGATTCTTTAATTAGGGAACCCTGCTTTACAATTCTTCGTCTTTAGTGACCCCTACGGATCCCGTTCCCCCGATTCAAGGCTTCAAGCTGATTCTCTCTACATATCGATCTCAAAACCTCCCAATTGTATTTTACCCTTCCCTCAAAGAGTTCACGCTGCGCAAAGCAATCCTCACTTTACCACTTACCACTGCTCAGAACAGCCCCGAGTCCGGACGGTCAGCATCTTGTCTTCAGTGTTGGTTGACCGCAAGGCGCATGTGACAGCAAAGCCCTGCATCTGCCGCCCGCAGACCCAAAACGGCAACGGGTGCGTGGGCTCAGTGGGTTGTCCTCGGCTGATGTCATGACACTCGCACACGCTGGCCAATGGCCGCGGGCCGGATTACAACCGCAGCGAAACTGTGCCGAGGCACAAGACAACCCCCTGCAACCCCACATTCGATTCATTAACCGACTGGGGAATTGGCTGCACGCGACTCGCTCGCGTGGTGACTGCCAACTGGTGAGGCCGAGATTCGAGCTCTGTCAAGGAGGTTGTCGAGAAGCGGGCTTTACACGTAAGAAAGGGGCCTCGATAGGTACGCATAACAGCGGAGGTGACAGGCCTTAGTTCCATGCCCTGTCCGAACAATGCGACAATGCGACAAGCCGGATACGGAATGTCACGTTTGTAACGCTCAGTTAATGTTGACAACTAGTTGAAGGTTCCAAGGATATATCGCGATGTTGCCAAGGTGCCAGTCCTGCAAAGCAGGTGTGTAATGAATACCGTCTTTCAAGTTGCAGATTCCGCCCAGCTACCAATCACCCAGCCCTCAACACCACTAACGCCGACCAGCCAATATTCCCCCCCTAGCAAAAGCAAAGTGTAGTCAAAGCACCTCGATCCAGAGGCGCTGTAGAACCCCAACCCGACCGCGTAAAACTGCATGCAAAAGCAGACCCCCAAGCCTAGGCGTGACCGCCTTAACTAAGCAGTACCACGTGGCTTAGCCTTAGCCTTAGCCTTCTCCTTCTTCTCCTCCTTGAGCTTCTTCTTCTTCGCCTCCGTCTGCTCCTCCAGCTTGCGCTTATGCGCCTTCTTCTCCTCCTCCGTCTTGGGAACAACCTTAAAGAAACCCTCAATCCTCGACTGCTGCGAGCTCTTCAGAGTCTTCTCGAGCCGCGCGCCGCCCGCCCGGACCCTGTCCTCCGAAAACCCCTTTTCATGCACCAGAAACTGAACCAGCCCCTCAATGTCCGGTTTCTCCCACTTGAAATCACACAACGGGTCGTCTGCCTGGCGCACGTCGGGCGAGAAAAAGAGCTCCCGCGCGTCCTCGAACGGCCAGTCTTCGGGGATTGTGTATCTGCCTTTGGGGTCGTTCTTCATGAACTCAACCACCTTCTCGAGCGTGCCGTGTTCGCGGATCAGCTTCAGCGCCGTGTGCGGGCCGACTTTGGGGATCGGGTCGAGATAGTCGCAGCCTAGCAGAATGCAGAGGTCGACGAACTGCGGCCATGGTAAGATATGACTGTTAGAACATTGGAGGCAATACCACACCCGATCCGGGGGAAGGGGGGTGCGCACCTGTTTCCTGTCCATATTCAGCCCCTCCAAAACCTTCTCGACGTGAATTTCCTGGATGGGCTCCTTGCGTTGCTCGCTAAAGGTAAGGTGGCGAAGGAGGATGGGCGCGTTGAAGCAGAGCGTATCCATGTCCTCGCTTGCCGCAGCATAAACTTTCCCGGCGCGCGCGAGGACGGCGCATTGCGCCTCGGCCTCGGTAGGGGCGATGATGTAGGGGATGCCCATGAGTTTGAGCAGGCGCTGGCACTCGGCGTTGTGTTCCCTCGTGACACGGACCGTTCTCCGCGAGAATTTCTCAACGTCCTCGGCCGTTCCCGTCTCTTTGGCTTCCTCGAGCCCCTCGTTCGCTTCCTGTTTCCTCTGAAACCGCCTGGCCAACTCGCCCGACTTGAGCTTGGGCGGGGCGCCGTCAAAGACGTAGAGCGGCTTGATCCCGTTGTCGACTATGCGGAGGGTGCGGTAGAACATGCCCATGAGGTGGGAGGTCGTCTCGCCGCTTTCGTTGGTGAGCATCTGGCCGTCGGAGCGCACGGCGATCAGGAAGCTGTAGATGCTCATGGATCTGTCGACTCGTTAGCCAGGGGCAGAAGCGAGCCGGGCGGCTGTCAGGGTTCGCACGCGTCCTGGTCTTCAGTTAGCTTAAATGAAAATTATCAATCAAGCGAAATTCATGGCGTACAATTGCGACCTTGCGACCGAACTGATTCTTGATCTCGCCTTCCTTGATGGCATCTGGAGCTTCCTCCTTAATGATCGAGAAGAGGTTTTTAATTCCCATTGTTTCAGGGGTTATCTAGACTGCAGGATTCCGTGAGGGTGGTATCGCTTGGTTCAGTTCCTGCAGATGTCGTTGGTGACCGTGATGGTTTCGGATTGAGTTGGTGGTTGGTCGGGTTGCCGTGATGTCACTCCCACGTTAACGCGTCTGGAACGGAAAGTCGACTCAGAAGGAAGGGACGCGAGAGGCGCCCCTACGCGCAGCAATAAAAAAGTGGGGCACTTAAACCCTCGCGTTTTGATGTTCAGGGGTTGAGGAATCGGAACGCTCTGGCGATTCGAAGAGCGATTAGAAGCTAGCTCCGAATCATGAAGATCTGCTTCTAAAACTATCTTCAGAGATGACTCAAGGTAGAGTAGCCGGCAGAATAGGAGAAATAGGTACAGTGTATCTGAAGTGAATATGTATGTAACAAAAGGCTACAAACGTGTACTGCTTCTCTTTAATGTCATCGCCCAGGATATCTACTAATTATATCGTCATCCAAATACTGCATGCAGAAAACACGAGGCACCATCAATACTCGACTCTGGCCAGGCCGGTCCAGTTCGCACTTCGTCTCCCCGCCAGGCCCCTTGATAGACGCTATCTCTTGAATGCTACCTCAACGAAGGCATCAGCCACAAGGCGACTTCTAGGTACGGCAGCTTCTCCCAGAACCGCCTACACCAGCTGTTCTCTCTCGAGCCTATTCCAGCGGTCGGGTGTTGATGTATCGGAGGAACATAAAGCAAAAGTCGAATGCGGTTGGCGTCCGGTATAATTGATGAACATGGATGCACAGAACTAGCTTTAACTTTCCTCGTATGCCCTCAACAACGTCGCTCGGCGAGATAGGTATATCTCCGATAGCCAAGAGGTGGAGAGGGTCCGCAGATGATTTAAAAATTCTCCTTGCCCCAAACAAAGTTGAACCTGTACATCTCTCGGTCAGCACACGGCACTAGTAAAGGAAAATCGAACGGCTCTAACTTACCCAGGCTCACTGTACTTGTTGCAAAAGATGTGTAGTGTGCTACCCAGGCCCTTGGGACCGCAGAAGAAGACGCCCGCCTCGGCCGGGGTGTGAAGTTTCCTAATCCCCCTGAAAATCATATCCCAGTTGGGGCGGCCAAAGTTGGTTGGCGATCGCAGGCCGGTAATGGTATCCTTGTCCGCGTTGGCGTCGTTGATCATGATGTTCGTTGCGTCGTCAACCTTGATCTTGGCCGTCAAGTAGGTGTGGATCTCGATGCGGTTTTCCATGTCCTGCGCCTCAATCGCCAGAAGGAGAGAGCGGAACCACTCAAAGGAGCCAAAGTCTCGGCAAATCCAGAAGAAGTAGACCTTGCTCAGCCGCGTCTTCTTTTTGGGGTAGTTCATCCGGTACCATATAGATTTCAAGATGGAGGCGAACGGCGTTACGCCGATACCAGCGCCGCACAAAATCGAGATCTCGTACTTGAACACGTCCTCCGAAGCGGAACCAAAGGGACCATCGACATAGACCCGGGGCAGCACCCGCCGGAGAGCAGGGTCCACCCCGTTGTTGTCCTGATCGACCCCGACGACCTTGGACGTGTCACCCTTCTTGTCGCCCTTTTTCTTGTCGAACTCGCAGCCCAGCGTCTCGGCAAGTTGTCTCGTAAAGTCACCCACGACTCGCATATGGATCGAAATGTAGTCCTCCTCCGGGGCGCTGGTCAGGGTAAAAGGGTGATACTGCCACAGGGACACGGCAGGGCAGCAGAGGAAGATGTACTGGCCCGCTCTCGTCTTGGTGTGCTCCTTCTTGATCTGAATCTCGCAAACGTTGCTAGGGTGCTGAATGACCTTTGAGATGTACGTCTTGTGCCGGCCACGGACCTCACGAGCAATGCGCTCAGCAAGATACGCAAAACCACCGTACATCCAGTACTGCCAAAACACGCCGATGGCCTGAGAACCGAATGAGGTGCAGAAGGGCGCGAAGTCGGGCTGGATCATGCAGAAGGCGCCGTGGATGGCCCAAAAGAAGAAGAAGACGATAAACATGTGGTGCGTGTACCAGAACCGCTCGTAGTTGGCCCGCCTTGTCTTTTCGACCGATGTGATCACCATGCCCGTCAGCGCAATCAACATGATGTACCCCGTCCAGCCCGGCCCCGACACGAAGTTGGCGAGCAGGAATCCATAGAATCCCAGATTGTTCTTGGCCGCGACCTGCGCAAAGTTGTTCCAGTGGGCAATCGTGTGTACCCAAGAGAAGAAGAAAATGGACCAGGCGGTGACGATGTGGAATGTGATGTTCTTGTCAAACTGGATGATGCCGTTGAGCGGAGTCTGTCTGGCCAGCGAGATGAGTGTCCGACAGACTGGGAAAAGGATTAGTGCAACGTCGACATGGAGGACAAGTGCCGCAGATCTGGCTATCATGAATGTCGGGCCGAAAGTATCTCGCGCAACCTGTAAGTTTTCTTTAAGGGCGTAATTGACGAAGCTGAAGGCGAAGACGATGGCGTGGAGGAGCATAAATACGAAGACGAAACTGAGATACGGTCAGCTAACACCCCGAGATAAGGGGTCCCATGGCAAAGGGGAGGTGCAAACTGCCTACATTCGCCGGTAGCCTTCATTGACCATCCACCGATCGAACTTTTCCCGCGGCGTCAATTCCTTTTGTCGCTCCTGCGTCATCTCGCCCGAGAGCAACATTCGCGTGAGTGGCGTCCATCTTGACCGCTCCGACTGCTTCATTGACCCCGGGCTACCCCCATAGCCGTAGCCGCCGCCGTAGTCGTCGTAGCCCGCCATGTCGCGGTGATGACTTTGTCTTTTCGCGATATTCGGGCGCACTTGTCCACGGGCTCCGCAAAGCCTCCCTTTTCAAAAGTCCTGCCTCTTGACCCCTCGACTTCTCGTGTCTCTTAAACCCTCCACTGGGGCGTCCCGGTTCTCAGCCCGTTTCCAACAGTCCAAACACAGTCAAGCCAAGCCTCGATAGGAATCGGAATTGTAAAACTCGGAGTCAGAACCTGCTGAACCGGCAGAAAAGACCCATCTAAACGACAGTCGAGAAGCGTAGTGGTCGAACAATAGTAAGGAACGGATATGGAGCCTGCATTTGCCACAGGGGCAGGAAGGCGGTGATGGTCAGCAACCACACACCTACTTTGGGAAGCCGCACGACGCCGAACAAGGACAGCGAAAAAGAGAAGGAGGGGGAAGGGAAGGCCGACAAAACATCCAGGCGCGGGCGGCCGGTTGGGTTAAGAGAGGTGCCAAGCAGCGAACCAAGCAGAAACATGGGGTGATTTCTGTAGATCATACCTGTCCACAAATGCCAGTCCTTTTTCGGCGGCGGCTGCTTTCGCCAGGTACAGTAATTACTCCGTATGGATCACAGGACTGGAAGAGCGGCCAGGCCACTGTCGAACAAGCAGGGAAGAGACGAATCGAAGAAGAATAAAACGTGTCTGGATGGTAGGAAACCAACGGCAAATAGCTCGGGAAGTGGCACAGCAAGCTGGCGCAGGGAGAAGTATCGAGACCCTACGAATGGAAACTTGGGGGTGGAAAGGTGAAGGGGAAGGAAGGCGGCCAGGCCATTCACTACGTAAGCGGCAATAGGAGTCTTCAGAATCCAGGCGCCAAGAAGGGGTCCAGGTTCCAGCATGTAAGGGAATGTCAAAAAATCGAACGGTTTACCCACGCTGTCGAAACAGACATGCCGAATTGCGCTTCCCAAGTGCAACGTTGGGGCTCTGCGGCTAGGTAGTGTAGGAATTGAAAGTCCATCTCCGCCACTTGCAGGAAAGCTTTCACAACTGGCGGAACATGCCTCCAAGGTCAGCGCTAGAAATTGTACAGTACATACAGGTCATGTTCTGTTATTCTCTGCTAAAGTTACAACCTGGAAGGTCAGCAATCGACGCTTACTTGCGCCGGCACAAACGTATTGTACTTGTACCGAAACAGCCTCTCGAGTCCAATGTCCATTCATACCTTAGGTGGGTTGACGCCGCTGGGCTGGCAGTGGCACCTAGCCCAGGGCTCAGTGCGGGATCTCGCGAATGATCAGACAGATCACCCGGCAAGGTGCGAGTGGATAATGGCGCCACTTTCGAGAAAGGCCAGACCCTTACAGAGTATTACACAGTAGTTCTGCTTCATCAATGTCTCCTTGTCTGGCGAAGCGCTGTCGAGGATTCGCGAGCAAGTCGTATCGTGTGGTCGGCACTCAGCGACAAGTTTAGGCGTGGCGCCGGGGGGCTTGCTGCCAAGACCAGTCGAACCAGCCCAGCATTGTTGTAACTTGATTGGCTATGGACGGCCAAGTGGAGTGGGTTGATGCGGTTGTCGTTTCGGCCCAGGATCCTGAGACAGACGCAACGATTCAGGAGACGGGAGCAGCCAGTCAGTCTGTGACTCTGTTGCACCTCGCACAATGCTCAATGCTCAAGGTTATTGGGCTGGCCGCTGCTTTGTCATGGAGACGCAATGGTTGAAGGATGCTTTCCTCCTCGGCCATTTCCAAGACCGTACCTCCTTATGTACCTTACTTTGATGAGTTGTGCGCCACACTGTTGTCGAACTTTGAACTTTCAGCTTGGGAGCCAGGCACACTATCATAGGGGTAGTCGTATAGGGGTAGGACTGGCCTCACTTGCAACGGCAGGTAGCCACAACATTCCGAGGGCGGTAATTGAACTGAGCGACATGCCACTGGCAACTCTTGAAGTGATCATTACCAGGCCTCTTTTGATGGATGGTAGGTCCAAGACTCTAAATCACTGTGTATTGTCCAAGTGCCTGGGCAACATCTCGTCATAATGCACCATCCCCAGTATCAACAAGTTCCTCGCCCTGTCTGTATGCAGCTCACCTCAGCATCCCGTTCATCTCAAGCTGGTGACCAAAGTGACCCTCGGAGCATAATAAGCGCGCAATCATCCCTGGGCAGATTTCAGATCTCGGGCTTTCTCACAATCTCACTGCAGGTCAGTTGTCCCGGCAGGCCGAGACCAGCCAGGACGGGCATCCAAGTTGGGTCTTTCCTTCACGCTGATCCATTGAAATATTCATCACATGACCGGCGGAGACACACAACCATTGACACTGACGGTGCAAGTCGTTGAATGTTTGGTAGCTTCAAGTGTATGTATGTCCGTGTACTGTAAACAATGATACCCGACCTAGGATATTTCTCCCGGCAATGCTGTCATTTCTACATAAAGCCTGGCACTGAGCACTCACTGCAGCGCTGACTCGGCATTCCAGCCTCCACGGATAGGGCTCAGATCGAGGCATGGTGAGGCAAACAGTAACCATCATCTTCCGTGAGGATAGCTAGAGCGCTGTGCCTTATCCACGAAACCCCCACAACTTGGCGATGGGCACCATGAAATTAGCAATAACGTAGGCGACAGAGAAAGTCGGTTCCCTTGATGCGAACTATACCTTACCGGACTTCTAGGAGTTTGAACACGGTAACTGTGGAGGCTGTTCTGTCAAGGGGTGTCTAGATGCAATTTGGGGGATATGTAAGGTAGGTACGTGACACGCTTGAGTTCAACACGCTGTGTTCCAAGTGATGGGGACAATCAAGACTGAATGCATTTACCGAAACTTTCCCAATTTCCTGGCTAGGGGATGCAAGTGTGATTAGAGTGCCGATGACCCATGATACCTCACCACCCCCTCCAAGCCCCGTCCATCGACCAGCTTACGTGCCGGCTTCCGGATCGCAATCCGCTCCCATCCCGCGAAACTCAAAAGGCGCCCACCACCCGCATTGCAAGCCGGATGGCAAGCCTCCTTCAGGGAATCGAACCTCTGTGGCTGCGGCGCCTACGAGGATGCCAGCAAACCGGGACAGCCGACAATCGCATCCAATTCACCGCTCACCGCACCAAGCCGCAATGCTAGACCGCATACTTCCGAGTCCACTCCCGCGCTGTCTGTTCGTACTTTGCGCGGTCTGTCTTGTATACATGGGCGATCTCCGGAACAAGCGGGTCATCCGGGTTGGGGTCCGTCAGCATTGAGCAGATGGATAGGAGAACTGTACGAGGTTAGAAGTGTGCTAGATGGCGCAGCGAGTGTATGCGCAGGGTACTTTACCCTTCGATATGGTCAGTGCTGGGCTCCATTGGTCCCGGAGGATATCTAAGCAAATGCTGCCATTCGCGTTGATGTTCGGATGGTAGATCCTGGTTGTGAAGTGAACCTTTGGCGGTTTGAACGGGTAGTCCGTAGGGAATTGAATTTGCAGGAAGAAGACGCCACCGGCGTACGGTGAGTCGCTCTGCACATGTCGATTAGTATCTCTGTTAAACAAAATGCATTTGTGAGACGGGAAACTCACAGGACCCATGATGGTCGCTTGCCATTGGAACTGGTTGAAGCTGCATGTTAGCAAGACGAAGAAGGCCAGTAGCGCGTTTGCACCCAAGAGGATCTTGGGGAACGTACAAGATCCTCCCCAGACGGGCCGGCAGAGCAGGAGGAGGGCGGGTCACTGAAATCGTAAAGTCAGCACCGCACGCGTCTAGAACAATTGACAGAGAGCATCTCGAGGATTTCCACAATCACGATGTCGGCAGCGGTGTCGGTGTTGTGGTCGGAGAGAGCCCCGCTTAACCCGACCCCACTACGAGGCGGGCAACCGAATGACGGTATTGAAATCCTTCGCATCGAAAATGAAACGGGCAACATACCGGCCAAGATCGGTGAGTTCCTTCGTAATACGCTTCAGCGCCATATCTGTATGTGTAAAATGTGTTTGACGGAGAGATGCCGCGTCAAGAGGCTTTGGGTGCTGCTGAATTTAAACTGTCAGCTTTGTCCGGTGGAAGGGCGGAGAAGCCAACTGAATCGCTCGCCAACGCCACGCGATCTGCGGCAATAGAGCTTTGTGCGATAAAGCCGTGAAAAAAACTTCTTTGAGGGGAAATGTGAGACTTACTGGAAGACAGCGGACTGAGCAGAAAAGTTAACTGTGAAGGATCGTGAGAGATGATGGTGATGGAATCCGGAGCAGTTGAGGTTAGGTTGCAAGAGGGAGAGTGAGGGGGGAGGAAGTGGGCTGGTCGACAAAGGTGGTTTAGGTATCCACTGCCAAAAGGCTGAACTTAAGAACACAGGCCACTGGCGACAGGTGAGCCAAGCAATTTTTAGGCAAGCGCAACCGCTGGATCAGATTTGACGCCCAACCGCCAATCAGTTCCATCCAATGAGATGCCGCATGCTCAGACAACGCCACCTTTATTACCTAATCAGGTTCATATCATGGCTCCACACATTCTACGTGTAAAGTTGTTAACGCTCTTGTTGATTGCAGTGGTTTATTTTGGACTCTGCCTTGTTGCAACCCAAAGGGGTGCCCGTCTGACACCAACCCCAGTTTGATCTCTGAACACGATGTTGGATGGCTCCATAGGGCGGTCCGTCGAGCCCAGTTCTTGTGATTAAGTTGCCAAGGCAAATCTTGTTATATACAATAGACCATCGCTAAGCCCTCAACAAGCCATGTCCCACTGTCTTTATCCTTCTGAGACGACAGGAGGTACGATAAAGCAATGACACACAACGCTGGCCTTCATCGATGTTATCCGAGTCTCTTGTGCAACTGGGCTCTCTGGCGTCCCGCTCTATCCCAGAAACAGCACCTTTCTTGACCTCGTCTGTCATCTGCATTTACACAAACGCTTGTATGCCAGTGATGGCCCTTCCCAGAATAAGGCCTGTGACTAGTCAGACAATGCTTCTATGGACCGTACCAGGAGAAATGGAACGACACTCACTGTGAATATCACTCTGCCCCTCATAGGTCTGGGTGACATAGAGGTTCGCCACATGTCGCCCAATGCCGTACTCATCACTCACAGCATTCCCGCCAAATATCTCCTGCAGCACGCGTGCATTATGAAGAGCTCGATCGCAGTTCTGCCGCTTGACCATGCTGATCATCTCGGGCGTTGCCTTCCCCTGGTCCTTGAGCCGGCCGACCTGGATCGCCGCGAGGACGCCATAGGCGGCATCGGTGGCCGCGTCTGCTAGCTTCTTTTGCACCAGCTGATACTTTGCGATGGGGTTCCCCTTGAACTGCTTCCGTTCGAGCGCGTACGTGCGTGCCCGGGCGATGCAGTCTTCGAGGGCGCCCATGGTGCCGAGAGCGATGCCGTACCGGGCGCTGTTCAGGCAGGTAAACGGCCCCTTGAGACCCTCGATTTCGGGAAACATGTTTTCCTGTGGCACGGGGCAGTCTTGGAGATGGATCATGCCCGTGATGGAAGCGCGCAGGCCGGTTTTGTTCTTGATGGGAGGCGTCTCCAACGTGCCGGGGGGACACTGCTTCCGGTCAACGAGGAAGCCCCGGATCTTGCCCGTGTCCTGCAGCTTCGCCCACACCACCAGCACGTCTGCGATTGGCGAGTTTGTGATCCACGTCTTGGACCCGTTGAGCAAGTAGTAGCCCGGTTTTTGGGGGTGTTGGCGTGCTGTAGACTCCATCGAGCCCGGGTCGCTGCCGTGGTTCGGCTCGGTGAGGCCAAACGCGCCGGTGATTTTGCCTTGGGCCATCTCGGGCAGATATCTTTCTTTCTGCTCTGCCGACCCAAAGTCGTAGATGGCGCCCATCACCAGCGAGGATTGGACTGACATGCTGCTTCGATAGCCGCTGTCGACGCGCTCAACTGCGCGAGTGATGAGAGCGCCAGCCACGCTGGATACGCCGGCACAGCCGTATCCGTCGATGGTGGCTCCTAGGAGGCCGAGCTCGCCCATCTCGCGGAGGATTTGGGGATCATAGTGCTCGTCTCGGTACGCCTCTGCGGTCCGGTTAGCACCAGGGGCTGCTTGGGGGTTGGGATTTTGAATCGGCAAGCCGTACGAAGCACGCGAGGCAATAGGTGTTCTTGGCAGTATCGCTCAGCCGTCTCGGAAATGGCCAATTCGTCGGCGGTTAGCAGGTTCTTTGACCCGAGCGGGTCGGTCCAGTCAAACTGCGGCGCTGGTGAGGCTGCGGCATAGCTCCTTGTGCCTGTCGCAAATTGAGCTCGAACGAGAGGTCGGAGAGCCTGACGAGGGAGACTTCTGTAGAGAAGGCGTGACATGGTGGTCGCCGTTGTCCTGGTTTTGATTGTGCTGTTACCATATAACCAAAGCCGATACCCTCTCACCTCTCTCCGGGTTCCCGACTTCCTCGGTCCATTGGTTGCCGACTCACCGTTGGAACTCCCGCCTCCGGTGTTAGCCGTTGCCGGAATATGATGTCACCAAGGGTTAGGGTTGATGGTAAAATGGAGGCAAGAGGGAGGTACGCTGGAGCTTGTGTGGTCTTGCACACAAAGAATGGGTGGGTTGTGTGAGTGACCAATACTTAGGTCGTTTGATAGTGATGATACGCTAGGCCCATTGAGAGGGAAACGGTTGCTCAGGGTGGGTGAGCAATGAGCATAGAAGTCGGAGTGAGAGCAAACTTGCCGTGGGCCGTAGCTCAATCCCGAAAGAAACAGCTCGCAATCTCTGAGGAGAATGATTGCGTGCATGTAGTGTCAAATTCACAGATGATTTGACCGAACTCCAGTGCTACCCGCCAGCCTCATTACTCATATTGACCATCTCGAACTCGCCCGCGCCATCTCTCCCCCTTCCTCTCCCCCTTCCACGCGACATACCCTGTTCCTCATCTCCGTCCGCACCAGCCTCGCCCCCAGTGCCATTCTCTCCCCCGTTGCCGCCGGCTGCCGATGCGGCGCCTCCACCGCCAAACGATATCGGCTTCAACTCCCGGTAGCGACACCCCCAGGTCGCCAGCGCAACCGAGACGGCACTCGCTGCCGCCATGGAAAGCCACCATGCTGTGTAGCGCGGCAGTTCCCCAGTATACAGCGTAACAATAAATAAATGTATCGCGTGCAGCGACAGCGCGAAATCGAGTACGAGCTTGGAGCGGCCGATGAGAATCACGATCGCCAGGGACCTGGATACAGAATGGTCAGTTAGTTGGCGTCACAGGGGAACCTAACGAAAGAAAGCGCTCTTACATCAACAACCCGCCATCCAGCACCCAGATGAACCCCATTAGCCACCCCTGCGTGGTGTCACCGCGCACCGCTGCCCACCCGAAAACGAGATCGATACTGAAACTTGTCCCCGCGACCAGCACGGTGAAGAGCATCAGAACGAGCGCCCCGGCGTAGTAGAGCCCCTGGAGTATGGCAATCTGGCTGAGAATCTTGAGCGGTGGGAGCTCGGCCAGCGCCCCGGGGCGAGGGGGCCGTCGCCGCCGCGCCATCGGGATATGGTGTGTGTGGTGGGCGGGTTGGCCGGGAATCAGGTAGGACTTAGGAAAGGGTCGATTGCCGCGAGGCTGTAATTTTGACACGGGCTGTATGTACTATAGTCTGAGGCTTCGAAGAAAATGTTACGCCTGTCAAAGGCTGTAAAAAGAACGTGGCATCGGGACCACGCGACCTAGGAATCGGAGGATGTTGTAGCCAGAAGCTGGGCAGGGACGGGGTATTCGTCGCTCGAGCTGGCTTGCGCAACTGACGTAAGCAGATGAAGTAATAGAGAATACGTGATAGTAGTGCTCCCTCGGCAAATGCGACCGGAATGCATCCAGATAATCGTCGTGTCGGCGTCTTCCAAAATCCAGACACCTCGCAAATGTTGGGATTGTTGGTCCACGAACACGGCACTGATGCCTCAGATAATCGTGGCGTAAGAACAAGGGGTTGTCCAACGGTTCCACAATCCTTGTCCGGATCCCTGCAGTCGCCGTCTCATTGCCGTTCCCAAGCGGAATTTGCCGGTGGACTCCAGCTTCCATGCTCAAGCTTCAAGCTCATCATGAAAACCACCCGACTTGAAAACCATTCTTAACAACAACCTGGACTCAACACACCGCAACTAAACCAAATAACCCGCACAAGCTCATCTCCTCACCCCCTAACCAATACCAAAACAACCCAACTTGGAACACAACCACAGCTCCAAACCCGTCTACAGTAAACTTCCGCTTGCCTCACAACACTTGAAAACTCACCCCCCGGAACGAAGAGATACAACAACCCAACCCAAACCAACATGGGCCTTTTTTCCATCTTTGGTTCCACCTCCTCAAACTCCGAAGAAACAAAACGCGCCTCCGAAATCCGCACAGGCGCCGTCGCCCCCTCCCGCGCAGAACGCCAACGCTGCTGGGCAGCACGCGACGCCTATTTTGCCTGCCTCGACAAGGCAGGGATCGTGGACGCACTGAAAGAGGACGGGGCAGCGGCTGCTGCGAAAGCGTGTGGGCAGGAGAGTGCGGAGTTTGATAAGGACTGTGCCGCGCAGTGGGTGAGTCCCTTCTCTCCCTTCATTTATTCATTAGTTGTGGGTGGGTGTAGGGGGGTGGGGAGAGTTTGGGAGGTTGCGTTGAGAAGGGCTGCGCTGACATGGTACTGAATGTGGTGAGGGAATCAAGGTCACGTACTTCAAAAAGTGGCGCGTGCAAGATATCCAAAAGAAAGCCCGGCTCAGGGAGCTCGAGGCGCAAGGAGCCAACCGGATGGATGTGCAGACGGATTTTGCGCCGAGGAGGAGTTGAACTCACGGGGGGAGAGAGGGGTTTCTTGTCTGTCTGTCTACCCGGCCAGCTCAGAACTGGATGGATTTGAGAGACTTGTATGGGATAAATGTACGCATAGATGGGTCGGTCTTGGTTGAGGCGTTTGCTGGTTGACGAGCATGGAATGACAATTCCTTTCCCAAGCGGTATTGTTCAAATCCTCGTCACAACGTGAGAGGGATATCAGGGGAAACCTGGTTTGTACACCTGTAGCTCTATAAGGTAGGTATCTCGACTACTAATATTGCCATTGACGGCACCTCGTGCCTTCGCTCCTCCACTACCCTCACCGGCTTCCTGTCCAATTCTACCCCCCACAGTCCCAAATGTCCCGCGAACACTTCCGAGCAAGAAAAGAAATCTTAAATACACCCAGAATACTGGTTAAAGGTTGCCCGCTCCCGCGACAGAAGCTTCAGCTTCATTCCTGCGTTCCTGCACTCCAACGACAGGATCTAATCTCTAATGAGCAAATGGTGCAAAACCCGGCCGGCTATGATTATAGGTAAAGAGGACAAACGAACCCGGAACAAAACAAATTGAAGAAGAAGCATAAAGTAGAGGGAGAGAGACGTCGAAAATAGAGACAAAAGAGCGTAGTGTTTTGCTGTCGATGCGTTGGTATCAGGTTTGCTGCAAGTGTACAAGTGAAAAAAAGGAGGTAAAGGGCCACCAGGTTCGTGCAATTCCCCGTCATCGTTCCCCCTCTTCCGCGGCGATCAGTCCTTTGGGGGGACTTCCATCACAGACAGTCCGACCTGTCACACCTTGCTGCTGCCGACGCGCAGCGCTCGATTCAATACCATCATCTTGAAGAACCTACTTCGAACCGATTCCCACTCCTGCCGATCCGACCTGTCCTCCAATCCACCGTCATCCAACACTGTTGGCATGAGTCCGTCGTACTAGGACAGACCCTGGGCAGTCGGAGAGTTCACCTTTGGAAGCGGCGGCAGCGCTTTATCCAGGCTGTCGCGGCTGAGTTGGGCTCGAACGTTCAGGGATTTTTGTGATCCCGTGAGACTCCTAAGGACACCGTTGCTTCCGTTGCTGCCACCGACTCCGTACCCGCTATCAGCGCTTTCCGGTTTCGCCTGCCCGTTGTATCCATGCCCGGCTTTTGGCGGCGTCGGCGGGGGTCGCCCATGACTGCCGTTGCTGGAGCTGCTGCGTATCCCAAGAAGCGGGTTGCTGAACCCCGGCTCCATCTCGTAGCCATCTTTAGCAGGGGTCAATGGTCGACCCTCGCTTTCAATGGTCCCAGCGGTGCTAATATGGCTGTTGCGAGTGCGATCGCCCGTGGATGTGCCTTCAGCAGCCTCCTCCACGACCGGCAGGACGGTTGTCTCCCTGCGCTCGGGCTTGCCGGGATTGGGCGCACTTGTCTGCTCAGACTTTTGCCCGGCGGGTTCGTACGCGGCTGACCTCTGTCCGGACGGTACTGGCGTGGGTGGCAGCGGAGGCTGATAGTTGGGAGCCGGCGGGATCGAGGTGTTATCCCCCAAGCTCCCAGCCCGGTGCTGCGCATCAGAAGCCGCGGCCTCAGCCGCTGCCGCAGCATCTCGTGCCTGAGCTTCTCGAATTGCCTCCTCCTGTGACATGGTGACACCTGAAATGAAATTGATAAACCGTTCACCATACTCGTATGGCGGCAGCGCTGAGATCTGATTGCGATCGCTCGAAAGGCCTTTCCAGAAGTGCTCTATCTTCTTGATGATACCGTACTGCCCAAAAATGTCAGTGGACTTTGTCTCAAATCATACGGCAGAGCTAGACCTACGTGAGTGAGGCAATCAATCACCCCCAAATAGTAGATTTCGTCGCCCGGTGTATTGTCCTCATGCGTTGCGCGGAAGCCGCCATCGTCTTGATTGAAAACAAACCCGGGCCGGTTCTGCCCTTCCTCGAGTTCATCTGGCATCCTGTTACTCGTCTCGGCCATTGGGACGGGTTTCTCGGATTGAATCATCTGCCGGAGTTCCCGAGCCTTGCGCTGGTTTTCCAGTTTGGACGGGGTCCGCATGAGGACCGAGTTCGGGTCAAAGTCCTCTGGCGCTTGGTCACCTCCAGGACTAAAGACGCGCAGCGTCTTGTCCCGCAGGTTCTCTTCGTTGCCTCGCTGAAGGTCATGAATACCTATCAACAAAGAGTAATCCATAATACCCAACCTCTGCAGCAGGCGCACGTCCTTGTGTAGCTGTTCAAGGAAGAGTTGCTTTTTCTGGATGCCGAGTTCGATGTGTCTCTTGCGTCGCAACCAGTTCAGATCCTTCAGGGTGGCTTTTGGGTTATTCTCCATGTCGTCCTCCTTGTACTCCCTACCGATAGTAGAGCCCTTCAAGTCAAAGGTTTGGTGAATATCCTTGTGGGGAGGGAACAGGTTGTTCATGACGACGAAATGGATCTTCTTGCCATACGGCATCTTGACCCGGTGCAGGCCGTAAAACTGCGACAGAAGAGTGTTCGGGTTGTCGCTAACGTGCTGATAGTAGTCCTTCAAGATCTTGCGGAGGAACTTATGCTCGGCATGATGAATAGTCTTGATGATGTACTTGTAGTCCCGTGAAAAGTAAAAGAAGCTCCCGCTTTTCCCCGGAGACCCCAGCTCCGACAAGATGTATTTTCCGGTCAGCGACATGAGGTAGTCGGCGGGATCCAGACGAAACAGAGCGCGCAGATGGCGAAACACCCAGGGAGCGTAGTCCTTAAACTTGAAGTCGTACTTGGCTGACGGCACCAACTCGTTTCCGGCGCTGGGTATGCACAGTCAGCTCCTTATCCAAAAAAGAACTCGCCAATAGGGTGAGCCCAACTTACATGTCGAAGGTCGATTTCTGCTTGACCTCGAAATCGGCATCGGTCAGGGGACGGTCGAGCTTTGCGTTGGTCCGCGACACGGACACACGGATGCCAGTTAGCATGTTATAAGCCGTGACCCAGTTCGCGTGATTCTCGTCAACTTTGGTCCCGACCAGTACCCTGTCGTCGTCTTCAATTTCCCGCCTCCTCCTCTTGCTTGCCCGCTTTTGCCTGTACGCTTCTGCCCACCGCATGGCATCCTCGTCCGGTATAATCTCATCCCGCGGCACATCTGAGTGCAGCGACCTTGTGTTCCTCCTAGCTAAGCTCAGTGACGCTCTGCGTCCCCCAGCGACTGTGGGCGAGAACCTGCCGCTCGAGTAGGCAGCATCAATTCCATCCCGCGACCCGCGGGCCGGTGTAATCTTGGGAACCTCTAATGTGTGGCGGTGTTTGATGCCGGGAACTGGTGGCGACTGTAAAGATGTGGACGAACCCATATTAGTCTCGTAAACCGGGGGGGACGAGAACCGATGGGGCCCCTTTTGACTCCTTTGGCCTGATTCTGCGCTCAGACCTTCGGTAACCGGAGCGGGAGCGCGAGAAGTAGGGAGCGCCGGACTGGCAGTGCCATTCTCTACGGTGCGAATCTCGCTCTTGTTCACGGGATGCAAATGGATCTCAATCCCGGAGGGTTGCAACACCGCGTCTTCCACCCCGTTAGGAACTGAGCAACCATCATTGGGGCTTCGAGCCGGCGAACCGTCCGATTTCGTCCTGGTCGCTAAGCCCGATAGTGTCCGGCCTCGTATCGTCGAATTGCCGAGCGGAACTTGCGTGTGGATAACGGAATCGGCGCTGCCCGCATTTTCGATTCCTCCGTCAGGGCACCCGTTTGCGGATGAATTCATGCTTGGTGCGTGCGGAACTTCGTCAGCCAGCCGCTGCTCGGTTTCCGCGGTAGAGTTGGAGGTGTCGGACGACTTTGTTGAATTGGACGAACTCTCGTCGAAACTATCAATCGAGGCGTGCGAGTGCGGCTGTCGAACAATGGATCCAGCAACCTTCGCCTGGGAGAAGCCGTACTCGGCAGCCCGGTCGAGGTGCACGACGCCCGAGGACTGCGAGTCGATTGCCGAGCTTTCGTCCGTCACGAAAGAGGGCATTTCGGGGGACGAAACGATCAAAGGCCCGGAGCAAAGGAGACGCGAGTGGGGCGTCGGCCGACAATATTAGGCTTGTTCGGCCACAGAGCGCATGCTCCAACACGGACAGAACGATTCCCAGTGTCGGCGTCGTCAGGTTCGGTTTGGCGATTGAAGCAGGAAAATTGCGGCAGGTCGGCACGCGGGACCTCGCTTGGTTCAGCTCCTCTCGCGGCGATGGAATCCTTGCTAGGTAGGAGCGGGCGGAGCAGGGCTTGGCAATTACGTTAGTTCACCAGCGTCTCGCAGTCACTGATCAATGGGCATCCGTGCCTGAAATGAACAGCAGTGAACAATTCGACGGCGTAACAAGGTCGGTATCGCGCTGCGAGAAGGGCTTGATAAAGGAGGCCGAGGCGGTGGCTGAGGTCGGTTTGTTGGTAAATGAGGAGAATTGTGGTGGAGCAATTAGGTTGGCCGAAGGACGTGCTGGTGCTGGTGCTGACAACAGCTGAGGAAGCCACTTTGGGTGGGCCATGGAGCCACATCAGCGCTGTCGGTAACGGAACTTGTTGCGAGGCGACAGGGCTCACCAACGCCTGGGGCTAGGACTCACTGGCCTGCTCAAGGAATTGATGAGCCCAATCCTGCAGACTCCTGCCCTGTGCATTGCGCCTTTCTTCTCGCTTCCAGAGTATAGGAAAGGCCAAGAAATAACTATGCCTGACCAATAGTTAGGTATTCCTTGTTCGGTTTCTAGCGTTTCTATTCCCGTACCTCCGTACTGCACTTACAAACCTGTGTTCATCTACTCCGTACACCACATGGGAAGCAGTCATCGTCCTATGGATGTAGCACCGTCTCATGGAAGGAATATTGATGAGCGAGACAACGGCTTATCATGTACTATCCAAGGTAGTCTGCATTGATGTTTATCCGTATTCTGCTGTGGCCCTTCAGCTCGAAACATTATTTATTAGGGATCCCTGCCCATGGCGTCTGATGAAAGGCTTGCCGCGTTCGTGTTGCTCCACTTCAACGTGGGAGAAGTGGCCGATTTCCGTGAGTACATAAGGTAATTATGTACGGAGGTACCTACGACCTGTCGTCCCGAGTTCGAGGTTTGATGCTAACGCACCAGCGATAACGTTATTCAAGATTCCATACAAAGTATTGGATGTAAAATGCTGTGATCTTGCCGCGCTTGAACGGCCCGCCTAGGTAGGATAAGATCGTCTTGCGCCTGCAACCAAGATAGGTAGGTACTGTAGTGCGGTACCGTCGAAGCCAGACACCGAATCAAGATGGACGACTCCGGCATGTGAAGTGCCGCTCTTTCGGCCGTTGACAGTCACACAGCGCCACACCACATGGTAGAGCACCTAAGATACCTAAGATACCTTAGAAAGCAATAGTTGGGCATATTAGACTTTGTTCATCATCTCATCATTCATTACCTTACTACATGATACACCAGTACCTAAGTTAAACCCTCTAAACCAGCGCGGGGTATTCGCAGAATCTATGTCAAGCCGCCTCCGCTCAAAAACGACGCTTGCTGATGCTCCCATCATTCCATCCTCCTTTCCACAATCGCCTGCCCGACCGGTTTCCCACCAACAAACCCGGCATTCACCCCGCCCAGCTCAAAGACCTTTTGGCCCCTCACCCAAGTCTCCTTCACTCTACCCCTGAACCTGTGCCCCTCCCAAGGCGAGCACCTGTTCTTCCACCGCATGTCGCCCGCCCTTAGCGTCCACACGTCCTCGTCGTCAAACACACAAATATCCGCATCCATCCCAGCCCTGATACCGCCCTTGCGGTGCGCCAGCCCAACCTGCTTTGCCGTAGCCTGCGAACACATGCGGACAATATCCACAATCGACGGCGCCTTCTCACCCGCGGCCAAGCGCGCGGCCGCCGCGGTGTGCAGAATCGGCAGACCCAGACCGACCGACGATATGCCGCCCCACGCGGCAAAGAAGTCGCCCTGTTTTTCGAGCGCGGCCTTGGCGTCTTGGATGGCTTCCTCGGGCAGGGTGACGTCGATACCTGAATCGATTTGGTGTAGGCTCGGTCGGCGGTTGTCTGCCTGGTGGGCCGTCTGGAACCGGGGTGGTAGTAGTTTCAGCTCGGGGGTGCAGGGCGAGTGATCTGAGACGATGGTCTTGATGCAGCCGTCCTCGGCGTCGGCGATTTCGTTCCATAGGCGGTCTTGGTTTGTCTGGGACCGGATGGGCGGGCAGCATTTGTGGCGAGTGTCGCCGTCTTCGATGTCGTCGGACGCGAGGCCCAGGTAGTGGAAGCAGGTCTCGGCTGTGATGTTGATGCCCTTCTTGCGGGCTTGCCGGAGGATCGGGATGCATTCGGTTGCGGACAGGTGGACGATGTGGAGGTGGAGTTGTGGAGCGAGGTCCGCCATGGAGAGAATTTCCTCTACGGCGCAAGTCTCGAAAACGGGGGGCCGGGAGGCCAAGAAGGTGCTGTAGCTGTCGAGCTCTCCATGAGGCGCAGCCGGAGGAAGTGACTGCTGCACGGCGTCACCTACCGAGTCGGCGATAGGGGGCAGCATCTCGGCGTGGAACATTAGTGTCGTCGGGGTATCCTTCAGCGTCGTCATTGCAAGGGCAATATCTTTTGCCGAGATGGCAGGAAATTCTTCGACCTAGGTCAAGTTAGCGATGCCCGCTTGCTCACTTGGTGGGAGGCAGCACTTACACCAGAGTCAATGAGGAACCCCTTGAACCCACGAACACCGGCTTCCACAAGAGGCAGGAGTTGGTCGGCGTTTCCAGGAATAACGCCGCCATAAAAGCCCACGTCGACCCAGCACTGCCCGCGGCTGGCAGCGAGCTTCTCCCTGAACCCGGCGAGAGTGGTCGTTGGGGGGATGGCGTTCAGGGGCATGTCAATGACAGTGGTGACGCCGCCCGAGGCAGCCGCCTTTGTGCCCGTGTTGAAGCCTTCCCATTCCGTACGGCCCGGCTCGTTGAGGTGGACATGGGCATCGACCAAGCCAGGGAGCAGGAGCTTTGGGCTGTAGTCACGGTAAGTGATTTGTGGCTCGAACGCGGTCCTTGGAAGCACCAGTGGAATGACTGATACGATCCTGCCAGTTGCCGGCGACACAATGATGGTTGCCGGAGATAGCACCAGCGAACCATCGGAAAGAGTGAGGACGGTTCGCGAGGACGCCAAGACGGCGAGAGAGCCGTCTGGGATAACGTCCAGCACCGCCATATCGAGAGAAAAACGGCAGTGAAATCTCACACAACAGCAAGAGAATGAGTAACGGGAGTGGGCAAGGTGGAAGGTGAGCGAGGGGTCGGTTCACCCTCGACAGGAGCCGGCCTTATCTAGCTATGATAAGGTGGGCGACGTCAATGGAGTCTTGGACTGATAAGGAGAGTGATAGTCGAGTAAGTCGGCAAGATCAAGTGGGTATCACACCGTAGAGATTAGAGAAGAGACCGAATGGGGGCAAGCGAAGGGATGCCTGGGGCTTGAAAGAACGGCAGCAGCAGCAGCAAGGCGGGAAAGGGATGAACGGGAAGCCATCGTGACCAGATTCCCAAGACTGGAGGCTATCTATAGAATTAAACAGTCCCGGAACCACCCGCGCGTCTCTCCACTCTGAAGATTCTCAAAATTGCCTCGAAGAGCGTTCTTCCGGCTACAAAATTATTAACCCAATCCACCATGCCTAGGCAATTCTCTGAAATTCTGAAATTGTCATGACGCATGGGCGCCGAGAACGGCTGTGGGGTGCAGCACCGAGTGAGATGCCGTGCGAGATGCCAAACATGTCTCGACTCTGAGCGAGGGGCCAGAAGAAGTTGAGCTCTGACAAAGACCCTGACCCTGAAGACGCTGGCTTATCAGGGGACTCTGATTGGCTACGGCGACCCAGGCCGGGTAAAGCCGAATTCCGATGCGCTCACGTCCCACAGATCTGGTGGCTTCTGCGGGCCCAAGCACCAAAGCACGCCCTGTCATGGTCCAAATGACCAATCAGAAGCCGCGCTATCTGAACAAGGGAACCCGAATGTCACTCCGCGGAAAATATACTGTAGTACGGTTCGCATGGTTCACCTGGTTTTCCATTTTGGGTTGCCATCCGAAGCTATCGTGAAATTTTCGAGTTTCCATCGAGTAACACTCGAGTAAGTCGATCCTGCTTGCCGTTCTGATTCGCCGCTCATGATCTGGCGGTGCCTGACTCCTGCAGGGACTTCCTCCTACCTGAATTATTGTTACTCGATAACTTGGTGAAAAAAGGGCTCTCCCGAAGTTTTACGTTGTCGATACGACGATTCCAACAATGCATCATCTCAACCTGCAGAAGGACCGACACGAGCCAGCATATCGAGTCATCTTACATACTTTGTTTGCGACCAGGCAGGCTGACTGTTCGTCCAAGTGCTTTGTAACCAGTGTGGAATCCCGCAATGCATCTGAAGGCCAGCTTACCGACGTTGAGCGAATTTCGCCCGAGTTCCCATGACCGTTTTGTGGTTTTTTCGGCATCGTGACAGGGTCTCGGGCGTCTTCTTTGTGAGACAATGTTGCCGTTTCGAGCATTCGAGTCCAAGATCATTGGTTGAGGCTCCCAGAGCAAGTCAGCTACATTCCCCGGCAGTTGCCCACGTCAAACAACCACCGCCCCGTCTGGATGAGACTAGCTCAGCTTCCTGAGCGAGTGTTTTGGCGAGTTCAAAGGGATTAAGATGTAGTCCCCAGGCAGGACGGTCACACGCGCGATGCTTCGTTGGAGTGCGTGGCTGTAGGTGACGCTCTTTGTCTCTTGTTAAGGCTGTTCAGCTTGGGCTACCTATGCCTATGTGCCATGGCACATCATTCGCTGCTTCGACGTACACTAAACCCGAATCTGTGAGGGCACCTTGCCTCTCTTTCCATGTATTTACCAGCTATGATGGAGGTTTTGGCCGCTTCTCGATTGGTTGACACAACAGAGTTCGATTTGTCTTTGCAAGACACTCGGCGGTTACCCCTGTCTCCTAACTTGCAGGCTCGAAGCCCCTGCACACCAATTTACATCTATGGCAAAGACACCAACCAGCAGATTTCCAGTCTGGTACCGTCCTAGCCGAGACTTCGAAGGCTTCCGTTGCTCCCTTTCTGCGCTACCGACATGTCATTAGGAGGTCATGATGTTGGCTACCTCGACTTCTCAAAGCCGTGGCGCATCCTCGGGACTCTTGACCTCAACCAGGAGCTTGCCTGCACAGCGGTTAGTCACAAGTCCATGATAATCCGATCCACCCTGTCTGGTGACACTTACCAATGTTCTTGCCCTCGAACAGATGTTTGAATGCCTCATCTGCAGCAGCCACGCCGCCTTTGAGAATCGTCTCCTTCCTCTGAAGCTTGCCTTCTTCAAGCCACTGCGCAAGCTGCTTAAACGCCGCAGGATACTCATCCGCAAAGTCAAAGACAATGAACCCTTGCATCCTGAGTGAAGTAGGCGGTCAGTATTTCGGAACATTGAGAGCCAAGACGATCAAGACTTACTTGATACGCTGGGCAATCACGTTGAAGAAGTTTCTCTGTTACCGCCGCCGTCAGCCAACGAAACATTCCGAGTCAATCGAGTACGAGAAGCGGCTTACCATCGGCCCTGACCTCTCTTCGGCATTGTACTGGGTGATAGCTCCGCACATGACGAAGCGTGCAAACTTGTTAGCACGGCCCAGCGCCATCTCGAGCTGCTCCCCGCCGACTAGAGATTCAATCTTGTCAGTATTCCATTACAGCATCGGCAGAAAAAATGCATGTTACTGACCATTGTCATAGTAGACATCGAGGTAGTTCGGCGTGGCCGCCTCAAACTTCTTCTTAAAGTCCGGGTCCTTGTAGTTAAGCGCAACATCCAGCCCCAGCTCCTCCTTCAACCACCGGACCTTCTCGTCGCTCCCAGCCGTACCAATGACGCGCGCGCCAGCAATCTTGGCGATCTGCGCGGCCACACTACCCGTCGCACCCGCCGCAGCCGAGACAAACACCGTCTCGCCCGCCTTGGGCTGCCCGATCTTGGTCATGCCAAAGTAGGCCGTCAGGCCCGTCATGCCGAGCACGCCCATGAGATCGGACAGCTTGGCGCCTTTTGGGAGAGGCGGCGCCGGGTTGACCTGGTCCTCGGGCATGATGCCGACCTCGCGGATGCCGAGGTTCGCGGTGACATAGTCGCCCTTTTTGCACTTGGAGGATTTGGAGGCGAGCACCCGGCTGATGGTCCCCGCGCGCATCACCTCGCCGATCTGTACGGGAGGGATGTAGGAGCGCTTGTCGTCCAGCCAGCCCCGCATGGCTGGGTCGAAGGAGATGTAGAGGGATTCGAGGAGCACTTGGCCGTCTTTGAGGTCGGCTTCGGTGGGCGCGGGGACTTGGCGCACGCGGAAGGTCTGGCCGGGGATGATGTTGGCCTTGGGCCGCTCGACGAGCTCGAGCTGGAGGGATTGTTGAGCCATGGTTGGGTGTGTTTACTGATCTAGGTGGTGGTAGATGTGTAAAGGTGATGTCCGGTCAAGAGGTAGTCAATTCCTAGCAGATCCACGAGGCCAATTGCAGAATTTCTATCCAGAGGTTTCAAGGGGAAGCCTCACCATTCCTTCGTTCCTACTTGTAGTCAGTCATGCCATAACAGTGACGTTATGTAAGCGAACTTTCTAGGTATCAGGCTCTTCGGCATTAAGCCCGCCTCAACCCCACTCGATCTTGATTGATCAGCTCGATGGGGTATTGTAATTTGTTGCATCACTCGGTAGAGAACGGATTTTTCGCCGCGAATGACGTGCATACGGGACCGGAGGTGGAATCCGTGAAGGCCGAGCCGAGGTTGATAACATAACAAGGCTTGCAATCCTTTAAAAAACCAGCATAGCTAGGACCAGCTAGCGGTCGTCCTTCTGCGAGCTATCCAATTGAGATTTGGAATTATGTCAGCCAATCCGTCAACTGTCTCCCATCCACAGCCCCCAGCTTAGGCGATTTAGTGTCGTACCTTAGTTCAGTTTGCAGCTGGACAACCTGGGATGGGAACGTCGAGGTCCACGTGCATGACACCACGGGAGCCGGAGACCCTGCTCAGCACCTACCTACCCCGAGCCGTGGGGCCGTGTCCGATGGGAACGGGGTCTTTTGGGTTTGGGAAAACCGCTCCCGGATTGACTACCGCTTTAGGATAACAATTCCTATGCCTACAGCTTCAAAGTTGAAAAGTTTCAAACCCCCTTTGCTCGGCGTCGAGAGTCAGGAGGCGGACCCCTTGGATTTGCAGAAGATACTGCTTCGGCCTCCCCATCCATAGAACGGAAGGATGGATCAGCCAGCGGGTATGATTCCAAATCAATCCTGAGTTGTAGCCGCACACGCGAGAACGGCGATCAAAGTGGATATAGGCGAACCTTGGTTGGTTGTCGTTGAACAGTTTACGGTTGTCAGAGTCGTCCGAGTTTATTACCCCACATCTACAACATGGGTTTGAGGCGGGGCGTCACCGGCGGTAGTTTCCGGTTTTAAGACATGATCCCGGGCTGCGGACGTAGCTGGCCGAGGGCCGAGACGCGGGCGGGAAGACCGTTCTCTTATCTTATGTGTGTAGACGAGAGTACTACCTCTTTAGACAGAGGCCCAACGTCAAGCAGTATCTATTGAATCTCACAAGTCTCAACTGGTGAAGTAGAATCCTCATTACCTTAGGTTCAACTGAATCAGAATGCGAGATCTCATATCATCCCCGTAGCGCCAAATATGCATCTCATCGTACTGTACACGTGGCCGCCATCCCACCAGACATTGAGTGGCCGGGCGCTGTCTTTGTATGATATATACACCAAACCAAACATTGGTCATCTTTATATTTACCTGTCTCAACCCAAACACAGGTTGTCCACTCCGCCCAAAATCCCCAAGTTGGAGTTGGGTGTTGCAGTTAGTAATACAAATCTCGACCGAGGTTGAGGCAGGCGTTATTTCTGCCGCTTCAGGGTCTTGACGGCCATCTCGACCAGGCCATCCTTGGCCTCGCTCTCTGGGAACCAGCTGATGGCTTCAATCGCCTTTTCCGCGTAGTCTTCGGCAAGGGCTCGCGTCTGTTCAATGCCATCGCTTTGTGCGACCAAATCTCGTGCCTAGTTCCCGCATACTGATCAGCATCTCTCTCATCGTCGTTGCTCGTAGAGACGGGACGGAATAAAAGAACAAAAAGAAACAAAACTCACCCTCGCAACATCCCCCTCACCCGCAAACTTCCTCCCCACCAACGCACCCAACTCCGGTATATTCTTCCACGCGAACAACAACGGCGCCGTCGCCAGCCCCAACTCCAGATCCGCGCCCGCCGGCTTGCCCAGCTCATTTTCACTCTGCGTGTAATCCAGCATGTCATCCACAAGCTGAAACGCCAACCCCAGATTCTTCCCATAACTATACGCCGCATCCGCCGTCTGGGCATCCGCGCCCCCCAACAACGCCGCCGCACGACAGCTCTTACTAATCAGCGACGCCGTCTTGAGGTACGTCTTTTGCAGGTAGTAGGTCAGCGTTTCCTCCGACCAGCGCGGGTTGGGCCCTTCGTCGTCGCGCGCCGTGTTTTTCAGCTGCATGAACTCGCCCTCGACGAGATTGGCGATGACTGTCGCGAGGAGTTCGATGACCTCGGCGTGTCGCAGGCGGGCGAGGGCGACGGAGGCGCGGCCCAGCAGGAAATCGCCTGCGAGCACGGCCATTTTGTTGCCGAATTCGAGGTTGGCGGAGGGTGCGCCGCGCCGCGAGACGGAGTGGTCGATTACGTCGTCGTGCAGGAGGGAGGCGGTGTGGATGAGTTCGGTGATCTCGGCGAGGCGCCGTTGGGAGGGGAGGATGTCTATGTCTGGGTCGCTGGTTGTGGGGTCGGTTTCGGTGCCTGCGGCCGGGTTGAAGTCGGAGAGGATGGAGAGCGGGGAGATGGATGTGTTGATGGCTACTGAGGCTTGTAGCGTGGCTTGTTGTCGTTGCGGGGCTTTGGGGCAGAGCGAGGTTGCGCGCGACATTAGGAGGACGATTAATGGTCTAATGTGCTTTCCCTCGGCTTGTGTGTAGTACTTGGCCGCGCGGTCAAGAGAGGGATGGCCCGAGCCGAGAAGCTTCCTGATGTTGCCCGTCAGGAACTTCATCTCCTTGGCCACGATCCGGAGGGGGTCGATGGAGGGCATGTCGCCCTTGGTCGCGCGGGTGATGGCATTGTTGACTATGTTCCCTGCGACGGAAACCGCAGCGGCCCATGCTGATGAACCCGGTCTTGTCGAGTGGAAAGATGCCCTGGACTGCGGCGACGGTAATCGGACGTCGAGCGCGTGTCTGAGGCATTCGGAGCATGTCGACACCGGCAGCCGAGGGATTCGCCTGAGGCTTTTGGCTCGGCTAACCACCGAAGCCCCCGTCCCGAGCTGCATTTCCTTTCGCGTGCTCCTCCTCGGTCTGTGGAAAATAGCCAATTGACAGCCGGTCGTCACAATTTGGCTGCCTGCCGCATCTGGGACACTGTTGAAGATCGAGCCGTTCGGAAATCGCGAAAATCGATCGTCGAGTCTCACTCCGGTGGATCCCGAAAACTTCGTCCCGATATCCGCGATTTTTGAAGATTTAACGTTAGCTCGATGTGGCTGATTTGTGGCTGGTTGCACGTGTAATTTTGATGCCCCTTGCATCTGGGCCTCTTGGCAAGCGGACCTGTCCCACTCCCAGTCATCCGGGTCGCCTGGCACTTGAGCTTCAGCCTGGATCAACTTACACTGTGCAGTACAAGTGCGAGGGTCAGTACCTGAGAGACAAATCCTCTTCCATCCTCAAGAGCGGCATGCACCAAGCCCATAGTGGTCTGCGACGTCGCTCAAAATGGTACTACTCACCATGACGCCTTCCATCGTGGAAGGTCTACAGACATTCAATGAGTTGTCCCGTCTGCAGCAAGACCATAGCCTCCAACCGCAGAGTGGCGAGCCTACCTTGGATGCGCCGGCCGTCGGAAACCCAATCTCACATTCACAGATTCTCGAACTATGGACGGCGCTCAGGGATGCAGGAAACAAAGAGTACAGCCTGGAAAAGCTGCTGAAGGGATCAAAAGTCTACGTCCCGCCGCCGCCTCCGAAGCCTGAGCCCGTAAGTTGCATCTATCTGCCTTACCACACTGCCATGTATTTTGATCTGACTTTTCCAGTCGGACGAATACAAAGCCCTGATGGCCCGTCTCCGCAAGGAAGAGGAGCAGCGCGCATATGAGCGCATGTCGAACCCGCCGCCGCCGCCGATGGAGACATTCTCCCAACGGTTCCCGAACAGCAGCACAAACATGGCGGCGGCGTTCGCTGCTGTCAACCGACCGAGTCGAGAGGCGGACATTGGGGATGACGATGTCACGTATAATGATATACACCGGCAGTTAATGCTCATCCTCAACTTCCTGGTCAGTATACTCGGTGTTGCCGCCAGCCTCTGGATTCTGGCGAGGTGGTGGAGCACGCCGGCCAGGTTGTTCTTGACTATGGGTGGGAGTATTCTGGTTGGGATCGCGGAAGTTGCGGTGTATTCGGGCTATGTGTGGCATTTGGGGGAGGCGAAGAAGAAGGATAAGGCGTTTAAGGAGGTTAAGGAGGTTGTGCAGACTTGGACTGTTGGGCTGGACATTGATCCTGTTAGAATAGGGGATGAGAAGGCGTTTGGAGATGTAAACCTCCGGAGAAGGAAGAAGGAAGGATATTGAGGTGTGTTGACGTTTGACTACTATTACATTTTGCTCCTGTCTTTGAGTTTCGTGGAATGGTTGGATACAATGTATCCGGCTTGCGGCGGCGGCGGGGCTTCCGATGTGGTGCACGAGTCCGCTCCGCGAAGAAGTGGGGCAATACTCGGCTGTCTCGCGTCATATGCACATGCTCGACGCGTCGAGACTCGAGACGCGTCGCATTGATGCGAAAACGCGGGAACCAGATGGGACGACAGCAACCGACCCAGTCCGCTGGCTGGCTCTAGGCTTACCTTAATTTATCCATTCTCTGTATAACGGACAGGCTAGCATCGCCATTCCCATCATCACAGCCTTGAAACATTCCATCACCTGTACAGAGTATCTTCCTCGCCTTCTCTCACTTGTCTGCCCATTCGCGTGCTTTCGCTGCCGACCGAGTCATGTCGGCGGACGCAAGCGAGCCTCCTCCACCGCTTGCGACAAGCCCTCTCCGGCAGCGCAAGCGGCCTGTGCGAACATACAGTCGACGATCTGCCCCAGTCCGGGACCACGAGCCGATCCTGCCAGCTGCAGCACAGGACAAGAGTCAACGGCATCTGGACTCCAGCTCAGAGTGCACGAAGTCGACGCCACCGCCCACAGCCCTTCCGAAGCATAACCCGGGTGATGAACCACCAAAGTGCGGGTCCATCCTGGCCTACTTCAAGCCAATCCACCCCGGTTCCGACAGCGCGGCATCCGACCTGCTGTTCTCGTCAGATCCCGCCGAGCCTGCGTCAACACCGCCATCTTCGCCCCCGCCCTTATTGGTGGCGAAGCCGAGAAAGCGCAGACGACTGACCACGCGGCCCCAATACAATGACAGTGACGGGAGATCGCGGGATCTGGGGGACGGTGATGGAGACGGCGACACAACGGAGGATGTTAGGAATGCGCCGCCCCTCGATTCGAGGATAAGAAACAACACTATGCCTGATGTTAAAAACACAACCCAGGACTCTGCTGCATCGTCTTCTGGTTCTTTAGGGGAAATTCCTGTCAATGTTCTGCGCCATGGGACTGGGACTCCATCGGCTAGCTCCACGACAGCAGCAGAAGACTGCCTCCTCCAAGACAAGAAACGGCCTGGAAAACGACCTGCGCGAGACCTGACACAGACAACCCTGAGCCTGTCGCTCCAGAAGGACCCGGGGTTTACAATATGTGCGGTGTGCGACCTGCTTTACAACCCGTTGAATGAGAAGGACCGGAGAGAACACAAGCGAAGGCATGCGGCTTATTCCCGGGCTAAGGAGAAAGAGAAAGAGCCGAAGAGAGGGAACTTTGAAGGGGGTTTGAAGAGGTCACGCTCGGGTTGATTACCTACGGATCTGTCGGGGTATCTATCGAGTTCCCGGCGCGCAGCTTGTTCGGTCGAGTCGAGTATCGTGACTCCGACCCGAAACAGATTGACAGCCTGTCTCGTCAGATTTCGTCCGCGATATTACCGGTATGGCTATCCGCGATGGAGGAATTCACCATAAGTACAAGGTAAGGTAAAGAAACACCCATCTTGCAACACTGCATCTTAGGTGCCCTTGCGTTACGTTACCGCCTTGCTTGCTATATGAACGTCCCCCTGGGTCCATATATTAAGCAAGCGAAAATGCCACCAAAAACCTTCGATACATCCGTTCTAACAGCCCTGTCAGGCCGAGCCCCCTCGCGCCACCGCTGGAATCCACCATGGCAACCACTTCCTGCACATGCTTCCGAGCAATCGTGTGTTCACCCGCCGTCACCTGCCTCACCCATCAGCCATCTCCTCTTCCGGGACCGGGGGGGAGGGGGAGAGGGGGAAAAGCAGCAGTCATGCCATTCCCACCAAACCTCTCAATATTGAAAGCCTTACCTCATCCACGGCAAGCGCGATCGCCTTCGCAACGGTCATGACACTTACTACTCCTCCGGCAGAAGTGTTGTTGTTGACTTTCTGCCGGAGTGTCTCAAGACATGTCTGCTTGTACTGCAACGCGAGCCTGGCAAAGACAGGCTTTTTGTCTGGCTGGACCTGCTGGATGATGTAGCGGCATGTGCTCAGGAGAACGGCGGCTGTCATGAGATCGTTGTCGGTGATGGCCAGGCCGACCCATTCCCGCAGCAGCTGGGTCTTGTGGGATTCGACTGTTCCTGGAGAGGGATAGGGATGGTCGGAGGAGGAGGAGGAGGAGGAGAATAAGGAGCAGTGGCCGAGGGTGGAGGGGATTATTACGTGGATGTCTGTTGGAGGGTGGGCAGAGAGAGGGATGTTAGCAACCTATGGAGGGGGCGGCTGAGTGTTGACCATGGGGTGAAACTTGTCGAATGCTTTGGTGGAGATCGAGGTACGGAGTGACATACAGTGATGTAGCAGGAAATACTCCACCGAAGAGAGCGGTCTTGCCATGGACGAGAAAGGGTCTTTGTTATTGTTGAGTACCGTGACTTGGCTCAGTGGACTCGAGAAGGGGGCTTCCTCGGATGCGGCCTGAGGCAAGACCTTGATAACCGGGCCGCTGGCTAGTAATATCCCTTTTCTGTATCGTTCCGTTTGCTTGCGTCTTCTCTGGGCGTGTGCCTGGCGAAAGGCGTGTGAATAGTCCTGTTTCCTGGACTCGGGTGACGGGGCTTGCGTCGGATTCGAGACGGCCACAAATCGGAACTGGCGGGCCATAGCTACTCGAGCTTCAGGCAGGGAGGACTGGAGGTCTGTATGGTACTTTGGGTCGGTGGCTTGATGTTGCAGAGGAAGTTCAACTGCTCAAGCGTCACGATTCACGAAAGTGTCTCGAACACCTGAAGTACATTTGTCAGACGCTGGTCCCTGCCAAGACTTAGGATTGCCCGATCGGGAAATGCTCGTTCATACGGGTGTAAGTGGTAGATCTTGGCGTATAAGCCATGGCCCATGATGGACTCATTGAAGTGAAGGTATACTAGGGAAGTCGGGTTCGTGCGGGCAGAGGCGGTAGGGGCGTTCGAATTATTAATGTTCCTGGACAGTAGTAGTAGGCATATAAGGGCCACATTCGATGCATTGAATCAAGAGGCTAAGAGCTCCCTGGCGTCTCACTCGTTGCCTTACTACCTACCTTACTCTCCTGTTTTCGTCCATCGAACGTTCGACGTTTCGAACCCACCAAAGCATCGGTTCTCTTACATGTACAGCACCATGCCCTGTTTACATACGTCTATTCCCACCGGCTCCTGGATCCTGATGACGGGTGCCAGCGGCTTCCTCGCCTCTCATATCTGCCTTCAATTCCTGGGAAGGGGCTTCAAGGTCCGAGGCGCCGTTCGTGATCCAACCGAATCCTCATGGCTCTTGGAAGGCCGCTTCAAGCCCTACGCCGACACGGGCGCCATCGAGCTTGTCTCAGTCCCTGATCTCGGCGCAGATGGCGCCTACAACGTGGCAATCAAAGGCGTTGCCGCTGTCGTTCACACAGCCTACGTTACCAACATTGTCCCTGACCCAAACGCCGTCATCACCCCCATGGTAACCGGCGTTCGGTCCATCATGAACGCTGCCATCCGCGAGCCCTCAGTCAAGGCGGTCGTGTTCACCAGCAGCGCGCTTACTGCCTCGCCGCTTGCTCCTGGTGTCGACAATGGCACCATCGGGCGAGACTCGTGGAATGATGCTGTCCTTGAAGCGGCATGGGCACCGCCTCCGTATGGCATGTCCCATGCCATGGCCAAATACCCTGCCAGCAAGGTGGCCGCTGAGAAAGAAGTATGGAAGATTGTCGAGAGACTCGGAAATGACCTCCACTTCAATGTCAATGTTGTGTCTCCCGCGGGCTTGACCGGCGAGCCGCTCAACAAGAAACATATTGAAGGGCAGGCCAACTGGGTGGTTCACGCCTACAGGGGCAACAAAGCGGCTATGGATGCATTGCCGGCATGTAAGAACTGCTCCTCCTGGCAGCTAAATATCTTACCTTACCTACCATGTTCTGACTTGCACGATAAATCATAGCCTTCTACGTCGATGTGAAAGACGTGGCCTTGATACATGTGGCAGCGGTTCTGGATCCCGAGATCAACAAGGCACGAATCCAAGCTTGGGGCCATAGTGCTCACTGGAATGAGATACTCGCTATACTGCGGAGGCTTCGTCCGGAGAAGAAGTTTGTCGATGACTACCCCGATGCGCAGCATCTCAAGGTGTCAATCGACCAAACAGAGGCTGTGGCGCTCTTGAAGAAGTGGTCCGACAAACCAGACAAGAATTATGACGGATGGACGTCGTTGGAGGACAGCATCTTTGAGAATATCACGAATCCATACCTTGAGGGATGAGAGTGAAAGGACGACAAGATTTTGAGGCACTCCTCCAGTCCAGTCGAGTACTATCGTTTAGTTTGGCTTTTGATATTGGATCTGCGCATCGTTATTTGGGTCCTTTCCTTTTGGTTCAAAGTTCAAACTCTCGGTGGTGCCTGCCAAGTGCCAACCACGGATACATACCTAACAATCTGGGAGTTGAATACCCTTTCCAGTTTCCGGATTTGCCTTGCTGAGAATGGTATTTCCGGCGCTCAAAGTGGCTTCAATATGGGTCGGATCCATCTACCGGTGTTGTGTTGTAGCAGTGACGCATGCGATTGTGCAATTACATCATGACGCCAGGTACAACACCATGACCCTGAATTCGGAATTTTCTGGGCTTTGTGCTATCCAGCCGTTTGGTCCCCTATAGAACAACTCACACACGAGGATAGGATCCGTAGTGTTGGATCTCTTGGCAATTGCTTAGCTGTTCTAGGCACATCCAGATTCATCATTCAAGATGGTTCATCAACACGGCAATCACGGCGACATCCCCGACCACCACCGGGTTCATCGGTAAGCATCAACCCCCTACATAACGTCTCTCATACCACTGACACATATGAATCAGACCCGGAGCATGGCTACCAGCCGACCACCGCGTTCACCGTGCCTGGCTCGGTAAAGCCATCGACCATGTCGACAAGCACGGCGAACAGGAGCTCATCCCCGTGTTGCAAGAGTTCAAGGAGTTTATTGAGAACAACCCCCGTATCTACATGTATTTCACAGAGATGTGGGACGAAATCCCCAAAAAACCGCCCTACACGCGTGACCCTGCCGGCGGATCCCAGATCCGCGACTACAACCACATGCTCCAGGTGCTGAATCATGTGTTTGGGCGCGCTCCTGAATGGTACGTGCTCCCGACTCGAGGACGGCCGTGGATATGAGGTTGTCTATGGCTGACCTGGTATGGATGTATGTGTGCAGGACGGACGCGGCTGCAAGCGCGGGAGTGGTCGGTGTGCCCATGTGTGCCATCTTCGATTATGCCATGGGCACCCCAAGCGGGCATGCCGCGTTTCTGGATCCTGATGTTAATCGGATGCTGAAGAAGATTCTTAACAAGTGGGGGGAGTACCTCAAGGTTTGCAGTATCCTCCCGCATTTTGTGGAAGCCTTGTAAGGATGGGAACAGCCGGCTGATATCAGCAACAGAGTCCTGAATCAGCAGAGGTCCTCGGTGACCACCGCGCAGGCTGGTTCGGCGAGGTGGGCTACAGCGACCTGATGGAGGTGGCCAACGCGCCCTACCGGACATCGCACAAGTTCGAGGACATGTACGTGTGCGACCCGTCGAAACCGCACTACGGGTACAAGTCATGGGACGGTATGTAGCTTCCACTCCCCTCAAACGAAGCCAACACTCTGACTTCGTCCAGACTTCTTCACCCGCCAAGTGCACTCCTCCGCGCGCCCCCTCGCCTCGCCAGACGACGACAACGTGATCGCCAACGCGTGCGAGTCGAAAGTATTCAACGTCACGCACAACGCCAAGCTGCGCGACAAGTTCTGGATCAAGGGCCAGCCCTATTCCGTCATTGACATGCTAGGCAACGACCCGCTGGCGCAGCAATTCGCTGGCGCCACGATCTACCAGGCCTTTCTCTCAGCCCTGTCCTACCACCGCTGGCATGCGCCCGTCTCCGGGAAGGTCAAGCGCTGCTTTGTGCGCGACGGGACCTACTTTAGCGAGCCCCTGTTCGAGTCGGATGCTGAGGGTGGTGAGATTGATGCGCATGGGATTTCGGTTGCGCAGGGATACCTCGCGGCTTTGGCTACGCGGGCGATCATCTTTATTGAGGCGGATAATCCGGCCATTGGGCTCATGGCGTTTATTGGGGTCGGTATGGACGAGGTTAGTTCGTGTGAGATTACTGTTAAGGAGGGTCAGCATGTGAAGAAGGGGGAGGAGATTGGCATGTTCCACTTTGGGGGGTCGTCGTATTGTTTGTTGTTCCGGAAAGGGGTGAAAGTTGGCGGGTTTCCCGAGGTCGGGAGGAAGGAGAATGTCCCTGTTAGGGGTCGGCTTGCGGTGGTAGAGCCGTGAGGAGGTGAACTCTTTGCTGGGTATGCGGTTAGTGATCGTAGTTGCCCTATTCAGTTGTGAAGCTGCAGAACTACCAGCAAGTAAAGATGTGCGGGTAACCGAAGTTGAGCCTCTCACCGTTTCCGTACCCTTTCTTTTGACGATCCCCGGCCTTAGCTGATAGTCTTGATCAAGCATTACCTCAGGCTCCTCCCTTGACGTGCACACATTGGTTGTAGCGATGTTTGCATCATCGATTGCCAGTTCAACTCTGGATGTAGGCATGAGTTGGTACGGGTTAATGTTGATGAGACCGGTAAGTCCTGTGCTCTCCTATCTCAGTCTGTTAGTAATTCTGCCCTCCTTTCCCTTTTCCTTAATTGTTTTCTATCGCTCCATTCATATTAGTTAATGCGCCGTGCATTTTCTCCCCCTTTCCGGCTTTTCCCCAAGTCTCGATTGTCATTTACCTACATGTAATAGAAAGATTAGAGGTCGGAGTCACCGGCTACATCCTACATCCTCGGACCCGGCGAGGGCTGGCGGAAGCGAGCCTAGCACCCGACGGGTACGCCCGGCGGGCCGACTGCATAATAGTGGCAGGCAGGCGGCGGAGGTAACCCGACAGATCCGGAAATGCAACCAAGGAAAGCCTTTCATGCCAGGCTCAGCTCCTTCCTTGTCCTGGAACTGAAGCGAATTGATATCACGCGGACACAAAACCGGTTCTAAAAGGTTAAGTAACTAGGTACCTTAGCAATGTCTTGAGAACCGGAAACATGGGCGGCATCCGTGCCATCACTGTGATGAGCGAGGCCATCGAGTCCCTTTGCAGACCATTGGATCGGACCCCGCCGTGGCGTTGTTGGTTTGTCTCATAACAGTGAATCTGGTAGCCTTCTTGATTCAGAAGGGATAGATCCAGCTGACCCAGCTAGTCGGGGCTGTCATATTTCGGGTTGACAACCTCTGCTAATACGAGTCTAGACATGTGGATCATCGCATTGAAGCAGCATCATGGCGCAGTCGAAGCCTTGAAGGTCTCGGGTGCTGTTCAGGGCTAACGCAAGGTAGTTCACTTCCTACAAGCCTGTGACAAGGGCAACCAGCGCAGTCACCGTTGAAGGAGCAGCGCCTGCGGGTCGAAGGCAGCCCTCGGCGTGAGAAGGCTCAGGTGATAGCTGACAGGGTGCATGATGTTAGACGCTTGGAAGCTTGTAAACTGCATGGTCACACGAGATCTTCTCGGTGATAACCGACTGCGGCTCCGCCCTAGCAGGACGGAAGGCCCTTGAGGGCTGAGGAGCGGAAGATGGGACGGAGGGAGAGCTCAGTCAGGATAATGCCTCGTAGTAACAATTCAAGTCTGTCTTGATTGTACTGTCAGTCTTCGTTGACACATGTCCTTGCCTCCGCGAGCTCGACCATGAATGCGTGTAAGCGGGGAGGCGGGGTAGGTAACGCGGGGTAAGATACCCTGAGTAGTCCACTCAGCTCTGCCCCTCCATCACCGGAACTGGTATTCCTGGGATCTGGAAGTTAGTTGATCGCATAGGAATCGAACGACTTCTAGATTCACATCCATCTATCGTCAATGTTGTTAGGTACTAGTGCATTACCTGAAATTGTTCGAAGTATAGCCCAATAGGTTCCCGGTCTGTCCTTCTGCCCCTCTATAGAGCTGTGTTGCGGGGTAGTTCCGCCTGGTGATGTCGTCATTGCAGTTCATCACACTTCATTGCGGTTCATCCCGTACCTTCAACTTCGGTAGCATCGGTTGCTCACCGTTTTGGCCCCAGTGGACTCATGCAGAACAGCAGCGCGTACTCGGGCTTTGGGCCGCTACTGGCTAGGTGAGTTTTCAGGCTTCTTCATGCGGTACGGTACCCTGATGTTCACCAATCCACGTAACGCTGCTTCCAGCATAGCCATAGGCAGATGAGATCGCTGGTGTGTGATATTGTCGCATTGGGTCCATGTTGGCGCCGCTTACCGTAGAGTTGCTAGCCGAGACACACCTACAAAGTGTAAGCTGTAGATTCCTAGCTTAATACTCGTGATGACGGTGCGCCGGTCCAGACCAAGGAGGTAAATCCCTCCACGGTAGGCGGGCAGCTTCGGCGCCTCTGATACGCGCACGCATAGGTTGCTTTGCTTAATGCATTCTGCTCGATCGAGTTTCGGAAAAAGAAATGACAATGCCTGCTTGCCGTCTGATAGTTATGTACCGTCGAGAGGCTTGCAGCGTGGGGGTCGGACAAACCCTCGCTGCTCCCGTCTCGTCGATTGATCGTTTGTGCTGCGGCCAATGGCTGATCCCTTTGTAGTACAAAGAGGCAGAATGGACGGCTGGCTCTGCGGGTTGCTGACGTTAATGACACGATATCATTAGACTCCCTCGGAGCATGTAGCATGCCCAGTGAAAAGCCAATGTTGATTGAGGCGTATCCCGGATATTTGTCACCGGCATCGTGTGGCGTAGTGATGGACTGGACATACAATTTGCACCTCGAACGATCCAGCGGGCCGTCACCGAGGGGAAGAGGACCTGGAGGGGTTTGCTGCAGACGATCAGCGGGATGGGAGCGGCATTCGGCAAGGCATGGGTATGTCAAGCGTTGATCGGGCAGAAGATCCAGATTCCTGCATTGCAAGGGAGCGAGTTGAGCACAAAAAAGGCGCTTTGCAGGCTGTCTGACTGTAGGTAAGGTAAGTTACAAGCTTCTGTGAGTACCATGGATTTGGGATGCAGTACTCACGGTACATTGGGCCCATGGTGTGGACGTTGGGCACAAATGCACCCCACATCAGCGGCACCCCTTAATTCGCTCCGGGGGATCTCGGGGTAGCTCCGATTGACTGGGCCGCGAGAAGTGAGATCAGGTTGCAATGAGGCACTCCTCGGTCACTTCGGCCATGTCCAATCGAGGGCCTTGTACATACCACCTACATCATCTCTGCCCAACCGCAAGAGTTTCTCGAGTACTGTTGGTGACACAGCAGCGCAATTCTCACCATCACAGGTCGAAGAACCCCTGAGATAAGGGCAAGGCTGCCTCTTTACCCAGACCTGGGCTTGTTCGATTTCTTTCCTTTGTTGCACCAAGCGCGGTCCAAGGTCCTCCAGGCGGGCAGGAGGCTCCCGTGTTCCAAGTTCGAACTGCTCATTCCAGCAGCCTACATATGCGAGCAGGCCCTAGAGGTCGTTCTCTCGGGATATCACGGCATATGTCAGCCGTAAGCCGCCCAGAGCTTCCTCTGAGTCTTCGAAACGAGGCCAACGATGCAACCGCCAATGCGTTTCAGGGTGGCTGCCAGCCACATGGGATGGTTGCGATGGCCTTACATAGGCCTGACATTGAGAACCTGTGAGCCTTGTTCTTGACGTCTAAGGTTGCCTTTCTTATCTCTACCGGAATTTCGGTTCGCGGACCATCTGGAACTTTCTGAGGTTATGGCTGCGAGAGGCTCTCTCAGATCAATTATCCCGTCGCGTACCTGCAAGAGCCTATCCACGGTGTTGAACGGGGAAACAATATTGGACGAACAGCAACAAGCTGATGGCAAGACCGGCGTATTCAATCTAAGTAGGTGAATCAGCGAGCAGAACCAGAGACGACTTAGCCAAGGTCGGAAAATCTCGGCAGTTTGTTGCGGGCTTTGAGGCATGTCGGCCGCTTGTGGGAAAGGGCTTCTCGACTCTTAGGCAAAGGGAGCCATATAGGTGCAAGCCAACTGGTGTTGGGTAAGGTGAGTGAATAGATTGTACTTTGTGCAGGAAATCATTGGGGAGAGTGGAGGTTTGGATGAGAAAGCTTTGGGGTTCGGACACTCCTACACTAGATGAGAAGGAGCTCCCCGCATCCCGCACCTCATTAGGTAATTTAATGTAGCATGCATCCTGCCCACTTCACACCACTCAACTTCAGTTCCAAACTGACATGGAGTGTCTAAATCCTCTTGACCTCTTCAAATCTCTCAATGTCATGGCACGTACGACAATAAGTACAGCATCGCACATCCAACAATACAATACGGGTCTTGATGATATTGACTACTAGTACAAATCTATTCTCGTACACCGAATCTTGCCCAACCCACGCCATCCCATCCCACAACGCGGCACCACTTCGCAGCCCTGCGTTCCTCCGGCTGCAGAAGGGGAAAGGGAAAGGGAAAGGGAAAGAGGCAGCAAAAAATTGCTGTTTGCTCTGTTTTCAGCTAGCTCGCTGCAAACAACCATGTTCGGATGCGCAAAGATCTGCTCCTGACTCAACATCAGCCGAGCTCCTCGAGCCCTCGCCGCGCAGCGCCAGCCCTCATCACCGGCCCGGTCTCTACCTTACACCAAGGCTCTCCACAACTGGCGGGAGCTTGCCGAAGGAACCCGTACATACAATGCAGTCTGCGTGTGTACTGTGCTGTAACCCAAGTAATAGCGGCAGAGGCCAAACATGGAGGAGGGACGCAGCCTTCGATGCTTGGGGGCGATTCGTCCAATCCGATTGTTCCTGTCCCAGCGCGGCAAGCAAAAAATAAAATAACCAAAACAGCAGCGGCCAATGCATCCTTGACTAGAACGCCACAGTTCCAGCTCCAGAAGGTGGTGGCATTGCAGCCGAGATGCTTGCTACATACATACCTGGTAGGGCCCGTCTAGCCTCGAACCATGGCCTGCCCTCTGTTCTCGGGGTGCGACTCCTGCCTCGGGAAGCTTATGGCCGAGATAAAGGCTCTGATTGACGAACCAACCAAGGCTGAGTGAGCCGCTCTACCTTCGTACTGGGTTGTTCGGTTGCCCCCTCCCTCCCCACCTGCCTGAGCCCGCTTCTGCCATTCGTCTTACATAGCTCAGGTAGCCTGAGCGTCGGCCGCGTCTTTTGGGGCCCTGGCCCCTCTCCTGGTTGCTTACCCATCCTTGTCACCGTGTTGGTATGCTCCTGTTATTGACGAGCTATTATGGACCACTCTCATCGTGTCATGTCGGGCGATGGGGAGATGCAGTGGTCGGATCGCCATAGTATGGACTCCGAGGACGTCCAGTCCGTCACTTCACCCTCGCCCTGGCTGCGGTCATTCTCAACAAGTTCCACCTCGGTCTCGGCGACGTCGTCAACCATGGGGTTTACCCACACAGGCCAGCTCTCGCCCATCAGCAACGGCGTGGACATGCCTTGCCGAGCGCCAGACAGCTCGGCCGACGATCTGTCCTCTCCTTCCCAGTCACCTTCGGTTTCGCCTTTGGTGCCTTCAGCATCATCTTCATCCTTATCCAGCGCCTGGGTCTTGGACTATACTGGCCCTGAAGCGAATGGCGAGCTGTCCGCAACCGCCAACAGCCGTAGTGGCCGTCGCGATGCTTCTTGGGGGGAGGGCTCAGACGAAATGTTAATCGCGCCCAAGCCAGAGCCAATGGATGACGACGATTTCTGCATGGATGATCTCAAGGAGGCTCCTTTGACCCCTGTTGCGACAGCGTCAACCATTTCGCTGGGTTCAGACCAACCAAAACCAAAGAGACCGCGAGGCCGGCCACGGAAGCATCCCCTTACGCCCATCGTCACAACAAACAAAATCACAAAGGGCCGGTCCAAGACGGGCTGCCTAACGTGTCGAAAGAGGAAGAAGAAATGTGACGAGGCGAAGCCACGATGTAAGCCGAGGAGCTGGTGAGGTGCATCCAGCTTGTCACCATGAACTAACCGGGTCTCGCAGGCATGAACTGCGAAAAGAACGCAGTGGTATGCGAAGGCTATCCGGAGAAGCAGATCTGGAAGAGCGGCAAGGAAAGGGCCGAAGAGGGTATGGAACCAAGTGCCTGTGCAATTCGACGTCTAACCGTTGTGCAGAGCGCCTCAAGGCCCGCAGTTTCCCATCCATCACTATGCAACCCCTTTTCCACGGGCTGGAGACTGTTGAGGACATGATTTTCTGGAAGCATTACAATGAACACCTCAGCACCGTTCTCACTGTGGAGGGAGAGCATAAAAATGCCTTCAAGGATATGATGGTGCCTGTTGCTGTGCAGCACCGGGGCCTCATGCATTCGATCCTCTCCCTGGCCAGCAAGCACATTGACTTTGAGACTCCGTATGGCATCAATGTCCTGCGGAACAACCCTTCCACAACTCTAGAGGCATTGAGCGAGCGATCCATTTATCACCACGAGCAGGCCAGGCTCAAGTTCTACGACGATGTCGAATTCACCAACGGCAAGCCAAACACCGACGACAAGGTTCTGGTCTCGGCACGGTACGGCCAGATGCTCTGCTTCCTCCTCGAAGCTCTAGCCGAAGGCGGTTCCCGGGGCGAGCATCGGTGTCATCTTGAGGCATACCGCAACCTCATTTCCACCTCGCCGCCCGAGGACCCCGCCTTTCTTGCCTTCATCGCCGAATTCTTTCAGTACCACATCTACGCCGACGAGCTAATCCATTCCGCCGTCGGCCGCCCTTCCCGTATACCGCCAAACCCTCTTCCACCGGTCACGGGAATCCATCCCCCAAGGCTGCTTGGGGTCGCCGACGGCTTGCTGGATTATCTGTCACAAATCACCGCAATGCGGAACACGGTTCGAAGCAAGATGATAGCCCAGGCGGACCCTGCAGTCACTTATTGCGAGGTATACCCAGCAAGCCAGATCGACCAAGCGATTCGGGAATGGACCGGAAACTGGCCCCCGGGGGACAGTCGTGACCGGGTTGGGCTACTCTATCAGCACATGATTGGCATCTACCTCCACAGGACCATCTACCCGCCCTCGCCATCTCCACCATCCTCCATGTCGTCTTCTGCAGCGTCCTTTGCCGCTGGGCCTCGGCCAATATCGTCGGTAACTACCCCTCCGCAGTCTGCCTCAACCAGCTCTGCCTCCTCGCCGAGGCTCACCGGTTCTCACCAGGGTCCCGGCCTCGGCGTCAGCCGAATCAACCTGCTTCTTGACACATTGTCCCGCAAGGAAGGGACCGGTGCCGATGTCAACGACAGCCGAGCTGATTCCCCGCCACCCATTCGACAGCCCTCGCAAAACGAAGCACGTCTCACCCTCATGGTCGACGAGTCTCTGGCGATCCTGGATTCTTTCAAGCCCAGCGACCCAAGCCAGACTCTGCTTCTCCTCCCGTGCTTTCTAATCGGGACCGTGTGCTTCAGTCCGTCCCAGCGCGAGCGTGTGCGCGCCGCCATAAGGACAGTCAGGGGCTACACCGGCCTGCGCAACGCCGACCGCGTCGTCGACGTGCTCGAGGACGTTTGGCGGCTGATGGATGCAGGCGACTGGGTGGCGGTTTGGGACTGGCCCGGGGTTGCTCACCGTCTGGGGTTGGATTTTATCCCCGCATAGCACGGGGCCGCGTCCCGGCGACCGAAGAGGGCCGTCCCAAGTGGGCATCCTGGTTACCTCACCGGGACGTAGATGCAAGCGTGTCTACGGTGATTGGTAAACATGCTTTCCACCTTTTCGACGCCGTTCACGATTTCAACGAGTATCTCCTTTTTCCAGTTGAGCGATGCTCGTCGCACCAGTCATCATTTCATGGCGGTTCTGATACTTTACCCACATCTTGTAGCCCTTGTATTTTACTCGTGTTATGCTCGTTGGGTCGGTCATTCACTTTCTCGCTATCCTTGTTGGGCGAGGAATGGGAGATTTGGTGTAATCCTGAGATTTGGTCAAGGCGTGGTACAGACAGTACACGCATGAGAATTGTTCGGAGCGTCTTTCATTGGGATTCTAGGTAATGCAGTAGGCCTGGGTCGGGCATAGGGGTCATACATGGTAAGGGGCAAAGAAAAACAACCTTGGTGGACAAGGTCAGGTGGACACCAGGGAAGAGGGCCTCATGACTGAAGATGACGGTGTTCATTTTGCTTGGCTAACTGTTTGCATTGGGACTCTGGGTTTTGTCCGTGATATACAAATGACGATCATGTGGGAGCGTGGGATTTCGGTTCTCATTAGCGTATCGCGGGCCTGTTTCGCACGTCATGATCTACGTTTCGGAGTACGACTGGTAGCTTGAACTAGAAGCACATGGACTGAGACAGGCATTAGACCGTGCTTTGAGTTCTTTACTCGTTGGTGATATTCAGATACCCATCTCTCATTGATCGTACAACATCAAGGCCCCGCACTCCCGTCTCCGAAGAGAAGCCATCCACTCCATGCTCCATCCGCAAATAGGCGTGCGAGCCCCGTCTCTGTCTCTACAACCCAGCGGGCATATTGTACAGCGTATATGCGAAAAAAATGAAGCAGAGGAACCCCTAGCGCGATGCCAAGGATCGTCTTTACCTAATCATCACCCGCCTCCTTCTCCTTCTCCTTCAACACCACATCCACCCCACCAGGGACCTTCCTCACCTCATACCTCCCCCCAAGCACCAGATCCTTGGCAACCAGCTCCCTCGTACGGCCCAGACTTTCTATCGCCGCAATCCGGTCGATGGTTGCCTGGAGGTGTTCCCGGAACCCCGGCTGCGCAACAATTTCCTTGAACGCGCGGTGCATGGGCACGGAGCTGGCACGCACCTGTGCGCTGCTGGTGATGCTGAAGAGATTGAGGCGGTCCAGCGACCGCACAAAGTCGGCGCGGGTCATGATTTGTTGCGCTTCGTGTAAGGGAAAGGAGGGCAGGACGTGCCCGAGCTCGGGGTCGTAGGTGTGCGACATGGAGGATTCTTTGTCGACTAGGGCGGTGGCGAGGACTACCGCTGCTGCCTGTGGGGGATAAATCAGTTGGGGGGGTGGGGTGGGGGAGAAAGGGGAGAAAGGGGGGGGGGCTTACGGCCCATTTTTGCTGGTCCATCACGTCGTCGTCCATTTCTTCCCCAAGAATCCAGCACTGGTTAAGAAACCAGGTTTTCTCCATCTCCTTGATTGCATCACACGCCGCGAGCATGTCCTTGCTCTTGGCGACGCGGTTCAGAAAATTCAGCCTCCCACCTACCCGGTCATAGACCATATCGAGGATCTCAGACGAGACGGTCTCGTTAAAATACCGCTGCCGATAATTCCTCAGTGCGGCCGTGGCCTGGGCCTTGGGGAGATCAACAATGGTGAGTACCTCCATGCGCGTCGCCAGCTGCTTCAGCCGCTCATACACCCAGTAGTCGTCGCTGTTGAAGACCATGGTGACCAGGTTGCTCGCCGCCCACTGCTCGGCACGCTGCTGCAGCAGCTCAATCAGGTCCCGCCCGTCCTCGTCGTCCCGGATCAGGTGCATCTGGTTGATGATGAGCACCAGGGGGCGCCCCACTTTCCGCCGCCGCCGGAGGGCGACTTTTTCAAGCTTGTTGAGCGCGCGTTCGATGTCGAGGAGGGCGGTGGTGTCGCGCGGCCCGCGCTCGCTGAAGTAGCCGCCGATGTAGTCCTCGTGGAACTCGTAGTCGAGGGCTTTGCCGAGGCGGATGCGGAAGATTTCCAGGTCGGAGTGCGCCTCGAGCATGGCGATGCCGTCGCCGTCGATTTTGCGCATTGCTTCGAGAAGCATGCTGGATTTGCCGGTGCCCTTCTCGCCGATGAAGAGGTGGTAGTGCCCGATGTCGTGGCCGGCGATGATCGAGTCCACGATGGCCTGCTCGGGCCGCTCGACCCAGTGCGTGCCCCCGGCTGATTTGGGGATTTCCTTGCCTATGGCGGCGAGTTCGAGGACCGGGTCGCCGGGCTCGAAGGCGTTGGCCATCTTTTTGAGGACCATGTATTTGTAGGTTTTGTGGTAGCCGTAGGCGGCGAAGGCGAAGCCGGCTGCTAGGACGAGGATGGAGGCGAGTGAGGTGGCTGCGGACTCGACCATTTTTGAGACGAGTGAGGGCCCTTCATTGTGCTCAGGGGGTGGTGAGGGCCGACTGGGCTCATGGGCTGCATCTTCCCCGGGTTTCTTGATATCATCTGTCCGCTTGTTAATGACTGGGCATGGGGTTCGAGTAAAGATGTCCTCATATAAAAGGGATGGGGTTGCGTTTCGACTGTCTCCTCTATCTGACTGGTAGAATACCAGCATGCAGTACAGCAGTACCATCCGAAAGACAGCACACATATCATAGGGTGCACTTGTGGCATGCTCTCTCCGGAGATGGGGCGGGCATCGGCGAGGATGACATGACAGGCACCTCATGCATGACATCTTGCATCACCAATGAACGCTTGCTCTCATTGATCCAATTGCGGCCCTTAGGTAAAAATTGAATCGCAGTAATACTCCCGAAACCGCGGCAAAACATCGTTCAAAGAACAGGTAGAACATAACCCTTAATGGCATGGAAACCGCATTCAAGCCTTGCTTGGTTGAAGGCACCAGCCGGGAATGAGAGATCCGAAAACGCGGGCACATACCGGACGATAATCGCTGATGTTCAGTTGACAACTGCCTGTGTATCCGCCATCCCAAGTATAAAGCCCGAGGTTGCCTTGTGAGATTCTGTTGGGCCCGCGTTGCTGGGAAGGCGGTGCGCCCAATCCGTGCCAGAAACATCCTCCAGTAAAAACAAAAGATAAGAGGCAAGCCCCTTTTCACAAGTAAAGAGATATAGTCAAGGAGCGACTGGAAAGGAAGGGAAGAAACAAGCCAAGTAGGAAACGAAACAAAAAGATCTTAACAGGAAGATAGAATGTCTCACACCCAGTGTTTTGGTCCCTCAGAAGCCGCTGACCCAGAAACAGCAACGCTAGTTAATTTGAGTGTCTGCTAGGATCCCTGGGCTCAGGCACGGTTACCTCAGCTGCATTTGGTCCCACCCAAGATCCGTCGATCTGCCATCAGATCGAGTTTAGCGGCTTCGGTATTTCCCCATCCATCCCCACATTTTCATTTCTCCAACCTACCACAAACGTCAAGCTCAACGCCAGAGGTTTCGCGTCCAAGGGACGAATCGCTGTTCAATCACGCGGGTGGTGTAATATTTATTCTTCATCACCTGCGCTTCAGATGAATCCGTCATGGGCAATGAGTTTAGCAAGCCCGAACCGCCCTCGGGCAGAAGTCGCTCCCTCTCTCCGCTTCCACGCGACGACGAACTTTCGGATGCCGAGGACGATCTCCGACAGTTGCCGTCGACGATGCCTGCTGCTGTAATGACAGAAGATTTGAAACCGGCGCTCTCTCCACCTCCCGAGCCGCCTAAATCGAACGACAAGTCGCCGCCTTCTCGAGACTCTCGAAAGAGCGTCCTTTCCCCAGAGCCTCATCTCGCCAGGTCGCGCTCTAGTTCTCCCGACGAGAAACGCATAAGCGCAACCCAGCCGGTTCGCTCTGCAATCCGCGATGGATCTCCGGCCAAATTGCTCCAGTCCGCAACGCAGCCCGAGATATCTGAGGCACAGGAGTCTCATTCCTCGAAGCGGCGTTCAAAAGAAGCCAAGGCTAAGCGGAAGCGGGCAGAAGACAGGCAAAGCCTTGCCGACGGAGAGACAAACTTACACGAAAGCACCCCAAAGAAGAAACGTAAACGTCGCTCTGACGCCCGGAGGCAATCCGCCGGGGTAGATGAAACGCCTGCCTTGGTTGCATCTGAACCTACAACTGCTATAGAAAAAGTAGTATCCCCTTACGCCCGACCGACGTCCTCATCAGCCAGTGCAGGGCGGGATGGAGATAGTGGAAAGGACAAAGTTCCCATCACGGGAACGGCTAGCAGATCGATGTCCGACTCAGAAGATGAAGCCCCTCCAAGCGCGCAACCGCCCTCAGAAGACGACTGGACGGGCAGCTCCAAACCCCGGAAAAGGCGGAGACTGTCCTCTGACGGCAACATGGGCGGTCATGCAGTGGAGTCATTCAACGAACGACTGGACCACATGGGAAGCGGGGCAAGCGCGACAAACGGGACAGCGAATGGTATTGATGTCCCAGCCTCGCCTAGCGCTGGCATCAAGGCGGAGCGCGAGGAAAGTCCGGAGCCAAATGGATCTCGTGGGCACGAGCCCCATTTACTTTCGCCCGTTGCCACAACTTCGCTTGGGCGTCCCAGGGCACTGCCTACCGGTTCTTCACCGCCGCAGTCCGATTCCGGTTCCCCTGAAGCCGATGACATGGTCAAGTCGGAACCCGGGGTGGATGCGGACATGCAAGATGGCGAGCCGCAGGACCAAGATGATAACCGGCGTACATCTGGCGTCATCCAAAGTCAGGAGGACGATGACAACATGTCAATTGTGCCTGAATCGCCCGGTTCGCCTTCTGCATCTGACTCACCGCCTCACCAAGTCGCCGAAGCGGCTGGGAGCCCTGATATGCCAGACAGCAGTAATGAGCTCATGAATGGGGTTGAACAAGAATCACCGGGAGAGGAAGATGGCGCTGGAAAGGAGACCTCTGCAGACGACCCAGCGCTATCCGGTTCCGACGAGGATGCAGCCACTCCCAAGAACCGCTCGCGCCCCGCGGCATCGAAAACGGAGACTCGCAGTAGAAATGGGGAGTTGGATGCACACACAGAGTCTCAGGATCAGCATATGGAAAAGAACACTGCCAAGGCGGTCACGCCTGGGTCCTCCGCCAAAAGCCCCGGGCAACGACCAAGCACTAAACGAAAAGCAAAACAACCATTTTTCGAACGCGAGGAGGAGGAGAATGCAAATGCATTCTCTGAGCTACCTCCTGACGATGCCGTGGTCCAACCCAGCCCGACAGGATTGAAGCGAGCCCGGAAGTCGGCGACAGCCGCAGCCAAGTCCTCGGAGGCAAGCCAAGGGCCAAAGAAGACGAAGAAGGCAAAGAAGAAGTCTAAGGATCGTCCAGTCGGCGATGCTACGGTTGAGGATCCGGAGGATGCAGCCGCTCCGGCGAAGTCGCAATATCGATCGGGGCCGCTTTCGAAAACAGAGCAGGCCCAAGTCATTGCTGCGGTTGAGCGTTTTCGGGAGGCCGAGAATATGACAGAGCAAGAGATCAATCAGCTCATCCGCGAAAATCCGCAGAAGAGTGGTCAGTCGATTCACCGCCAATTCTGGACATCCATTCAGGATGCCTGTCCCTCAAGGCCACGACAAAAGTTGATCAACTGGTGCCGCTTGCAGCAACGTTTTCACGACTTTCCAAAGCGCGGCACCTGGACAAAAGAGGAGGATGATGAGCTGGCACGCCTGGTAGAGCTCCACGGCAGGAAATGGAGTATGATTGCTGGCATGATCAACCGCCACCACAGGGATGTCCGCGACAGGTGGAGGAATTACCTGGTCTGTGGCGATAAAGTCAAGAAGGACGTATGGTCCGATGGTGAAGAGCAGCGCCTCAGGGACCTGGTTGAGGAATCCGTTGAGATGATCCAAAAGGACCTGAGGTCGAGTCAAAAGAGTGGCAAAAAGAGTGCCAAATCCGCCGAGGAACTCATCAACTGGCAGCACATTAGCGAATCCATGGGACGTACTAGATCTCGATTGCAGTGTCAGGAGAAATGGAAGCGGATTCGGGCTGCCGAGCCGCTTCACGCCGAGGTCCCTACGGTGTTACCGTCCGGCAACTCCTGGCGGCTTCAAAAGGCTCGCATGGAGTTGCGAAGGATGACTGCGAAAGACAAGCATACTCTAATGTGCGCAGTCCGGGACTCGAAAGCACCAAAGGAGACCAAAATCCCATGGAAACATATCGTCCGTACCGTCTTTGGAGGAAGGTATGAACGGCAGGCGCTGGTGGTTACGTGGGGCAGGCTGAGACAAGCGGTGCCTGGTTGGGAGCAGAAGACAACCTTCGAGTGCGCCGAGCATCTATGCGAGCAGTACGAGAAGGAGGGCAACTTTGGCGTCGAGGCGGATGGGGACAACCAGGCTTCTGAACGGGTTGACTCCGACCAGGAATCAGACCATGCCAAGGAAAACGGAGAGACGATCAATGAGACCGCCCCGTCGTCCCCGGCAAACGCCCCAAAAACTCTCCCCGAGGCCCGGAAGAAATCGCGCAAAAGGCCCAAGAATAATGAGATAAACGGGACCGCCCCATCGTCTCCGGCAGATGCTCCGAAAACCTCCCCAGAGTCTCGGCGAAAATCGCGCGCAAAGCATAAGGAAAATGAGTTGCCATTACCCCCCATTGCCAGCATCAGTTCGCTGGAGTCGGGAGGGCCGCGTCCCGGCCTCAAAGTCCTCAAGAAGGCTAGACGAAGCGATGTCCCACCTTCCCCCGCTGTCTTGGGCAGCCGCGTCGACGACATTGAGGACAGTGGGCCGGCGTCTGCGGGCTCGCATGGCTCGCCCAACGAGCAGCAGACGGATCGTGCTGAGAGGGATGGCAGCCCTGAGCTCGGCACCCAACTGCCCGACCTGTCGCCGAGCGTTGAAGCACAAGCAGCTCGAAACAGAATGCGCCAGCACAAAGCCAGGGCTGCGGAAAGGATGGAGTATGTTTCGCCGCCGGAGGACCAGGAAACTGACACCAAGACTCCAAAGCGACGGCGCCGTAGCTCTGCGTCTGATAAGAGTGTCAGGAGCCCGAAGTCCAAGCGGCGGAACGCGGCTGTGGTGGCGGAGCTGGATAGCATTGAGGAGCCGGATACTGATGCAGACGGGCGAGAGACGACCACGGCCCAAAGGCGGGGTTTGAGTGTCATTAGTAGCGACATGGATGACATGGAGGATATACCAGCGACGTTGCCCACGCCGAGCCAGGGGGTGAATTAGTGTGTGTTTTGTGAGTTTGGGGTTGGACTTGGAATGGTAGATTTACGTCAGTCTTGAGGCTTTGACAAGGGAGGTCATTCGATGGCGGATATGGGGGTAGTTTAAGGGTCAATTTAATGCATTGCTAGAAAGGTTGCAAATCGGGTTGCCGGAATCGAGCTTTTCAGGCTTCATGTTTGTTTTTGTTGCGTTCTCGGTGATAACTCTCAATTTTGCCTGGGCTAGATTACCGCAAGACAAACAGTAACTGTACAGTACATAATACCTGCCTGAGAGAACAGATTGAAATGAGTACGCCAGCCGCTCCGGCGTGAGCCGTGTTACCAGTACATCTCCTTGAACCCCTCCCCACCTCCATAGCCACCGTAGTGTGAAAATCGATACCGGCCAAGCAACTCGGGCATATTCCGGCTGCTTTTCCCTGTAGCTTTCCCAGCTGAGATCCAGACCTGGCCAGACCCAGAAGAGGACTAATAAAACACATGCCCCCCAAAGAGGGCGAACCGGACTAAGAAAAGGGAAACGCCAAATCAGGCCATCTTTCCCTCGTATAGCACCACCTCAGCTTAGCAGAGCTCAGATTCCTATACCGGCGGAATGATCCATGATCACCGCCTCCTAGGACCAGTACCGTACCGAATCCCTAGCGCTCCTCAAAATAGAACCGCCCCAAATCCAACCTTTCCCCACCGCCTCTCGGACTCCCCATGGCCGCGCGCCCGGCCGACCTACTGCTACTATCCCCATCACCACCGAGCCCCTCACGCCGGAGAATGTGCTCTGCCGCCTCCCGCGCTGAGGGCATGTACTGATGAGTCTGTTGGTGCTGTTGCTGGTGTGAGTGTGAGTGAGAGTGTGGCTGCTGCTGTGTCTCACGGATGGCGCTTAACGGGGGTTGGTGAACGGTAGGGTTGAAAGGCACAGGCACGGGCCCGCGTGTGGTTGTGTCGACAAACACATCGTCGTCGTCCATGGCCGTTGTCTGGGGTCGGGGATTTGTGGTTGTGCCTGTGCCTGTGGCTATGGTTGTGGAGGTGATGACCTCGGGTGATCCGCGCCGGTCCATGGCGATACCGTCGACCATGCGCGCTTGGCTGCTTTCGTGGACGGCGGTTTGACTTATGGGGGTGTCGCTCCCCCCGGTATTAGCATTGGAATTGGAAATAGAAATGTCCCTCCTCCCAGCAGCAGTGCCACTACCCTCGCCCGGCACGGTGGTGGTGGTAGTAGTAGTAGCCCACCCCGCCGCCGCAGGAACCCCAGGATGGGCAGGGGGAGGTGGGGGACCACCCTGACCGGGCGGAAGGGGAAGCACCCTGCGGTGGTAGATAGGTCCGGACACTGTGCTCCCCGCGCCCTCGCCGAAGCCGACTAGGCTGGCATCATCACCCTCCTCACCATCCCCGTCCCCCTCAACCTCGTCGTCGGACCTGACGCGCACATCCTCGTCGTCATCATCTCCTAGGCCAGCCACCAGGTCCTCATCTCCATCTTCGTCCATGGCCTCCCCGCCGAGGTACCCGCTTGCCGAGTCCATTTCGGTGAGCATATCCTCATCTTCGGTATTGTCTCGGTCTTGGTCGCGGGTTGTTGTGTTGGTATTGGTATTGCCACTGCTGGCGGTAGTCAGGGTACTACTCCTTGACGGCGACGTCACTGAAGCCATTGTGGTCGCGCTGGCCGAGCCGACGGTGCTCAGCTTGCTGGGCGCCGCGACGGGCTGGCCGGCTGCATCGAAATACGCAGCCGGAACCATCGCCCCCGCCGGTACTGCTGCAATAGGTTGTGAAGTCGGTGCGGGATGCTGTTGTGCATATTGTTGCTGTGCAAGTTGTTGTTGTTGCCCGGGGGTTCGCAGGGTGGTCACGGGGGCGGACAGGCCTGCGAGGCGGGAGATGCGGTCGGCGCGCTCGGCCTCGAGGCTGGTGGCCGACAGGCTGTGCTGGTGGCCGCCGGTGCCGCTGCGGTGGTGGTGGTGGTGGTGCAGGGCGCCGCGGTGGCCGTCTTTGATGGCGGTTGTGGAGAGCGCGGAGAGGGAGGTGGTTGTGCTTGTGGGGGTGCCGCTTTGGAGGGTTAGTATGCATAGCATGGTATGGGAGGGGTTTGAAGGGAAGGGGGAACTTACGGTGTCTCGGACGGCGTGTCGGGGTTGGAGGGCGGTTGGGGGAGGTTGATGAAGGTTGGTTGGGATGGGGGAGGGGGTTGTGATTGTTGCGACATTGTTCGTGTGGTTTTGTTTTGTGGTTTCAGGTATCAGGGATTGCATATATACTTGGTGTCGTGGTAGCAGGCTGCCGTATCGATGATACTCATTCAATACGGCCCTGGGCCCCGATTCCAGGTCGATGAATCAATGGGTAGGTTTCTGTCGGTAGAGGCAGAGGAGATGTTCGCGACGCGAGAAACTGAGGTTGAAGAAGGGTGAGTGGGGTTTGGCGTTTTGGCGTTTCTTTGACTTTAAACACGTGCTTGTGAGCTCAAAGGGCCATCAGGGGAGAGCGGTGTAGGGTTCTGCACAGTACCTGTGCAAAGTTGCTGCCTAGAATTCCAGCTGTTTCAAGGTAAGCTGTTAAGCATCACTCGATTGCAGTGCGAATGTCTGTAGTGGATGGACGAGGTAGCACGGGTCGCGGGGAGGATGACGTCGGCAATGAAACCCGGAGCCAAGGATCCCTCGCGCAGCTGTGGGGCGAGGTTACATTGCTAATCACCTTGAGCTTTCTTCGGAAACTCAGGGTCCTCTTGTTCGACTTCAACACAACGTTTCGAATACAGCACACGGCATGATATTTCCCCGCATGTGCTTGCCGAATAAAAGTTGCTTCAACCAAGACTCAATCTCTGCAATACAGATATCCGCCACAATCACGCACCGCCGTGCGAAGCACAAGCAGCACTCAACCTCCCCTCTTCCCCACCCAACACCAACCCCCCGACTCTCCCCGCCATATCATCCTCCCCCTTACCATTCCCCTTCCCATTCAACCCCACACTACAATTAACCTCCTGTCTACTAGGCGGGACATCAATCGCCGGATTCCTCTCAAAAAAATTCACCGGCCTCATCATCACTCTCAACGTCTCGGCCGGCATAACGGGGAAATCCTCAACCCTCGGAACATGATTAATCCCAAACTGCACCCAAACCACCGGATCGCCCCCTGCTAAAATATCCCTTCTCTCAGCCCACCCTCTCACACCCTGCCCGCCACGGCTCTGGTTCGTGTACACCCCACCGGCATACAACTCCCCATCGACATAGCGCGTGACGTAGATGCTCCGATCCGCAAACTCGGCGCGCCGGTTGTGGAAGGATTCTTTGTCCGCCAAAATCCCCTGCATCGGGGGGATTAACAGTTTGTACCCCACCGGGGAGCTGTTGACTGGGTTGTGCACGGAAGGGTTGATGATTTTGAAGGTGCGGTTGGTGGCCGGGTTGAGGTCGTACCCGCCGGAGTGTGTCAGCGGGGTGTGACGGATGGTGTACCCGACGCCGTGCGGGTTGAGCACAGGGTCACGCGGCAGGGGGATTGCTTCGTCGTAGAGGACTGTGTTGGAGTGGCCGGCGATCATGGGGTCGATGCGCAGGGAGAAGAAGTGCTGGTGGAAGCCGCCTAGGACGCCCGGGTGGACGACCGTGCCGAAGGGGTGCGGGGTGTGGGTTAGTTCGAGGTCGAGGGGTTGCGTGGAGAGGATGCCTGTCGCGCGGGCTTCGTAGACGACGTCGCCGGCTGTGTTGAAGATGAAGGATAGGACGTACTCGTAGTTGCTGACCGTCAGGATGGTTTGGAGAACCAGCTCGCGGTTGCGGACTACCACCGCGCGGTTGGTGCGGTAGTTGGTGTGCTTCCAGAGGATCCCCGCGTCCTGCTCGTGCACGCAGATCACGTTGGGCATGGAGACGGGGTTGCCGTTGCTGTCGGAGAGGACGCCGCTGATGTAGTAGATGCTGCCGAGACAGTCGCAGCCCAGTTGGAGGTTGTTGGCCATGATCCCCGCGCCGGCGTCGCCCAGGTCGAAGGCTGCTTTGCGGTGGAAGGGGTGGCGGGGGTCGGCGTAGGGGATGGACATGTCGGAGAGACTCAGCCGGTAGAAGAGCGGCTGGTTGTCGTAGTGCACGTCGTACAGCACCATGCCCTCCCGCTGGTTGAAGCCGACTTTGAAGTCCCATTTTTGCCACCGGATCAGGCGGCCTAGCTCGGAGAAGTTCTCAACGGTGAAGGAGGCTCCCTGAGGTTGCACGACGTGCAGGGGTTTAAGGTCGGTGCGGAGTACTTGCGCCTCGGGGATGTACTCGTTGGGTCCCACGGCCTGCCATGGGGCAAGAGGCTTGACTTTCTCGTCGAGTCCGGTTGGGAGGATATCAATGCGGATCAGTTCCAAAGTGTTAGGGTCGACAACCGGTGATATGGGCAGAGGGAAGGCGTAGTGGCAACTATCCGCCTCGGACGGATTTTGCGGGTCGCGCATGTAGAGGAAGCATTGCATGACGCGCTTGTCGTCGTAGAACTTGCCGTCCTTGACGCCGTCAGACCCTTTGCAGAATCAGCAAAAAACAAACACTCCCACGCTGTGCGAGCAGCGGGCATACCGTAGATCCACGGGTCCGCCACAACCACAGTCCCCTCGGGAAGTTTCAGCTTTGCAATCTCTGCCTGGACGTCTGGGTGCGCCAACAGGGCCTTCTCGACAGCCATGATTTCCTCGCCATCGCCATTGGCATGGGTGAAGGGGCCCAGCTTGACATTGGCCTCGACTTTGTTCAACGACAGGTTGACGATGGCCTCGTGGAGGTTATGCTATAGTATTAAAACCCGTTTCAACACTTGACCCAATGATTGCGGCACTGGCAACTTGCGACTGACCGTGCCCCTGAGGTAGTAAACAACGAATGACCGGCGATCGATGGTAATAGTGTGATCCCGGCCTGCCCGCTCAGCAGCAAGATATGGGATCAGCTCCGCCTTTTTGGGCTCGAGAAGTGTTATCACTTTGAAGTGGCAGTCGGTGCCTTGCGGCCAGCAGCCCTTAACCAGCTCGGAGCTTTGGAGGATTTCGCTGGGGCTGAGAGGGCCGAGGGGGTGCGGTCTGGGTGAGGTGCTGGCGGGGCCATTGGTAATCGGGGGAGAGTCCCTTGCAGCGGTCTTTAATGCGGCCGGTGTCTGGTCGGCCATAGCGGTGGCGGTCATGAGGAAGACTGGGATGGGATAGCGAGGGAGAATGGAAATGGGGTCGTGGTATTAGTACGATTCGAGTACCGCCTAGGGGAATGGACTGGTGGGGAAAGCTAGTAGATGCGAAGTCATGAAATGGCTTTACTACCTAAGGTACTTTTCAGAAGCAAAGAAAGGCGAAGCACTAGGAAGCTGCAACTCCTCACTGCTGATGAGTTTATGTTGGTTTATGACGACCAAGTCACCAAGGCGGGGAACGTATGCGATTGCTAAGGGATGGCGGGGTAATAGGGGTACCTGCCTTGATGCGAAACAAAGCAGCGTCTCGTGACACTCTACATAGGACAGCCTGGGTGCGTGGCACTCACAGCTTCCATCATGTCTCCAAGTGTGCTCCACGTAGATGCAACGGGTACAGGCGGCTCAGATGCACACAACGTGGCCCTCATGTACAAGTACCCGATCTATGTGCAATGATATTGGATGATTGGATGAGTGAACGCCTTATCGGGTTGCTTGAAACGGTAATGGCGAGAGTGAGATCTTACAGTAGATGCGCGAGATAAGAGCGGATGCGCTAACGTCTGCGCTACAAGCTCTTTATCAATCGGTGCAGTGATTTGGTGTAGACCAATCCGTGAATTCCAGGTTTGTAAGGTACGAAGCAGCAGTAGCAGCTGCTGCGATTATCTGTCATGGTCAGGGCCTGCAACCCTGTCGCTCTTTCCTCTTCATTTTCCGCCGTTTTCACAGCAGGATGTTGTGCGAAGCAACTGACCCGACATCGCGGATCATTGATGACCTGGTGCTAGTGACAGGTATCATAGCAGCCGCTCTGGACGGATCGTGCCAGGTTAGCCAACAAACAGCTCATGTCTCATTGGATTCTCTCCGAACTGTCTTCCGAGTTCCGACAGGTTCATCGGATGCTGGGATGGGGTACCTTACCTATGTAGAAACATGAAATTACAACACCTTGGCGATTTCACCAATTCCAACAAAAACTCAGCCAGAAACCGCAAGTCCCCGTCACTGCATCTAACGCGTCACCCTCCAAGACCCCATCTCCAACAAAACCCTCGAATACCACCTATGCAACAGCTCAATCCAAACCGGCATCGGCATACCCTCAACTTTACCCTTGCTAGTAAAGAAACAGCTCTTGAGGCCCAGCACAGCCTCTTGCCGATCTCTGTCAATAGTAGCGCTGATGGCAAACAAACCGTCTGCGTCGCGCGGGCCCGGGTTCTTCAGTGGCGAGTCTCCGGCGCGCATGACAATCTCGGACGGCGTCTTCTCGACCACCTCAAAGTGGTCGGTCAGCTGTGTCCCGGGCTCGTAGGAGGATTGAGTGAGTTGGTCAACGGTCCAGAGCTGGGATGAGGTTGAGGGGTCGTGGTATTTGCGGGAGAGATAGGACCTTTGGAGGCGGTAACCTGCAGGAATGTTAGTGAGTGTGTCTACACGGTACAATACCACTCGCAGATCGCAACAGGTAAGTGTTAAGTTCACTGCTAGTACTTACCCAGCCCGCCCCAGACGCCACGGCAGAGTTCCAGAGCTAAATCGCCCTCCTTCTCAAGAAGCTCGGGTTTGATCTTTCTCAGGGGAATTCGCTTGACACAAATGTCCTGTGTCGGGGGGTTGCGGTGCGGATTGTACTTTGAGTAGCTGTTTGACCCCCAAATGGGATCGTCGGCCGGTATTGGGCTGATGATTGTTGTTGAGGCCCCGAGATATGCCAGAGTCCCGACACCAAGTCCAGTCAGGACCCCTGCGGTTCGCTTGAGGCTTCTGAGAATAGCCATTGCGTTCAAGCAATCTGCACGGTATCGTGGTACTTGAACTGGATGAGAAGGAGTGACGGTGAAGTGAGTCTTGAACTTGAGCAGGGAGCCGCCGGGAATAACGGACGTCGTGAGTGGGTCGACAATCCTCTCCAGACTCCACATCCGAGGATGCTTAGTTACCCTGGTAACGATTTGGGATTTGGGCCCCTGGCTGCAAGGCGACTTGGATGTTTTACTTTTACGCCTCCAGGTTACTTCTAATTAAGATATCGCCTCACGGTGCTTCTAACCAGAGCACGAAACGCTGTCAACACGACTAGAACTGGTTGACAAACTGACAATATGGAGAAATCTGCACCAGGCTGGTGTCAAACTTGGTGTAAGCTTGCAATACTACTGTAGAGTAGGTAGCTACCTCTCCTCAGCTGGCAACCTACTTCAAACCAATGACTCTTCTAGGACTCCTCGTGGGCATGTGCATCATTGTCGCCCTGCTCCTCGTTGCCATATGCACTATAAATGTCCTCTTGCCCCTCATCCGTAGTTACCTCATCGGAGCGATACTTATCGGTATCGTCATCATCGCTCCGATCATCCGCGCCAATTCTCGGGATGTCGCTCGAGATATCTCCGGATTTCCGGATCATCCGCTCTTCCCACAGCTCAACCCAATCTTCTACAGCATCCGCTTTCTCCTCCCGAATATCATTGATCAGCTCCCCTGGGAGCCCGTCCGTGTCGTATACTCTCATCCATCCTCCCGGTCAACGATCGAAATTATCTCCTGATGCTCTGTAGTGCCATTCCCTGGTGCTTTCTCTGATTTGATCAAGATTCTCATCATTAACTACAACTACCAAACTTTGCATGGCCCAACATCCTCCTCCGGGTTCCTCCATGCTTCCGTTTACCCCCGAGAAGCCACCGGTTTACCCGGTCGCCAGACCCAAACCACCGCCCTGGATATCATGATGCAGAGACGCCGCCCTCAGATCATGCCAGGCACATACCTGACACCCCTGAAATGGTTCCGGAAAGCCGTCCAACCCTGTCTCATTCCGCCGTCCACCTCTCCGGCCAAGATTATCGACACGCGATTCTGAAACTTCTATTTCGCAGTGGCCCACGCGACCACACCCTGGTCCCCAGCCTCAAGACGGAGACACTGCTGCGCAGCCTAATGCGCCTTGCGGTGTCTACACTCCTTTTCGGACTCGTTGGGCAACCGAACCGGGGTTGGATCGGCCAAGAGCTTGAGTTTGCGCCGGCCGGGGTGTGGCACAGTTTTTGATACTGGTGCAGCTTGTCGGGGCGCAGAGTCGTACTGTTTATCTCGAACTGAGATTCGCGGGTTTTGACGGCGTGTTCAAAGGCTTTGATGAGCCGAAGCGTCGCCTTGCTAAGCTCGGTTCGTAACGAGTCAAGGCGTCCACCGTCTCCTCAGCAAACGGCTCAATGGTCACCGATCCTTTAAGCCAGGCATTGTAAGTCCCACTCCTTTTTCTACTCCGCCACTGCTGCTCCTTCCTCTCCCATTCCTCTCTCTCCTCCCGTCGCCGCTCTTCCCTTCTCCCTCGCCGTGGCATTCTCCGTCGCCATCGTATCCTTTCCGCTTGTCGGTCATCTCTCCCAGCTTCTCGTCCCCTTTTGAACCGTTTTGGTTCCATCGCCTTCCAAGCGTCGATCGCCCGCATCATGACTTCAAGTTGTTCGTCAAAAGGCCCGTAGATGTTTGTGTCGCAAGCAGGACACCGCGGAGGTTGGTTGACTTGACAAGTATAAGGGTCGATTTCGCGGTGCAACTACATGTACTCGGAGCTGTTTATGACCAGACTTTCAATGCGACGCCGCCCGTTGATGTGTCCGCATCCTATGACCAGTGGCTCCTCATAGCCCGGCACGGTGATGCCATGGCCCATCACCGTGCGGTGCCAGCACCGCGAGCTGGTTGGAGCACATGCCGCACTTGAAGAGGGGCTTTCCCCCTGACTCCTCGCTCGCCTGCCTTTCAATGTCTGGCCAGTAGTTATTCGGGACCGGACCGGCCGGTTGAATGTTTCTCTGGGCGGTATCAATGCACTCCACGGCATTGAGAGACTGGCCTCAGCGGGAGTGGCATCGAGGTAGTTACGCTGATTGACACGTGGAAACCACCTGCACGGCGCACTGATCCTCCTCGTGGTGAAGATGAGGGCTGACTCGGGAAATGTACTGGGTTCGTCGTCCTTTGTCTTGTAATTGTAGCTGCCTTGTCCTTGTTGGCAGTCGTGCTGTCTTCAAACTCGGTATTCTCTTTGTGGCTGTCTTTGTCTCGCTCATGATTCTCGCCTGTCGCTCCACCCCCTGTCGCGGTCGGAGCACTGTTCTTGGGATTGTCAGGTTGGGCCTCGTGAGATGGTTTAGTGTCTCCAGATCTCAACTGGTGGTTTGAATCTGCTGTGCCTCCATTCCTGTTGTGGTTGTTTTGGCCGTCTGTCGAGGGGTTCACTGTCGGGGTATTGCTCTGTGCTGTTTTTGTCAATGCTCGAGGATTCTGTGATGATGTGGCTGAGTGGACTGAGTAATAGGCGCGGTTACTTGATCGTGTGTTCTCCTCGTCGAGACGGCTGCTTTTCAGGTCGTCTCCCGTCCTAGAACAACCATCGCCCCCAGCTCTACCAGAGTTCCTCCAGACTGGGCTGTTCTGGCCTGAGTCTGAGGTGGCAAGGCGACGATCTGTTCGCCCACCAGTCCAAGGATCTTGTCCACCGTTGGGCGAAAAGCCCCTTCCACATCGCTGGATGTCAGCGTTATCTTTGGAGGCGGGTGGCCGGTTCGTGATTGGAGTTGACGGGAGCATTTCCCTGGCGATGTCGCTTGGCTGGGGACCTGGGGCGGCTGGGGCAGCGATCGCTTGGGTGGTCTTTCTCTTGCGAGCCATGTGTCCCTCTCCAGGTCCTTGAGGTCGACTCATGAGGCTTGAGTCTTTTCGGGTTGACCCCTGGAAACCTGGCCCAGTTTGGCTGTATTCGGGTCGCGTCGTTGTTATCCTCCTGGTCCGTGTAGTCGGACTCGCAGTCACTCTCGCATTCTTTGGCCTCGAGAGAAGTGGCTGGTGCAAAGGAGGTAGGTATGGTCATGCTGTCGTTTCTGTTGATGGGAGATGCGTCCTTCGTTCGTTGTATAGACGGCGTGGGTAGTGCCGGAGCGTGAGTGGGATGTACGAATCTTGAAGCAGGGGTCGTATCGGCTGATAATTACCTCAAAAGAGTGAAAGAATCTTCGAACTTGGCGAGCACGAAGGTGAAAGAAAAGTACACCCACAGTTGTGGAGAGAGAATCGAGTCCTCCTGAGTCGTACGCGCACTGAAAGATAAGCGGTATGAGTGGTATATACAATTTCCATATTCATGATGGGCTCTATAGAAAGTTGGAGAGAACAAGATGGATTCCCTCAGAGCTGTGGGGAAGGATATGAATATAAGGTACAGTTGACAGGTTGGAGTGTGAGCAACAGGACTGGAATCTAGAGTCCACAAAAGTAACGGTGACAGCTCAACACAAACAATGAGTCTTGATTCTTTGTTCAAATATCACATCAACTAATATCACTAATGAATGTCACCAAATCAGCAAATAACTTGAAGCACACCAAACCCTTTGGTCCAAACTCTAAACCCCACCACTGTCCAACAAACACATACATGCTTCACTTCAAATGACAGACAGTCCACGCTGAGCAACAGTGCCCATCTAATGATCCACTTATTGACTAGAACTGTAAGTCACCAAGGCATGACCTATCAAGCACTCCATGACTCCCACGGATGCGATGCTGCGTAGTGCTTTAGCCAACAATCGTGGTAGAGATCAACGAAGTTCAAAGAAACATCAACACCAGCATCATACAGCACCAATCAACATTCCTTCACACCAAGTCACCGCTTCCTGCATCTGACATCATAACATAACAAATACCATAAACCACCGTGACGATGCGTGCCATTCGTGCCCTAATGCTCTGCGTCTCTAACTCCTTGATCATGCTCCACATCTCCGGTTTCCCCTACCCCAAACACAAGACAAAGAGTGCTCGCCAGCGCCAGGATATCCTCCCTCTAGATGGGAGTCGTGAATGCGAAGCGTGTAGAAACGGCCCATCCGCCGATCAAATCCTCGGAGAAATCCTCCATGCCGAATCAAGGAAGCGGCATCCCAGCAGCAGCCCTGCTGTGACGTCTTAGCAGGTTAGGCATCGTCCCACTAACCAAGCTAGAAAGACAGTCATCAATGACCCCGCCATCCCTGATATTCACCGCGCGCGTCTTGCGCAGCCAGTACTCAAACGGCCCGCCTACATCACAGGTCAGTCGCATGACAAAGTTTAGAAGTTGAAGGGGAGGGATACGCACGATTATGACTCAACGCAGCCCCCAACTCAGCACAGCGTTCCGCCGGTGTATGTTCAGCATGCATCTCGGTAAAGTGGGTGATCATCTTGGAGATGTCCTTGAGCGGCCACTTGCACGGCGCGGCGGGTGACCGGCCGCTGCCTGCTAGGAGGTATTTGGGCGCTGAGCAGAGCCGGCATTTCCAGAAGCCCAGGCGTTGGAGGGTTGTGTTCACCTCGTCGTCCATGCCACCGCCTGCCATTACTGTGTCTGAGTCTGATGGGGAGGGTGCGGTCAGCTTTGGCCGCTTTGCAGCTGCGGATGCGGATGCGGACGCGGATGCGGCGTCGTTGGCCTTGTGATTGGTTTCCTTCTCGGTTTCCTCGTCGTCTGAAGGATCGGGGAGGGAGGGCCGTTTCGAGCCGGAGGTTACGCGCTTGCTTGGTGGCATGATACTTCCAGCTCCGGCTCCGAGGCCGCTGCCGCTTGGGTTTCGTGGGTGCTTGCTGATGGTGCTGCTGGGGAGGCCGTTAGTTGTTCTGGGAATCGGTCCTAGGCCTGATCCTATTTCACGTTGGTGTCGGTGAATCGGAAGGCTCCAGCCAGGAGCTGATGATTTGCGCGCCTGCGCTCTGGCTAGTTCGATTCGATGCCTACAGTGGCGGATCTGGTGGCCGAGATCGAGGATGCGCAGCTGCAGTGTCCGTGTTTCCTGGGGGGTCAGGGTCAGGTCCGCCTCCTGCAGCTGTGCGCGGCAGTAGTCCAGGTCGTAGCTGTATGCCCTTATGTCCTCTTCCAGCTGGCGCACCGTGATCTCGTCGAGGTTGTCCGCGTATTCATAGTCCTGGACAGCTTGCCGTGCCACGGTGCTAGCTGCCGGCGCCGCCTCTCCGTCACTGTCATTGTTTCGGTTGTTCATGTTGGTTGCACCATGGGCGGCAGCCTGAGGTCGCGCACCCTCGTCGGCAATTCTGGGCAACCCGGACGGGCTGCTGTGGACGGAACTGCTGTTGCTGCCTGAAGCAGGGATGCCGGCGGCGGCAACAGTGATGCTGTTATGTTCCGTCGAGTCCATGTTTCATTCCAACATCCGTTGGTTCGACTGAAAACTTCGCTTTCAGCGCGTGTCAACGTCGATGAAGTGAAACTTCTCGCAGAGAACGATGCTGAATTTGAGACCTGGAATGTTCAGAATGGAAGAGGAGATAAAATAGTAGAGGTGATTGATGGGAGTCGACTTCTACACGTTTTGAGAATTTGGTGATGGATGAGATTTTCAACTGGAAAGGTGCCGCAAATCATTCCAGGAATTTCAATCGATCGTTTTGACGTTGACGAGTTGCGTTGGTGGAGTGTTTTGACGGGAAGCCTGAATGAGGAGGGAGAAAAAAAAATGGAAAATACGTGGAAGGAAAAGGAAAGCATGAGGGTGGGCTAAGAAAAGAAACTAAATCTGAACAAAGGGAGGAGGGGGGAACGTGCTGTGTTTAAAGCTCGCTTTCTTCCTTCCCCGAAGTCACATTTTTT